ATGTTTGATTCACTGATCAAGTCAGCTGCAATCGGTAACTGCCGCATCTATTGTGGATCAGAGCTTCTTGTTGGCTCGACCCAACATGGCATACAGCCACAAACCACCTATTGATGCCGCCACCCATACGGTCATCAAGCTTGCCTTTAGCCCTGCCTGCGTTCTGGGTCATGTTGTGACCATAACTAACCAAATGGATGGGTGAAGCGCAGAGGGTTTCCCTTTTACAGTATATTCGGTGGGTTGGAGCACATCTAGGTTGGGGTGCCTCACTCACCCAACATTTTCATGTTAGGTTCAGTCGGGTTGATAAGAAAACAAGCTCTTTGCCGGGAACCTTACCAATGGCATGCCGATGACTACGGGGAACTTCATCACACAACCAACTGATTTCTGCCACGTAGGTGAGGCTATCAGAAGATGCCATGTTCTTGGTCGGGCTGATAGATAATGAATCCGAGGCATTTGTGCTACTCGGACGTGACAGGAGGGACGCCAAGCGACTTCCCACTCTCCTCGCCGAATACCCCGACAACTTTCTCACTGCTCTGATCGGCGTTTAGTGTCAGGATTCCGGCCCCAAACCCTTTGTGATGTGGCAAGGACCCTGCATTCTCTTGTAGTTAACATAAATCCTCATGCGTTAGCCATAACCCAAAGATATAAACCTACTTTCTACAGGTGATTTTGGCTCGAGATACCTTAAACCAATGTTTGCCAAGCCCCCCCCCCCCTCCTCACAATGAGCCCTCGTGAAGCTGAACACGATCTGGATAAAGATCGATTTTCCTCCCTCCACCTCAAGCCTCCAATCAGTTCAGTGAAAGCTGCGGGAGGCTACACAGTAAGAAGGACCGATTCTCAGAAAATCACTTCATCCTGCATGGGTCTGTCTACAACATTTTGACCTCAATCTCCAGTCTTTTCCACTTTCCCGTCATCTACTTCCGCCTCTCCCCCTGCGTCGTCAATATCCCCTACCTCCGTGAGCATCCCTCGCATTGGAAAATGGCCTTTGGCTCACTTGAAGGGGGTTTAGACAATTGGCAAGTTAAGTAAGCAAGGACGCACGCGCAGGATTACTAACCACGTTGACAGTAATCCCTGAGCCGGAACCTCAATTCCATAGCCATCACGGCTCTGCCTGCAAATTCTACGGCTAGTCCACGTCTCACGGATCTTGTGTCCGTATGGCCAGCGTGAATTGGCTATATTATTTCTTCGCCTTTCTCCAGTGCATTACCGCACAGCCGAGCGAATCCTGCTGCTGCATTTAATCGAGAGCTCATCTTCGCTATTGGAATGGTGCGTGTAAGTTGCACAAAGAACAGCTATTAAGTCGCCGCTTGGAAGATCCAGAATTCACGAAAGGGGGGTCATTGTTTGCGCTTTCAGATGCAGATGTGGGTCAACATCCCTTCTCCACTCAGGAGCACGAAATCTACCTTCCCGTTCCCGAAAGACGCACAGGCGGTTGCTACCGTCATCAGGTGCTCATATAATCAGGTTAACTCCACCTGGTCGTGCGAGAAGGAGCATGCACCCTTCATGACTTGCTGAAAACTCGAGTACCCGGTTTCGAATATTGTAGACTGTTCCCATCTCACCACTTGATGGACTAACGCTGATGAGTCTCAGACACACTGTTTCACACTGTTTCGTGTGTACCCTGACATCCGAGTAGTACGTTGCCTCTTGTTAATTTGGTCAGATGGTAATGCCTGCATTTGTCGTCAACAATATTTCGTGGACCGCTGGCCCCGCCATCGTGTGCAGCGAAATCTCATTCCACGAATGCGCTCTCCTTGGCGTGGTCAATTCCGGCGAAGTACCCGACAGGGTGAATGATATAGCGATTTAAATCCTCCCTTCATGGCCAGGGCAAGATCCCGCAATCGATTTTGATAGCCGCCCCCCCGCGGAAACGAACAGCGTATCAATGTTTAGAGCAACTATGACTAGTTTATCAAAGGTATGTTGTAAGACAGCAACACATGGGCTCATTGATAAACCAGTGATGCTCAACAATAGGTTGATAATAGACGTTGCTCAAATTAATCCTTCATTTGCCATCTTCCCCTCAGTCCTCATTTCTCGTTGCCGTACTGGCCAGAGGTTAGTTTGCCTACAAATAGCGCGTGTCCTTCACTTATGATATACTCTACCCAGACGAGTGTATTTTCGGTCACACAAATACAATCCAGTTCCTGCTGAGCTGCAGCTGGAAACTCTACGTTAGACACTGACGCTGAACTACGTTACCTTGCCTTTGGAAAAACCTACCTCGTTGAAAGTGATGCTGGCCCGAACCCTACGATACAAATAGTATACATGGCCGGTTTCATGTAGAGGATAGACTGTTCGCGTCACCCTGGATACACCTCCCTGACTGTGGCCGCTGTAATGAAGGCATTCTTGACATAGTGGTTCGTCCAGGCTCACCAACCCTTTCTATGCTAACGGGGAACGATATCACTGAATGTAACGTCCCTACTTCGTTGATCGGCTCTCTTCCATTAATATTGCGAAGGCTGGTGCCGCACAGCTTGCCTGAATCGAATTTCTCCGTGGCTGCTACCATTGCAGCTAGGAAGGACGCCGTCTTCGGTCAACTCTGGCAAAAGGTAACTCGCTGTCAGAGGAAATTGTGATGTCCTTTATGCCTGGTACGGAGGTGACGCACTTGTTCAGGCTCTGTGCATGGAAGTGTCAAATCTTTCCACAGGCTACCTGACGATTGGGTCGCCGTCCGTTTTGACACCGGTTCCGTCTATGGTATTGGGGCGTGTCAATTCAATAAACACACTCTACCCTACAACATTCAGAGGCTTGTGGCATGGCCTTCCAGTTCCCTCAACTCTACGCTGCTCCACCCTCCGCAGCCAATTATCCCCCTGAGCTTCTCCACGGCTTCGGCAACGTTTCGTCAGATGGCACGCTTCCAGAACGGCCATGATGGCCTTCAGCCGTTGCAGTTTCTCAGTCTGGAGTACCCAGGCGCACAGTGGCAAATCCATCGTAAAAAGCACAGTATGTATCGGGGCCGCCCAGTTGGATCGATTAGCCTTTAATTGGATTGCTCTTGCCTCACACAGTTTATAGCCGCGTGGTCACTGATTGTATCGTATGAACTGGGCTTCCTAACAGCTTATTTTGTTCCGGCGTGTGTATGAATACGGGTGTCCTGTGATTTAGAAGGCCTGTCGAGCACATGGAATATTGATCATTACTCCTCTTTCCCTTCGCCATCAACCCTCGCGGCGATATTCTGAGATCATTCCTCGAAGAGGCTTGCGGTGAACTGATGTGGAGGTGTTTGGTGAAGGCTGTGGCCTGGGGTTCGCGTGGACTTTGAGGGGTTGAATGAGTGAGAAAAGGCACAAGTCCACACGTGACAATGAATGGCTATTGCTTCGCTCGCGTGGCAACTTAATTGAATTGGCTTCAATGCAAGCCCAGTCCTGAAAGGTGATCCAGCGACCCACGCGCGGGTTCGTTCATTTTCTGCTTTCAAGAGCAAAGATCGGCGGGCACCGCTCTGCTGTCCCATTTCCCCCTAGTGGCCCCCTCTCCGAACCCGCCCCTCGCAGCAGTTCGAGCGCTCTCCATCATCCTTTTTTGTCTCGATTCCTGAATTGACCCTTGTATACAGTCTGTCTCTCGCCTGCATTCGGAAACCTTGACTGTGTTTACTGACCGCTTCCCACCTAGCCGTAGTAAGTACAGAATCGACCTTTGGTTTCACTGGCTTTTTTCCCTCCCTTACATAAAGTCTCATCCGCTGTTTTGAGTGTAGTCTCACACTCAAACTGATGTCTGCAACCATGTTCGCATCTCCCCCCTGGACGCTGGCGTCTTCATCCACATATCCTACGCCATCAACTGCCAGCTTCACATCCAGCTCAATCCTACCGTGTTCAGTGGCTGCCACTCGCAGGAGGAGTGTGGATACAGGCGGCTTGGCATTGTCTTTGCACTGTCACGACTCCGGAAGCGGGTGGGGCGGTTGGGACGAAGACGAACAAACTCCTATTCCGTGCGTGAACCTACTTTTAAATCGTTTTATGACTGTCGGCTGAGCTTTGTTCCACGTAGTTACGCCGAATTCCTTTCCACCATGTATTTGCAAACGGCGTGTAGTGCCCCTTATTCCTCCAAAACTATCACTTCGTCCTTAAGATCTTCTCTAATCGAAAGGATTAGTCAATGGGCATTCAATCCCCATGAATTGACTGAGGACCAAGTTTTGGCCTGTGTTTTTTATCTCTTTGAACTCCTGTTTACTATCGAGGGGATGGGAGAGGATCTGGGACTAGAAGCGGAGAGTCTCACATCCTTTCTTCTTGCGACAAAGTCGATATACAATCGGGAAAACGCCTATCACAACTTTCGACATGCGCTCGACGTGCTGCAATCGATGTACATTTTCCTCAACGAAGGTGGCTGCGTCCCACATATTTCTATTTTATTAACCCCTTCTGCGAGAAGATGGACCAGAAATGGGTCGTCACGAGGACACCTGCAAGGCATGTTATCAAATGTTGACGTCTTTACATTGTTCGTGGCCGCCTTAGGCCATGATGTGGGACACCCTGGCGTTAACAACGCGTTTATGGTATGGCGTTCCACCTTGATGAATTAGCTGATGTAGCTCACCCTGCCTTTGTTCAGAAAAATGCCTCAACACCAGTTTCTGTCATATATGACCATAATTCCGCTCTCGAACAAATGCATTGCGCATTACTATTACAGTTAATGAGGAATACGGGCCTAGGTCATCTCATAACGTCGTTCTTGCCACCAACCAATGGTCAGGAGACCGTCAATATCCGAGACCTCCTCGTTGGGACGATTTTGGCAACAGATATGGGAATTCATGGCGATTGGATGCGTCGCTTCCGGGAACACATTGAAGGTCCGACCAAGTGCAACAAGCTGCTGGTTTGCCAGGCATTACTAAAATGTGCAGACATCAGCAATCCGGTACGATGAATTCATATGCGAATAATTTCATTTTGACTAAATTGTGATGTTGATTGGACAGTCTCGTCCACATGAAATATCCGAAGTTTGGTCAACATCGCTTATGTATGAATGGTCTAAACAGGCCGAACTGGAGAGGTCTCTTGCTCTCCCTGTATCTGTACCTCCGAATCTCCCTCCCTCGCACCAGCTAACCCTCCGTATTTCTGAGCTTTCATCGTCCTCGAAAAAGCAAAGGCTGCACATCAGCAATTTAGCCTCCTTGTCTCCCTCCGATGTTCAAGCCGCAGTTCATCAGGCGAAAGGACAGCTCTTCTTCATTAACGGGTTTTCTTCCCCACTGTTCACTTTAGTGTCCGCATACATCCCCGAGATTCGTACGTTTTCTGACTGTTGTCTCGACAATAAGGCGCTATGGGAGCAACGTCTTAAAGAACTGGATGAGCACGCGAAAACAATTGCATCAAGATCATCCGCCACCAACAATGCACCATTGCTCTCCACCTTTACTTTCCCCTCACGCTCTCACTCAACCCAAGGTTATTCTAATGCATCCACACCTAGACATCAATACCCTCACAAACCGACTTCACTCGTGTCGCTCTCCCCGCTTTATCTGCCCTCTGTGTCCAGGTCCAGCCGCCCTTCGTCCATCTCATCCCTATCTACGACGTCGTCTACATCCTCATATCATTCTGCGCTTTCTGCCCTTGATGGAGTTTCCAGGCCGTGCTCACCACGACCACGACCACGGAATGAGTCATGGTCTACCGCCATGTCCCTCATGGTAATTCCCGGCGATCCCTTCCTGAATATCGACGGTGACAGTTGGCGAGCGTCTTCTATCAAGCGATCTCATTCGACAAATCGGGTGTACCCGAACAAAGATGACTTGGATTTGGATAGCGAAGATCGAATGAATGATATCAGGCGGATCGGGAAGGGCCTCGAAGCGATGCGTGCTGCCTATCGATCGAGTTGCAGGAAGAAGCCGGGGAAGGGTCTTGTTGCAATTGGAGCGACTATGGATGACGGGAGATTTAGGAGGCGTTGGTCCGTTGCCTGGCCTACCCCAGACCGTGATAGCCCTCATGTCTGTGGAGACTTTTCGATGTCCTTGACGGAGATCGGAGCAAGGTGACGACCATTGGGGCCTTAGATGCACCGAGTTTACCCCTGTTTTGCGTCAACAATTCCCCTCATGGTCGTCTCAGTTTTTGGGGATCTCGATGATTTTTTTTTTGGAATGAGCAATATGATTTCCATGCTTGTCACCATGTACAAACTTATCAATGTAGCATGCTCAGGTTGTCCAAGCTAGCTGCGTCGACGGAGGTTGTCACCTGTAATTCGTCAGACGAGTATGTACTTCACTGTAGCGAATCTAGAGCCCCTGATTGAATGGGAAAAATGACAAGGTCCTCTGAAAATGCATTGAACGGTAACCTAGGGTCCTTTACCCCCCTACATATACGGGGCCTAACCTAGCTGTTTCTCTCACCGCTCCTTCTCCCCACAGCAATCATGCCTACTACTTTGAACGGTCTTGGATGTAATGTCCATACGGAACCGAATGAATTTTCAGCGCTGTTGAGTAGCGGGTTCTGCCGCCTCAGGCGGCGTCCACCAGTTATACCAATGGAATAAATGGAATCACCTAAGTCATCTGTGACTGGAAAACAATAATGCGGGCCCGCACTATAGGGATTCTAGTTTCATGCGCGCCTTTTCCTTAAGGCGTATGCATAGGCTTATTGTTCGCACACGACATAAGCCGCGCACCTAAGGCCCTTCCCCTCCGCAAGGAGAAGTGAATAGAAATATCAAGATGTGAATTCTACGGCTAGGCTTTACTTAAAGCTACGCAGGAGCCCACTACTTGTTTCAGGTTCTCTCCTTTCTTGACTTGTCTGTCATCGAGATATCGATGCTCGACCTTCCACAGCCACTTGTACCACTTGATCATGATGTCGGGCGATGCAGGTCAAATTGACCGCCACAAGTTTCCAGTCTGGTGTCGCGATGTCGCGATTCACTGGTTCACTGGCACCAATATCCTATTCCCACCCACTGAAAGGGAAGGTCACCTGTTACCACGCTAGTTCAAGGAGGAAGGTCAACGGTCAACGGCCCGATTGTCTACTTAGTGGCTCTAGCTCTAGCACATTATGACCACAATTATCGCAACCTCGTTCTCTCCGCTCCCAGTTTTTCGATAGTCGCATTGTCGATGCAAGAACCACCTTCCTTTTGTCTCCCAAGATTAGCCAAATTTGCTCTCTACGGCCAAAGCTTCTTGCTACGGTGATGCCTGAATTATTCGGTAGTCTGGAGTTTAAAATGTTACTACGCATCCCCCAGCAAAATATTGTGCGAAACGTCAACCATAAGTAACCCCTCGCGTGAAATTCTATGGCAAACAAGGTCACAGCGGCGCAGTGACCTTTCCAGCGTTCGTCGCTCAAAAATGTCCGAGTTTGATTCAGTCGCAGCACCGCCACTGGTGCACCGAGGCCGAGAGGCCTCAATTCATTCGCGAAAAGTTCAGCACTCTCTTCAACACACCCTCTACCACAGGGCCGTCAAGTTCCCAACCACGTCGATCATCATTTTCAAACTCTGGCAAGGCGCAATGGCATCTGCCGCGTCCACATCCTCTGCTCCCATCAATCCTACTACCAAAAAATCTCTCGGCGACATCTTAGACTCTGTTGTCGATGACACCGATAGTCCGGAGCTACGCACCTCGGACGACTCTGAAGAAAAGGATGACGAGGCTGAGAATTTACCCCCTAGAGATGGATACTGTGTGGAATGCGAAGGTGCGCGGAAAGCGATGGGTCAGGACGTGAATCACCGGTTTTGGCTCATCTTATCGCGCCTAACAGACCAAGCTGCTGACCTCCACTGCGAGACGTGTGGGGACTCATTCTGTGAGGTATGCTTTACGTCTCAGCACCGGAAAGGATCGAGGTGCGCTATACTTCAGCCTTATTGATTCCCGGTCTTAAAACGTGGTGAACGGCAGGAAACACCATAAGACACGACCACTTGAGTCATTACAAACAAGAGTGAATGGGAATACTGTGAATAACGATAATGGGCATATAGAAGACGAAGAGGTGAGCATGATCCGATCATTCACTTGTCCAGTAGGACTTATGAGGCGTCTGCAGATGGACTCAGCCGATGAAGAGGCTCAGGCTCCGTCAGGAAATATTACCGCTGCCTCCTTACTAGGCGCGCAGCCCTCCATCGGGGAGTCTGTAGGCGAGTGGTACGTGGAGCGTTCTAAATACACTCCTCTACGTCTCACGATGGAAGAGCGAAAACTCCTTCGGCTTCTGGAAGCCGCTCTAGGTGGGTGTCCGTCATATTTATCCTCACAAAACTGAGCATATAATTACTATAGAGGTATCCGAGTACACTGATCGCATAGGTACATATTTCACAAACCATAAAAGCCCTCGATTTGCTTTTCTAACTTTTCACCGACGTCGGCATTCCAAACAGACATTTTGACATATTCCAATAAACCAAAACGAATTGTTCACCAAATAAAAGAACTCTGTTCCATTCTTTCCGGTCTCGTAATTGCGTCGAACTATAAACTTGGACAGGAACTATTCGCGAATCGAGATTTTGCCGCTAACGAGGAGTACTTTCAGACGATATTCGAGTTAGGGAGGCGTCATAAGGTACGATAACATGGCAGATCACTCAAGATCTCCCTTTCACGAATGATCTGTAGATTCTCAACCCTGACAGGTCTCGAACTACCTATGGAAAACTCATGTACATTCTGATGGATGCCCAGGATCCCACGGTCAGTGAGATGCTTGGCTTTTCCCTCGTTTCCCCCATCAAGAATGTATACGACCTTCTAAATGAGCACAATGCCCTCGCGCTCCTCCGCGATGACCGGATCTCCATCGCCACACGCGAAATCATAGCCGATGGTCGTCCACGTTATGAAATCCAGCGGGAAATAAAAGCCAAGGAACGTGCCATTGAGACACTGGCGTCGAAGTATGCGAGAAACGGATTGGATCCCGAGACCATTCGGCAGTGCTTGTACAGCATTGGAGATAACCATGCGTTCCTCAGGGTGAATCGGGATCCGTGTGACGGAATGATCGTTCTGTTAAAAAAGTACTTCAATCCTGATTCGCCTGGGCCAACTCCCGCAGAATCGTTGGCGATCCGATATGGGAAGGGAGGAGCACGGTTGAGGTATGCGAAATGGCCTCTGCGTTATCGTCGTCCATCAATTGATCAGCTCCTTCATAGTCATGATCATCGGAAGCAATACCAGTATGTTTTGCAGAGTCTGACTCTCTGGCGAGAGGTCCTCCATGGCATGTGCAGTTATATATCATCGCTTATCCGGCCATTGATGATATCATTCCGCCTTTCTAGATATGTTCCGCCTGTGGTCTCTTGCAGAGACGGATCTACTCAGTCCTTCCAACGGATATCGGTTACGCGATACTGGGCAAGGGCTGAATCGGATGCAGCATGCACCCAAGACGGCGAGGATGATGCAACTTGTTCTCCAACGTGCCCAGAAGAGCATTGGTTTCTGGGTAGGCTCGAGGTTCGTTTGTCTGCCATACTTGTTTGGTTCGTTCCTAACGACATTTTTGGTGTACTACAACAGCGTGATACACATGGGAGATCACAACGTGCCAAATGCCCTCATGTTCATCGACAAGTATAGTCAAATATATCGGATTCTTCTTCCCATTTGCAATATCATATCTCAAATCCCGGAGTTGATGAAGAAACCACAGTTAAAGAAATATGTTGATACTGAATTTGGCGGTGTGGATGGTTGTATTCGCGAGATTTTGGGTGACTTCTTTCGTCATGGTGAGGTGGTTCGACCCTCGTCACAGTTGACGTTGAAGCTAATGCATGTCCACCAGGATTCGATGGCTCGGGGGCTGATAGCTTCTATGATGCTGGTTCATGTATAGATGGTCGGCTTACGAGCGCTTGGAATTGGTGTTCCTTACTGGAGAAGAAACGATACTTCCCCGTTTTCCTTCTTTGCGGCTTCACGAGTTTTGACGGCCATTGGTGAGGCCGACTGCACAGATCAACATTTCTTTCCCATCGCTTCTCCTGCCCATCAAACATATACTAATTCCCTAATATATATATTTCTGCAATACATACATAGTTGACATCCCATACAGCCTGGATAGCGACATTACGTCGAATGACAATCATTATGATGAGAGGGAAATGAATCTATCCTATCGTTTCAGGGACGAGCGTGGTGAGTAACTGGCGCGCGCTCCCAGAAACTACGAGGACATTCGTCGAGGTTTGAGATAGGACCCACTGCAGGTGCCACCCTCACGGATACCTCTTGGATTGTGGAAGGATAGGGGAGCGGGGAGAGAGGAGGTTTTGCAGTAGATGGTAATGGGTGCACACTGCATGGGCCTTGAGCACCACATTGACATGCGAAACGCACAAAAGAAGGATTTATATCCTACAGAGAGCCTGCGAACCAATTGCCTGAAAGCTTAACTGGTGACAGATGAACATCGAGTAAGTAGAGTTCGACTAGACTCTCTTTTGGCTGGTGGACCGATAGGTGGACCCCTGCATCTCTCTATGATTGATCCACGCAGATTGAAGCCCAAGCGACAAGTGGAATTGAGGCATTGGACAGCACCTAACGCAGACTGCTAGGCCTCTATCGTGCCCACCAGCCGCTTTGTGTCCGGGCTTCTGGCTCAGACAACCACACGCACCTACATACCTCACTGCAGAAGGCATATGGTGAATGGTCAGTGGACTCGCATGTCCTACCGGGTGTTCCAGCGACAGTATAAGGGCTTCCTCAAGCAGCGCTGTGCCACCGCCTCCTCTGAGATGAACTAGGGATCGGGGAGATCGATATATACCAGAATAACGGCTAATTCCGATCAAGGGTCCAGACCTTGTGATCAGGTTGCAAGACGGATAAAGCAGGAGCAAACCTCATCAATCAACCGCGACCACAGACGTCACAATTCCTCTTCTCCCATTCTCTCTGGATCCGAATGGGAAAAGGCCATATATATATGCGAGCCCTCTAATCATTCCAATCCGCTTGTCTACGTCTAAGAAAGGCGGGGTCAATATGGGAGACTCTCTTCTACGGTCATCATGGCGCCGTTGAGAGCATCATTGAGGCTGGCAAGGCGCGTCGACGTAAGCTCCGCGAAATGATTAAGGCTTTTCTAGATGGCAAAGTCCCAATCGGCATGCCGCCCGGGGTCGACCCCGATGCAGTGAAAAACTCGCCCTTTATCGGATGAAATCCTGGGAGTTAGGCTTCCACAACAACTTACCAACAATCGTTGATACGCCCAAGAGCTCCGAGGAAGGGTTTCCAACAAGAGCAACTGCTTCGAGGCTGTGCTGATACACAGAAATTGTAATTACAAAACAACTCCTTAGCGTGCTTCTTCTGCCACAGCTTCTGAAGACTGTACTTGTACGACGATCAACCCTTAATCGATTGAATGTGTAAGCCAGGTCCCACAGTGACACCGGAGTTGACGCTGCCCTAATCATAGCCTTTTTTTTATCAGGGACAAACATGCTCAATAACTGGGCGGCGCGCATGTCGCTGCGTGTAGAATATTGTTTCGAGCAGACCTTAGAGGGTAATGAACGCTGTGTGCGCTTGACTTGGACCTGCCATGGTAGGGTCACTTGATTGTGATTGCTACTATTAATGCAATGCCTCTTAAGTTGTGTACCCACTATGGCTCGCCTGAGTCGTCAAAGCGGGCTGCTAAGGAAACAGCCAGCTGTGCAGCGTGTCGGGATTTAGGGATCTCGGATCCCCCACCACCTTACACCCCTTGATCGAACGGAATGGATGAAGCAGGCGCGAATTTGTTGCTCTTCCCTCTCTGTGCCTTCTATCTGGCACTTTCGGTTTCGATCTTTCTCATGTACATTACTACACCTGGTCTCCTTCTCAATCAAAGAAAAAGCCCGTGGACCTGGAGCATGCGTGGTCGCCGCCATGTCCAGTGCGCGATGGTCAGCGCGTGCTAGATGTTCTCTGCATACATAGGGTACAATAAAATGACTACTAGTAACCTACGAAACAATGAGTTTCGAAGCTTCCTTCTGTCGGAATTCCCAGTATCTGAGAATAGCGATCAGGGTGTGCAGCGCGTTTTCAGCAACAATACGCACCTTTGGCGCATCGTATCATACTCGGTTGCTAGACTCTTATACAACTGCTCAGAGAGGTTGGTAAGACTTTGTCATTCGTGAGACGACAGCGGTTTACCTCGTTGGCTTGGTCCACAAACGATCTCACCAGCTCCTTCTCATCCCCTGCTGCCGCCTTTTCCTCCAAAATATCAGCCACAAACTCGATGGCTTGGGGACAAGGCAATTGTGACTGCGGAGATGGCAACGGGTTCTCCAAGTCAACGTCAACAACTGGCGCCTCTGAACTTGCCGTCGGCAACGTGGATCGGTCAAGTGGGCGACTGTACGGGATAACAAAGCCTTCCAATGTTGAAAATGGAGTTCCAGTACGCTCAAGTACCCTAGGAAGCCATAAGTATGTTGATCAGCTCACGATGAGGCAAGTTAGAGGATTCACCCTCGCAGGAAGTTCCAGGCTGACGCGTTATTCGGGGCCATTGATAATTTCTCCTTGGTGAAACTAGTGCCAGAAGGCTCGAGTCGCGAGGCTCCGTACCGTGATTGCTGCTGGCTTACCTCAACTCGCGTTTCAGGACGACTTCCCGATCTTCGTCACCAGTTCGGACACCGGAATCGAACACAACGAAGAATCTGTGGTGCCATGCAGAGTTGTTCCTCAAATCCTCGGATAGCATCTTCTCAACAAATGCTAATTCTCCAGCCCATAAATCGTCGTCATTGAATTCAGCCAAAATCCACTGCCTATATGCCCACGTATGGTAATTCTTCGCGTCCTCTTGCAATGCGTTCGCTATGAAGACGAGCTCTGGCCGGGGTTTTCTTAAGTGGGTGAGTAAGAGGCGGCGATGATGCCAAACTTGATATGTTTTCAAGTGCTTGGATGCGATATCATTCATCATGTCCAGCTCTGCATCCAAGTCGGACTTCACAGCTAGAAGAGTGTCATAACGGTATTGCCTTCTCTCGCAATAATGAGTCACAACCTATCCTCAAGACTCTCCTCAATTGCTCACCACACAGTGTAATGGGATGGATTCATTCGTATGATGTGCTCCGTCAAGTCCAGGACACGTTTCGATTGCTCGCCTTTCTTGAGAATGGCTCGGAAGTAGTTTGTGGCATCCTTGTCTAAGATTCGATCAGTATTATCAGAAGCCGACGAGCAACAGCTCCGCCTACACTCATCGCCGTATATGATCGGCGCCATGGGGACAAATGACCCTTCATCTTGGGGCACTGGGGAAATATCGCTCCATTCTGGCTTCTCGCCATAAGGTTCGTGGTCTTCTGGAGCTTGAGACTAAAGCGTCGTCAGTAATTCCGTCGGTGTAGCAGCCGGGCTGAGAATTACACACCATCGATGACGACGTTGGGTTACTCCAACCACACGATCGAGGATTGGTTGTGACGAATTTATGCGGCCCAGTTAACGCCGCTGAATACTTGAAATCGTTTGGGAGTCCGACAGGATACGTGCACACTACCTACAGGGTCGCTAAGCTCATTGAAAATGACTAGTCGTCTGCAACCAGCAATTAAGACGCGAAAGGCGGCAATTGCTAGATTAAGGGATAGATCATGTGATAGCGACGTTCGCGACGACTTAGACGTTTCAATTCTTTCACGTTGGCGCTTAGCTGCTATGGCGGATTCCCAGGTTCCTAACGTGGCAGAAGGTGCCAATGAACCTCTTCCAAGACCAAGATTGTCGACGGAGTCCAATGGCGAATCAAATGGACCTCAGAGTCCGTCCACAGCAGCGACTTCACCTTCTATGCACAACGAGCACGCATCCAAGGGATCAATTTCCAGTGAAACAGCAAAGATAGCTCTGTTACAGGCAGAACTGGGTCGGATGCGCGCTGAAAGGGACACCCTTGACGCGAATTATCGTAGCTTGCTGGAAAAGATAACGGCAATGCGAAACACCCTTGGAAACAAGCTGAGGCAAGATGCTGTGAGTTCTGCGATCTTGTATGATAAAAATAATGTGGATCTGAAGAATAATAAAGGAAGAACTTGATAGGCGAGAGCAATTGATTCAATCGTTGACTGCGCAAAACGAAGATTTGCAAGTGTCAGTTGACACGTTGAACACGGAACTCGTCTCATCCAACGAAGAGGCAGAACGATTATCTCGGGAGCTCGATGCACTCAGGAATCGGGCGCTTCAAGACAATGCCTATGAATCTTCCCTGCGCGAAAGGGACGCTGCTGAACTTGAACATGTTCGGCAGGATAGAGACGAATGGGAACGAGTGGCAATCGAGGAACGCGTTCGAGGCGAATCCTTGAGCATGGAGGTTATTGCTCTTCAACGGCAGCTGCAGACCAAGTCTGACGAGCTCGAGGTAATGGCGAAGGAGTTCGAGCAGGAGAAGGGGACCAGTGTTAATTTGCAGTCAGTGCTTGAAGATTTTCAGTCGGGTGGGTCGACATCATTGGTGGGCTTGTTTCTCTTGCTGACTGCGACCCCATTGTCTAAATCTATAGTCAAAGAGCTTGAGCTGAAACAAGCCCTCGCTGGGCACGAGGCCCAGCTTCACAGGGTGACCACTCAGCTCGCCGAATTCAAGCATCGTGCCTTCACCGCCGAGGTAGTGCCTAATTGACGCTGATACTCAAATCGCGCTGATTCGTTCATATCAAGGATAGCTTGTCTTCCACGTCACGCAATGCGCAAAAGACAGAGCAGCTTGAGCAAGAACTCAGAGAGAAGAATCTCCTTATCGGGAAACTGAGGCATGAAGGTACTTTCACCATCTGAATGGCGTCCCTTCTGCTCAAAGTCCCTCTTAGCTGTGATCGCTAACGAGCATCTCACTGAGGCGCTGCGGAGACTCCGAAAGTCTTCACCAGAGAGCAATGTGGATAGGCGATTAGTGACGAACATCCTATTACAGTTCCTTGGGACACCGCGGGCGGACCCTAAACGATTCGAAATGCTCACCTTGTTATCGTCAATACTATCCTGGGATGACAATGAACGAGAACGTGCAGGCCTGCAGAGAGCTGGAGTGGCCTTCGGAGCAGGGGCCGCTGGGGTAGGACGGAGGATCGTTTCAAGTGGATCCATCAAGGCGACCGAGAAAGGCGACGAATCCGAAGTACGATATCCCTCTCAGATGTCTGCCATGCACTGATGGACGACCCTCGTCTCGTTTATAGTCATTTTCGAAAATGTGGGTTGAGTTCTTACTTAAAGAGTCCACATCGTCCACGACTCTACATTCGCCGAGCGCCGCTCCTCTAGCATTAACACCTGCAGCGTCTCAACAACAGTTTAACATCAATGGGTTCACAGTGACAACATCGCCTCCTCATTCACCTCATTCGCCAACATCGTCTTTGGGAGGCGAGCGACGGTCACCGTATACAGGTCCAAGGACGTTAAGAATGCAATCCCTTGGATCGCCTCGGCCAACACCTGCTACGACGAGTTCACCGAATCTCCTCTCTTCACTTGCCCTAAACGGCTCTGGAGCGGGACTTGGGCATGGGTCAGCTGCAGACAGCGAAACTTCCTCCCAATCAGAACCATCGGGTTTATGACCAATTTCGTCTCCCTGCATCAGACATCTCTGTACAATTAATCATTTGCGCTCCTGGACGCTGGCACTATTGATCATGCACGCCTTAAAAACACTGTATTCGACCAAATCTAATTATCATCCCATGTTTATTCCTAAGTAAATGCGTATCTCCCAACTCGTTACGGCGCCAGGGCGTTTTTTGTAGCCACCCCATATGGAGATTCTTCAGTGTACGATATTCGACTGGATAGGCATGATTCGTAGCCGCAAGAAATGCCGCGATCGAATGGCAGACATTCAGAGGATATGAGAGATGTTCAGCTTGTGCAAAGTCGGGAAACGAGGATCGAAGACTAGGGTCGAAGTTTAGCGTGGCTCAGGAACGGTCGTCATTATAAACGTACTCTTGAGGATCCAACCTTTCACTGGGCCCAACTAGTTTGTACAAGACTTTCGCGCCTTGTATGATCCCTTCTTGTGGTATACCGTGGGTCCTTGTCAGGGCGTAAGATAGCTTGATGGACGGTTTGAATAGCCACATCTTAGAACATACGTAAGCGTATGTCAAGCAGCAGCATTTGAGATAACATACGAGCAACCTTATTTTGTCTCCTTCCTCGTCATGTATGACAAAGCGATAATTAGCATGAGCATTAATAAACTCCATCATGTCCGAGAGGATGAAGGCAGTCAGCGGGTGGCGTAAAGGTCTACGAAACATTGTGAGCATGTGTCACGTTGGCTAAGTAGGTGCACACGAACAGGATCGAAGGACGGTGAGGCAAAACGGCATACTTTGCAAAGCGGTATACAATGGTTATGACAGTCCGCGCCGGCGAAGCGTACTGGGCCTGAGCATGACCAACGGGAGACCCACACAAACATTTTTCTACCTGCCATTCAGTCCCACCCTATTGCAAGGCCAAAACTCAGATTCGAACGCTAGGGGACAGAAATGAAATTGAAACGCAAGAATATGTCCATAGTAGTAGCCTCGTATCGATGGAACTCCTCAGATCGAAGTTGTTTACCAGGGACTGATCAAAGACCTTAATATTGGACATATGGTATCAGCCGTGAAGCATACTGCTTGTCTTCAGCCTCCTTTCACTACGCTCCCCGTGGACTCGGCAATGGCGATGTGCCAGCCTTTCGCACTGGAGACGCGCGGGGCAGGGGGGAAAACCACCGGTGATATGTAGCCGGTGACGACCTTCTTTTTGTCCGAAGAAATAGGATGTGGTGCCAGGGGATTCCTCCCATTTCGAACCTCCAGGCACTTCCGACTGCCCAGTGGAAGTAACGATAGGATCCTCCCCCAAACGAAAGAAAAAGATGAGACAAAGGCCAACTCACCGAACTGGAAGAGCTTAAATTTTCCTCATGCACCAAGCGCTGGTGGCACAGCATATGACTGCCGCCCACAAGGATCTTCGAAGTGGATGGCTCAACCCCTTGTCTTCCGCGCTTCGTGTACGATTCGGACAGATGCAAGTCTTTGTGACACATCCACGACTCTATGAATTCTGCCCAGTGATCAGAAGGAAGGTCAGAATACGACACGGATCTTGAAGACTCCTCAGGTACCGCGGTTTTCACCAAAGGCAAGGAACAAGAGGCACAAATAAATGAGGTAGGTTGCAAAGAGGTGAGAGCAGCAGCGTCATGGATGGGAGAAAAATCGGAATCAGGGGCCAGATCTTTGTGAAGGGGGATCTTTGCTTCCAAGTGATTCTGAACTCGGCGGATTCCCACCGGCCCTAAATAAGCATTTGCTGGCAGGGAGACAAAAAATTTCTCGGATGGACCACCCCGAATTAAGACCGTACTGGAGCAGCTCTCCCCCGAGCCCCGCGAGATCACTTCAGCAGTCCATGCTGTCTGAGGAGAAAGTGGCACGTCCACAAGGAGTTGCACGGTTCTGAGATTTTCTTGAAGCTCAGCCACATAGGAATAATGTTCTACAAAGAACTAAGTCACAACCTAGAGGCCCCGTGAAAGCGCTCGCGACAAACCCTCCGTCTTCCTGAGGGTATATGATTGTTTTTTTCCCTGAGCCGAAAGCCGCTTCTCCACAATTAGCGGAGCAGAGTTACTCCTACCCCTCCCCCCAAAAACCCCCTTCACGAGAACCGAGGGGGCATTGTTGTTCTCAACGGCTATGAGAAATGCTGAGAAGACAAAGGCTAACAACAGGAGACTCCAAAACGCGAGGACGTACATCCGGGCGCGGTTCTTGTCGAGAACGTTGCATCCTGGGAGTGTAATCGCCCTTGGCTCCCATATTTCATCAAACTATCCACGAACTGTTCTTGCTGCATAGGAGGTGAGCAACATCTCATGGGAGCGATGGGTGATCGACCGACTTGTAAAGACTCCCTCGGCCGTGCAGTGGTCTGCTTTCCGTTCCTCCAGATATCGCGCATTTCGTCAGTGGGGCTGACGCACTGATTCGATATCCGCATATCGTGTGATCGTCCGATCAGTTCAATCAAGTGGTCAAGGTCGTCATCAAGCTCTATCGCACGTCCTTTTCCTTTCGTGGCATCGTAACCCGATGTTATAATTGGGGAAACGACGCTGACACGCTGGCGATTCAAACGACGTTCTGCCATACGATCCAAGTCTCCGAACAGTCGAGCCAACTCCATTTCTTTTTGCTTGGCAGGCCATAATTCGACCCTTTGAGAGTGAATCTGTGGTGCCACTGTATTCAGACGATCAATAGCCTGAGCCACCGCCTCGAATTCTAGTTTTAATTTATTGTCTTGTGCAGAGGCATTGGACGATGCAGACAAGATGGAGAGCCTGTGAAGGTCGGGGCTGGTATGCGCATGACGAAGTGAGGATTTGTGGTCAACAGAAAATGGGTCATATCGAGGTGGTTCCATTTCGTAATGAGGTGGGTGATCCCAGTCCAAGGGTGGTGGAAGCGAAAGGGCAGCATCATTTTGATCGAAGAGTTCTCCAACTTCTTCTGCACGACCCTCAAGGCTCCTCCACAACATAGTTTGCTCCGTCCGAGAAGGGGAAGACCCATCATGAGGTATAAATTTCATGCTCAGAGATCTTAAAGTGCGCAGGGCCTCTGTCAACAATGCAGAGGGATCTGTCGTGTTGGTCTCAATTTGAGCAGGTTTGGATGTCCCCAAAGTGGTCGAGCTTGGAGGAAGGATATCAAGTAATTTGTCCAAATGTTCTATGAGGAGTACGAGTGATGTTGCAAGAGCACCATGATGAGTCTCCATCTCACCCAAGTGCGTCTGTTTGCGGATATTGTCGATGATACGCTTAGGCAGTTCTAATTCGGAAATCGAGAATGCCAACGACGGCGACTTTGACAAAGAAGACATTATGGTGCGCAAACTTGGGGCAGTGGGGGGAAAGGAAGAGGCTGGTCCGGGGAGTGGGAAATGGACTGGAGCATCATGGTAGTATTCACCACCAAGAGGTAATGTGCCTTGCGTAATAAAATGTGCCAAAATGGCCAAGAAGGATTGCCGGAGTCCCTTTAGGGTCTCCTCAACTGCACCGCCGCTCATTGCTTCTCGCGTTTCGGGTTGACTTTTATCAGCATCTTTCGATTTCGATGCGTCGAATCCGGGATTCGAGGATCGACGCGAAAGGACCGTATGATTTGCAGAACGCACCGTTGATTCCGAAATTCCTAGTGCGAGGCAATGTACTGGGAATGGGGAAGGCAAGGCGCCGCCGACGCGTTCCTCTCGTGCCTCTGAGGATGACACTTCCGTTTTTCCGCGTGTCAAAGTTGTCATTGCAAAGTTAAGAGCAGATGTTTTCATTTGTTGACTTCGGGTACATCCCAACTTGCAAGTGTCGTCTCAAGGGTATTAATTTTCCGTTTCCCTTCTCCTTTATCTGTTTCTGGGCTTTGGGGTCGAGAAGACGTGCTGTCATTAAGAGCTTTCTTTGTTAACTGATTAATTGCGCCGAGCGCATACTTCTCAACCATGTCATCATTTCCATCGGTTCACGATGCCGCAGTACGTCCCACTCACCCATGATCGACATTCACGTTGAAAGTAGTGGCTCCAAGGCGCAAAACACTTCTTCCCTCTCACCTCGTTCTAATGCGTCTCCAGCGGTTCCAACCACTCCTTCCAATATAGACATCGAAGCCGTGATTCAGGCGGCAACATCCTCAAGCAACGCTCAAGCTCCCGCCCGTGACACTCGAACCCAGCTGTTCGTTGGCAATGTGAGGCCCTTGTTTTCCACTTTCTGAATCCTGACACCAGATGGACTTAATTTTCCCTCCAGTTGCCATGGAAGGTCCGGTGGCAGGATCTTAAGGACCTATTTCGCAGAGCTGGTACTGTCCTCCGCGCGGATGTTAGCCTGGGTCCAGACAGTAGAAGCAGAGGATACGGGGCCGTCCTTCTCGCGAGCGCAGAAGATGCCGCAAAGGCTATTGGTATGCACTTCCCTTTGTATGACGTATGCGGTAGAAAATCTAATGATTGAGCTGATTGGAAAGAGATGTATAATGGATATTCGTGGCACGCAAGGACGCTAGAAGTCAGGGCGGATCGAATTCCTCCTGATTTAGACTTATCCAACCCCATGAACACCTTGACGTTTCCAAAGGGTCACTCTTCAAATATGCACCCTGTACCATTCATCCCACCTATCAATGGAGCTTTCGTGCAGTATCAGGATCCCGCGCTTGCCATGCTTCAAGCTAAAATGGCGGAGTCGCAGAGTAACCTAGGATTGCCAGCTCCTCCACCTATGGGTATGCGAAGTACTTCTCTCTCTCCCCAACTGAACATTTCGTCTAATGCTCAAGGGAGAAATTTATTCGTTGGGAACGTGCGCAAGGTTCCGGTTTTGAATTTCTCTCGTTTCTGATGAGAACACCTTAGCTTCCATTCCAATGTCAGTGGCAGGATTTAAAAGATCTGTTCCGTTCGGCTGGCCAAATAGTGCGGGCGGACGTAGCTTTAGGTGCTGATGGACGCTCAAGAGGATTTGGGACGGTGCTATTTGCAAACGATGCTGATGCGAATACTGCTGTGGCTATGTTCAATGGGTGAGAGTAGCACCCATGGCAAGGTTGGGCTGGTTCTAATTTCTTTCAAAAGTTATGAGTATAATGGAAGGACGCTGAAGGTTCACCATGACCGATTCACTCAATTCGAGAGCCCCCAGCTACCATCCGCAAACCATCAATATCCAGGTTCACCCGGAAGCCCCCATTTAATGCACCCTACGCATCTGCCCCCAATGATTCAGTCTCCCCTTCCTCCTTATTCTCAGCCGACGATGCTTCAATCGCCTTATTTTGGTTATGGATCACAGCCTGGTACACCATTCAACCAATATCTTCCGCATCTTGGTGGACCTCAGAACATAACGGGGTTCACCGCAACTCCTGGGCAACATCCTTTACATCCACACCAACACCATCAGTATCTGCAACACTTGCAGGAGACGATTGCTACACCCCCGACCCTCCAGGCTCCTCCCACTCGAGCAGCGATGGTAGGTAGTAATACTGCCCTTGACGAAACATGTAGTGCTAGGGGCAGTGAGGGTCAATCGCATGTAGCCCCCGGTGCCGTGTCTTCAAATGCTGCAGGGCCGGCATCCGCAGCCCCAGGAGCCGAGCGTCCCGCTTCTCAAAGCAATCCTCAATCCTCAAAGTTCTCTGCATCATCTACGAGTCGAGCTCCCCCTGGCACGCTCTCTCTTCCCACGCAGACTTTCACTGTGCCGAACCCCATGTCTCCTCGCTTAACCAGAGGGCTGCATCCAGTGACCCCGTCGATGCCAGCCTTCACATTCCACGCACCCCCGGTAAGTTTTTATGTGCTTTTCGGCTATCATGTGATTAATTCAGAGCTTTCATTGACACAAGGCGCCGACGCCACCCGTTGCACCTCATTTCTTATCCCCTGGTCTTGGGCCTTTCTCGCCGCCCATCACGTTCTTCAACCCTTTACTCAACCCAGCGCCAGGAGCTCCCCTTCATCAACAACCGTCGGTGGCACATCCATCATACAACGGACTGGCACACCAAGGATTTGGCATACCAACCCCTCAACCACGGCTCTCCCCACAATACTTCAACGCTCCTGGGACTCCACAAATGGGGATAAATGATCACGGCTACTTCCCACCTGTTCTTACCGGGCCAGAGCCACAGGACTACTTTGCTGGTGTCACTGACACTACGTCTCTCCGTCAAGTTAGCAGGGAAAGTGTGACAACGTCGAGTCAGTCCGGGAGAACGCTCCTAAGTTCGGGTGATTCTTCGCCACAACACACGGGAGATACGATGCTAAGCTCACGCGGGACTTCAATTCTAGCGGAGGGTGACGAAGGATTGAAACCATCACCGAATTCTATGGGCCTATCCGATTTCGAGCGTTTTTCTATATCCACTGCAGGAGATACACATCGAGCAAAGAGCTCATCGTCAGCAGATGCCGATCCAACAAGGATCCCTGACGCTGTCAAGCACACGCCAGCCACTGAGCTCCTGCGTAACGGGGACTCGCAGCGGAGAGCCAGCTGGACAGATCTTGGAGGCCTTCGACGTACAGTCGCGGGAATGTCACTTGGAGACACTAAATAATGAATTGAATGGACGGTCGGTCAGTATTTCGAATATCTTGCTTGTCCCAAGCAGCCAGTTGTTTCATTAGTTGTGACAAACATATGTGCATGTAGTCATATTTGGGTAGTCGATATATGGTTATTTGACAGCTTGTGCATACTCTAGAGTATGGCGATGTTGGGATCCTGTTTTTATATTCGCTATTGTGGATGCAATTGCAGGGCTTTATTTATTTTGTGGTGACAAGGTCCAAAAATTGCCGTTTATCCCGTTCATGAAGCACGGCAGCACCGACAGCTGGAACCTCGGATTCAAGACGGCCAACATAGCAGAGGTTAATGTCTTTCCAGTTCAGCGCATCCCATAGAGATGTCAATCTGGGAGCCACATAGCTATACGCTCCTTGGTTCCGGGCTTCTTCCTGCACCCATAGGATTTCGGGCAAGGGATCCGCGTGCCGGACAACAGATTCCAAACTCTCCTTAAGACTCGAGAATGGGAACGGCGAGATCTCTTCCAGTCGCACAACCGCGATTCCTTGCGAACCACGTTGTTCGATCTCTTTCATCACGTCATAATAGACTTTCCCGGACAGTAGGATTATCTTTTGTAGTTGCCCAGGCGCTGGTCTCACAAGGACGGGTTTGAACTTGCTTCCAGGCCCAAACTCATCGATAGAGGAAGCTGAAACCTTGAAGGAAATTATTTGACTTGTCACTTACATAAATCACCAATAAAGGAGACTTACGGGTGAGCGCAATAGGCCCTTTGGAGAGGCGACAACCAAAGGCTTCCGATGATTTCGGAGCATTTGACGGCGAAGAAGATCTTTACACGGTGATGTCAACGAAACATCGCTATCCGCGAAACCATCACTCACGGAAGTACTGAGCAGGTGTAGTAGGGTTTGTGACGTGGAGGTTGACGTCTCGAATACCCTCATGGTACTCATATGGATCATTGGTGAGCTGTGCGTTATATCAGCTAAACCCCCAGTGATGCACATGCTATGGATGCGGACCTGCAACATCCTCTCAATACGAGCAGAAGAATGTTCTGGTCCGGCCCCGTCTAAGCCATGCGGGAGCAAGATCACTAGGCCACTCTGACGCAACCATTTGGCTACAGATAACCAAATAATGATCAGAAGGACAGGGCATATCACTTTGTGACTCACTCTGAGCTGAAGAGACAAATGTATCAATGATGACTTGTGAGCCGTTCAAGAAATCCCCAAACTGAGCCTCCCATATCGTTAGTAGGTCGGGGTTCTCCCAGCTCATTCCATATTCAAACTGACGTTGCTGCATTGGCAACCCCGAAAAGGTCCGGAGGAACGATACTCACACCTAGAATGGCCATCTCGCTCAAAGAGCTGTTCGCAAGTTCAAGCTTGTGATCAGGGGATAACACGTTGAGGGGAACGAAGACTTCTTCGGTTCGCTGGTTCACCAACATAGCGTGCCTGTTTATGTGAGGTGGTAGTTGGATGGCAATCTAGTGAGGTCATACCTATGACTGAAAGTGCCCCGACCTACATCTTGCCCACTGATTCGCACGTCATACCCATCCAGTAACAGGGACCCCCAGGCCATAGCCTACAGTGACGTCAACGAAATGTAAAATCCAACGTATCGGTGAAACCATCTCACCTCAGCAGTCCCCCAATCAATCTGAGCACCAGTTTCAAGGCTATTTATCCGGGACTGAACATGCCTCTGCAATCGGGGATGGATTTCCTGAGAGAAAAGTCATATCCAATTTAACATCAATATGGGGGCTTGCAAATTGGCACCGACTTACAAATCCAGGAGGGACTTGCACGCTGGCGAGTCCAACGCTCCGCAAAGTCTCTAGCTGGACTCCCGTTTCTGGATTTTTCCCAGAAAGACCCTCCTTGCTTCCGGGCCACGTGTATGAGGCCCAGCGGGTGCTTGGTTTCTCTACTGTTGGGGAAAATGTATCTGTAGCTTTTAACTGATCATCAAGATGTTTGCGATACATAGCTCTTCCGCTAGCTGCATCTTGCTCTGAAAGCGCTCCTTCCGACTGCATAAATTTAATCATTAGTATAAAGCAGGCGTGGTGGTCACCTCTTACGATGAGTCTGTCTTCATAAAGCTGTGTCACACTTTTCCGGCTTCTGATCTTATGATACATCTTGGGCTGAGTGAACGAAGGCTCATCAAGTTCGTTGTGTCCCCTAAATGAGGAGTTCAATAGGGGGAAGTAAGGCGCCGCATCAACGCACCATCTTCGATAAGTGATCAAATCGATGATCACGTCCTGAGAATTTAGTCAGGGCATATGCGGATGGGCGCAGCGGAACGGATGAGCCTACCTTGCGGAAGAAGTTACGGTAGCTGAAAGCTATCTGAACTGCCCTCACCACGTCTGAAGGGACATCAGTCGAATTATTGAAAAAACCGTTTCACGCACCTTCTGGGTGATCACCGTTGACGTGTAGGACAGGTGCGTTAATCATCTTCCCAATATCGGAGCAATAGAGTGAGGACCGAGCACTGGACGCCGGCGTCGTATAACCAATGCTATTAAGGCCCACATTAACTGCTCATTCCAACTACCTGTTGTTCAAGTACGAACTTATTGCTGAAACGTACGATATCGATATTAGTCTGAGGGTATGAAGGATATGGTATCTTACTTCACTACCACATGTACGCTGCCTCCACTTGTGTAGTGTGGAAGGTTGCCTGCGGACAAAAGATAAGGAATCCCTCATGATCACGCGTAATTGACTCACTCATTCCAAATCCCTCCATAAGAACTCCCTGTCCCGTGAATGCAGCATCGCCATGCAGTTGAATACAAATCACTTTGTCTCCTAATTTGCAATCAGGGTCTGCATCCTTAACCAGTGAGAGTTGCTTCGCTCTTGTTTTTCCAAGTGCAATTGGATTCACCGCCTCTGACATGGCCGGAGTCAGGCTCTGAAAGGAGAACACAAACTGAATACTCACCCAAATGGGATGGATTGTGGAGTAATGATACATGAATATCCTTTCCGTCGTATGACAAAGTCGGTGAAGCAGCTATAAACACGAAATTTCAACCATGAGCGGCGATAGACGCAACTCGACAAACCTATGTGACTGATCACATCCCCTGTCGCGTCAATACCTTGGGGTATCTCCGAGTTTCCGCGTATCTTATAGAATAATGCGGTTGGCGGGTATTGCAACAGGTCGGTAAGCAGCGAAAGGCGTCCTTCATTTTCAATTGAGCATAGTCACAACACCGCTGCGAACATAAATCTACCTCGATGTGGCATGCAAAGTACAATGTTCTCTACGCCGGCTACAAAAAGTTCATTCAGGTCCGAAATTGTACTGTATCCCCTCTCACCTCGAGAAGCTGCCTGAAAGAGCGAATCCAAAGTGGGAAGCATAGACTCTGCTCCTTCCAAACCATAACGTTTTAAATTGGGGAACTTGGCCTGTAGAAACCTATCGAATACTTCGCTATGCATCATGAGATTCCATATTCTGCTCTTCTCATCATGGCTCAACAGTTGAGGCTCTTTGGCTGATTCAAGAAGGTGAGACCACCATAGACGCTCATTCTTGATCGGAGAGTGCATGTACTCAAACGCGATCCGACCAACATACACAGAGCGTAAATGCTGGTCAATCTCTGAGAGTGAGAGGAGCGTTTCAACCTTTCCAGCAGTGCGCTCCTCCACGCTATTCAGCCAAACTATGCCATTTATATCGTACAGCTTGTCACGATCTGTCAGGCCATAGCGTGTTGGATCTAGAGCAGCAACTTCTTCCCTCTCCATTAGATCCAGTGGGTCGATCGACGCAGCTCGATGGCCTGAATCGGATGGCTCACTGAGATGCCGTGGTCGCAAGTCTAGAAACATGATGAAGCTTACCATGCATCCGCACGGAGTCGACGAATCGCAACAACGGGGCATTTTCAGCTCGATTTTTCAGTTGCTCTGGAGTATCTGCATGCACAATCGCATGAACGTTTCCCCATGCACCTTAGCCACATTTGATATCGCTTACAGTCCGGAAGGATATAAGGCCGTGCGACACGATGCCCAAACACAGTTGTATTTTCATAATACGTCCTAGTTACTGTTTTCGCGCTCAGCTTTTTGAGAGCGACCCTTAGATGCGTATGTTTTTGCACTCTGAACATATTCGCATCAGTTAGTCAAACGTTGAGTGGGAATGGTACCGGCGGGGAAGCGACATCCAATTACGGAAGCTGCCCGTGGTTCGACTGAATTATTTCTTTGGTCACAAGATCTTCAAAAAATCGCGCTCTTTCAACCTGCAGTCATGCGTAGGGTATGTTTACAGCAACCGTCAAAAAAATCTGCGCGTCAAATCTTGATGAATATATCAGGCAAAACATGTGATTTGCGATTTAGGAAAAAAATCACCGTGTCCCAATGGCACCACCAAAAAAAGATATTATTACTCACCGCTCTACATAGTGGGCAAACACCTCAGTAAACCTAACAACCCCCCTTAGTAGAACGGATAAAAGTCACATGCACAGGCACGTGCGCTGAAAAATTTCTCGAAAATCATAAAATTAGTTCCGCAAATCTGATTCCAGATTTTCCATATTTGTAATGTTTCAAGAAGCATATTTACAAATTAAGTCCAGGGATAGCATTAGCGGTGTCTCGGCCTAATGGCTAATTCATGGTTAGCCTCCATTCTTGGCTCAGTTGGGTGCCAGTTCGATTCACGGCTATTTGTGCCCTCTTTTTTTTCTTTCTCTCTTACTCCCCCGGGGCACTGGGCGGGGGTTTGGGCCTAATTGGGTTGGTGGGTTGGGAATTGGGTTGGGGGTTGGGCATTTGGGTTGGGGGTTGGGCATTTGGGTCGGGGGTTGGGCATTTGGGTCGGGGGTTGGGCATTGGGTCGGGAAGTTGGGTTGGGGTTGGTGGCTGTGTATTGGGTATGTGTCTATTTTTTTCAAAATGAGTTCGGTTGGGTTGGGTTGCTCATTTCAGAGTCGAGCAATTCAGATTACCACACCTTGATCATTTATTTATGATAAATATAATATTCACGACATGTATCTCTAGTTGGTTTTAAAATATATTTCCTTATTTACGTAGTTGTGCACGTGGCTTTTGTCCGTTCTACTAAGGGGGGTTATTAGGTTTAGTCAAACACCTCAAACCCGCAGTCAAGGATCTAATCATCACGATGCCTGACTCGATGAGTACACATGAAATTTCAGCAGTAACCCAGCTGTCTGCATGCACCATCCACGAGGATCTGTTGGAATCCGCAAGTGACCGGAACCTGCTGGAATACTGTACTCACACGACCAACAACTGCATGGTTCTTGAGCGTGACACCGGACGTCCAACCGGAAAGCCTGAACGATGCGTGACAGCCAACCGGTTGAGGCCAGAAGGGCGTGACAAGAGCCCCCCCCTGGAAGTGCCCGGGTGTTGATGGACTTTCGATGTTATATCCGAGAAAATTTGAAAATGATAATTGAATTTAAACAATCTCGTGTTTCATTTCTGCTTCATTGTCAGGGCTCGGTCCTCAATCAGGGACAGCCCGACCTCGGTCCTAGGTGTGTGTGGTGTTCCGGGTGCTTGGGCGCTAGACCCCATCCTCAGCTCCTCAAACTCACTGAAGGGACTAAGCGGGGATTGAGTTGTCATGTATTACAGAGGGTAACTACAACTTGCCTAAGCGGGGATTGAGTTGAGAAGAAGGGTAAGTTTCCCTATTCCCCGCTTGGCTACTATAAAAGGAAGTGTACTGTACAGTTCGTAACGTGATTCCGGGTAGAAGCCGAGCATGTTCCCGCGACTCGGAAGAGGTGTCACATGGGTTAAGGCGAGTTGCTCGCCTTAACCCACGTGACTTTTCCCGCGGGCTCACATGCGGGTTGAAGTTGTGAGAGGTATGTAGGGATGGGGAGGTCTGGGAAGGTGGTTCTGGGGTGTGGTTGGGTGCCCTGACAGCGGGGTCAGGGGCCGATCCCTGACATTCATACTATGGACGGATTTTCGCCTGCCCGCCGCATTGCTGCTTGTACTGGGGAAGCTATCACATATAAGAATCTTCCTACTCTTCTCATCGGACCCTACTTTCCTCACGAAACCCTGTCCATCAGGGAATTCATTGCATTCCAACTTCCTCCCATTCTGGTCCACACAAAAAGCCCCAATGCGTGCCTCAGCCATAAACCACCATCTACAAAAATATTCTCGGAGAATGATGTTCACGTATTGGATTGCCCTAGCCGACTTGATGTCGAAGGGCTCATCACAGAGTTGGATATGGATGATGAAAACCCTCTTACCTCAGTCGAGATTGGTTCTAGTTGTATCCCGATAATCATTCTAGAAATTTGGAGGATTCATTTTCAGTTGTGGGATCTTCAAAACCTGTGGAAGGACTCGCTTAAACAGACAGAAGATTTAATAAAGAAGGACCCTGGTCAGCAATTTGCGATACAGGCAGCTCAACGTAGACTTACTTTGTGCCGGTGGAATGAGGAAATCCAAGGGTTTTCAAGCATAGGACAGAGTGCCATTGGTGCCTTGATGTGTTATCTTTCCATCTCATGCCTGGTCACGACTGACATTTTTCACCATATCGAAATTTTACAAAGCAAAGTGGAAATGATGAACCCGATGGTTCGGCTCATATCCCCACTTGACTCGCAACTTCTTGCTGGAAGTGCTTCTCAACGAAATGCAGGCCTGGTCAAATACAAACATCTTCCCACATACAAAGGGCTCCGTCAACTTGGGAATGAACTTGTATCTGGGGCTGCAACTCACCTTGGCGGAATCCTACATGTCAACCAAAACCATTGGGTTCCTTTTGTAATCAACTCGAAAGAGTCCGTTGTTCTTCTTGCAGACTCTCTTCACAAAGCTGGTACTAGCACATCAAGAGCAACAGCGGAGGCGATGGAAATCATTCAATGGTGGTTGGATGTGTCCTATTTGGGATCAAATACGCAAGCAGTATCATTCAGAGTCGCTTCACTCCCAATAGCATACCAGAATGACGTTACGTCTTGTGGTTTTTTTGCACTGAATGCATTAGCACATCATTTCATCCCAACTCAGTACAGACTTCACATAGGTGGTAACTCAACTCCCCTAAGAGTCGGTTTTCTAAATATTATCCTTGATCATCACAAAAAGACTGTGAGTAAATGAACAACCCAAAGAGAAATTAATCATGCATACCAATTTGTCACCTAGCATGCACCTTGCATTATGCCGACACCAAAGGAATCATCTCAAATTGCATTCAGGGCCTCGAAGGATTCTTGTTTTGGGCCTCCAACTTTCAGTCGTAAGGTGGTGGGGAAAAATCACCAGCAGGACACTTCCCAACCGGAAGAGTCTGGACTGCTCCGGTACTTCAGCCACGTAACCCCTGAAGAATATCATGTACAAGTGTCAGCAGGGTTTAAAAGATTACAAGAGAAATGTGAAGATAAGCAGCAGGCCATGCAACTCAAGGCAATGAGGCAAGATCAGAGGCATCGAGAGTTGGCCACTGCAAGACAGCAGCGACTCTGGGCCAAGATCGCAGCAGAGAAAGTAGACAGGATTGATGTATGTATCCACAACTTACATTCAGAGAAAGATACCTAACGCTTGTGAGTTGATAGATCATGAAACTCCGAGACCGAATGGCACCAGTCATGGAGATGTCGAGACCAAAACGATCAATTCAGCAATGGCTAAAGGAACAAAAGCAGCGGAAACCAACATACCAATCATCTGTGACTATACGAGCATGTAGACGAAGGGTACATAGGTTAGCATCATTGACAAATTGGTTCCAACCAATTTTCTGGACGATCATAAGCGAAGCAGTGGAGAAAGTTGGCTGGAAGATGAGCCTGACAGAAATAGTGAAAGAGTGCCAATGAAGATCTGGGAAGTTATTCCATTTGTTGAGGGCAGATGTAGTTGGGAAGTGGATAGATCGGAGCGGGTCGCAGCCATGTTGGTCAGCTGTGGTCTTGGCAAAGGTTGCGAAGGGGAGTTGCCCAGGCGGTGGAATTACTGGAAAGGGGGTACTAGTGAGTGAACAATTGGCATTAACATCAGTTTTAACTCACACAAGTAATGTAGGCATCTTACCCAGAGACAATCGAGGAGATCAAGCAGATGCTATTGAGTATTCGAAAAGCAGGCGCCGCTCTTGATGTGCACCAGATCCGTGGAGTGATTGTTGCACATATCCAGCACACTCGCCCCGAAATATTCAGGACAATAGTCAACAGAGATGGGAGTGCCTTCGCTGCAAGCTCACAGTGGATCCGGAACTTTCTCGCAACAGAACTGAACTGGAGCTTACGATGGGCAACATGTGCTGCCCAGAAGCTCCCTGCCAATGCTGATTATCAGCTTTACGCCTCACTCCTCTGTCATGCCTACTCCATTCACCACTATTACATTCCCAGCAACCTGCAAGTGAATTCCGATCAAACGCAGGTCATTTACCAACAAAGTTCAAATTTGACATACGAAAGGAAAGGCTCGTGTCAGGTTTCCACTCTTGGCCGAGATGAGAAGCGCGCGTTCACCCTCAACATAGCTATCTCAGCAAGTGGAATTCTTCTACCCTTCCAGGCAATATTCAAAGGAAAAACTTCTGCGAGTCTTCCTGCTGTGAACTCCCCTTCCCACGATGAAGTGGATCGACTTGGCTTTGTCTTTGAGCTCTCTGGTACCGACAACTACTGGGCAAATTTAAACACAATGAAATCATTCGTCACAAACATTCTTGTTCCATACTTTAATGCTGAAAAGGGGCGTCTGTCACTTGATCCAGTTCAAGAATGCATTTGGCAACTTGATGTCTGGTCTGTTCATGCGTCATTTGAGTTCCGGACTTGGATTTTTGACAATTATCCCTGGATCATCCTTGACTATGTTCCTGGAGGGTGCACGGGTCTTTGGCAACCCTGCGATGTCGGTATTCAACGCTTACTCAAGCTCGCGGTAAAGCAATCTCAGCAAACTACTATTGTGCACGACATCCACTCCCACATCAGCAAAAGTCCGTTATGCTCCGGAGCATCAGGAGTGGCTGGAGCATGTGGGAGACAAAACAGCAGATTGGGCACTCCTGGAGCCAATAGTGTTCTCCTGGGAGGGGGTTCAGGAGCAGCTGGGAGTGGTGAGGAGTATGCAATGTGCCAGGAGCAGTGGGAGGAAAATTTTAGTCTCTAAAAAGTTGAAAAAAAAAAATTTAGGGAAAAAAATCAAAAAAATTCAGGAACTATAGTGCCTTTAAAGTGCTTTCAGGACATATAATTATTTGCGAAATTGAGGAAGAAATGATGGAGAAAAATGGAAAATACTTTCGGAGACCCGAGAAGTAATGAGAACTGAATTGATGGGAAAGTCTGAAAATTGAATAGGAAAGTGAGGGGAAGCCTTGTAGCATTGTTATTTTCTGCTGTTGTGATTTTTCCTGATTGTTCTTGGTCTCACTCCCAGCTGCTCCTGGACCCTCCCAGGAACTTTCAGGAGCTTCCAGGAGTATTGAGGAGCAGCTGGGAATGAGACCAAGAACAATCAGGAAAAATCACAACAGCAGAAAATAACAATGCTACAAGGCTTCCCCTCACTTTCCTATTCAATTTTCAGACTTTCCCATCAATTCAGTTCTCATTATTTCTCGGGTCTTCGAAAGTATTCTCCATCATTTCTTCCTCAATTTCGCAAATAATTATATATCCTGAAAGCACTTCAAAGGCACTACAGTTCCTGAATTTTTTTTGATTTTTTCCCTAATTATTTTTTCAACTTTTTAGAAGTCCCTATTTTTCAAATTTTCCTCATTTCCCTCTGTATTCCCCCCCCTCATTTCCCCCCTCATTTCCCCCCTCATTTCCCCCCTCATTTCCCCCCTCATTTCCCCCTCATTTCCCCCCTCATTTCCCCCCTCATTTCCCCCTCATTTCCCCCCTCATTTCCCCCCTCATTTCCCCCCTCATTTCCCCCCTCATTTCTCCCCTCATTTCCCCCCTCATTCTCCCCCATTTCCCCTTCCTCCATATTCTGCAAGTCCGAAAGTGATTAAGTTGCCATATTGATCATATATCAGGCCATAAATTTTGACTGTGTATTGGTGAGTCTCAGTGTCCTTGATGTATAGTATAGTGTTTGACCTAAATGTTAAGTAGTGTCTTGTTGTGTTAGTCTTGTGGTAGGAGGAGGTATTCATGGGGAGTCTTCCCTCTTTTTTTTTCCTTTTCATTTTCAAATGCTCCAGGAGCTCCCAGAAGCTTCTCACCCCTATACATTTTGAAGCATTAAATTGTATTTACTGGATATGTTTGTGCACAAAGCAATGCTCCATGCCCTCCTGGGAGTGCCCTGGAGTACCTGACCAACTCCGGAGGAAATGAGCTGTTCCTGGACTGGCCAATCTCCTCCTGATTCTCCCAGTGCTCCCCATACTCCAGAGCACTCAGGAGCATAACAATTTTTTGCTGATGCAGTTGCAGCAAGGTACTGGCCCATCCGATATTTCACTTGATACAAGGCTTGGCACGCTAAGGGATCGCATCCCTGCTACTCTGGTTGATGCATACCACTCAATTAACAACCTTCAGCCTGACATCGCAGTTATATCTAAAAAGTATTACATAGGCTTTTGAATTGTGCCGCTCCGGCGAGTTCAATCTATCTCATTCTAGCCTCACATCCCCTTCACTACGAGCCATCCTCAACAATCTTCCACATCAAGATCCCACTCTTGCTCAAGCCATAACCGCTCCATGCAAGTTTCCCACTGATGATAGGGGAATTCATCTGAGTTCTGCTGCATTAGTTCATGAGCAACCATTCTCCGAGGTTGCTGAAGACAGTGTAGAGGTAATGTTGGAGGAGGTTTATGACCATCTCGATGGAGAAGCACTACCTGACGGGCTTGCTGAGGTAGATGGTGGTCTTCAGCTGGATGTGATGGCTGCCGAAGACCATGACCCCGAATCTATTGGAGGGGTTAGTGTGGTGGTTGGGACCAAGGTTGATAGTGATGGGTTGGGACGGGGTAAACGAATCAGACGTACAAGAAACCTAGAAAAAGAGATGGATATGTACCGCTTTTAATGTTAGTGCATTACCAAATTAGGATAATTGAATTGAAAGCTACACAGCCACTGGGAGCCCACCCAAACAGCATGACACCGGACATGGCAACCGCAAAACCTATGTGACGTGTGACAAACTTGTGCGTGGGCGAAGGCGCAATGGATAGCATGGCGACGGCCCCGACAAGATGTCAAAGCCTCTTGATTTGAAGCGAGCCAGTAGATACAAAAATTGTTGGAATTTGCACGTGGTCTTTTAGGGAAACCTAAAAGTTGGACATACTGGGAATCGAACTCCAGTCTTCTGGATCGCGAACTCAGTGTGCACAGCCATTACACCATACGCCCCGTTAGGCTGAGGTGGTTATTTCAACAAAAATCCCCCCCAAAAAAAAGGAGGTGAAGGGGCAGGTGGAGGGTAACGATGAAGACAGACAGAGAGTAGCAGCAAGAAGCGCCAACAAAAGAGAAGAAGTGAAGTTACAAGAAACAAGGCATGAGCCGAAAAATGAAAGACACCGTAAACATCCGGGATCCAACTTGCAAAGGGTAACCAAGGCTAACTGCCTTATCCAATGCAAGACTGAATATTCAACACCAACCAACCACCCTAACCAGAACTAATAAGAGAATTGGTCAGAAAAATACGTCAGAGTCATAGAAAAAGGAAATAAACTCCAGCGTGTGCGGACGCAAGAGGAGGTAAAAGACTGTAGAACAACAGCGTGCAGCGGACGCGAGAGGTGGTGGCTGAGAAGCCAAAGCGTACCGCGGACGCAGAAGAGAAGGCACGGAGGCCGAAGCGCTCAGTGGGCGCACATAAAGGAAAGAAGGCACGGAGGCCGAAGTGTACAGCGGACGCGTGTAAAGAGGAAGAAAATCCACCGACGTACCGATCAAGCAGCAGAGTATCAGAAACATGGACACAATTGCATACCAGACAACTGAGAAAAACTGAACATCGCGGATGAACAGTCTAAAGGCATAAGGCAATGAAAATTGCGTACAGACGAGGACTTGACCTAGCAAGGGGGCACGGCGGATACCCAGAAGAAACTGAGGCGCTGAGGCCGGCGCACACAAGTCATATTTAATCTCGTGCCTCCATTAAATTTAAACTTTTCAAAAGTACCGACCGGAAGGCCTGCGTGACGCGTGACCGGTTGTTGGTCGTGTGAGTACAGTATTCTGGATTGTTGTGGGAACTCCCCAGGTAATTCCAGGACATTCATGCTTGCATATGCGCTTGCGCAGTTCCTTATTTTGCGTATATTCACATTGTAATACATTTCGTGTGTGTATAATTATATACGCACAGACGTGCGTTGACAAGAAAGTTTCTAGCTTACTTCTGCGAGTTGAGTAGCGAATTGCCTTATCAGGAATCCCCTGACCACCTTTGCTGAGACCCGTGGCCGACGACACTCTTAGTATTCATGCTATATCATGCCTCACATGAATACGGAAGAGGCTCTTAGACCCCGGCACCACGAGCGCTAAATGCCGAGTGTATTGACACTCTGATTTCCGACCATTTTTGGACAAGCACGAGATCCGACTGGGGTCATGCATCCAAATCTGACGCGCAGATTTTTTTGACGGTTGCTGTAAAAGTGACCCAAACGCAACAATCCCATACCAAGCTTTCGAAATAGGCTACAAAGACTCAAACCATGGAAATTGGACCTCGAGAACGGAGAGGGCAGAATTCTGCTGAACTGCTTCACTGGTCTGTCCTTTGCGTTTGGGACATTTTAAAATATTTATATGTACACCCTACGCACATAACATACATGACTACTTCAGCACTTTCCAACGCAGATTGAATCATGGAGATTGGTTAAGAACTGGGTGAGTAATGACGCAAGCTCTGAAGCGCAATTTTTTTGAATTACGGAGTTTTTTTGAGAACGGCAATAAAATCGTTATCATTGCATAACGATTAGATGGATGCTTAGGATGGCATCTAAGGGAGGTGCTCTACCTGGTGATCGTGGTGGACTTCGCGATAAGGGAATGCATTATTTAAGAAACACATTTCACATCCTTTCTAGTGGCATCAAACTGAGCAATCTCATTGCCGCGCCTAGGACCTCCTTCGCACTCAAGAATAACCAGAGCCGGGCGCTTGCCCGACTCCGGTCAGTGTCACCTTTAACTGAAAGCGTCTCCCACGCGCTGCTGATAGCATGCGACAATCTGAAGCAGAACGTCACCACACCACTGGGCTCATATTTCTCCATCGCCGTCTTAACGACGTCAGGATATGACGCAAGTAACATCAAGATCTCGCGAACTTTGGGCTCTGTGAGTGAATCAGTATCGATGTCGATAGAAGATTTTGGGTCGGATGGATCGGCTGTGCGGAGCGGAAGAAGTTCCGGGTTTTTGCGGGCCATTGATGCCAGTCGAACGTGTGCATACTGGAGGTATGGGCCCGTGTCCCCCTCAAACGAAAGCATCCGAGACCAATTGAAGTTGTAGTTGTTTATCCTGAACGCAGGGACCAACGCGAGAACAGGGTATGTGAGAAAACGATGCACCAAAATGATTAGAGATGTTTGGGTAGTGGTTCAAATTAGCAAGGCGTATAAAAAGGCAGTATCAACGAACACGATTCTCCACGGCCGAAAAGATCCAACAATACTTACCGCTTTGCCGCCATGTCCTGTATCTTGACCGCCGTGATACCTATCTCACGACTAGTGCCTTCGGGATCTTCGACAGCGCTATATTTATCTGGGTTCTTTTTCATCTGTTCGTGCATAATTTCGGATGCCTCCCGGATGATGTCGTCGAGGAAGACAGCGGTTCCTTTCCGAGTGCTCATGCCCAGAACGAGACCGTAATTGACATGCTGCAGGCGGCCAGCCCAGGGATACTCTAATAGGCTTAGTATCTTGAAGAACTGGGCAACATGCAAGTCCTGCTGTGACGCGACGACATAAATCATCTTGTCGAATTTGTACTTCTCGTATCGCTCAATGGCCGCACCAATATCTCGTGTGAGGTAGATCGATGTTCCGTCTAACATGGGAAACAGTAAGCGTACCGGGCATCGGCGGAGGCAAAAAGGCACCTTTCTTTCGAACTACGGCCTTCTCCAGCTTCCATTGCGTAAGATCCACCAACTTTGCACCTTTCTCTTCGGAAATCAGACCCATTTTCTCCAAGCGCTCTAGTGGCGCCGATTGGGATTCCAAGGAGACTTGACTTTCGCCAGAATACACATCAAAGGAAACGTTGAGTCGCCCATATTCTTCCCGGTATTTTTCGATGGAGTAGTCTCTCCATATCCGCCACTGTTTGAGGGCTGACTCGCCACCTGAATATTATATGTTGGGTGGAAGCTGGACGTGAGGCATATCAAAAAAGAGGCTCACCGTCTTCCATCTGCCTGAAATGTTCACGGGCTTTGTCTAGAACGGACTCATCCGTCGACGCGTCGTTATTTATTTTCACATAAACATCATAAAGATGCTTAATGGCGTCCTTTTCCAGCTCCTCTTGTGACCCATACTTCTCGAAGCCAACGGCAATGAGACCAAACTAAACGTAAGGCCACAGCATTAGTGAAGTTACCCGCCATTTCGAGATAACGCTAACCTGTCTTCCCCAGTCACCCAAGTAGTTCATGGATAATGTCTCCCATCCATTGGCCTTATGTAAGTTAATCAGAAATTGCCCAATAATGGTGGATCGTAAATGCCCAATGTGGAATTGTTTGGCGATATTGGGAGAACTGTACTCGATCAAGACTTTCTTCCCCTTCCCACTATCGTTGGTCCCGTACCGGGGCACACCATCCAGCGTTCGAAAGGTTTCTCGATCGATGGTACGCAAAACGATCCGTGCAAACGTACTCAATCTGGCATTGAAGTACAAGAAAGGGCCCACAGCTTTGACGGTTTCTATGTATTCGTCTGGTTGGAATGAAGATGCCACGGTAGCTGCTGATACATCCGGTTTTACACCGGGGAGCCGGAATCGAGGCATCGCTACTGAGAAGTCCCCTTCTTTCTTCAGAATGTCGACACCATCGAAGATTTTCTCAAGTGAGAGCTCTGGTATGACACGATTAATGTGTATGGCCACAGCTGTTCTAAAAAGATCGAGAGGTGCCCTTTCAGGATAAGTCCCAGGCAAAACTGGAAGAGTGCTTGAGAAGGTGGAGGGTGTCGCCGATGTCGTCGGTGAGCTAGCCATTCGTAGAGCGCGGGGAGATGGTAGAAGAGCCGAGTGTTTGGGAAATGGGGATGATTGCTTCAGGAAGAGATCTGACTCGATCGAGCCTACACAGCGCACGGAACCTGTCCAATTTTTCCAACTTGTCGCGAACGCTGCTCGTGACTTGGGTGAGAACATTTTTGTTGGCATGTGTTTTGTCCGGCGCCAACCACGACGCCAAACACGTCGACGCGAGTTCAAGTTTACCACGTTCCTGCTTTCTCCTTGCAGTCCAATTTGGCTTGGGAAAAGCATTGACCCTGGTGAGTGGATCAGATGCCATGCGGCCCGCTTCGGTCATCGTGGGTGCTTGATTGTGGAGCATTCGCCAACTTTGGCAAACCATCCATTGCAGTACATACACACAAAGTTCACAGGGTATGTTACGATCTAGGCATCGGTCCTAGTTTTTGTCTTTCAAGGGCCTCTTGGTTCTTACACGTAATTCTGAAGGGTTCTTACGCCGTGCGCTGAATTTTTTTCTCATGCGTTCGACATGACCTTCCGTTCACTTGCGCGACGATGCCCTGACTTCGGCTACTAGACTGAACGACGAGAGCACCAACGTAATTGCGCTGCGATCTGCCATGCAGATAGAGAGCGCTCTGCGCCGAGGGTTTGGCCCAGCCGCCAGCACGCAGCATGGCCAATCAATTGTATCAGCCAAGATTGCACAGGTATTGGCAGCTGAAGTCAGATGCCTACGTATTTCTGGTCATCTGAGATGAAGCGCTGGTGTCTTGTCGAATGATCTGTGTGTCGTCTTGGAGCAACTCATGGCATCTAGATGATCATTCGACCCAGCGTGCAGCTTCTGACGCCACTTCCTGACCAGCTGATGCCTTGAATAATCTCACCCATGAGCGCGTATAACCGCACAGCTTTCCGTGACACCCGGTCACCGCTACTGCCTAAATGGTCGGAGTATAACCGTTATCCCTTGAGCAGCATTATTCAAAACTAGACTGACGTGTTTATGCTGCGCGCAGCAGCTAGGGTCATCATCCGCACTATCAATAAGTGAAGCTGAAGCATCACTCATTCTTTCAAGGTACAAGAATGGACATACTATGCTGGAATGATTCGTCTGGTTCTGCCTCTCCATGTGAGGAAATGCCGTGTCTCACACGAACAAGTGGGAGGTTTGTTCCGTGCCAGAGTGTCGAAGGCCTGATGTTAGTTTAAGCACGACTTCAAAACATCCACGAAAAAAGTGGCATTCTGTTTGCTCATAATTTGACGACGAGTACTCGAAACGGTCAGATTATACGGAATCAAATTTTCTCTTTCTTCGCTGTTCTGCCTCGCGTGCTTGCTGTCTGGAGCGGCCCGCCCGTGCCGGGCGGGCCGTCATGGTGTTCAACGTTTGCTTCGGACCGACCACATGCACACTGGCGGCAGCGCTCAACAATCGAGACTATTGCTTTAGCGCCACTCGGGCGAGCACAAGTAACTATGGGAGCAAAAGCTCTTGAAAGCACCGAATTGTGGCTGGCCCGAAGTCCTTCGTAATGTGCTCAGCACCAACCACATGTGCCGGCCGCCTGAACCAATTTTCGCTCCTCCAAGTTTTACCACCAAGCGCCCAAAAGCGCCGTAATTGCTATTTTTCATCCGCTTAATCATAATGCTCCTTGCTCGGGAGAATTGGGAGCGGACACGTGCCCAATCGGTTCGAGCTGGGAGTTGTCCCACCGTCCCGCTAAACCTCTCAATTCCTACTGTATCCAATTCAGTCGGTCAACCAACCTCGCGACCGGTGACGGCATGATTGGTTAGTTATGAATCATTCGTACTATTCCCTCCACTTTTCAACAAAAGAAAACCACTGATTGGTCTCGGCCGCACCAGTCAATACTACATGAGAAACTACTCGAAATCAGTGCTACCGAGCAAGGCACGGCAATGACGGCACACACGAGACGATGAATTATTCTGATCGGAGATATTTCCCAAGTCCCTCAACCGTGCTCAGTCAGCGCGCCGTTGAGCTCTTTCCATCGAGATCCTAAGATCTATTCTGATCTATTTGCTGTTGACGTTTTGTACAGACCTGCATCCCATATGTAAGAGTGATCACTATCTCGTCCATATCAAGGGCTTTCCCTTGAATCATTCGGCGGCGTTTCCCGCGGACCAAGGCAGCGGTAGCCGTGGGCCAATCATCGTATCGACAGCCGTACATGCGGGCAGTGACACGGGCGGGTTTATTGGCCGAGACCCCCCTCCACCTTGTCTAAGAACGTTCGGTTGGGAGCTATCGGTTGGCTCCATGTCCGTTAATATTTCACATCCTAATGATCGTGTTGTATATCAACGGTCTGACTCTCATATGGAAACAATCGCAAAAATGACACTGCACACAAGCATGGCCTGTACCAGGAGGGAGAAGTTTCCAGTACCTTGCCATTGATATATGCATACATTTGCGAAATTATGAGAATATCCGTTCTTCTCGGGCCGTCAAAGACATGGCCCTATCGACCCATCCAACCTCCGTCAACTGAAACACGAGCAAAGAAGTCAGCAAGGCGAGAACAATTGCATGGACCGTACGCCCAGGCAAGCAAAGAGGAAGTAAAGAATGATGCGAGGGTTGCTCGCTTCGACACCATTCTCGATGTTTCCAAACGGAGAGGAAGCCCGGGTGTGCAGGCGCAAGAAATGGCTGGACCACATTCGCAACAACCGGTGGGCCTCCAGAGTCGCGGCGGACTGCGGAGCAGGCGAAAAGAGGCAGAAGAGAAAAACAAAAATTACCACAAGCAGGGGTGGAGTAGTGTGCTCCTGTGCTGACTAAAGAAATAGTCGAAGAACGCAACGTCACCCTCTCCCCCTTGGGAGGCCTCGGTTGCTGGTGCGATCGGTAGACTACGCGCGCTGTATGACAAAATTTCACGCTGGGCCTGGCGGAGGTGCCCGATCGGCCGGCATGTGGGCGAATTAGGGAAAAATCTCTCCCCGCAAAATGATAGCGGGTAATCATGAAAGTACCCGGTCAACCAGAAACCGGGGAAAGTGGGGGCGCGAGCAAAGGGCATGGTAACTGATGAGAGGCGAAAGAGAAAAAACGTACCAACGAGCAATTCCCCGCTCACGTAAGCGCTCGCATCACTGGCAAGGAAAACAACTGGACCGGCAAAATCCTTGGGGTCACCCCATCGACCAGCGGGTATGCGCTCCGAAATCTGTCGATAACGGACCGGATCAGCGATCAGACGCTCGTTCCTAACGAAAAGTTCCAGACAGAACAGCATTAGTTCATGAGTTCATCGAGGAAAATCACAGGACTGGGGAAAATGACCAGAAGCAATTGAATGGAGATATCCGATTGGAGAAAGGAAAAACGATAAGATGCGATTCAACGAAGAATTTCCAGAGGAGAATTGCTTCATAATGGGTTGAATGAAAATTTTAGGATGGATATTCAACTCCGCTCTGGGCCCATTGTTAGCAAGGCACAAGATCATTATCATCACATTGAAATTGATCGACGCAGCAGCTGCAATGAGGATCGCGTTGGAACAGTTTCTGGCTGATCCCTCGAACGTAGTGAAGCGTATACATGACATGCAAAAAGCAGAAGCTGAGGACGTCATCTGACGGAAAGAGATCGTCGCTGATACCCGCCCGGCAACTTGCAAATAAGCGGAAAGCCCAAAATGGAGCGAGGTCACCGGCCACGCCCGGGCCACATCGGAAAGACACAGTGCCAGTTTTCAGCCACTCATTCTCGTGAACCAGATCCCGAATCGACGCGTAGAGTAGCAGAAGTCAAAGGGCGTAGTTCCGAGGCTGACCGCAGCAGCAGCCACCACTTATGCCTTCAGAACGTTCGTCGCTTCGACGAAAGCAGGTGGGATAACGGCCCAAAAATCACCTTCTCGATCAAGCGACAAACACGGGGGTGCTCCGATTGCCGCGTAAGACATTTGCTCCAATCGATCTTTCAATCCTAGAGTCACCAGGTCAAAAAAAGGTTCCGCTCTGACAAAGTTGTCGCCAAAGCCCGAAGTGGTGCAAGGAGCAGCAGCAGCAATAGAAAGGAAATGCCCACGCGCTCCTGTGTGCACGCATATGTGGATCAGCACATATACATGCCCGCAGACTGAACAAAAGATGATTGGGGCGGCATGCATGTGTGTATGTGTGCTCGTGTGCTCAAGTTGGGTGAATCAGGTCAAGTTCCCCGTTCAGGGGTGCAAGCCGTGGAACGACGACTTGCCAAATTGTCAACGTCCATATGAAATCGCAGAGATCGGAACGCACCCCACCCACGTTGACATGCGTTTGAGACCATATACATAAATGCCCGCCGGGCATAACAATGCCAAGCCGCACATGATGGCAATAGAGAGGAATATGTCCTCGGAAGTCTCCAGTGCAGGGTCGCAAGTGGCGGAAAAAGCGAATCGTTAAACTCCGCGGCCAGGGTCAAGCCAAGACTATGCGATTCGAGGACGAGATAAATTTCCATCATTCCCAGTGGCTCCAGACAGAATGTCAGAGTGAAGAAAAGAATGAATCAGGTTACCGAACAGGGGGATCAGACGCAACACCGGGAGTCCGACAGGAAAAAAAAAAGCAATCGGGTAGGATGCGAGAGAAGTAAGGGCGCTACTCACATATCCGTAGCAACATATCCAGGACAGATCGCGTTCACCTGGATATTATGTTGCGCCCATTCATTGCTCAACGCCTTAGTCAACTGTCCGAGTCCACCCTTAGCAGCCGCATACGCAGGAACGGTAATTCCTCCTTGGAAATTAAGAAGTGATCCGAAATTGATAATCTTCCCTCGGCGAAGTGGAATCATGTGTCGGCCCGCGGCACGGGAGAGAAGGAAGATGGATTTGAGGTTCGTATTGAGGACCTGTTGGAGAAATTGCGGAAAGTTCGTTAGCCTCAGGGTGTAAGGAAGCGAGGGCATTAATGCGGTTGGGAATAGAGTGAACAATCATAAGTCTTTCGAATGTGTGGCGCAACGGATGTGTGTTGGTGCGAGATAAGAGGGTTAACCAAAGAAGTCAAAAGTGAATCAGAATCGAAGTCAGAGGCACCCAGAGCCGCAGTCAAGGGGGTGGGAAGGACAGAGGTAGGAATTAAATGATGGATGGTCCAGTTATCACACGAAGCGGGAAAGGCGGCAGATCCACACCAACTATAGCGGTGGGTACGAATGGTGGTTCTCTTCGTTCGCTCGTTGTGAGGCGGCCCGACTTCGATGTGAGTAGGTTCAGGAAGAGGGAAGGCATACTAATGAGAGAGCCATCGTTCTGTATTCCATGAAGGGTCCTCACCATAAAATCAAAAGCGAGGCAAACTATTAATAAATATCGGAGAGCTTGCAAATTATGCGTGGCAGCCGAGGAGGTCGGGCGGGAATTCCTTAATTCCTTAACAATGAAAAAAGTCGCCGTTGCCAAATGGCATGGGCGTTGCTCAGGGATTTTCTTTTCAGCGGCTCAGCGCTCCAAAAACCCGATGACGCGTACAAGAATACGCAGGAGGGAGGAATGATGGATGAGAGGTGGCGGAAAAGCGGCAGCTGAGTGAATATGGCGATCCCCTCGCTAGTTTGAGGGAAAGGATGGCTTCGTTCTACAGTAGGCTTGGCTAGCTGACCAGTCGCTACATATTACCGCCTGCTCGCGCCGGTGCTGCAGATGTGTGGGTAGTCGCAAAGAACCACCAATGGTGAAATTCGTATGTGCTTGGGAAAGGGGTTGATCACACAAAGACAAAAAAAGAAGGAAGAGGTTGATAACCAGTAAAGGTGAGAAGAAGTCGAGCAATTCACTGTTTCTATTTCCCCCCTAGTCTTTTGCACTGGTTTGCCTTGAGCCAACCAGGGGAATGATAAAGAAGAGCACTCAGGAACAAAGCCCACAATGGCTAAACACAAATAAAACAAACCCCGAGGCGAAACAAAGGGAAGGACTTACGTCGTCCCAATCCTTCTCACTAAACTCGACAGCAGGAGCCCTCCTCTGTATTCCCGCACAATTCACCAAAATATGAATCTCACCCTTCACCTCCGGTTTTTCCAATGTACGATCGAATAACGTTTGGACCGAATCTAGGTCCGACATATCGCACTCTATCACCGTGTGTTCTTGGCGGTTGTGCTGTTGTTGATTCTTAGGGAGGGAACGAAGAGTGTCGATCGTTGTGGTGGACGTGGAGCCCGGACGAACAACAAGACAGACCGTTGCGCCTGCTTCAGCGAGGGCTATTGCACATGCCGCACCAATGCCTTCAGAAAGGGAAGTCATTATGGATGCATTAGTGAATAAATTGTCAATAAAGCAGAAAAAGAAAAAGAAAAAGAAAATGGAAGGAAAGCAAAAATGCAGGGATAATATGTTCGTCCCAATAATGGATCCATGGGGATAATGATGACTAACGCATATATTCTTAATCGCCCCGTGCTTTCATTTGCGTGCTTGGCTGCTGCAAACAGCACACAGGGGAGGAAGCGTCCTCCAAAAGGGAAGACAAAAGAATCATCCCTCAGAAGCGAAGTAGATCCAGAGTTAGCGCTCATCCAAAGACTCATGGTTGATGACGAGCCATACATGGCGATCTTCATCATCAGCATCATCAGCACGCCACTGGTACCGCATGCTCGCGCACGCACGCACCACGGAGCTACCAGATACGGTTTTGACCGTGTAACTACCCTCCTGGGGGGCAGGAGTGCAGCAGAAAACCGAAAAACAACTCTGCACCGGAAAAAAATGAAACAAAAGGGCATGCCAATCCGAGGTCCGTGCGGGTGCTAATGCACCTGCCAAAAACTGGCACCAAAGCGAGATAGACCACCATGATGTGCCCACGATGCGAAATAAGAACAGAATGAAACATACGACTGCAAGATATACATGCATGCCTGGCATGATTGGTATGATGCACACACCATCGGCCATTCCCCCGGCCATCATCGTGCCATCATTGGTTTCGCCCGCCGGCAACAAACGCGGTCCTTCTCCCTCTTTCTAAACCGAAAGAAAGAAAGCCACAGTATGAGACAATAAAAGCGAGGGGAACCACGCGAAATTAGGTTGGGAGGGACGGAAGGCATCTTCTTCCGCCACGTTAGTGAGGGCTCAAGGTAAATAAGCCCGGCTGACCAGTTTGGTAAAGCTTCTTTCTGCGAATCCCCCACAATATACACATGCGTCTCCCTGCCATCAAAACAAGCATGACGAGTGAACGGGTAAGGTGGGGCTGAGGGGAGGCTTTGTAAAAGGGATGGATAATAGATAAGCACTGTGATTCCGTACTCATCCACCGGAAACGAATCCGGTTTTCTGCATTCTGCAACCCGTCCCGTTCGATCCGTTAGATAGCAAACGGGTGGGCGCATGGACGCATGGATGATGAGGTGCAGAAATTCCGTTTCCATCAAAGCCTCGGAGCTGGGGGAACCCGAGAACATGCGGAAGAAGCAAATGATCAAATGATAATAAAGAAAAAGAAAAAACCAGCAAAACAAGCGCTCAAGCATTGTCGAAACGTGGAGCTGGGTAGGCTGGCCTCGCCGTAAATAGCATATTCCCGGATCGCCATGGAAGATACCGAGATATGAAAGTTGTCTGAAAAAAAAAAAACGCGTCGTTGACGCGTTTTACGCCTGCTTGTCTGATGCAGGTCGCGCGGAGGAGGAAAGAGAATATATGGCCAGCCGAATAGGATATTCGGCGATTCCGGAGACATTTCGGGTGTCGGGTGGTGACATTCCGAGCTAATGCGCCGGAACGAGGACCGGTAGGACAGGCTAAAGTCGTGTCCTCATATTCGCGAATGGATTTTTTTCTTTTGGGGGAGGGGCTCTTGTGCGCGTGCATCAGATAAGAAACGGAAATATGAGGGTGCGGAAGTAATAGAAGGAACAACAAAACGATAGCCGAAATGATAAAGAATAAAGGAACCAGGCACGGAGATTATGCATAAAGGACGTACCCCTCGTAGCACCGGTAATAAGTACATTCTTACCACTCAAATCAAACAATTTGAGAGAAGGTACGTTCGGCGTCGAACCCGCGGCGGCAGCGGTAGAAGGGCTTGTCGTTAATGTAGACATTCCTTTGACTTTAAGTTGAATCCGGATAATATTTCTCTTTTTGGTTTAGTTGCAGTCGTTCGGGTTCGAGGTGTGGTCGTATACTACCTGCTTTTTGGCGTGTTTCAGTCCAGTTCCAAATTTTCTATCAGTGGTGCAAGTGTGTGTGTGCGTGAGAGATAGAGATACAACGATCGTGAGCAGCGGGAGGCAAGTCTTGACAAGCGTGGACCGTGGGAAAAATGGATCGATCCCGTACTTACCTGGAATCGGACTCGGAGAGAAACCGTATTTGTCTAAAAACTTGTGATAAGTGAAAGGATTGTTTTGGATGCACCGATCTGGTGGTACCTGGGGCTTCGATTGTTGCGGTTCGGATACGGGGATGGACTCGGACTTCAAAGGGGCGATCGCAGCGTGACCGTGAAGGTCCTTGATGGTACGAGTTTGCGTTTTCAGCGAGCTGCGAAGGTTCGAAGTGGGAATTGGGGGTTTACAATATCGCGTGAGGTACTTAGTACGTGCGCGTACGGCAAGTGGGTGGCGTTGCAGTGGCAGTCGGCACGTACTATACAAGGATGGCACGTGTAGACGTGGCCCGGTTTGTAATCGATCGATCCGAGCTGTATGGGTGGAACGCTGTATCAGCTTGTGTTATGAGTTGTGGATGATTGGTTGGATTTATCAGGTGTGGAAATGAAAGAAGGGGGGGGGGGGGAGGAGAGAAGAAGCTGGTCGGGTACTTTCTTTTTTGGTACGGAAGCGTTCGCGGGGATCGGGACGGATGTATATAGGCATGCGCTAATAGGGGGAACAAGGGGATACGCGTGGAATACGGGGAATGTAGGATTTGATGGCGAAGAACGTACTGGGCTGGGCTGAACATATCGCGCCACAATGTATTGTAAAGCATACGTATATCCTGAAACTTCGTACACGGAATATGTTGTGAAAGCTAGAAATATTACAGTGATGGGGAATAAGGATTGATTGATGGGAAATAGGTATGCACATGTGCTCAAATGACTTACTAGAATTATAGTACCATGGCCATGAGCTGCGTGAGCCAGCCGGTCAGGCCTAGGTCATTAATGAACGATGATCATAGTGACTGATATATAAACCTACCTTTTTATGTAGTATGTCCATTCTCAGTTGTCTGTGCGCTCATACCATATGTGATAATTCAACCCAGCACTAGTAGTACTTGCAGCTGCTACCGGTATTTACCGTCGGCCTGGATTAATCGAAGAGGGATTGGGTCGTTGTTAACTAATTCGTGCATCTTGCGCGTACATGCATTGTGATCCCAGTGTGACGACAGGGAATGGTCATTGGTATTACACTGCAGTCGATTCCATCTCGATATAGCCTAGCTATTTTGACCTGGACTGACGTATCTTCAGTCCCACCGCTTGAAGGCCGGGGGAGTACGAGCGGCCGCTCCGGTTGTTACTACGGTCCACAATTCCAAATTATAATTAAGCCGTATATGGAGTTTGTTCTGCGCTGATCGTATTGTGCATATATGGTTAGGAGGAGCGTCCCACCCTGGCCGTATGGGGACGTTGGCATGCGTGTGCGCTTTAGGGCATATGTGGTCCGGTAAGTTGCGAGTCAGATGCAAGGAAAACGAAATCGGCAATTTGTTGAATGGCGCCAGTTAGTACGGTACTTGGCGACCCTGGCTCATGTACTGTCCATATCGATGGATATACGTAGGTACAAGTTGGGTCCTCAGACGTTCGTTATTGCCTACCTGTCCGCTATCTATCTAGTACCTAGCTACACCGATTGGTACGTAATTAAATTGGTGTTTCCCCCTAGATTGGCATGGAATGAGGGGATAAGTGAGTGTTCCTCATTGATTGTGAAGAGCCTGGGGTGAAGAAGCACCGGGAGAAGGGGGAGAAAGTGGGGACCCAGGCATTTCCTGGATCCGCATCGATATCGATATCGAAGCCTCATATACGCATATATCGTGATGCAATGCATACGACGCTGTGCTTTGTCTGTTGTTTCTCCCCGGCCCGACGAGCGACACAGGAGAGAGGTGACAGTAGATATGAACCCACAACTCAACCAAGATCTTGGCTTTGATCTTGTGGTCAAATGAAAGGTTTGAGATCGGGATAATATTGGTGACTCTGAAATTGGCACCGTTTGGGTTTGGTTCAAATATTAATGGCTTTTCTCGGACCGTGAGACCGGGTCAAGTTGACCTTTCTTAAGAGCTGGGTGATATATGTCGCACCCGGGATTGTCAGACAGGCCCGTTTGGCAAGGGGAGGACATGAGTGTGGCGCGGGAGTAGCCGAGAACGAAGATCTGAGATATATGTCCTACTGTATGCTGGATGAGATGAGGAAGAACGATTACAGTGGTATTACTAAGTGAACACGAGTTGGGGGTTAGTTGTATGCGCAGCTAGCTAGTGTGCGGGTTCCATTTGATGCGCGCGCAACTACCAGTAATAGTGGCCAGGACAAGGTCGATCATAGGTATGCGTGTGAATGACGTGCGCCAGCGGAGCAGGACCAGCTCGACTCGGCAACACATTGTACAGCTAGGAATAGCAACGACGTTGCTGGTATGATGTGTATGCGGTGCGTTGCGGGTGCTAGATTGGAAGAAGGAAGCTAATATAACGGGAAGTTGGCAATTGAAGCAACCAGGACAATGTGTGGTTGGCGCTGACTAGAGACTGACGGGTAACCAAGTGAAAAACGATAAGGAAATAATTATGGTAATGGTTGTTTTGCTTGTTGGTGCCTTGTGCGTCCGCCTGCAATGTTCCAGTTGGGCTGGAATAGAGAGCAAATAAAGATAATTCCGAAGGGTATGTGGGACCCCCTCGGTCCGGCCACTTTTCCCAAAAATGAAATTATATGTATTTGTAATACACTAGGAAATATATATCACAGGAGAAAAATAATCGAATAGAAGAATTTTAATAGTTGATCAATTCAATGAAGGAAAGCGAGATATCCCGAAATGGGAGAAGGCAAATAGCGATGCACTGAATTGGATCAAATTAAGTTGAAAGTTGTTTTAATCGACGAATGAAATTGAAATTGAATGGAATTGAATGAGAATTGAATGGGCGCTCGTTTTTGTCTCAAACTCACCTTCATCCATTCATCCACTACACATTTCCTTCCTCCGACATCGTCCTCCTCGTTCCCAACTTCACCTCTTTCTTCCCTTCAATCCCCCCTCATCTAGCGCGCAACCGCCCGACCGACGAGATGGAAGAAGAACGAGGCTACAGAATGTGTCGTCAATCAATTCATCCACAAGCGCTGCTACCCCGGACTCCTTCACTCGATGGGGGGAACGAAAAGTAAAAAGAAAAAATCAAAAAAGGGGAAATAAAGGAAGCAGGTTGGTATTTCGTCACGAGATTTTACAAAATTATTATTTCCTGCATTATCTCCCTCATCCAAGGTATAAATACCCTCTCATCTCATTGCCCTTTCCCTTCTTTCCCTTTACCTTTGCAACTCCCATCAGTCGCTGACGCCTGCTACTTATCACTTGTACCTACCAGGGACATTCGTCTGCAGCGATCAGTTATCACTCGGATCATCTCGTCGTCGCGCATCCTCATCTCGACTCCAGATTGTCATCGTTCAATCCAACCCAGATATCGCCCACCACTCCACACACCCATCTTCCAACTTTATCTTTCCCGCACGAGACAATACCGACAATGCCAGCGACCGGTTTTCATTCCGCAATCGTCCTGCACGGTCCAAAGGACCTCCGGGTCGAACGTCGTCAACGGAGACCGCCTTCCGATGGTCAAGTTCAGGTCTCCATCCAAGCTACCGGTCTTTGTGGAAGCGATCGTGCGTCATTCTTGATTACCTTGTTCAGGCACGACAAGTGTTACTGATGACTGTATCCTTTTTGTGTTTGTTCTCGGCGGCTTCCTTTGAATGATGAACGCGCTGGCTTTTGGCGCGTTGTTATCACGTCGTCGCGTTCACCGCGTCGTTTCCTATCGCCTGGTCGTTGCAATTGGGGCCCCGCGGATGCGGATGAATTGGACCCGGGATCTGCTCTAACTCCGATTTTTTCCATTCAATACCAATCATCGCGGCTGCCTTACCTCACCTCAACTCGCCTCATCGCCTCACTAATTTGCCCCATTCGATCAATCCATTCATCCACTCATCCACTCCTACAATCTATCAACCGCTTCACCATAATTAAACGAATCAAAACGAATCAGTCCACTACTACATTCACGGTAAAAATGGCGACTTTGCCGTCAAGTCTCCCCTAGTCCTAGGCCACGAAGCAGCAGGCATCATCACGCACATTGGTCCTAACGTCCCTCCACACTTGAATTTGCGTGTAGGCGATCGAGTGGCCATTGAGCCCGGTGCTCCTTGTGGTCGTTGTTCCTCTCCTACTGTCACTCATCGTCAACTTGGGAAGCATGGCCTAAGCACACGGGAGAAGGAAGGGGAACATGTCAGTTTATCGAGTGTTAGGAATTCCACCGTTGTCAGTGATGGTGCTGGTGGAGCAGATGATACAGATGAGGAAGGGACAGCCGTTAATCCCAACAGTGATGTCGATTCGTCATCAGATTCTTCTTCCGATATCATTTCCGCCTCCTTGCCTTCCTCTCCTACTCATTTCACTTCTCAACACGCCCACACTGTAGACGAAGATGAGGACGAAGATGACATCCAAGAAGAATCCGACGACGAGGACGGAGGATGCGAATTTTGTGAAATGGGAAGGTACAATTTGTGTGAGCGGATGAGGTTCTGTTCGTCTGCAAAGTCGTTCCCTCATTTGGATGGGACGTTACAAACGTGTATGAATCATCCAGCTAGGTTGTTGCATAAGTGCGTATGATTTCATCTCTCTCCTCCCTTCGGCGTTCTAGCTTAGATAACATTTACTGACCGGGTTTTTGTTTTTGTTTTTGTTTTTTTCCTCCTTTCCTCCCCGCGATGGATTCCTTAATGATAATGGTAACGATCGGCTTTACCGTTCCCGGTCGGTTCATTATCGCAAATTACCCTTGCATGTCCCAACTCGCCCTGGAATGGATCTTGGTCCCTTGTTTTGATCTGTTCCATGATCGTGAATCGTAACGTAAACCCCAACTGGAAATTCCCACTCACTTCGGATCGGGTTTTGAATTCGAACTCTCGCGTGGTCTGCTTTTGTGCTGTTGGATTGGATTTGGATTGTGGTTGGGGTATATTTTTTTCTCAATTCTTGGGCGTCAACGATTACCGGATATCATGATGACGGTTCATCCTTCGGCTTATGCTGGATTTCCTATTATCTATTTGCTTTGGCTCATGTGAACTCGTGAACTCGGTGTGGTTCCACGTTCGAACCTGTTCTCTGGGTCTTACTTGCTTATCTCGGGCTTTGGCTCTTCGTGACGCGCGAAATCCTGACCTCTCTCGCGCATTTGAATATGTCGTTCATTGACTCGCTTATGGTGTTACCCTTGGGGATCGCCACTCACTTTGGATCGGTTGGTCCGCGTGATTTTTTTCGGTCCGGCTGGTTACATGTGGATGCGTGGGTTCGGACTCGTTCATGCGTATTCTCGGCTTCTCACCTTACGAAACGGATGGCAAAAACAACTTGTTTTGGTTCATATGGGAAACCGCCTATCTCCCTGCGTGGCACAATCTCTGCACGCTTTGTTTTCCTCGAACACTCTCCGGTTTCTCACATCCATCCTGATCTGGGATTCTGGTGCTCAATTTCGTGTGCCTGCGCGTGCGGATGGATTTATTTTGATGGTTTCTGCCACATAAATCAACTTGACCCTGGATCATTTCTTGAACTCAAACAAAAACCTCAATTAGATTGCCGGATTCTTGTTCATTTGAGCAAGCTGCACTAGCAGAACCACTCTCTGTCGTCTTACACGCTGCTCGTAGGATAGGACTGGTTTCCAATCTTACCCACAACGACAATACGACTGCCACGACCCCTGTCCACGCCTCTTCCACACCTCGGCTTCGTCCTAAGCGTGTACTCATCATCGGAGCAGGAGCGGTCGGGTTTTTAGCCGCCGCGTTAGTTCGCACACTTTCGGCGTTGGGAGAGTCCACAGCTCCCGTGTCTTTTATTGCCGCCATGGATTTGGATAAAGGCAAGCTGGACACGCTGATGGATGCAGGGTATGCGGATGCGATTTATCATGTTACATCGCCTGTGGTGTCTCAGCGGGCAGGAGGCAAGGTGGGAGGGATGACGAGGGAGGAGGGTTTATTGAGGAGTAGGAAATTAGCGAAGGAGGCGCTTGCTGCGCTTAGTGTTGATGATAGAGGGGCTATCAAAGGTTACGACGTTGTTTTTGAGTGCACAGGCGTGGAGAGTTGTATTCAAACTGCTATTCTCGTGAGTTAGGCACTTTGGACTGTTTTCTTTCCTCTCCTCTTATACCTTGTTTTGCTTTCACTCTTAGATGGCCCGTACGGGGGGCAAGGTTGCCCTTGTAGGGATGGGATACCCTAATCCATATCTCCCCCTCTCAAGTGCTATGCTCCGGGAAGTGGATTTGGTAGGAGTGTTCAGGTACGCGAATACGTGGCCCGATGCGTTGAGGTTGTTGGCGAGTAAGACGATGCTTGGGATCGAGGATGTAATGGTGACGCAGAGGTTTGCGCTTGAGGAGACGGGGCAGGCGTTTAAGATCCTTGCAGGTGGGAGTGGAAGTGGGAGGGGGACGGGCGAGACGGTAATCAAGATCATGGTTGGGCCTAATTATGGGAGTGGGATGAAAGGACGTGTGGGCGTCGTTGCGTCCCCATGAGGGGACTAAGGTGCGGGCCGGGACACTCGAGCAAAGGGTCGGGCACTCGACGAGTTGAACTTGGCGCGTCTGTCTTTCCGGTTCGTTATCCTTTGGCGAGGGAGGACAGGCGGAACGTAACATGCTATCCGGACAATGTTGATCGAATTTGGATTATGTCAGTCCCAACTTAACCGTGTCGTCGTCGTCCATGCGGTCGTGGGTGATCGGTTCAGGATTCCCCATGTTGATCGATAATGGATGGCTGGGTCGCATGAGTGGAAGGACAAAGGCGCGACAAGACGGATGTGAGAGCAAACTTGAAATGGGTTCAGATTCTTTTGGAGTTGTTCTTGCCTCCTTTGGGTTGACTTGACTTGTTGAACTTCTTCGGAGTCTGGCCGACGATCGAGTTTGTTCCGAGTTTGTTCGTCCCTTGGATCAGCCCGCTCCGTTTCTTGGGCAGACCGAACGTCGCTTCCTTGGTGCTTCGTTACTTTCTTTGGGTCGCTTCTCCGTGTTGGTGCCGCCCTTGTCCTCAGCCCCCATTTTCACCCCGTCTCCGCCCTCTTTCTAATCGATGCCCGAATTTGACCCGGTCGAAATTCTCGTTTTCTCATTACCTTCCCAATTCCACCGCTCGATTGTATATGGTTATCGCCTCGACCCACTTTTCAGTCTCGTTGTATGCCTACCCTTGCTGCGCTTCCCCTTCTTGGGACCCCTGTCTATCATACGTATGACACAGAGTGATCAGCATCAGGGCAAGCCCCCGTTATCAATTCTCTCCCACGTTATCATGCACGTCAACAAGACCTCCCTTCTGACTCGACCCTTTCTTCAACCCTGTCTCTTGACACGCGTGCGTATTGCTTGCTATCTCTTCTCCCCCCTGATCGATGGACCCTTCTTGCAAAGTTACTAATTATCTTAAGTTCCCCTTGCCTTTGCACTCCTACTGCCTCATCCCCCATCCCCATAACCCATACCTTTCGATCCGTTACTTTTTTCGACCTTTCAACCCTCTGCTCAGTTCACCAGCTCGTCTGCGCGATGCCGGCTGTGTTCTTCCGTCGAGTGGTCGCTAGTTGTTTTTCGACTCCCTTAAGTTTTTTCTTTTTCGACTTTATCTCCGCTCGCGAACCTCATGCTGCTAAGTTCCAAAAACGTTTTCCCCTTTCTTCGATCCTGTTTCGTCCCATGAATTTCTCAAATCGTCGATCGGTTGTGTATATGGTGATGCTTTCGGAGATTGACAACCAGTCTTTTTTTTTCCTGACCCGAACCCCATTGTTCCTTGCATTGTATACGTGTTAGCCCCATTCGCACTTTTGTTTTCTATTTTGATGTCCCACAAGTTTCGCTCTCGTCATTGTTGACATTGTACCCTTGCATGTTGTTTTCTTTGTCGAACATGTTGATTGACGTTTGCTTGATCTTCGTTTCTGTTTTGCTTTCCTTTTCTAACTGCACGATGTTTATCTCCTCTTTTGATCCTCGTCGTCATTATAATATTAATATGCAGTCATGTCCCCTTAAACGACGCAACTGTCATTCCATCCAAGGAAACATGACATAAGTTGTGTGCCGAACGTACATTCGAACTTTCTATTATTAGTTCTACTGGGTTGTTTGTTTAGTGTGAGTTTTTCGCATGTTGAATTCTTCTGGGGCACCGGCCGCCGAGAGGGCGCATAGACTCGTTATCAAGTTAACGGTTGGCACCTTCCCCTAACCATCACTTTGGTGTGTGAAAAGTCCGTAGATCTGGGGACCTCTTTAAGGTCCTAGTCGCGGCTGCGCATGCATGCTGCGCAAGGACTATACTAGTGTGTGAGTGCGCTATTGGCACGCATTCATCCAGATCCACTTGCGCCCGCCCGCGGTATATAATTGGTGATTGGTGTGTTATCGACTGCAATCTTTATTTGTTTGTTTTGTTGTTATGTTTTTTCTTCGGTTGGGTATTAGTTTTGCGTGGTACTGGTCTCACGATACTACACGTACGCCCGTACATCGTTGTATGAGTGTGTTTTCTAGATTTTGGTTGTTTTACACGAGACGTTCGGTTATTGGAAGGGGGGGGCGTGACTACGTGCATACGGTGGATGATGGAGCTCTGAGAAGCTGAAGCGGTCTGATTTTGTGTCGCTTGCGGTAGTGGGCGGTAGTAGGGCCGAAGGGGCATTGATGTATCGATGCAGCATATGCACCTCTGTCGTAAGTTGAACCATAGCCCTGGACCTGGGTCCAAAGTCACCGTGGTAGTGGGTCAATGGTATGCTCCAGGGTACCGGTGCGATTCGGGCTTACACACGGAATTACAAACTTGGTAGGGGTTGGCTTGCTTGGTACCATCTGTGACCAATTCATCACGATCGATACACACATGGAGACCGAGACACTCGCTTATCAATATGAATTCGGCATTTATCTCCGCCCCCCCCTCCACTTTTCTCATTGTTATAGGGTATGTCGGGGTTACGCCGTCGGTGCCCAATCGCAAGTGTACACACGCACGCATGTCCCTGAGTTTTTAAAAAGTTGTTGTGCATATAGATCTAATTCAGCACGCTAGTGAGGAAATTTCAGAGAGATCAGGGCTCCTGATCAAGTTGGTCTGAGGGAAAATGACGGGGGGATAAACAGTTTCCTGTGTGTGCGTACAACACTGGAAAAGAGCCCCGCCCTTGCCATGCCGCGTGTTAACTAACTCTGCCGTGTAACGACACCCATGACGTGAAAGGTGATAGTGAAATCCCACTCAACGAAACTAGCTAAGGGATGGGTCCGAGGATCGGAGCCAGGTAAATTATGATATCGAACGTTCCTTGGAAGGCCGTCCAGTTCATGGTGAGAGAGAACCTTGTAAAACCGTTGCCTTTCAACAAGTAGTACATTCGTCATCGACTTTCCAACCACTCATGTGGGACAGAGTTGGACTCCGATAAAGATAATGAGGATACGGGGACCAGAGTCGCATCCGGTCATGACTACAAACTCGGAAAACAGTAAGAATCGCGCCAAGTAAGGGGAGGTAAGGGTCGACAGAATGAAGTTCGTCGGGTAAACCTAGCCTGTGAAAAGCACTACGCACGAAATCAATTGCGGCGGTTATTGTCTAGACATGCATTGCCAGACAGTATTACTTTGCCTGGCAGTTTGGAACCAGTTGGCATTGGGGCCATCTTTCCGGATCCAATCGCCTAATCAGCCGACCGTTGGCAATTTCAGAGAATGGAAGCTGACGTTGTGCAGCGACTGAAATTAAATCGTGCAATTAAACTGTCCATCTCGATCAGATTTTGAACTCTCATTTTCAAACAAAAAGGGATCGGGCAGACAAATGCACGCGCTCGGTGATCACGCCACCTCATTCTCCAAGTCGGACAAAGGTCCGGATCGACCACAAACAAACTGAAGTGCCACAACTGCGCCACTGCTGAATGCGATCAATGACCAATAGTACTATGACTGATCGATCCCACATGACGCTCGACTCGCGCACATAGCCGTTCGCCTAGGAGATGAATGAGCTACGTGCCGAACACCGCACTGCCGTCTGGCGCAAGCAAGAAACAGAACCACAGAGATTGCATGTCTACTTTGGTAGAAGGAGCGGACTGAGATAATGTCTTCGTTGGCCAGACACGACACAAGGGTTGCCGTGTGGCTGGGGCAGATGACGGGACGCTGCAAGTGGGGAGCTTCGGCAGGCAATGGTAAGTCGCCGCCCAAGCCGCACTTCCAAAGGAAGCTGGAGGGGGCAGGGAGCGAGAGTAACTCAGTGGCAGGATGCTCCAAAGTATATGCACGCGATTGGCAACAACAAATATGATGCTCCAATTAGCCATCCGGAGCGCCGTCATGCGGTGGTAAGGACTATCAAGTCGGGGAAATAGCGGATCGTATATTGTAAATTCCTTTCTGATCGCCCTGAGGCGCTCATGGATGAGGTAAAGGAGAGTTCACTAGCCAAAACAAGAGAAACCAGCACCTGTTCAGACAGCATAAGCGAGAGATGAGGGAAGCTGGCGAAAAAGCTCATCAGAATCACGGCTCGAAACGGGCCGTTTGAATGAAGCCTGTTGTAATCCAGCGCAATCCATTAGGAATTTTTTTGGGGGGGCCTCGAATGAGGGATGAGAATCCAGAAGCCTCACCATGAAGCTTCGCCTAGGGGTTCTGGATGGAATACGCCTTGCCACGAACCAACCTTCACCTCATGTATGAACACCGGTATTGATTGCCATGTTCCTTGAAAATTGCAAGTGCTGGGCATGGGACCATTGAGTAGATGAGAATGGCGAATCACCACGAGACCCGAAAGGAAATCGTTTTTTATCAGAGCATCGAGGCCCCTGGCAAGTGCCGTACCACGGAAAGTCCCCAAATGTTTTCCATAGAGGGGTGGTCGGCGAAGTGGTCAAGGCGAATAAAGCCTGGGACAACCCGAAGTTGTTCCTTCTCCCATCAATGCAGCCACATGGGTGGAACCGGGTTCGATACTATTACCGCAAGGAGTCAAGGTTTGAAGTCAACCTTCAGCACCAGAACCATCACATATGATTTGAAAGCATAAATAGAGCTTTTTTCGTGTGGCTCGCAGGGGATCCTAGATTGCGGGGCCCAGTGACGGGCTAACTAGCACATTTAGGGCCATCGGAATGAATAATCACGAATTCGCGTATCCTCTATACAGAGGCTGGAGTCGTTGTCTTCATCACCATGGAAGTTCGTTTCTAGATGTATTCCTTGAGACAACAGCACCTGGCAAAAAAACCATAGACGTATTGTCGAAGGCCAGGAACAACGACTCAGCGGTTTCCTAGTGCGATCTACCTCAAGGAGTCTAAGAACTGAATCTGATCACGTGTGAGACTGTAGCAATACATGGTTGACCTTAGCTGTATGGTAGCGGAGTTGTCCGAATTTATTGTTATATTGTTATATTCAAGTCCCGAAGTAGCGACGATGCAGATGCCAGCTTACATACCGAGCTGAGTGGGAATATATGCTTCATCGTCAGAGATCGCAGAAATTAGATATCAATTATGACTGCATTCCGAAAAATCTTGCTGCACTGGCGGAATTCTCATTATAGCGCCAGCCTTGCCTTCGGGATGAGAAGCCGTTGTACCGGTCTACCAGTTTTCCCAAATTGTCGATAGGTATATACAACCCCACGCTCCTTGAAATACCCCCTCAGGAATGTTATTAGATGAAATATCGAGGCCCATTTCTGTTGGGGCTTGTAGTTGGCAGAAAAGGGTGCAAGCGAGATCCAACTTGTTGCGCTGGGGCAATACTGAATGGGTAACACGACCTGCATGAGAAAGCAGGTTACGCAAATGAACAGCTGAGCGTAGACCTGCGGTGCGTTGTCAACGCTGGCCATGACGGAGCTGGGTGAGTTCATGAACAGAGATGATACATTCTCGTCAGAACGCAATACATTCGGGACCAGAGCAATCGGATTGCCGTTACAGGACACTCTGCACAAGACTCTATCGTGTTCAAGTAGCTTTGGCTTTGGGCTGAACACCTCGCAATACAGGATTGGGAGTACGCCGGCAGCGACGCGGACGCATGCGTCATTGAAACGTAGGCGAAATTAATGCTTAAGATGGGGAACTATTCAGGAGGGATACTTACGAGCACTTCGTCGCCAACAGTTCGAATTACGATATCGATACTATCCATTTTATTCCCTCGGATTTGTTCCTTGTGTTGCTCAGTGGTTAAGTCCCAATTGTATGAAACCCCTATCGCCATGGCCTTCCCATCCCCACTGAATGCAAGAGATGAGATCCCAGTTCCGAACGAAGGATACTGCCGAAGTCGCTTTTTGGCAGAATGATCCCAAATTGATACTGTGCCATCCGAACCTCCAGTAGCGAACGTATTATACCTGTGATAAATCGGGGCGATCAACGATAGCAAGGATAACAATTTCAAGTCAGCCCGGATGATGTGCATAAGGGGTACTGCGCAACCCAAATTAAGGGGAAAGGAATATACATACGTTGGATGGAAAGCCAGCGCATTCACTGGGTAAACGAACTCCCCTTCCGGATGGGCAAGTCGGTGACATTTAAACGCATATTTGCGCGAATGAGCCTCAGAGGAATTATCAAAGTACTCAACAGCGACTCGACCCTCAACTGATGCGACAGCATATCCTATGCGCGAGAAATGGGCGAAGGATAGAAAAATTCCGGTCAGATCCGGCGAACATCCAATTAACGGAGTGATAGCAGAATTCGTACCAGTTCCATCGGTCATGCACGCAATAGCCGATGTACCGAATTTGAGCGAGCTTTCCCGTTCATCCCGAGGTTTCGACATATCACGAATATCCCATATTTGTATTCTTCTGCCTGCGGTAGCCACAACAAGTGTGCTTCCCATTAAATCCATCGCATACACGCGTTCCGGCTGTTTGTGGGTGCTAACGAGCGATTTCGGATTCCCCATGCGTGGATCCCATACTCTAACGGTCTGATCCCATGAACCGGTATAAATCGAATCTGGAACAAATTTTCGCGTCAAAATTCAGACATACCGGTACACCCGGCACGAGGGTGGGTAAAAAGTATATAGAAGAATCCAAAGACTTACTCGTGTCTTTTGAATGTACCACGGATGCGACGCTGCTATCGTGGGCACCAAGAACCAGTATTTTTTCGGAATTGAGGTCCAATCTGATTGAAGGGACCATTCAGTTATTCCCAGGAAGTAGGATGAAAACTTCCTCACGTACTTTCTCACCCAAGTGTCTAGGCCGCCACTAAACCCAAATTGTCCTGTGGAATCGAAAGCGCAACTCAACACTGCAGCCCTGTGCGTGAATGACGTTTTGACCTCCGATCTGGGCACATCATAGAGTCTCACAAGCTAATTAAAAGATGAGAAATGCACTACTAGAAAGTCCCTCATGCAGAAGTACTTGCACTATCCCAAGAAGAGACTAAGAGGTGGTCAGAGGTCACGGGAGAGAAGCGCAGGGATGAGATCCCGTCACTAGGCGGCGAATCAAGTACTACTTAGGCTTTTGCATCAGAAAAATACGCGGCTATATTGGAAGACCAGGCGCGTACTGGAGTCAGCCATCGAGGCGGAATTTGCTTGAACAGGGATAAAGTTGGCAAGAAATTTGTCACGGGATCAGTTCCACACTGCCTCAGAGTCAGTGCGTAAACGAATCTCTGTAGGCGGGTGACGTGACCAGCCTCTCTTTAACGGGAAGAGAATCTTGGACGGGAGCAGAGATTTGCGCGCAAGAGATATCGGTCATCCCATATCCTATCATTAATACAAGATGTCTTTGCCGCCGCGGTATGATGTTGGCAGCGTTTGTAACTTCCCTTTCGATATTCCTCAGATACGAATAAAGAATAAAGGCGCTGCCGCCGTGTATACTGCTGGTGCAATTGTAAGTCTCCTTCAAAGTGCCTTATCTCCCTCATTGGGATCCTCGACTGTTGATCCTGTTGGCCTTGTTTTACTGGGTTCTCCTGCCATTTCTGGTCACCAGATAACTCATGCATTTACCTTAGTTCGCCATCGCCAATTGGTTCTTTTTGGACGCCGCCATACTTAGTGCTCATACGAAACCGCCGAGAGATGCGCCCTATGACCTCGTGATTCATGTTTCCTTCGTGGATTGGATTCCGGGGATCTGCAGCATAATCGGTCTCTTGATCGTCAACTTGGTCAACAAGGCGAACTTGAGAGGCGAGGAAACCTCCTTTAGTGGGAGCGAGACCAATTTGGTTTGGAGAGCCAGGCTATTTTTGTTTATGGGCTTTGCGTTTTTGGCTGGTGGTCTTGCTGGGAGTGTTGTAAGTTTCTGACAAGACTTGGGGAGTATTTGATCTTGCAGCTGACGGGAGGCCTTACAGACAGTCCTAGTCCTCAAATACATACTTTCGTACTATCCAGAGTACCAGTACTTTGGGATAGCCAACGTCGTTCAGAATGCTGGTATTATGCTCTCAGGTGTTGTGTTGTGGTGGTCTGCGCTCCTCGGCGGTGATGATGATTATCCCCTTCCACTTTGATTTACTCTCGCGGAACACAGCAACAGTGTATGTATTGGCCGGACCTGATTTGTATCGCACAGCACCGTTGAGCCATTTCTGAATGATAACCGCCAAAGTTACATTAGCAGTCTGAAGGCGAATGTGGATATGAAGAGAAGTAATAATGATACGAAAAGGTTGCAAGATGGAAATGTAGATAAGAGCCTACAGCTTTCCACCATGGAGCGGAGTGCACGCAAACTCGGATAATGATACTGACACAGCGTGTTACTGAGCAGCCAGCACCTGGAAGTACGCTTCATATTCCTCCGGTGTCATAAGGTCATGATGGTCGTCAGTGACGTCATTAAGATCCATCGGTTCCCCGGCAACTGCGAGTTATGTTAAGAAACCGCAAAGCAATCCACACACAAGGTGGCGGATGAAAACCCGTTGTACATACCGTACACAATGACGCCACGCTTTCCCTCATCACCTCCACTCTCGCCACGAGACGTTTCAATTCCTTCATCTTCATCTCGCAGACGTTTTTTAGACGCCACATTTGGCAAATACAGTCCACCCACACTCGGCTCGCCCCCAACTTCTTCTTGTTGCCGCTTTTCTTCCAGTTGGGCATAGTATCGCGAATAATCTGCATGCAGATAATTCAATTCAACTGCTTTGTTAAGAAAAATAAGATCAAAACTTTAGAAACCCACATTCAGCCTTGTCAACATCAGTCGCCAAACCAAATGTCGGCTTGACATCTTTCTTTTCTTCTTCGTCCTCCATGCTCATCAGAGGGGATAATGCCGATGGTGCAGGCTGAACAGTTTCCTTCAGACCCAAAGCCGTGACTTCCCCAGAAACAGTGGAATGGGTATGCCAGGCTGGCATCGCATTCTGTTGCCTAAGAGCAGTGAAAAACCGAAATTCGCTTCATCTAAAAAACCTCGGTGATTGCAATAGATTACGAACCTCGTAGCCAACGCAGCAGCCTCCAGTGCCTTCTTTCGCTCTTCGCTATCCTTCTCATCAATTATCTCCACACTAACTTTCTGAGTATGCGGTGCTCCTGTCCCATGTGCACCAGCAATAGCCAGTCCATCGCCTGGTTTCCCCATGGCGGAAGTGCCCAAAGCACCCCCGGCACCACTTGGTAGCGCATTAGCGGCCATGTGCGCGGCGACGTTATGCGCGTGCACCCATTGGGCAATATCAAAGCTGCGCAAAGTACCGCATGAAAATGACCTCATGCCACTCGAGAAACGTCGTCGTACCTTGGGAACTTGATCTCATCCGTCTTCTTCAATAAACTTTGAATTGTCTCAGTCCCCTTGTTGAATCTCTGCATCCTATCCTCCCTTCCCGCCGCACTGCCACTCTCCCCCATCCCAACACCGTCAGTGTTATCCACCACTTCCGTCCCACAGAGGTCGCAAAAGAACAAACCCCCTCGGAATGGATCCGCAAGCTGATACGCATCCAGCATGGCAAATGTTTTCTTACAATTCGGACAGATGTATCCCTTGTCCGCAAGTTCCTAAGGATAAGATACGTGTGGCCAGAGTTAGAAAAGGTGAGTCTCCATTAACAAAAATTGTGACCATCGAATGGTTGTTGGTGGGGTGAACCTGCAGAAGACTTATGCTAAACATATTCGCCATATGGCGTTGATGCCGCATCTTCGGAATAAGCTACGAATCGGAACAAGATAAGGGCCAGGGAGGGTGCGCCCTCTCGGAAAAAAAGAAGAAAACGGAAACAATGTGGATTAGTACTCACGTTCCGCAGTTTCTCATCAATAACCCTATGCATATCGGCAATCCCAAACTTCACCAAATTACAAAAAAGTGGGTAGTCGATATAATAGTACCGCCGAACGCTACTTCGATTGGAGGCAGGATCTTTCTGCTCATTCTGTGTATGACTTGGAGGGAAATGGCAGGCCATAACGTAAGCAAGTAAAAGAAACCGGGATGGTCAGGAACGATGGGAAGAACAATTTGACGAACAGAAATGAGATGGATACGGGGGGTTGTCGGGTGGAGGAGGGGGAACAAGAAAGGAAGGTGTCAATTAATCAATTGACGTCGTTCCCCCAGATACGCACCACTTGCCCCAATGTGATCAAGCGAATAAAGAATGGTGGGATGAATAACATGAATTGAATCTCACCTCGAAACCAGCCTGGCACTCATAAGCTTTGCAAGACGTTTTGCCGTATCTTTGGCATTCGTTCCTATGCGACCCGCAAGGTCCTCGTCTTTGAGGCTTCATTTTCGGGTTGAGATTTTGCGTCATTTTTGGGGTGAAGATGGGAAATAACGTGGATCAAGAGGAGATTTTTGGGTGGGGAGGCCGGACAAAGGAAAGGCGGACAATTTGATGCGAAGAGTCCGGTGGGATCCGTTAACCGTGAAACGTTATGCAGAACGAGATAAGAATAATGGAAGCAGTGAGGAAGTACAGCGTACGGAAAGTGACGTGGGATACGAAAGGGAGGAATTCGTTGATCGATTGGTAGTCGTGGGGTCATGAGTGAACCGGGGCGGCGTGAAGAAGTGCAGGTTGTGAGAGAAGCACATGGATGGAGGACGGAGGGCACCGAAATGAAGTGATAGAAAATTCATCCGCAAAAGTCAAATGCAAGACCAACGCGTGCGACCGTAGGGTCGGCGAACAGAAACACCGGTCCGTAAAGAGCGATTTGACAATGGCACATGTGACAGGATGCAGAAGCGATTGCATAAGCCACCATTGTTTCAGCATTTGTGACATGGGAAGAGACGGACGTCCAAGCCAGACCGGTGGAGATTTGCGTCCGTCATTGATTGCAAAGTGCCCGTTATCAGGTCAATGCGGCGGTTTTAATCCCCGCGAATCGTCAATCGCACAAGTTGGATGAGCGAAGAGAGGGAGTGGGGACACAGAGAAGCGTAGCATACCATGAGGGTATATTGTCGCCACGAACACGGAACGTGTTTAGTTGGCACGGGAAGGTCACAATGTGGCGTTATCCGGTTCAGCGAGGCCGTGAAAGTCCCCATTACGAAAGAGTGACGGGGGGAGAAGTGCGAGAATTATGAAGATATGAAAGAAGCGGTAGTACCAGTTCGTGGCGAAGGGTGAAATGGAAAGAAATTAGTCAGTTAACATCAAACGAGCGGATTGAAGGCGAAGACTGCGGGGTCTGGATAAGGCGGAAGGTTTGATGAGAGGAAAAATTACAGCTCCAATCCAAAGCCGTGGCATGGTTCCAAGGTGAAAGGTATTGGACCCGGACTCCTGGAAGCCAGATAATTGGAACTAAGAACAAAATCGGGAATGTGGAGATGGGAACGAAGAGCCACAAAAGGCTCGATGAAAGGGGGTAGATAAAACATTGTAACCATGATTAAGTTAAATTGTTCTTATCGCACTCACACATCGTGTTTAGCCAACTGATCCAAAACGACCACTTGATCGACATCATAAAACTTTCTCGCGACATGTTGAACCAACAATCGTAACGTTCTCTTCTCTTCATCGTTCAGAGTGGACGTGGGACCAGATGGTGCAACAGGTGACGCGCCATTCGTTCCTCCGGCAGCTGATGCACCTGCAACCCTAGTTGTATTGAGACCCGTCGCAGTGGGCGGATTTCTGATAACGTCCGTTATCGTTATGTTGCTTTTGTCCATTCAGTGGTAAGGTAGCAGCGGAATGAAGTGGAGCCACTGGAAAACAATATTAGCCGGGTAGCAGTCGCCAAACACCCTAATTGCAAGTGGGCGATCCGTCCCTTTCACTAAAATGTCGACTGGCGTGTTCAAGCCAACTGTTGTTAATTTGTTATTGTAATAGTGGACGATCTCGGGCTGATCGCACGCGTCCCTGCAGATGAGCTCGAATGGGCCAGCTGAGAATTGTACTTGAATGGATTTCCTAGTCTGCAAGCTCTGCAGGCTCTGGATGTAAAAATGATCGATGAAAAGTGGCTAGGCCACGCGAATGCCCCTTGTCACGTTTCCTGTGATGCCGCGCGTGACGGTTCCGCATGCACAACATCGGCGCGATCGGAATGAAATGGCAGAGTAACCGTTGGCAATCCTTCCCCTGCTGGACGGATCAGAAACCAGGGGATGTTATTCCACGATTCTCATGATCTCCAAGTTAGTGAAGCCTGAGACATCCCTTGGCTTTTTTCTTTGAAGGGACCCAGTTGTCGTCCGGAACAGGGACATCGTCACCATCAACACATGTGGGGAAATGATTCCCTTAGTCAGGTAATTGCATTTCAGGTCCGTCCTGTCGCAGGTCATAAAACTTGATCCATGTCTTGGAGACAATGCATAGTTGCATGATCGAGTTGATCATCGGTCAATACAACCGGCGACACGCGAACATTTGCACGCGTTGTGCCGGTTGCACATTCTGCCAAACTGGAAGGGCCCCGTTCAATGTGGCAAGCTCCATGGCGAGTCACTGCCCGAGCTAGTGGGGACTATATATATAGGTCATAAGGTATTTACGCACCATGCAAACGGAAAATAGCAATTATGGGCGCTACTCAAGTAAGTCAAGGTGGTGTTAACGTTATATCGATGTGCCTCAAATCGTGGTGCGCAGAAGATAGGCGCTCATGTGGTCGTACAGCACTCGTGCGGCCCGCATTTTGTGACCGACGGAGCCCGCAGCCTAATGGCAGCATTGCACGGAAAAGTAGGCCGGTGTTTCCGTGATACGCGCTGTGTGAATTATGGGCATTTTTTCGGCTAGTTAGTATCTCACCGCCTGGAGACCCCGTGGAAATGGGCTGGGCCTGTGGGGAAGTGAATATTGGAGCGTAAATTCTCTGATAACATTCGAGGTAGTCATGTTGTATAGTTCCGAACCCCTGTTGACTTTGTTCTGGACTTGTGGAGGCCATGGAGCAAGACACGAGTTGGAGTCTAGTTTCAAGGTAGGTTAATAACCCATTTCAATGCTGTTTTATATCTATCAGCTGGATTTCCTATTCCAATACTCATCAACTTTCCTTTACTGCAGGACAGCAATCCAGACTCAGGTTTCCAGACTCATGTTTTCAATTATTATTCGAAACCCTTGATTCTGAATAAATCAACTCGGCCAGAATTCCAGACCGAATTTGATCTGCATGGCACAAATCAAGCAACATGACAACTGCTCAATCACCATTCAATCCACTCTCATCTTTAAAACCAACGATGGCCCGGAAATACTTTCCCTTTGCTCTTTGCCCCAGCTCAAGTTCACCATCAACCTTCATCGTTGACTGCTAGTGCCATCTCTTCCATTCGTCGTCCCCCAGCCGTGTAAGTCCCCTACCAATCATTGCCATCCGACACCCAATTCTATGCCGAGCCCGCTCCCATCGATCTCACCTCGGAAAACACCCTGTTTAGCCTTCTTCTCTAGCTGTCAAACCTCGCTCGACTTATCGGTCGGACCAACACCTTTTGCGAGAACTTACAACGATGGCATCCCCTCACATGCTCGAGTTCCTTCTGAACCTCCCCCTATGTGCGTCCTTCATTTTCATCTGTGCGCGCGTCTTTTGCCAGTATCACTAATCTACCCCCCTCCCAATCTAAACTTATGCGCATGATTAGCTGTGTATGCTTTCAATCAACCCGTCAAATCTCGTCAATTACTCTACTCTTGCCCTTCATCATCACCCTCAGCCCCACCTTATTCTGTCATCTGTGCGCCGGCCGCATCATCCCGAGGACCATCTTACCTCGTCTCATTCTCCTGTCCATCATATCCCTCACCAGATTCAGGCCCAGGGGTAGCGAAGATTGAGGTCTTCACCGTGGAGATTAGAAAAGATTATTGGGGGAGATTTCCCGCTGTAGATTGGCTCAGTTTGGTCGTCGACGGAGCCCAGAAATGCAAATCTTTTGAGTACCCTTGATGGGGGCGTGGAGCTGGAGGGGGATGGATCTGTAGCTGGGACTACGGTGTGGGTATGCCTTCGTTGTCGTTTTCGCCTATTGCCACCGCCGACACCTCTCTGGTGAGGATGGGCGAAGGAGGCGCGGTGACAGGTGTGGCCTATGTTTGTGTGGTTATGATGCCAGGTGCGGGCGCCTCAAGCAGAATGTGCAGCACGGGATGGGGGACGGTACACGCCCAGGATCTGATGGCCTAATAACCGTGTCTTTCTGGAACTGGCGAGTGAGCGAGCTCCGACATCGAACTCAATCCATTCATGCCGAGTTGGTCCTACGCTCTCTTTTTGCTTCGGTGACATGTTGTAGGCGCTATCCGGTTGTTCTTGTGTGCAGAAATGCGTTGTTGTCCTTGTTCGTGCCATCCCTCGCTTCTATTCAGGGGTTGTCAGCTCTTCCCATTCACTGCGGCGAACCCTCTTTTCTTCGGGCAGATGGACCCGAATGGATGCCGCAGCGCGATGCTGATCTGATCTAGATTCTGTATCCTGAATGCCAAAGATTGCTTAACCGCCAGCTTCATCGTATCGTCCACGCTTCGTCTGTGCTATTCCTGGGATTCGTCCTCCGGCCCATTAACACTAACAATATCCATTCGAATCCGGGTTCTTCGTCCCACCCCTCCACGTTCGCGGCTTCCTTCCCCCCCCCTGCAACTTGACATCTCTTTTCTCCCCTTCCTTTCTCCATCTTCCATCTGATCGAACACCCAATTTCTATTCCTTATGCTTAGCCGCTCATCCTCAGAGTGCCCAATCCGGTCACACACACCAACCCGCACTTCCACAGCCCCCCAACCGGCCCTTGTGCACATCGTTGAATTAATCCCGCCGCCAAATGAATGAAGATTATTTCCCAATCTGGCTCCCTACCGACCTTCGACCTTCGCATCTAGACCCCATCACTAGTGCGGATCATCACCATATGGTAGAGCACACCATCAACGTCGCACTCTACTGTCGAGCCCATCCCCTCTCCTCATCTCCTCCAGCACACGTTTTACGGTATACCAAGTAGTTCACTCTCATGTTCTCGTCTTGCGCAACTCTCAACTATGAATTCAGAAATTAATAATACTATACCCATCCTTCCTCCACTCCCTGTTCAACTCCAATTGTCTTCGTGTCGAGCAAATTATCGACAAGATTTGCGTTGTAGGATCCGGCGTTGCAGTCTTGCCTCTCCAAGTTGGTCATTTGTTCATGTTCGTTCGCGCTTCGCCATGGACACGAATTGGAATCTAGTTCGTGAAGTGCACTCGAAGGAAAGCCCTCCTCATATGGCTTGACGATAGGTGTGGTGACTTTGGTCAGTAATGAGGGGGGGCAGTGGTGACGTTTTGCCTTAAAGCCAAAGTTGGGATGGAATCAGAGTAATGCTCAGGCATGTAGCGGGGAAACGTTGCCCGGCCTACTCGACCTACCAGCTTTGTGTACCTCTTTCTTTCCTTGTGTCTCTCACCTTTCCCTTCCCTACCCCTCAGCGTATTGGGGTCTCGACTCGACCTTAGGTTCGAAGCGATTCACGAATTTCACGAGCTAAACTAACTGGGAATCGTAAGGAGCATCAGCGTCAAGCCACCTTTTCTCCACTGAGGCGTTGATTTTCCTTCCACCCTGCTCTGGATCGTAATCGCCGGGATTCACCAAATTACTATCGCCTTCTGTTGCGCCATTTGATTCTTCGCCTTCTCTGTACACACATCCCTTACTGCTCTTTGATGCAGAATCGTGCCAGCCCATACTTCCGGCCGTTATGGAAATATCCACAACGCCACTGTTAAACCGATGGGAACACGCATCGTCTTCCGTACATATCAATCACACCTTGTTTCGACAGTCGGCTGGTTCGATCGATCGGAATCTCTTTTCAGCTTCGGCTCTAGCTTTGACAGTTGCGCGCTCCGGGGCCTGGGATGCACTCGGAGCCAAATGATTAAATCGGATGCTGGGGTGCATTCCCATGGCCTATGCAATTTTGCCCTAGCTAGGGTTGATGTATGCGTGAGCCCCTTTTTTTTTTGCCTCTGGTCTGGTCTTACCCTTCTGGTTTCTTTCCTTCTTGCTATTCCTGATCCACTTGTTTTATTCGTTTCGTCTTGGCATTCCAGCTCGTTGTTCCAACCTGCTTACATTATAACCCTCACCGTGTCTGCCTCGCTCTTCGTTGTCTTTAGCCCCACTGGCTTGCATTCTGCATTCTTTCACCTGCAGTCCCTATTTTGTTCTCCATTACCTTATATCACCGTGTTTGTTGTCTCTCTTGCATCCAACATGTGCTTTCATATAATCACTCAAGTAAGGGCGTCCATCCACTACGTCACCAGTTCAACTCTGTCCGTTATCATAGCTCACATCGTCACAATACATTCTGCATTAACTTTGCTATCGTCCACTTCCCTAGCGGGTTTCGGGCCGTTCGCGGTTTAACGGGCATCCACGTTATCGGGCTAATGATGCCCCTTGAGACATTTCCCCACCGATTTATCGATTTATCCTGGATCAATCACCGCATTTGGTCACTACTTTTATTTCTTGCATCAACCTTTCGCCAGACACGCAATATGATGATGGGTGCTAGGTGATAAGTGGTAACTCGTATGGACTTAGCGTTTCTTCTGCGGGGGTGTATGTGCTCATGCGCCATGGTGTCACATCTGGGTCTAGGTCGGCTGATTCGCGGTTGTGAAGGATATCGCGTCTCTGGTCATCGTATCCTTGAGCCTTATTCCCAAATTTATCTTGACTCTTTGTCACTACCCATCGACTCCCCGCCACATGGGCAACACCGAGGTGGACATGTGTTACATCTGGGATTCTATCTCATGCGTGAGGCACCGTACGACAAGAACCTGACTTGAGAAATAAATCTGATCCGATTAATCCCCCTCCCGTATCTTCAGCTCCATGCGGCTGGCCTTTCTGTGCTTTATTGGACTTCGTGGGATCCGGTAATTCTCCGGTTTTGGTTCAGCGCTCATGGCCTCAGATTTCTACTCTTTACAAACGTTAGAATACACCTTGTCTAGCCTTGAAGCACCTTTTTTTGCACTAGTGCCTTTCACCTTTTCTTTTTTTCCTTCGCGATTTTCTTCAACGCCTTTCTGGAAGTTGGTGCCACTCTATTCTTCCCCATGTTTATCCTATCACTGTTCCCTCAACTGCCCACATAGCGCTCCCATTCATCGCCCCTCTACTATATATTACATTATCCCCATTCGGGGGGAAAAATCCCCCGCCGCATCAGGAATTCCACCACTTGTCACAGATTCAGTTTGGACGCCATGCATGGCCGGCCTCGGATTATTGCTAGACGACGTGCATGGATGTTCGAGCCAAGGCTAGGTTGGAGACGGAATCTCAAACTTTCATTAGGTATGTGTGCTGGAATACCAGTGCAATTGGGTTATATCACATAACAATGAAGCGATAACCAAAAGTGCTCATTATTCGACTATGTATGCATGCCGCTTGTAATGGCCTGACGCTGACTGCTTCTCTTATGCACGGATTCTCGAGCGATCTGGAAGCCGTAATGATATGTGCGCCCAGTAGCCCAGAAGTGAGGGAATTTCATGAGGGGAGATCGCAGGGATCAGTTATATTGCATCCAGGTCGTTTTCGGATTGAATTTCAGAGTCGTACATCGGACGCGTTCTGAATCCAGACTCCTGACCAATAAGCCGCGGGTTCTTCAGGAGGTCAGGTTCGGACAGGGTTATGACATCGAGATCATAACACGCCGCATCGATAAGAGAGTCTTTGACTGCAGGACAAAAGGTATTGGTGGCTATTAGTCGTCTTCTGCTTGAACCACTGAACGGCGGTAGTGGTTACTCGGGCAAGAAGACAGTGCCAGACGTCCTTGTGGCAGGGTCTGCCAGTAGTGCACTCACCAAACGCTGAAATACATCGTGTAAGAGAAGTCAAGAACGACGGATTCGGAAGAAGTTAGTTGTGGCAGATCCCTCCCATAAACAAAGAAACAGTACGTCATGCCCATAACGCTCCCCCGCCCCGTGTGCTCCGAGGGCCTGAGCAATGTAGTGGACCGAGGACATTGATTGTGAGCCGCAGACTTCAAGTGCAGAACAGATCCATTAGGGGCTTCACAGTGTTGAAGTGTACCTAAAAGCACGTACAAGGCCACCATATAACACGTAAGCTCTTTTGGTCAATACGAGGCCTATTGAGCAAAGAAAGTGCATCTATAACCAGTTGTACCATCACCAGGATGGAGACACCTGAAAGCTAGAGCTCAGGGTCGAGAGAAGTCAAGCCACACCCAAGAGTCGACCCTATTGAAGCAGTTTTCGACCAGATGAGAATGCTCGAACTGATAAACTGATAGGGAGGTTGCTGAGAAAGTGCAGCGAGAGCGGCGACCTTTGATGGGAGGCGACCTTAACGTAACTCTCTCAACCCAAGATACTTGATGCGGAGAAGTCGATCCCACATGCCTCGTGGTGCCACTGTCACACATTTGATTAGAGCCTAATTAGAAGTAAACTCACACTTCATTCCCATCCTAAGGTAACGAAAATGATGCTAGACACCCAATGTAGAACAATCAACCCTGATGACCAAATGAGTCCATGAGCGACGAGTCAGCTGAGGGCAGTGGATAACTGAATCCAACACGGCCGGTGGTCAGGAAAAATATGTCTGGTAAATCGGGAGGCGACCAAGATAATACCAGGACCTCCACGAGAATGCCGGCAACATATCATATACATATAACGTTACCTGATATCCGCTGTCACGTAATGGATTTAAAAAAATCCATGGGCACCCGCGCATTACCTAGGCCATATCGGCCGAGACCCAGCACTTCCCAGCACCACGTACTCTTGTCGGTTCCAACATGTAGTGAAATCACCTGCTCATAGTAGAGCACAGGGCTCTTAGATCCTGTAATACAACACGGCCCAAGCCAATCTAGACGTGCCATAGCCTCTCAGAGAGGTCGAACGCGCCTATGATAGTACTCCAAGTTTGAGTGGCCGAAGAAGACACCACGTCAGGAATTGCGGTCATGAGGCATCATACCTTTGGACTGCATAAACTAGGAGCTTGGGGAACACCGAATGAGGACGGCCAGCGCTGCACGAAGCTGCCAGCAACACTCCAAGCCTGTCGACTTCTGGAGTTAAACCGCCAACTGCTTGAGAGCATGTCTAGCTCCGGAACAACGTGTCATCTCACAGGACCCTAACGGATTGTACGAGGGAAATGCAGCCGAATGGATGGATTTTATTCCCCGTAAATGCTCTCTCAGGAAACGTTGCGCAGAGGAAAGAACTGGCCCTGCATGCCCGCTCGAAGCAGGTGCCTTTGTGGGGGGCGGACAAGAGCACAATAGATCCTGCCACCAATGAGTACTCCCCTGAGTTAATGTGGCCCCACGAAACATCATGAGACCATAATATGACCAAGTTGTCAGGCAGGTGCGGATTCACACTGGTCATACAGGAAAAAATTACTTAGAGGAGGCGTGTAATCAATACAAAACTCCAAGCGTGCCTACGCTTTACCGCGATCTTGACGTGCTGGTTGTCAACTACCATCGCTCAGTGCCTGGGATGACCACCTTCTTGATGCGCGTACATCGAAAAGACGCCGGAGAAATAAGGTCACGGTCTGTGACCGTGACAGGTCCTGAAACTGGTGCTCGTGCTCCCTAATCGACTTTGACGTTGGTGCCAACCAGGCGCTTGTCTGCTATCCATTCCACTCTCAGATTGGCCATCACATCACTTCAGCTGTATCAGCTCCTCGGGCCGCTAGCAATACTTTCCGTACTTCAACTTCCAGAAGTTTTCCGGTAACGCATCTGAACCCGACTCAACTTGCACAAGGTCGAGATCCTCACAAGCTATCCCTTTTATCAAAAAATTAGGATTCAGTGTTAAGGGAACTCCTATTGACGCTGCATAACTTCGAGCAAGAAAGAAATAATGTCACAACCTCCTCAAAATCACTCATCTGCCTCAGCGTGAGCCCTTTTGCCCAATCAAATTAAACGTTAAGCTGGAATTTATGCCAATTTCTATTGCCGTATGCTGCGATTGTCTCTACAGCGACTGGAAAGCTGGGCTCAAGGCTCCACCGAAAGATAGCAGGCCGCAAACGGAAGTATGTGGCTGGCTCTAAGCGTGCAAAATCGAGTCAGCTTATTCTCTCCATCCTTGCCCAGGATGTGACTGCGACACGCGGTCTAGAATGGGAACAAATGAACCTCCGTCGTGAACTACTCATGGGCATCTTCGAAGCTGGATTTGAGAACCCTTCCCCTATACAAGAAGAAGCTATTCCCATCGCTCTCACTCGTCGTGACATCCTTGCACGCGCGAAGAATGGGACAGGCAAGACGGGCGCTTTCGTCATTCCCTGTCTCCAGCACATCGACACTACGATGCTAAAAATTCAAGCACTTCTCTTGACCCCCACTCGAGAACTCGCGCTTCAAACTGCTCAAGTTGCCAAGACGCTGGGGAAACACATGGGTGTAAATGTAATGGTGACAACTGGCGGCACAACCCTCAAGGATGACATCCTCCGTCTGGCTGATCCCGTCCACATCCTTGTTGGGACTCCCGGGCGCATTTTGGATTTGGCAAGCAAAGAGGTCGCCGATTTGAGCTCCTGTGGGGTATATGTCATGGACGAAGCAGACAAGCTATTGAGCCCCGAGTTTACCCCTGTGATGGTGGAGTTGCTGGAATTCTGCCCTCCTCAGAGGCAGGTGATGTTGTTCAGTGCTACTTTTCCTGTGATCGTGAAGGATTTCAAGGTGAGTATGGAATGCCTAGTCATCTTGAAGCGTTTTAACGTTTCTGTAGGGCATTCATATGCGTGACCCTTATGAGATCAATCTCATGGATGAGCTTACATTACGCGGCGTGACCCAATATTATGCATATGTTGAAGAGCGCCAGAAAGTCCATTGTCTCAATACCCTGTTCGGCAAGGTACAGACAACGGCTACCCTGTTGTTGAGCACGCATTTAGTTGATAATTTTCACAGCTTCAAATCAACCAATCAATCATCTTCTGCAATTCCACAAGCCGAGTCGAGCTACTGGCAAAGAAGATCACCGAGCTAGGATACTCATGCTTCTACTCACATGCCAAAATGCTTCAAGCCCACCGTAACCGCGTTTTCCACGACTTCCGCAATGGCGTCTGCCGAAATCTTGTCTGCTCGGACCTTCTTACGCGTGGCATTGATATCCAGGCTGTCAATGTTGTCATCAACTTCGATTTCCCCAAAAGCTCCGAGACATATCTCCACCGTATCGGCCGCAGTGGACGCTTTGGACACCTCGGCCTTGCCATCAACCTAATAACGTACGACGATAGGTTTAATCTCTATAGAATAGAACAGGAGTTGGGAACAGAAATCCAGCCGATTCCCCACACCATTGACCATGCATTGTATGTGGCACCAGGTACTGGAGGTGACGATCGTCAGGCCGCCGCCCAGAGGGCTCAACTGCTGCAACAACAGGTGAGAGCACAGCAGCAGACCCGGCAGGCGGCCAGACTCCAGCAGCAACAGCAAGCCGCTAGGGCATTACAACAGCAATGGGCAAATGGTCCGATGCAAGGACAAGTCTACCCTCAGAACCAAATTCCGAGGGGACCACCAGTTTATGTCCCACAGCCACAAAGTGGTCCTCATAGGGGTGTTGCGCCACCCAACGGTGCACATTGACGAATTCCTTCATAGAGTGCGCTATTTTCGTTTGTTTCGGCGACTCAACTTCTCGACTGACACCCAATACTCTCAGTCATCTCGATTCCCCTGCTCGGCACACTATTGGTCACGCTCACTCTAACGACCATTTTCCAACGGGAGGCTGGCGTCTCTAACGCTCTTTGTACCACTTTGTTCAGTGTCACTCCTTGCGTTTTCTATTTCTGCTCTATTTATATTACCTTGGTGAGGATCGCTTTAATCATTACTTTGCGTCTCTCCGATCCGGTCCTTACTGCCCAAGGTTGGAAGTACAAAGATGCGTCGGAATATCGCGACTTAATATCCCCTTCTCTCTTCGTTGTCTCTTCGTCTGCCGCTTGCCCAGAAAGCGGTTGGTAATGGTCTGATGGTGCTGAGGCGCAGAACGTTGTGTTAGCGAGCTTCGTAATCATGCTTTGATGCATTCTGCTGCTGCTGGTGACTGGGGTGGCATTGTTGTAGTTAGACATGGATTTGGCTCCACGAACTGTGACATGAAAGCTTTCTCCCTCCCTAACCAATGTCGTGAAGGACAACATATATAGGGAAATACCATCTACGTAAGCGAAGTATCAGTTGTATCTGTTCAGGTATGAAACCAACGCCCGAGCCACCGAATTTACAGTCTTCGCAACGCGAAGATTAAGAACAGCAGGAAACCAGCGTAGGTGATCCATTTGATTTTAACCGCATTTCTCCTTCCAATGAACAACTCGAAGCTGATCCAAAATGGATCCAGAGTCTTCTCTAATTGAGAGATTTCTTTCCCCAAGAGCGGACGCCTCCGCTTCTGCTGTGAGGCGCTCTGACGCGCCATGAACGCGACCCACCACGCGGTAGAAACCCCAGCGCCAAACAAAGGGATTTTGAAGTTCCACCATGGCGAAGGCTCGTCAGCCAATTTCGGGAGGCCTGTCTCGGTGTCGATTGAGACGGTCTTATCTGGGTAACTCGCAGGATCGATTATTAACCAAGGAAGGTAGGGGTACGGGACTGAGGGTCGAGCGAGAGCCACAAAGTCTGCGTGTCCTGAAGTAATTGTCTCCATCATAATTTTGACGGAACGCTTTTCAGTGAAGTTAAGAATTAGAACAAGGATTAAGATGAGAATTATATGAACAAACCACTCACAATAGAACCGGTAAGTATAATTTTAGGTGCATTGGGGATGTCCCGAATAGAAGAGAGAGCCTTCCTAGAGAAAGCGGAGAAGAGAGCCTGGCGGGTGGAAGTTAAAAAACCTGTGCTGAAGTCCATCAACCCATGTCAGAAAAAAAGAACCTAGACGAACGAGGATTCTCGTAAGTTCCCCCACTGATTTCAATCAGGTCCACAGGATAGCCTTCTTGCGCCCATCCAGCAATGTCTTTTATGTGCTCTAACGCAGTTTCTTCCGTCAGCCCTCCTTGCACATAGTCCGCTGCGTTGAGTTTGATGGCAACCACAAAATCTGAAGGCATGGCCTTTCGAATGCGTTGCACCAGTTGTTTCAAAATGTATAAAGAGGCGGGTCCATATGGAGGGGTACGCTTGTTGGTCTGTGGTGGTTCTAGCCTCAGTCCTCCCTCCCAAACAAGCGAGATGAAGGCATCACCTTTGGAGAAACCGTACATGCTAGGAGGTCTGTGAAGAATGGTATCAATGACATATTCAGCGCTCGGCCCATCACAGAACCTACAGCCGTGAGCACCATGCAGTTGTACACCATCAAACTAAAAAAGTCTTGAGACGACTGAACATTCCGTATCAAGCATCGATATTACCTTGCATTTGTGAGCAAGACGCGCTGCGAAAACAAAACGGTCCAGGATCTTGTCGAGTTCCGCGTCGCTTGGCGAGGTGGGATGTTTGAACAACAACCGAAAGAACAACCTCCCGAACCAGTGATCCGGCGGAGCAAGTGGGACATCACTGACACAAACAGGAGGCGCAAATATACGTCCCCCTACTAGTTGGGGTGACTGCCGTGTAGCATGAGAGACCTGAAGGAGGGCCAAGGGTTTCTCATGTGGTTCTGTCGCTTTCCCAGGCCCATGGATTGCTTCAGCCAACCTTTCATAAGGTTCGCACGATTCTTCACTAAAATCCTCGGGGACGACGATGTCTCGTCCCAACGTAAGATGGTCATTTGCCACTTGCGCATTACCTGTTCCGACGTCACGTTCCGACGACAATATTCGGGCAATGATGGGTTTGCCACTTGCCTGTCAAGATGATACCCCAGCCACCCTTGCCCCATAACTCGTACATCCCCTCGTGATCATGGTTCGGCAAACCACCCCACCAATCCGCCAGAGCTTCATACATAGAGGCCTAACCTTCAACAGATGAGAAACGACGCGTGCAGTTCCGGCCTATGAACTGACCTTCACGAATCTATTTGGTGCGATGCGCCCGCATGGGAGCATTACAGGAGAGTTAAGCACCTCCCCTGTTGAGGTCATGTTCACAATAGCCCAATCCGGGTTGTACAACCAGCCGAAGCTGCTGTAATTCTGCTTCGGTCCCGACACCAACTTCGCCGATCAATATATTGACAGGCCTAGGACGAAATCCCTGTCATGCGTCACCGGTGGGGGGTGTCCATTATGTATATCTTGGATTGTACGGAACGGCATCGATCATCGAACATTGTGAAAAAAAGCTTGCACACAATTGATGGCTGTAATTCACACTTTCTAACATGAATTTATGTAACAGAAGCTATGAAACAATCGAAAATTCGTCTATCTATCTTACAGCGTGATCGAGTCCATCATAGAGCCGAATGATGGAAAAGGAACAAACCTGCTAACTCCATCCACCAGCGTTGTCTTCCATCGGCAACTCATTACATCCAAACGTTTCGACAAAGATGATGGGCATTGGGTACCAGAACGTTCCTTGCCCGACCAAACGCAAATGGCCTCTAGAGCCCAAGCCCCAAAGGCTGTCGGAGGCTGTCAAAGGTATAGTCCTATCTCAGTGGCTGGGTAACGGCATGGACCCCTTTCGTTTATGCTGAATGCCTCGCTAATTTGGGGTGAACAATCCAGATGTGTTCAGCAACCTGTTAAATCAGGATTTTCCAGGTTGACCGGTAATATGAGTCGTACATCCAATAGCGGCATCATAGTACCAATAATACCACCCTTGGCGACAGTGGCGAGGGGATCCAATCTGGAGTTCCCGTAACGTGACTAGAGAGCCGGGTGGCTGATATGGGGGAGTATCATGGCTCCAGGAGAGATTACGGCCGGACGGTTGACCCGGAATGCTCTGTTCAGAAAGTAACTATGAGAAGCATTTCGGTCCGTGCTAGCGAGGTCAGATCGATGGAAATTGTCAGGAAAAACCTACTGCTCGTTCGAGGACCGTACCTATCGTACGAAAAAGAGCAACAAAGACGAGAAGCGCTGATAGCGCGATGAGGCAAGAAGTTCCCACAGTGGTCAAGTCAGCTGATTCAGATCTTGACGATGCCAGACCCATTGCCCGCTGAGGATATGCCGCGTAGGGACACTCCTTTTGATGTGGGGATCCACTCCTCTACTGCGTGGGCCAAGCATCTGGGGAATTCGAGTGCTCAACCGTCCAACAATTTCCAACAGAGTATCGAGTCCGACCCGGAGGAGGAAGGTTTTCCAGCCAGAGTAATTCAAAACTTTAATGGGGATATTGACAACAGCGAACTGTGGGGATTTATCTGATGTTTGACGCGTAAAAAGGTTTCTCTTACCGTGAATACACCAGTTCAGTTACTGCGGGGGACACTATTGTCGTCCTTCTAGAAGATGTGATGGAGGGATGGAGTTTAGCCCGGAAAGCGGAACAGAGTGCCATTGCCCAACGCCCTTTAGCTTCGGAGCCTTCAGGCGTTTCAATGGGTCTAATTCCCCGCGACCATTATGTCGCGACACTCGAACTTGGAACACCCGCAGACCTGGTTTCCCTTAAGCGAGGATCGTATTTTGCTGGAGGAAAACTCTCCCCGATTGATGCAGATATATCCTCAAGTCTGATAGAAGCTGAATCTCAGGTGGTGCCTCTTGAGGCTCAGTCCACAGGAGCCATTGGGATCGCGGAACTAAGGGCGAAATTGCTTGGAGGAAAAAGCATTAATCGCTTTTCTAGCTTTGTCTCTTCTGGAGCGGAGGATTGGATATTAAATGGAGAGGTAAACTTGCCTCTGGGAACCTCTACTGGAGAAGTTTCGGTTGCGGCCGCTGATAGCTTCAACGTTATGGCAAGTGGGCCTCGGGCTGAGGCGATTGAGATTGACTGTGGCTTATACAGAGTCCACCGGCATGGAAAGAAACTACACCTTTCTTCAGTGTCCTTGTACATTCACCAGCCAAACAACTGTCGCCTTTTTCTGGAGCGTACATCAGATATTCAGTGTCCTCGATCTTCCCCCCAGAATTCGAAACAGACATTTCTTCATCTACGCACCGTGTTACAGTATTCAGACGATTCTCTCAATTTTCCTTTTTGAGTTCGGCATTGTCACGCAAGCTACCTGCCGTCGTCCTTCCACCACTTCCCGAGAAGCAGTATGCTGGACGGTTCAACAATGATTTTGTTGAAGCTCGGAGGGGAGACCTGGAGCGCTGGATCAATGCGGTGGCTCGCCATCCGCTAGCCAGGACCACTGAAGTCTTGTCGTTTTTCTTGACATGTGTAGAGGAAGAGGTTGGTGAAAGTGCTTCAAGTCATCACGTACCCACGAGATGGAATTTCATCTAGGAATGGAACACACAGCTTCCCAGATATTTGGCGGGTCCGCCTGCAGCCGGACCTTCTTTTTTCTCCCGTGTCTTCTACCCTAATTTCAACGTGGACGCGGAAGACGCGGAACGGTTAGTTAATCGTTTCGAAAAACATACAAAGCTTGCCGCGAAGGGTATCGACAACATCCGAACTACATTCAGTAGACTTCGAGAACGGGGCTTAGGTTCGTCGTGTGACGGTTCCCAGCCAGTGTTTTTACTCAGATGCGCCCGATATTCAAGAGACATCAATGTCTCTCAGGGCATTTTCTTATAGTCTGTTGGAATTAATTACATCGACCCTTCCCGGAACCCGCGATGTTCAGACCGAAATGGATGAGCTCGAGGCGGCAAAATTGACGGGCGCTAGCGTGACCAACGCGAGAGAACAACATCCCCTTCCCCTCAGGAGGGTCTGATGACAGCCGACGGCGCATGGTGTTGGAAGGACGATTGTGATGGTAGGTTGTAATGGTATGCAGGACTATACATGCATCTAAACCTATTTTACGTCAGAATGTCTCGACACTACTAAAGGTTTGCAAAAACTCGTGGATACACTTCAAATTGTCGCCGATCTGCACGAAGACCATGTACGCGCATTTATGAATTGTTTTCGCGCTCGTGCCTCGCTAATTCGGTCCTACTACAGGCGAGACGGACGCAGCTGGCGACACTTGAACTATTGAAAACAATGGCTCACCCAGTTGAGTTGTACGCTGTATGTGATGTTGTCGACATTTCTTCCCCTTCTGATAAGACAGTAACTCAGCCGACCGTGGATATCCATCGATCAGCTCTTGCTAAATACCTTGAGGTCTCCGATGTACATTCAGCCCTTCACATTCCTTCCCAAGTGGATCTTAATAATCGGAATTACACAGGAGCAACACAGCAAACCTATTATTCATAATACAGACCCTGTTGTAGCTTCACGTTGCGAGGCTGTCCTCAACGCCACTATGGCTGAGCTCGAGACATACCATCAGCATAAGAACGAAGATTTTAGACAGCTATCAAAGGACTACTTGGATGGAGAGATTGAATTTATGGAACAGGTCTGTTGCCCTCCTGCTGCGCTAAATCAAACGTCCTACAACGGTTCTTTGCAATCATTCAAGGTCCTAACGCGCTTTCGTACCGCCCGTCGAGCTTTCGATGCTCCCCCCGATCCAAAAGTTCTCTTTCCTGGCCCCCGGCGTCCCTCGATCCATGAGAAGGACCTTTCCTTACCGCCATCGAAGAGGAGGGAAGTAAAACCGTTGACACAGCCCACACCCCATATGTTCGATTCATCTGGAGGAGCTTTGAAACCCGTGGCCAAAGTGTTGCAAGAAGTTGGGTTATTATTTCGAGTGGGTGGAAGCTCGGGTGTATATCAGTAAGCCGGATTGGGTGATGATGCCAGTAGCCGGAAGAGAAAGAAGACGGTGGAAGCTCTCCTTGTCGGTTTGTGCGCAAATTTTGATGGCTGTTAGTAAACATTTCCCGGCTTGCACACGCTGCAAAATTTCATCTCTTTCCGCCGCAGTAAGGCCTGTAATTTCATGTTGTATATATGACCAATTGTGAATACCGGGTGATTGTCGAAACATCATGGCTTTGGCCAGCAGAAATGAATCATACTTAGCTAGGTTGTGCGCTGTGCTCACAAGCTCTTCTCCTATTTTCAACCATGCATGGGTAACAAGGGCCACCAGGCGGATATCTACGAGTGTGATGCTCCCTCCGACAGTTGGTCTAGGCCTACGGCGGCGGAATATCGGCAACTGGACTTCTGGCAAGGATGACCCTGCGGCTTAGGCGAGATCGGTCGAAAATCACATCAACCAGCCATCAAGTCGCTCATTGCCAGCCGCGAACATCCCAAATAATACCCTACGGTCGCGCTCCGATCGCGAAGCAGTGTCTAGGGTATCTGTCGGCCAGCCGAAGATGGTCAAAACGCCCGCTTGGGCCACAACCGAGAAGAGAAACATATGTACATAACATGATCGGATGTTCGAAATACATGACCAAAGCAATTGATCCGCCTTCTGACGTATGTCAGAGATCTGAAGAGCCCTTCTAGATGAATGTTCGATTTTGGACTAAGCCGCACACGCGGGATTAGTACAAGTGGCCCGGATTCGGTCCAGAGATGCTTCTGTGGTTCTTAAAGTATGGCGGCGAGTTCGGTGAACGTTGGGATGGCGGCTGTATAAGGCGCCCATGACCAAACCCTTCCCACATCTCGGTGCGCAAACGACCTTCAACTTGCGGTGTCTGGTGCCGGTGTCCCTGCTACGGTATCCTGTCTGCATTCGTGCGCTCATGTAAAACTAACCGCTGCTGCTAAACCGGATAGCCACTGAATAATCCAGCATCATGATTCATGACATGGATGCCCGTTCCTACACCATTGCCTGATTGGTACGGTTGTGGCTGGGGCTCTAGATCTCTGACGACATGACCGCCCCGGTTACCAGCGTTCTCATGCCCACCTCCATTGGAACGGCGTAGTGGGATTGGGAATGGTGGAAGAACGAACAGACCATTCCAAGCGTCCACAGGCTCGGGGTACTTGGGGCCGCCTTGGAAATGGATACCCGTCGCTCCTAGGACCAGCCGATTTCGGCAGTAGAACCTTTTCCCAACAACCGCAAAACGTTGTCGGCGTAAAGTCGATATTCCATGCAGTACACGAGGACCACGGCTCTTGTTCTATTAATCAAGAGCCTACTGGAACAAACAATATTGATCGGTGGCGATGATGTATCTACGGGACAACAGATCCCAGCCCAGCACTAGAGTGACAACTGGTGGAGACTGGAACATATCCTCGCCGCACAACGTGCGCTTGTTGTTTGCATTTGGGTATTCTATCAATGATTGCGACGAGCTGCCGGGCCACAAACACACCGGATTCGTGTCACTTTTTAATTTTTTTCCCCTCCTTCAAAACTCGGGGGCGGGGGAGACCCGGACTTGGGTGGAACGAGTAAACCTACGGGTTGGTGGCTGTGTATTGGGTATGTCATGTGTATATATATGTATGACACAGTACATGTGCGTGGGGTCTTATTGAGGCGAATCGGCTATGCCTGTCGGCCGGCCTCCACCAGCCTTGCGGTTTGTTGGAGCCAACAACTTATATTGCCACATGGTCCAAATAATATATATACCTGACAGTCAACGGCATCAGCAACCGGAAAATGGTACCGATAAAACGTGTGGAAGCAACCTTCGCACCACCTTCACCTGTTTTGCCTGCTTCCAGATCATCCAGTGGCACCTTCATCACAGCTGTGAACAACGATGAAGCCTACGGCATTCGTCCTGCCCCGCGTTATGCTTCTATTTGCCTTGGTTCCGCTCATATTCGCACATGCTACTCCCGGGAGCGGAACACTCGATGGTCTCGATGCTGCTGCCGTCCGAGCCTACGCCAGACTGTTGAAACTCAAACGTGATTCAGCCCCCGCCACTGCTCCTTCGGGGAACTATGCACCTAGCAATTCGTCTTGCCCGCCACAGCTCATCCGTAGCATCAACAACACCGTCTCCGTTGCTCCAGGAGAATATTCTTATGTCCAAGCTCGAAAATCAGCCATCGTATCGAACTGGGCGACGTACCTCAACAACTCTGCCGTAAACCTTCAAGGGTTCGACATAAATGGTTTCTTGAGCAATACGAGTAATTTGCCTATAGTGGCGATCGCTGCAAGTGGCGGAGGCTACCGGGCAATGCTACATGCGTCTGGAGTGTTCAACGCGTGGGACGCGAGGAATAGCACGTCTGTGGCTCAAGGGACAGGAGGCATAGTCCAGCTGAGTACCTACATGGCCGGACTGTCAGGTGGAAGCTGGTTTGTTGGCACGTTGGCTGTGAACAGCATGCCAATGATTCAACAGCTCCTTGAGGTTTGGGATTTGGAGAAGGATCTGGTGAGTTGGAATTGGTATATTCTCTCATTCATCTGCGTGGTTTCCTACTGCAGCATTGTCATTCAATCGCTTCGACTTGATTTCATGAGCCATCTTGCGTTTTAGGTTAACCCCGGCCTCAGCGAGCTTCTAAGCTACTACCTTGATATCAATTCCGAAGTGCAGGAGAAAAAGGCGAAGGGGTTTGACTGTTCGCTTACCGACTACTGGGGCCGTGCGTCACGCTCAATTTCATGTCTTCGCCTGCTTAGTCTGTCTTCTACGTCGGGTCAGACGCATTGTCGAGGCATCTTGTGAACTCCACGAACAAGGGTATCGCAACCACATGGTCATCAGTTCAAAACGTGTCAGCATTCAATGATCATTCGATGCCATTTCCAATCATCATTGCGTAAGTTTGACGTACCGTTCGATGCTCTTAAAGAGTGGGAATGTGAAAGTTCACATTCTGTTTCTCTTTCCAAATTCTGTCTTATCTCTTTTGCTTGAATGAATTCATCTCCAGAGATGGAAGGGCGCCAGGAGAGGCAAGTCTTCCGTCCCCCAACTCCTTACCCATTTCGAAACTCACCCACGTCCGCGTGCCTTCTTCCTTCTTTTGGATTCGCTGATCCTATTGGCCTGCGTCTCCTTATCTAACGCAAATAACCACTCACGCGTGAATGAATTTGTGTGGCGCAATCGCACCGCCATACATACCTATGCTACCGGTTTCTTTCCATGAATGCGCATCCCTTCGTAGACTGTGGTCAGCACTAACACAACCATCTGGGAATTTACGCCGTATGAGTTTGGATCATGGGATCCTAGCTTGAGATCCTTCATCCCGGTAGGCTGGCATTCTATGGTGGCTTTGTATCTCAAGGAGACAGCATACTGAGAACCCTTACGACATACGATTCCTGAAATTTGGGGTGGCGTGTGGATTTGCACACCGACCTCGTTCCTTTCACAATCACCCCTTTGCTCACATAGACTGAGCATATCGGGACCGCCGCGCGTAATGGCACGCCTAGCGTAACGAATGTGTGCGTACGAGGATTCGATAACGCAGGTATGTATTAGCTATATCTTCTCATTCTTTCGGTGTCCTGCCCTCTGCTCTATATCTGTCCTGCCCTTGCTCTATGCCTGCACTACCAGTATTATTTCTTACCCGAATAATGAAATAACTTTCAGGTTTTGTCATGGGCACATCCGCCTCGCTATTCAACGCCGCCATCGCCCACGTAATGAACAGTAGCAGCACGGTTCTCCAGGCTCTTGGAGACCTCCTCAAGGAAATCCTTACTGATCATAACAATGATATCGCACCCTATCCGAACACCTTCAATGGGATCAACGCTGGAGGTTTTCCCGCTTCAGGATCTGCGGAACTAAACCTTGTTGATGGTGCGACAGATAACGAGAACATCCCTCTTTGGCCACTTCTGCAGCCAGAGAGACATGTGGACGTTATTCTTGCCCTAGATGCCAGTTTTGATACGACTTATCGTTGGCCGAATGGGAGGTGAGTGGTGCATCTCTTTGACTTCTTGGCGGTAAACTAACTGCGCTTGTCTGTCATGTCTTAAGTTCCCTCGTTCAGACGAGGAACAGGGTGATGACTGATACTTTCAAGAACGTTCCCTATCCTCGTGTTCCATCGAGTACGAACACATTCGTTAATCGAGGTTTGAACAATCGTACCACATTCTTTGGATGTAATGAGACAGCTACGCCTCTTATCGTCTATGGTGAGTGTTGTAACTCCTGCTCTTGCGGACGTAAGTGTAATGTTTGGCACCATGCCGCACCAGTCCCCAATCACCCCTACACATCATACACCAATTTTTCGACTTTTCAACTCAATTATAAACCAATTGAAGCTCAAGAGTTCCTCACCAACGCCCTGCATGAGGCAACAGGCAACGGAACGAATTTGCCGACCTGTATGGCCTGTGCTCTCATCCAACGTGCCCTCCTCAGGCAGGGTAAACAGCTGACGCCACAATGTCAATCTTGCTTCAACCAGTATTGCTGGGATGGAGTAGAAGATGAGAGTCTGCCGAAGGGAGAGTATGATCCGAGCATCCCAGGGGTTGGAGCGGCGCAGGACGCTGGTGGAGCGGGAACTGGCGAGAAGCCGACGCCTCTTAGTGGAAGTGGTGTGGGGTTGAATAGAGGCTTGATACAGAGCCTAGGCACGGCCGTCGTGGCTTGTTTAATATGTGTGGCTTTGGGTGGGACTATGAGTTTGGTATGATGACCCATACGTAGCGGTGGATGGAGTGTTCGCCTTTGGTTTGGGAGGCATTGATTCATCGCACCTCTCTCATTGACTTGATGATCATGATTTTTCGACCAGTATTGTCTTTAGTTACTGTACTCCATGACCTAATGTCATTGCGTCCTAGTTTAGCGGGGCTGAGAACGTGTAGTTTGAGGATTGCATGACATAGAAAGGAGATGAGATGCCATAACTACATGGTGTGCTGCACGTTGTGTGATTCAGAAACTGCTTGTCCCCGTCAAATGGCAAAAAGATGATGGTGATACAAGAACATGCCACTAGAGTCCAAACCATCCGCACTGCATCGCGCAAAAAAATTTCATAGACTAGGATGCGATGAGTGTGCTAGCAGTAGCGGCATCATACTTGAACGTTGGTGGGAGTTTCTGAGTCCTCTTGTAGTAGCGAGCAAGACGATGGATGCGGGATTCAACGAGAATAAGTCGGTATTTGCCATCCTTGTCTCTGCGGTTGAATTCAAGATTCTTGCGGATAGTGACAGCTTTCTTAATCAAGTGCCACAAGTCCTCAGGGATGGAAGGAGCAAGACCTTGTTATGGCCGCAAGGAAACAGAAATCGAAATAAATAAATGAGCGCTTCATGTCAAGGTAGTGGTTTGTGGGAATATTGTGGCCCATACCTTCTGATCTGAGAATACGAAGAATCTTGTTACCAGTGACAAATCTGACTTGTGGAATACCGTGCGAGTCACGAAGAATGGCACCGATTTGCGATGGGGTTATGCCTTTACGAGCCAATTTGGTGATGTGCTGGACAATGTCATTTGGGGTTGTCTTTAACCAGCTTGGGGCACTACGACGATAGGGAAGGCAGGACTGTGCTATTGGGTCGTCATAGAAAAAAGAGGAATATCGGTTGAGTCTCGATTTCACAGTTTCCTTAAGCATGGAGATTGGTACGAACAAATGCCCTTTCCGGAGCTGTGCATACGACCCATTTTGATTCTGGATACGTAGGTAAGCGTCCCAAACTTTGTGATTGCGGCATTTTTGATGAACTTACTACTCTTGAGGTGCAAAGGTCAAAAGCTTGATGAGCGAGACGAAGAAATCGGAGTGTGCCGAAGGCAACTGTACAGTCACTGCCACAACTGCTCAGCACCCCTTCCATTCAAGTCTGTTTTCATCGGCCTCGACGCCTGACGGTGCCGTTCTTCTTCCAGGTTGGTTGGCAATTTTCTATGAGGGCGTTGCAGCTGAATGCAGGCCCCCCTTCTTTTACTTGCTTTCAACTTCGCGTTTGTCATTTGCATGCTTGCATTGCATCCTCCACCGACATAGGCCCAGTATGAAATTCAACATTGCCAGTGCGTTGAGTTTAATTGGTATAATATGCTTCCTGTGTACTCATACGTCGCCCTCTGCTGCAGATCCGGCTACAGGCCAACAAAAATTGCTCGACATTGATGATGAAAATCGCTTGTATGGCTGGCCAGTTACTTGGACTTTACGATCTCGACACTCATAGCTACTGTTTAGTCGTATCTTTTACGATAGGCGTATGGGTCAGGAAATCCCCGCCGACTCTCTGGGCGATGAATGGAAGGGATACATCGTGCGAATTACTGGTGGTAACGACAAGCAAGGTTTCCCTATGAAGCAAGGTGTTCTCTTGCCTCATCGTGTCCGCCTGCTCCTCAGCGAGGGTCACTCGTGCTACCGCCCTCGCCGTGATGGTGAGCGTCGGCGCAAATCCGTTCGTGGATGCATCGTCGCCTCCGACATTGCTGTCCTCTCCTTGGTTATTGTCCGGAAAGGTGAAGAAGATATCCCTGGGCTGACCAACCAGGTTCTGCCCAAGCGGTTGGGTCCTAAGCGAGCGAGCAAGATTCGTAAATTCTTCAACTTGAGCAAGGAGGATGATGTTCGCAAGTACGTTATTCGTCGCGAGGTCAAGTCTCAAAAGAATCCCGATGCCAAGCCCTACTTCAAGTCGTGAGTGATCCCCTCTTGCGCTCATACTCAACTTCACTTTTGGTATTAATTCGCCTTTGCCACAAGCCCTAAAATTCAACGCCTTGTCACACCTGTCCGCCTTCAACGCCGAAGACGTCTCCTGGCCCTCAAGCGTAGGAAAATTCATAGTCATTCGCAGCAGAAGGCGGAGTACGATGCCCTCGTTGCCAAACGTATCGCAGAGAAGAAAGTGAGCTTGGATGCTCGTCAGGAGAAGAAGCGGGTGAAGAAGGCTCAACGTGAGGCAATTTATGGCCCCGCACGAAAGGGTGGGGATAAGAGTAAGAAAGGACGAGGAGATAGAAAGTCCCAGCCCAGATGGGGACCACGAGCGTACGTCACTCGTTTCTCGTCCAAAGCGCATTCGCTCAGATTCTATTGCTTGATTAGTTCTGAACCTACGTCCGCCTCTGCCCCTCAGGCTGCTCCTGCTGAAGCTGTTTAGGCATCTCAAATCTGATTTTCTGTATTCTCAAATATTAGGAAGTCCGTTTGAATCTTCATGCTGTTTTGTTTATGATGCTTCGTATGAACAAATATTATGCATGATATTTTCTCTATCTGATCCACTGACGTAAGAATGAGTTACGTAAGTAACAATGTGCAGAAGGAAGTTGTCATTGATTTTTTACGGCACTCTCCGTTTTATTCAGCGCTCATCAACAGCTGGGAGCTGAGCGCTTAGAATCAGCGAAAACTTCTCTCAAGTCTCACTTTCTTTGCCTCATCATGGCGGACGTTGCATCAAGAAGACGAGGAGGATTTACTGGTGGCCGTGGACGGGCGTCACGCCCTGCACCATACTCTGTTAGTTTGACCACACTTGGGCAGCTCCTGTCTCTTTCTGAACAGTCGTGTAACCCTGTTCCGGACTCTAGGCCGGTTCCAAGCCTTCTGGTTCTTGGAAGCGCGAAGTGGTTGGCAATCCGCGAGGCGCTGATATGTCATCTGAGCGACTTGTCATCACTAATTTACATTACGAAGTCATGCCCTCAGACCTGAAGGTATGTGTCGTTCCTCTCCTGTAATGGACTTGACTGATTCATGTGATAGGGGATATTTGAGTCGATTGGCAATTTGGCTCGTGAGCCCACCATTAAAGTACGATAACAACCCTCCACCTTCGCTCGCAATGCAGAATTGGGAAAATGGGATGCTTCATAATGCTTTCCTAATTATGCCTTTGACCCGTTCTGCCACGCTCTTGAATGTTTAAACTCGAGAATGATTGGTTCATTTATATGGTTCCACCTTTACTTGGCCTTCAGTATGATCGTAGTGGACGTTCAACGGGGACAGCTTGGATACACTTCGTCAACCCGAATGATGCCGCCTTGGCGAAAGCTAGATTGGACGGAGTTTCTGCTAAAGGCATGGATTCAGTTTCAGGAGGCTTCTCACCCATGATGTGTGCATGCGCTGACTGCTTGATGCTTTTTTTTTTTCACAGGACAACCAATGAAAATCGAAATTGAAGCTGCAAGACCTGCAAGAGATGCGCCAATTGGCCCTAAGGGACCGCGGGGGAAACTCATTAGCAGAATTGGATCTCTTCCTCTTCTAGACCGTATGGCGAGGTTAGTACGACTCACGGGGCCTTGCCACGGGACCCGGGTGCCATTGAATATTATTTCAGTTCAACTAGCAACATCCCGAAACTGACGCGTCGTCTGGATCGCGGCGACCGCCCTAAAGGTGGCAGCATTCGTACGAATACAACGTTCAGAACTCCGAAAACACGCGATTCCCCTAAAACTGCCGAGGAACTGGATCGAGAGCTGGATGCCTACTTGAATGATGATGATTCTGGCGCTAAGGGTGCGACAAGTACTGGGCGTGTGGCCAGTGGGGAGGATGTTAACATGCAGTGATGGTTGTATTTGCGAAAGAATTCTCGCCATGTTGGGATTCGCGTGCGGTTGTATTTTACATGTTATTCCTCCCCGTCTAATGCTTCATGCTGATCCAGCAGGGTTGATCTTGCTATGAACGCACAGTCTGATTCATTTTTGCACGGCGTTTGTCGGAATAGTCACGCGTCTGTCTCTGAATCGTTTTTGCACACAGTTGAACCCAAAAGCATGCTAGGGCGATATGGAACTGCCTTATCTGTCCTAGTCTGGCCATGTATACGGGTTCTGTTTGGCAATAATTGATTGGTATCATAGAGGTTCGATCTAGAGCCTAGGCGTCAGCATCATTCTGCCTACAAGGACCAAATCAGGATGTTTCTAGCCGAAGCTTCCCTTTCTCACCTACCCTCCTTCAGGGTGAATATGCTCACTTGCGTGTGGTATTGACAATACTAGCCCCCATCTGTGCGACCCTGGTGCTGGGTGCCACGGATACCAGGCTCTCGGCGGTTCTGGCTCATCAGCTCCGCGTTGAATGCGGTCCATTGTTCTAGGTTCTTGGGTGGTGCCCATGCCGTACAAATTTGCCAATTTTAAGCTTTTTTGACTTGATGCCTGATTGGGTCGGGATCCAGAGGGTCCCTTGTCAAACGTGTGGGTATCGTGACTCCCTTTTTCTCTCGTCAAATGACTATCGCATTAAGGGTAATGGATTTGTTCCCAGCGATTACAACTTCTTTCCTGCTTCAACTTGAGCAGATGCACCTGCGTACTTCACATTGCATAAGACCTAGAATGTGACTGCTCCGAAGACTATGCATTGGGGAAGACCTAGGCACTTCAATTCATCTTTCTAGAAACGGCACTTTCGCCCCAAGAGCTCGTTTCCGTCCATCTGTTGAGCCCGTCGATCCCACAACGCTTGTGAGCTGAACGGTCGGTCTCAAACTTCAACCACTCAATCACGATCCACTACGCGAATACGCACGGATCGGCTCTGGGGCTTCATTCTTTATTCATTCCGATCATGCGGCAAGATCTTCAATAATGAACTCAACTAAGTGCCTAAACTCAGGATGACCTTCTCAAGCTGGAATTCCCACTACAACTCGCCCGTATTATTGTGACGATTCCTTCCCGATTCGATAGCAAGCGGCTCCACAATTGTTATTCTGTCATCGTGTTCTTCCGTGTTCCTGGAAGCAACTGGGATAATATTAGGCCTTGCTCTCCTACATATACTAGTTCTGGATCCAAGTTCTGACCCTCTCACACCCCATGACATCCATCTCCCAACCAACTAGGACGAACCTGGGTAGCTACTAATCTTGCCACTTGGAGGCCCTCGAGCAGCTTGTCTTACCTTGTCTTTCATCTCCCAGGCATTCGCAGCGCCTCGGACGCCTTTACGCTCTTCGAGGCTGTCAGGCAGGGCATCTTGCCTCTCCGAAGACATCGACTATCGCAGGCTGAAAGAGACAATCTCGCGTCAGGTCAGGTTTTTGTTTGGATCGAATCTTCGGAGGCCGATGGATTGGAGCGATGGACTGATGGACGAAAGTGGTACGGTGGTCCTTGAGCCATGTGTTTCCTCGAAATTATGCCAACCTATTTTGATTTTCATAGGTCCCCGTCAAGAACTCGGGACGTTTTTCTGGTTTATGAAGAACGTGATGAACCCTCCGTCGATGAAAACCTGGAGAAGGCGAGTCGAAGGTCGGCAAGCAGCTGTGCGTTCTTACCAGATGTTCGCATATTAATACTCACTGCGTAGGATAAACACGTATTTCTCAGGCCCCACAGGACAGGGCTCTGAGGAGCTCTTCGGCATTTTCGCCTTTCCGAAAGAGCGGCCGCCCAAACCTGATGGACTAATGAAGCAAACCTTTTCGGCCTGGGTGTTGACTTCGTCCACGGGGCAGAGAGTAAAGTGGCACATGTCGGTGAGTATAATTCACTCTCCGGTATCGTCAGGCTTTGTTGGCTAACATGATGGCGTCATTCAGGCGTACCTCTCGAGAACCAAAGGCGCGGAACTACCCACAGTCCAAGATGACCCACTTCTGCAGAGTATCCAAGTACCCGCTGGTATTTTCGAATGCTGCACAGGGCCACGAAAGCATCGGAAGCCATTTGCCACATTCCACGAGGGTGGGGAGTCGCCTTCCAGCAGCCCCATTCCCGTCCAACAAATGTCTAATCGTGCTTCCACACCCAAACGCCACAGCGTACCCTTGGGAATCGATTCGGATGCCCTGTCCCGCTCATCTTTGATGCGTGGCAGAAAGTGCAGCACCTCGTCCAGAACCTCGACCTTCTCCTCTTCTAGTCTCCCTTCACCGCCATCGTCCCCAACGTGGAACATGAAGCCACTCCCTTCGGGTCAGGAGGATCTTTCTCACCGGATTGTTCACATAAACCCGCGCACGCCATCAACTCCTCATGCGGCTCATTCTCTTTTGACACCACGCTTATCACATCTACCTAAGGAACCAGTGAAACCAGCGTCTTGGATGGCGGAGCAACTCACGCCCATATCGACCCCCCGCCCTAGTGTTCCGCCAGACAGTCGCGATGGTCTCTCCTACGAGATGTGCCCCCGCACTCCTTCATATGGCCACTTGCAGAGCAGCGCCAGTCACACGCAATCCTCCAATCACACGAGAGAATACCGTATCGCCAGCGTGTCCAATGATTTCCTTCCCGTCATAAATGATTTCCAAACCCGCTCTTTCACACCTCAACATTATCATACACCTCAACAGAATCTCACGTATCCCTTGCATGGGCCTTCTCCAATTTCGGCATCGGACCCAGGCCCCATTTCGTATGCTCCTCGCACAGCTGCAGATCGTGAAGCACTGGCTTCATTCGGACAAATATTCTAGCATATCCTACACAAATATGCTGTTGTCCCATCCTCTAAATGGTTACCTGTATGAGACGCTGTATCTTGGTTATCTCTTGGACCAGCATCGCTTTCAAATCCCCATACAATTCTCCGCTTTAGCGACCAGTTACTTAAACGCTCTTTCCCACTCAGTTATGATAAGCTACCAATTTTGCTTCCGCTTCCCCTTCAGTCATACACAAACGAGAAAGTGGAAACTCCTCAACACGAATGGGATACATTAACGTATAATTGACATTCCGGCATATTTACGTTCTTGGATCTCATTGCCTTTGCCTCATTGTTGTGTTCCTATGAAATACCGCCGCTACCCTACTACCTCAGCCGAATTCGGATGCATGGCCTCATGCGCATTTCTATTCCCGACACGCATATCTATTCCGGGAAAGAGTAATCTAAATGGTGCTCCAACCGCCATTGAACATGGCCTAAGTAGGGTGGATAATCCAGTGGACGGATCCGTAGTTCCCTTAGCACACTCTCTAAGACGCCCAAAATTAGCAATAAGTTTATTTGCTGTGCTCTGTTCCGCGCGCCTTTCCAACAAGCAATAATGTGAACAATATGGTTGAACCGAACCCCCCTCTGTCGCCCCCTGCCACAGAAAATGCCTCCAAGCAGTGTGTCGCTGACGGACTTGAGCGGTAAGGAGTGCTCATCTCTAAGAAGTCTGCCTTTACTGACCATAGGTTGGTGTTCTTAGCCATCCATGCAAGCCCGATCGATGCACAGGGTCCGCCGAGTCGGCCATACCTAGAGGTGCAAACTTCAGGGCTACCACCACGGACGGGGACAAGTGATCGTGTTGCAGATTATGGTAGGCCGTTGCAACATATCTATGTAATCGGCATTCTTTTGATGAGGATCAAGAAAAACCTCCAATTAAGAGACGACAGACTACCATGTCCCTGGCCGATACGGACACTCCTGATAACAGTAAATACAAGGTTATCCCTGGATAGTTCTCGAGCTTACATTGGTGATGTAGTTGCTCATGAGAGACATGTGAAGAAGAAGGGCGTAGCAAAGTTCGAAGAGTTCGAAAAGTAGGTCAATACGTTGTCTAATCCAATGATATCACCCTCATTCGTGCATGCTATTGATGAGTTTCGGAGAGACTTTAGACATGAGCATGAGGAAGCTTGTTCATGTGATTCGCCAGGTCGATTTCAGCAATGAAGTCCCTGCCCGCGCATTCGAGGCCTGTGTGGAGCTCCACCAATTGTTGCATTTATTTCGTGAGAATGCATCATACATATACGAGCCAATTGAGCGACGCGTTCAACACCCCATCCGACGCCCCCGCCGGTTCGAACGTCAAAATACATTTGATACCTGGAGAACCCTGGAGGTTGAATCGAACATTATCTTGGTTTCAGACCTCCACGCAATTCCTGAGCGGTTGGTGGAATTCGGAAACGCCATACGGCGACTACTTGAGGTACGCCACCGAATATTTGTGACCTCCAGCGGTATGGAGTGAAAGTTATTCACCATTGAACAAGGCGATGTGTTCTATCCCTGAATTTGATGGGGAAGGCTTGGATAGCCCCATCTTAGCATTTTGTCAAGATCTAGGAAGTTGGGCAAATAGCCTACATAGCTTCGAACCAGGTAGCCGCCAATGCCGCAATTTGACGATTTCTCACTTATCTTGCAATAGATCAATTCAAGACCCTTGCCATTCAGAGATATGTTCACCAGCTGACTGATGAGCTTTCCAAGCATTTCTTCCGCTTGTCGAAGGCGGTGAATTTCTTCATCGAGTTTGGTAAGACCTGGCACTTCCTCTAATGTTACTTTCTGACCACTTGAGTCATCAGATGTGGAGGCAATCAGGTTCGCGCGTATTGGTCCAATGATACATATGATGCATTAACCAAAGCTGCACGGCTTCCAGGTCTACCCAGAAAGCTCTTTCGGCTAGATACCAAAATTTATCCACTGTTTCTACTTTCTTTTGCGCTGTAGCTGCCACTTCGTTACAGTATTCTACGTCTTTGAACCACCGGAAGCTTGGAAACATGGTTAATCAGCTCTGGGTTCTAGCTCTCGTGTTCTCCCTGGCAGCGACGATAAATAGCCAACTGCAGTACCATTGGCGGCTACCATCTTCATTTTGGGCAAAACCGAAGGCCACGCAGTGGAGCGCACAGACGTCGGTGGTGTTCCTCATATCAGCTGTTGCAACGTACCTGGCAGGCCTAGTGTGCTATACGTTTGCTCAGTTCCCAACGACATTTATCCCTGCTATATCAACCGCTTCCGTTTCCGTTTCTCTCTTGGCACTGCTGCCCATATGGTCTTATGTTTTTAGCAGGAATGCTAGAGCGGGTACATCACTTGCCATACCCGAACTTCACATGATGGAGCCACTAGAGCTTGAAGCAGACCACACCTACCTGCAGCCCGATGACGATCAGACTGATGCCGAAAAGGGGCGACCCGACGGCGATATCCCTCTAGAACCACGGACTACAAGACCTATCTCAAGGTTCAGGGATATTGCAAATAAGGTGATGACGATGAACAAAGTCTCTCGAGCGTTCTCTATTCAGGACGCACAAACAGTCTTACCCGCCCATAGGCGCGGATCCCTTCTGACCGCCATGCGTGCCCTCCCAGAGTTTCGTACTATTAGGCATCTTCGCCAGGAAGGAAATCGGATTAGGCACGTCAGGTTTAGTCCGGATGGTCAAACTATTGTTTCATGTGGTGACATTTCTGCGACGCTTTGGAACGTGGAAACCGGGAACGAAACCCATGAACTGGTCCATGACGCGCAAGAAACTATTCTCCAGTTGTTGTGGTCTCCGTCCGGAGACTATCTACTTACGCGAACAGCACGGAAACTATATCTTTGGGATCCGAACGTACGTAAATTGCACATTCTCTACTACAGCATTCAGTTCAGGATGATTAAAGGCGGGCACATTGAGAAAAAAAATTGATCGCGAGGTCATGATACATTCCGTCTCCTGGATGCCTCGGGTGAATGCGTTCGTCTCTGTCGAGGGAGTCCAAGTACATATTGTGGTAAGTTTCGTAGTAAAGTTCGTTGCCCTCGATCGAATTCTCTCACGCCTTACCGGTAGAATCTAGATGGAAAAATAACTTCAAGCTTGCGTATTGACGGAGGTTACACTGTGAAGGATGTTGCTGTTACTCATGACGAAGAAAAGTGCATCTGAATGCCGTTGAATCCTTGTCATCAACTAACCGAACACTTCATAAGGCTCCTTGCGGTGGCTGTTGGGGGGTACCCCAAGGGCACTAGCACAAGATCTGCTGGCAACTTAACGTCAAGTGTCTGTGCTATAAGTAAGCAGTACTGCTCAAATGTTCTGCTTCTATATAACAGGCGTTGAAACCTTGAGCCCCCCCCCCCCACTGTAGTCAGTCTCGCGGGAAATACGCTCAAACGAGTCGAGACGTCGTACGTCGGTGTTCGTGTGCTTGAAATTGCCGCAATGACGAGCCCTCCAACAGAATACACGGTTTAATGCACGAGCCAAAAGAAATTACATTGTCTGAAGACTCGAAATATGTCATGATAAACTATACCAGGGTGAGTAAATGTATTTTGTATCGTCTGCAGCACAGTCGACCTATATAAGACAGAGCCCAACACAGTTATTCGCTCTTGGCCGGAAAGACAAAGGATGGTGCCTGGACTTCAAATGTAACTACGTGTTGGAATCCCATGAACGTCTAGCATCCCCTAGTCAGTTTGGTACTTGCAATCACGAAGGGACCAAACATGACGTTGTTTTTGGGATAAGTCGAACTGAGCAGACATCAAGACAGAGTGAGTGGACGGGCGGATGCCAACAGTTGGCTCGGTATGCTAACCCCCCCGCAGGGCCAAACGTTTATATGTGGGATCGTGATACCGGCCGTAAGATGTACTGCCAGCACCCGCATGGGATTGACGATTTTAGTGGAATCACGTTCAACCCCTCGGGGAAGTTCTCTTTCGCCACGATTTCCTATGCAGACGAGGGTCACATACGAGTATGGGAGGCCTACTCAGGATCCCCCCTGGTGACACCAATAGCTCAAAGTCCCTCGCCCGTCCCTTCGCGCCCATGATGATCATTACGGGGATTATCTACACTCTTCGCTTCATGACTCTAACAACTGACGGACTGGTGACTTGAATAGCCCAAGAGGGTGTCTTCAAGGATTGGCTGGGACATGAACATTAGTATGCATAAAAGGACGTGTACATCTTTAAATGGGCACTGGACATGTACACTGATATGTAGATGGGACATTGACTGGTCCCTGTTTGCTTCATAATATATCGCGCGGCTGAGTGCCTGCAGCAGACAATGCAGAGCTAGCTGTCGGATGAGCAGTCTATCACAGTCACCTCGTCCTGACTGAGAATCTCGATACTGTCTGATTGAGGTTACGTAATTATTGGAAATCACGAAGCGGTCTCGTGATCGGTGCCAAGACCAGCATCAATATTATTCCTCGCAACCAGCACTCTGGCCACCACTGGTCATGCCCTCTCTCCATGGGGCGTTCCAGGATTCCCGGATTGAGATTCTAGTGCCATCGGAGCGATTGCGACCTATCTCCATTGATACTTCGTCAAGCACTTGGTGGGCTGATCTTCATCGGGTACCACAACGTACATTTGCGTTCTTCGGTCAGCCCCAAGCTGCTTGCAACGTTAGGTCTTCATCCTAATGGTGCGATGCCCGTTTAGATGAAAAACTGTATATTCTACTCGTCCTGAAGCTTTCAGAAAACGCGGACGTGTTGTATCCATTGCTTCGACGACTGCAGGTTGCCCTTGAGGCATCCTATATATCACCTTTCATCCCTTCTACGCAGACTGGGCGTAAGCCGCCACCACCAAACATTTTAACTTTTGGTACCGAGTCTCGAAGTAACACTGCATTTTTCCCACCAGCGACTCCCAATCCGATTCCTGCGACTTCCACACCCGACCACCCTTACGCGAACGCTGACCCAGGTATCAATCTATACACGTCTGTGTGGGGAGAAAAGATGAGAGGCGGCGCCAGGGATGAGTGTCCCGAGGATGATTTTGCAATTGCGTGGTCCAAGCAAGAGAACACATGGGTTGCGATATATGAGATGAACGTTCCCGTGGGTTAGTTGGGTATCATCTCCTAGGATTCAGTAATAAGAGTTTTGTCTTCATGGTGCTCAGCGTTCTTGCAATCGCGCGTATCTAGGCCGCTTCTGTGCCTCACAACTTTGGTCACATTAAGGGACAAAGCTCTTTCAGATACACCTCAGCGCCGTCAACTCACGGAAAAAATTGCACAAGCCGGTATCAACGTATCTATGCCAGAGCTGGAGCGATCCGATGAAATTGACGAAGGCGACACAATCGTACAAAGCATGTCTGAGGTGAATTTACTCGGATCTTTGAATCAGGGTGCGTGTTGATACGATTAATGGGTTTATTTCTAATTGTTCCGAATCAAGGTGTTACCTTTCACTCCGAGACTGATCCCCTCTTTCTGACTTCTGCCCGCCTTGGGCCTTCCGTCTGTCAACAAGCTTTCGGAATATTTCCGTTTGCGTCTCGGGACCCAAGTGATGCTGAAGCAACGTCATCACATAAGACGACACTGCGTAAATCATTCCGCAAGACGCTCCCCGCGTTAGAGGGGATTAAAGTTCGCATGCGGAATTGCTTCGTCCCGTATTCTCCAATCCATGGGAAAGGGAAACTGGGGGAGGATGATGATGAACAAGACATTGGGACTCACGAGAGGACCGTCATCCTCAGCGTAGAGATCGAAAACTCGGAAGATTCTGGTATGTGCTTCCAAGTGGAGAATGTCCATGTTGAGGTGAGCGGGGAACGCTCCATTACTCGCTTCATTGGTTGGGGTGGAAAAACGGTGGAAGAGCTTCTTCCTCTTGATTTAGCGTCGAATGACCAGATCAATCTTATATATGCTGTCGCTTTGGCATCCCCTTCAAGCGTTTCTGGGCCGCGTCCATCGGGACGTATCAACGTTAGTTCAGGTATGTATGAGGATGGTCTGGATGACACCAATGGACGGCAATATGTCTCCATATCTGTAATTGGTCATCCTTTTGGTCACGATGCCGGTGGGGCGCATTCATTGCGTCTTCCGACTTTTGCTTCGAAGTGGAACTGTATCCTGGATCTCAAAGCTTCTCAACTAGCGGATCCCCTCACCTGGTATAATAAGCCTGCTTCTCCCTTAACGGCGGAGGACGCCCTTTCAACACCCCCCTCCCCATATACTGGTTCATTCCCGCGTAATGTGGGCGCGTTCTTTCCAAGCAGCCGTCAGGGGAAAGGCTCTTTAACTGGACATCGTCCGCAAGGTTTACAACCCTTCCCCGCTGGGAGCTCGCTGCCAAATGCGCCTAAGTTTGTCCCTACTCCTCCTTCAGCCGTGGTGGCCTCTTTCAATCTGAACAGAGCTGCAACAGAGGCTGCTGAGGATCATTCCCTCACCCCAAGATTGAGCGGGTTCTACTCCAAAGCAATCAATGCTTTGCACTCCCCGCTTCGTACTCCAGCTTTTCCATCGTTGCAAAGCCCACCTCCACCTTCACCCCTCTCGCAGTTTCCTGCAGGGACATCATCTCATGATGGTGTCTCCGTCCTCGAAAGTCGCCGTGACACAACCAACTTGGCCAATCTCCCCGCTGCAGACAGTGATCATACGTTGGCCATTGGCCGCGACTTGACACACAATGTGCTGGTTTCAGTAACCTTACTACCTCCAGAAAAACCATCCAACCCCAAATCACCCAAATTAATCTATCCTCATGATGTGTTCTCATTAGAAATTCTCGTTCTGAATCTCTCCGACGAGGTGCGGCGCTGCGAAGTTGGTTATTCAGATAGCCGTCGATTAGCCAATAGGGGCGTGTCGAAGTTATCCGCTGCGTCGCCCCTTAGCTTGATGCCATTGGATAATAAAATCAGAGTCGGGTAAGTCGAGTTTCTGTTTTGAGTAGCCCAGAAGCTCAGTGCAATGCTTGGTAGGCCCCTGCTCCCAGGTGGATGTCAGTCTGTGCGGATGCACATCTTGGCGCTTGAACCCGGCATCCATTTAATTGATTCTCTCACACTGACCGATGTTTTTCACCGTTATACAGTCAAACTACGGTCCGTCGTACCTTCGCCTGATGGCTGGGCTTTATTCTGAATGTGTTTACCTAGATCGGTTATGAACGTGGTGGTTGAACAATCGTATTGAAGCCTCAAGCTAGGCATTATGTGCTGTAGTGCCCGATTTGCCATGCGGGTACTTCAGTATTCAGCAAGTCAGCTCGTCAACAAATATGTGGAACCTCCTCCCCTGTGCCCACTTTCTGGCCTAGATCTCTCCCCACCGTCCTCTCGAATAGTTCCGTCATCATTCCGAAAAGATTCCTTGTCAAAGCCGCATCCCATCTACCCTTTGAAGATTCATCACGAATGAAGGCATGCTGTGCCTGAATTTCGATGAACTATGCGTATCCCGTTAGTAGGTGTATCCGATTCAGTGAAGCCAGCCTGCGCACAGACGAGATCGCATTGCTGTCCTCCAGAGTTGTTCGGATGAGATCCCGTCCAGCACGAGGAACGTGCGTGTCCTGTGGGAACATGCAGGGGGCCTAACGGCATATTACGAGATGCGTTCTCACCTGTTTGCCAAATATCATCTACTCAGCAGGGTTAATCGGTTGTCAGGCGGATCGACCTGGGATATACAAAGCAAAGATGCCCACCATGATTTCCCCACGTATTTCGCCTTTCTTGGCCCGTTGGAGGGAATCATCGTGTTTCCCTTTGCCCAGGGATGCCGAATGGATATCTGTGGCGAAGAAGCAAACTGTGGACAGAACTCTTGGATCGAATGCAGCCTAGATGGGTAAATGGACCGGTCTCGATCCGGTTGGACTTGCCCAGTGAATGAGGGAAATATCCAAGGATCTACGTACCCGAAATGCCTATAGGAACCAGACCTTAGTCCGGATTACGACACAGCAGAAGCCCTACGCGCATACACACCAAATGCCCCCCGAGACACATCCCCGTCGCTGAACGCAACACTCAGAATGTTTACATGCTCCTGGTTAGATACAAACCTGCGATGCGCCCGTTGCAGTTTGGCAGCGAACTTAGTAAATCGATCGTGATAGTTGCATCCTTTGTGCTCGAATTATGGATCAGAGAACGAAGTCATTCGCGTATCACGGACCTCGTCATATGCCGCGAGTTCCTTCTCCACCTGCATTGTAGGGAGCGTCGACGATGCCTAAAACGATAATACTATTTTACAACTCACCTTATACCTGTTTCCGCGATCGGTCCCTCCACCGAGACGTAAGCACGCTTCAAACCCGTAGTATTTGTGTGTCCCAATTACCTTCAGTGCTATATGATATCGTTGGGGAATATTAGCTAACCGTTGGCGGCTAATGTGTTGTCCTTACTCGTATGAGATCGGCTCAGGACCTTCAAATTCATGGTAACTGGATGGGCATGCTATTTGAACATTATAGCAGTGACTTATCAGTCGCTAGGGTTATATATGTAGAAATCGGATGCGTATGCACCGACAACGTATCCATGAGAAGCAATCTGGCCTGCGAATCGCTCAACGGGGCCAGTTACTTGATAAATCTCAGAAAACACCACAACTCCCGGAAACTTAGCATTGGGATATCCATCGATCTTGGGCGAAATGATAAAAATACGTATGGGTGCCCCATTGGGGGACGATTTGACAGGAATATCGTGATAAGTTTCAGTGACGAGCATTGCTCAAGGTTGTTTGTGGGTGTCGACTCGACGTAAACATCCGTTTGTCATGCATGTTGTGCAACTTGCTTCCATCACTTCGAAACATCGACCCCAAAAGGTGTTGATTTCTTCCAGCGTGGTGCACGCACTAGAGTGACAGCAAATGGGAGCAAATATTGCATTGCACGACACAAACAGAATTGGTGCCGATGAGTCAGTGTAGCGCGTAGAAGGTGATTGTAAGTCAGTAGGGCCCTGTCAGCACTGGCCTGCGCGTGCATCAAAAGGATGCTAAGAGAGTAAGGTGATTCCCACGTTCAGCTACTGACCGATTTCAAACCTATGGACGAAGCATCCACAATATTCCCTGAAAGCTCGGAGAATGGCATACTGCTGTTCAAGATACCTATACACGGGTTAAACACGAAAACGCAACTCTGCGTGACGCCCCAACAATGATAAGCCAGAATGGATATATTGTATGTCGTCACTTATGCTTTGTTAAGCTTTGTTCTCCTTTTTCCAGACTTCCTGGAGCATTTTGCACTGACCCTTGTGACGGGCTTTCCAATCCACCTTCTACAAAATGCCAGGGATCAATTGAGATGATGCGGTGAGGGCCAGCAAATCCATACCTGACAATTGACGCTGCAATAATGCGGCAGCTGCAGGGCGGTTATATGAGAGTTTCATGAAAAAACATGATCGCTTACTCCACATCCCCCACAATGTTTAAGCTGGTTCCTGGCGAAGAGCTGCCCGGGACACTTGTCTCAGAAAGTGAGACCGAGGATATAGATAGAAATTAAAGATAGGGCTCTAACCTTGTAATTCGAACAGCAAAGTTGACCAAGAGCGATTCCGCGTACCCTTACGTCTCTAGCCTCCTGGACTTTCCCCATAGATTGCAGCGTTTGGGCCAGGTTCTCCCTCGTCACGGCAGCATCAAACTCTTGTCCCTGCGCCACCTCTCGGATGGCTAAGCTCTCCTTTAGGACTTCGTACGCCTCGTTATATTTCCCCTGGTCGTACAAAGCCTCCCCAAGGCCATTTTTTGAGAGTGCGATTCCTATCGCGTCCCCAGGGGCATTCTTCTGTTTGAGTTTCAGGGTCTCCCGGTGGAGGCGCTCTGCAGCCGCATGATCGCCACTTCGCGACGCTTGGACAGCCGAATTCGAGAGACCCCAGGCCTGCTGAAGGTCCATGGCCATTGAATCGGAGGTGATTGGATGCAAGGATATGTTCATGGTGGTCGACGATCGATGTAACAGTATCGAAATCGAATCAAGGAGACACAACTGAGCTCATGATAGGGCGGCAGTGTCCGCATTTGGCACATTCCCGCATTAGCCTTTCACCCTCTCAGCACCACTGCAAAACCGCAAATTATGGAAATCATGTATTTCCGCGTGTTTTTGCCGACAATTTTGTCTTCTAGCAGCCCACACGCCATAGCTCGACGCCTGCATGCACTAAGGTAAGGCGACCCCAGTGGACTGAATCGATTATTCCATTTTTGGAGAGTCACGTGCACATGATTCAATTAGAAGGTTTCCGGTTGAGGCCGCCTATACCAAAGGATCGGCAAGAAGCGAACCAATCACGGCGTGACCAGCTAAGCAAGGTCGGCAAAAAAGGCGGCGTGGGAAAAGACCTGATCAAAATGTGGGTTGGAGAGCTAGACAATTAGTTTCCAGTGAGTGTAAGCGTGGCCGAGCTAAGAGGGGGGTTGCGGCAAACAGCGCTAGCTGCCAAATCGTGAAGGGGTGCAGTTATTCCCTGTTGCAGTGTATCAACAAATATGGCTCCTTGGTATATAACACTGTGTTAGATTCAGCGTGAGTCAAAAAAAACCACATCCTCCCCAGATCGTGGAATGGGCATTGAACTCCCTTTTGTGACTCTTGATGTCTTCACTGACATCAGGTATCTCGGTAACCCCCTAGCCATCGTGCACATGAACCAGGGGGTTATACTCAGTACTGACCAGAAGCAAAAGATTGCGAGGGAATTTAACCTTTCCGAGACAGTCTTCGTGGATGACAGCAGCGATGAGACAGACGAAGTCAAGATCCACATTTATACGACGACTCAAGAGCTACGCTTTGCCGGACATCCCACCATAGGCACTGGCGCCCACCTCTTAGGCTCTCGTCCGAGCTCTTCTGACGGGAGCGACCAGGAACTTACCCTGATCACACTGGCCGGGAAAATTCCGGTTACCTACTCAGCTTCCGGTGGCCTAACGCGACTGGAAGTTCCCCATGACATTACTCTCCATCCTAACCCAATCTCACGCCACGTTGTTGCCAGAGCCGTGGGCCTTCAACAAAACGTCGAATCCATCATCCCAAATATACCCTTTTCAGATCACCGGGATGGAGTAGTCGCGGTGTCCATTGTGAAAGGATTGACGTTTGCATTGGTGAAACTCGACTCGCTTCATGCGCTTTCCGCAGCTAAGCCAACTGGAACGCAACTTACACAAGATGAACTCGAGAGAGAGGATTCCAACGCTTTTTTGGGTATATACCTGTACTGTGTAACGGAGGAAAGTGATGTTGATGACGGCAGTGCCGTGACGAAGAAGCTTGGCATTCATACGAGAATGATAGCAGGATCCTTGGAGGATCCAGCAACTGGCAGTGCTGCATCGTGTTTGTCATCGTTTCTTACCTTGATGAGCGATGCAGAAGGAATCCACCGCTTCATCATCATCCAAGGGGTAGAAATGGGGCGAAAGAGTAACATCTTAGGTCTGTCACATAGTCAGGTCAATATGTACCGTATCTCACACGCCCCTCAATCAGTCGATGTGCTTCCGAAACTGGATTCAAGCAAGGGTCGAGCCATTGATAAGATCTGGCTTAGCGGGCGCGCAGTACAAGTCATGAAAGGTACTGTGACTGTCTGATGAAAGAGTTTTCGATATCGGGGAATGAAATCATGTAATAATCAATCGGTTGGAATGACTGTGCCGACATATTTCGATACGGACTACTTCGCCCAAGCAACCTTGGGCTTCGGTGGTTGTGGGGGCGCCGCAGGTATTGGCTCAACAGTGGTCAACGTAGATTTGGAGATGGGAAGGGGGCTGCTCCGGAGATGATCGAAAATGCGTTGTGCGTATTCTGTATTTTTGATAAAAAGACTAGCATATCGCCGTCCGATGGTTGACTCTACGATATGAACCATGTTCTGGCATGGCAGATTATAAGAACGCATTCCATAGTTAGACAACGATTTGTGCCCTACCTCGTTAATGGCGAAGTCTAAGTCACTCGTAGAAATCATTTCTCCATCAAGAAGGCGACCCCCATCAAGGCCTGCACGCCCAATACTTCGACTCGCTTGCTTTAAGACCATCATCTGTTGCACAATTTCTTCCTCGTTGGCATCGAGGAAGTTGGCAAGCTTCTTAGCATCAAGAGAGCTATAAAGTTTCAAGAAGCTCCTCAATGTGGGAACCGAGAGTTTTGCGCGGACGTCCGTCATAAAGAGGGCCAGATGCCTTTGAGGGGCATCGACGGGCGGGTCCTTAATGTACAGGGCTAGAAGGTCGGGGTCCTCATAAGGCGGTGATACTGAGGTAATGAATTTGGGGCAGGCGTATAAGAATAACTCCTCGAAAGCAGAAAGACCTTCTTCCCTGGTTCGGAGATTGGGTGTTAAAATCGGGTGACCGAGTGGTGAACTGATATACTTACCCTCTCTGCATCTTTGCGTATTGATCGCCACATCGCTCTTTCAAACCGATCATTGTGTTCTCGTCTAAACGAGTCGGAGAGAGGGAGATACCGATTGTTAACAGGGCATACATGCGGTCTGCCGTTTTATTTATCTAAATATATCAAAGCGAAGATGTCATTAGGAGGCACGACTGAGGTGAGGACTTGCTAGCCTGGTCATACTGATAGCTCCGGGTATGATAAGGCCGCATCCGCGAAATGAAATTCAGAACGTTCACAAGTGTTCTGTTTGCATCGGGATATCGCCGCAAAGCAAGATAGCAAAAGGCCACGTAATAGTAGGTTGCGACATGACATGCAGTAACACGCATGAAGAAAGCCTGGATAAATATTGATTGGCATTTGTTTAAATGCTGAGCGCAGGTAGCTTACTTTTGGGTTTAATTCAATGTTGTCCATCACTTTCACAGCTAGCGTGTAATCCCCAAGGAGTGTGTGGACACGAAGCAAACCAATCAAACTGAAGTATCCTAGCGTTCGATATAGTGGCCGAACACCGAATTCACCGACAATTCCTCTGCGGCGAGAATTGAGGAACGAGTCATTTTAGCGTCGAGCAAAAAAAAGTACACACGCAATCTCTTCCGCTGAAGCGCCGCGGTGTGCAGCAGCTAGGTTTTCATTTATCTTCGACTTTTGGATGAGCGAGTATAGGACGTTAAGCACACTATAGGTGCTCCATATCTTTAAGGTATCATTGAGTGTAAGAATGAAGTTTACAGAAAATATTATTTACCTGGGAACCGTCCGCAAGCATAGCCTTTTCCTCGTCATTTTTGTTCTTTACTTTAGAGCGCCAAACGCAGAAGCTTTGATACTGATATATGAATTCATCGATAATGTCCCACAGCCATTGATCAGGCAGTTCCAGGGGAACGGGTCCATCAGAATCTGGGTTGGATGAATCAGATAAGGAGAAGACGAAGAGTTTACTGCTTACTCAAGACGTAGTTGAACAGTTCACAAGAGTTCTCGTAGGAATGGAAGCGGTCATCGATATTAGGGGAGAGGCGGGAATAAACGTGACTACGCGCAAAACATCATGACAGAGACTGGGCCCTCAGCTGGCAGAACCTACCGATAGTATAATTCACGGTATAAGGTAAGGAAGACTTGATCTAAAATATGGTAAGCCAACTCTATATGACATGGATAGCGGAAGAAATTGAGCACACCATCGTTGACCAAGGGGGCGAAGAGTTCGGCATCAGGCCACTCGGATTTTGCGTAGTACTTTTCTGTTAGTTTGTTCCAACCACTTTCATATGCGGCGCTGATTTCAGAAACATTTCCATCAAGTATTGACTGGTGGAAGTGCAAGATGAACTAGTATTGGAGAGTGAAAAAAGCGTATCATCTTCTTTCATATTCTGCACTAACCCGTTTCACAGCATCCGGGATTTGTGCAAAAGCCGCTTGTTGAGCCATTTTTTGTTGCATGGCGACCAATGTCGCCTCGTCAATCATTGCTGGTTGAGCTATAAGAGAACAGTCAGTCACAAACACACTGAACAGAGCATTTGAAGGCATACCTTCATCATATACAGGCCTATACTGGCCAATCGAAATGTCAAGGTCATTGTCTTCTTCTACAAGCTCTTGTCCATAGTAGTTTGTGCGGTACTCAGCAGTCGCCATTGCTTGCGAGGAGAGCTCCGGAAGAAATTTCGCAAAACGGGGACCCGGCATCAACAAATAGCAATATTCAAAGTCAGTGCACCCATGGATCGCCCTATTACGAAGTCATAGAGGCTGGAGTCCTGCTTAGGATCGCCCCAAACAACGTACCTCGTTGACTCTAGGGCAACACATTACGGCACCCCCAGAGTCTGAGGATGGGGAATCGAAGTGGAACTTCAGTGACTCAAGTGCAGTTAAGCTGGCGAGGGCCGGTGCAAAGAACCCCGACGAGACAGGAATCGTTACATGGCCAGGAATGAATCTCTGATCATTTCAGGCCATCATTTGGAATGTGTTGCAGCATTGCGCTCAGCAGCAACTTCCTGACATCTCTCCCAGAAAGTTTTCGACTGCTCATCGGTTGCGATACTTAAATTTGCGGCAAAACTCGTTTGAGAACTTCCTGAACATAGCCGGTCCTCCTTCCCTTTGTTCCGATCCTGTAGTGTTAACAGGCTCGAATGCTCGCATCAGCTTATGCTTTCATCCCTGTAAACATTCGGCGATCGTCGAAACCAAATTACGGCTTTACCATTGTCTCCTGGAAATCTTATAGATTTGAACATCGATTGGCGATTATTACTGAAACCCATCGCTTAATATCATGATCAGATCCTTTCACTGGAGAGAAATCAATTAATAGCACTACTTGTCTACGAGTTTCAAAATCTGGGCGTTTCAAAGTTGGATTATGACCCCATTGTGTGGCCTCCTGATGGGCTGTGCCCTCCTCGATGATTAAGGGGTCAGATTCTGGCTGGCAAATTTACAGTCGTGGATAGCGACTCATGCGGCCGAGATACCACTTTCAGGGACGCAGAGTATGCTCCTCTATCTGCGCTTGGTTGGGTTTGTCTACTGATTGTATTTCAGTGATAGTGACGTTGTCGTAGGCCCCTCACAGCTGGCGCAAGATGATGATGCTAGCAGGGTAGTCACCCAATCTAGCTAGGGAATATGAAAATGTCCAAAAACACATTTCCAGTGCCAACCAGCTGAATTGGTCGACATTCGTAACGCCTGTTCGCAATTCGTACATACCAGCCACACGCGATAGATAGATGTATTGTAATAATCGCGGCATCGCAGCCCGACATATATCGATCCTAAACATGATCTGAGCACATACATTAATCTGTGTGGCGCAAGGGAACAAAGCTTCCCATAATAACCACAACAACGATGGGCATGGAATGCCACGTCAACATGTCTTCCCCTTGGATAGCTCTGTATAAATACAAGTCCCCGATCATTCATTTTTCGTGGAGTCGTAAACTGATAATCTATAGACACAACCGGTCATCATCTAACACGTTATACCCAAGGTTTTCCATATCGCCCTTGTGATTGCACCAACTCCATCATCCTCCTGTGTCGCTCGATGCCTAGCCTCACGGACCGTTGGTGCATCCAAGACACCAGACTTCTCTCGAGCATCGATGATTTTCTGCACCATGTCAGACACGAACTCAGGATGGCCTTGCACACACAGAATATGCACGTCTTCAAAATTGTTGACGTCCCGACTCTCATACGGCAGTAGCATACCCTGTACATCACATTTAGGGGTGGAGCCTAAGAGCAAGAAATTGGGTGGCAGGGAAGGGACGTGATCGCGATGCATTTCTTGAATTCGCTGAGTGAAATTATAAAAGCTGTTAATAAGTCAAAAGCACCCGTGATCTCATTACTTACAAGAGTATCTTTCTGAAACAAACGCCGACCAAGATCAGTGAGATCGACCTCGTAAACTCCAATCTCCCATCCGCGTTCGTTACGAACACAATCCCCGCCAAGTGCTCTAGCAACGACTTGCTGCCCAAAGCATATGCCAATAATTTTCACCATCGGATGTTGAATAGTTACCCGCGAGATGAAGTCAAGAAGTGGATCGATCCAAGGCAACGGGGAATATGCAGATGCACCTATCGCACGAGTTTTCAGGATATGTGAGAGTTCGAAACGTCAACGCGAACAGACCGCTGCCTGAAATCAGAATGCCATCCATGTTTGAGAGGTCTTCAGATGTCGGAAACTTCCCTTGGACCACATCGTAGCCCGTCAGGGCAAAAGATGGACATGGACCATCAATGTAAGCCAATGACGACTCAAGCAGCGTGTGAAAGATAGACAGATAGTCGCCGTAGGTTGAGACCACGGTCGGTAGAGGTGTGTCGCATATCAATAAACCGATCCGCACATGCTTGGACATATCAGCTAAAGTTTGTGGGGGGACTTATAGTTCACACGCCAGTGAACCTCGGCAGACGCCAGACAGAGTGAAACGCGCGTACAACATTGTGGAGTTTATGTAAGAGGACAAACAAAGCAAGGAGATGGGAGACAGCGTTGAACGGAATGAGGACACGTGGATAAATTATATATGTTCCACAAGGGCAATGACGATGTATACGTCATTCGAGACACTTGGGCACCAACGTACTGGTCAGGCTTCCTAGGCCAAAATTAGGGAGGAATCCAAGAAGGCTATCAAGGACGCTTTCCAACGCGAGAAAGATCTCATCTTCTTTGACCGTCATTTTTTGAAACGCGTTCCAGAGTCATCGACTGCACCCCTTCTGCCATGCCACAGATAAGCACACCGAAGAGCTCAATGGCCTCAACCTTCTATCCTTCAGGCCCCGGCCCAGAGGAACCTGGGTCGATCAAGCCTCGCTGGCAGTCAAACGCCAACGTCCAGCCCTGAAGTTTTCTCTACTTCTACCCAAAAAAGAATCCATTACCGTGATGTTCTCAAAGGAGTTTCTAAATCCTATGAAAAGTTGCGTTCTGGGCATAACATGTTCCAAACTCTCCATGATTGTGGCACGCTAGGTATCTATATCTGCTTGTTCGCTCTTCCCCAAACCGGTTATTTTATTCGTTAGATTCGGAATTGATGTCAAGGTACAATTTCGTGCACGGGGATATTAACATAGGCAACTTGTTCTGGAGCAACGGGTCTGGGGTTGGCCAACAAGGTGATCTGGAGTATATGAGGCATGCAGATAAATTGGAGGAGAGTAGTGTCAAGAGCACAAACGATTTCCCCAGATTGGTTTATTTGACCGTCTCCACATAGGGCATTTGGTTGGGGGGACACCTCAATTCATGTCGGTGGAGATGGTCGAACGGGTACCGTTGTGTGTCTCAGGCCTCGTTATGGATGGGTTGGATGCCGTTGGGGTTCAGGGGGACCGTCTCCACAACCCCCAGGATGGAGGATCAGAATCAGGAGTTTCTCCTCCCCCCAATTCAATATCCACACAACCGAGAGGACCGGGCTTTCATGATCCAGAGTCCATGTGATGGGTCGTCACTTGGACTGTGATCAATCGCATCCCCGAGTTCGCCCTGAACAGGACATTTAATGGAAAACTTGAGGAAAGAGTGAAAAAAAATGCGAGCTCTGTCATCAGAAATGTTCCCCCATTCAGCCTGACATTGACCGCAACAATTTCAAGTTGGGGAGGTTTCTTCCAGCAGCCAAATCTTGCATAAACGATGGTTTATCAAAATTGTGCGTGGATTCATGGGCGTCATAATCATCCTCCTCCTCCTCCTCACACCAAAGGAGAGCCGTTCAGCATTTTTCCCACCACGGATGACGTCCAGCCTTTCATCCATCGTGCGCGAGTACGTGTCACAAATCTATTCGCAGCTTAACCTGCTCATCCATTGGAATCGTGGTTCAGTCAACTGTAGTATAACATTGGTAGCGAATGTCAGTTCCCCAGCCAAGAGAACCACGGGGGAACAGCAGTAGGTACTGGAGGGGTTCATATAGGAGATTTAGAATGTGAATCTGGCGTGTGGCCGCCTCAGCTGCTCGTTGAACGTACACAGTTCGGTGGGAACATTGACCGGTGTGGTACAATGCTGCGATGTCATTATTGGGATTCTCATGCGCGAGTGCCATGCATGTACACATCTTCACGTTCGGGATGGATGGTGGCGAAATTGCGATAGTGATCGTAGCACGGTTTGTATTCTTGGATGTCGTCACGGACAGCATTGTATATGTACATTGGGATGTTCAGTGCTCTTGTCCTTCGAGATCATATAGGAACCAATGAGCCACACAGTGACCAGAGCGATGGAGAGGAAGAGTGCAGTGGTAAGTTCGACCTTGGAGAACGAGCCAGTAAGGTCCCCCTACGTTTATAATGTATGTAGACAAGTCATTAGTTTGAGAACGCTCTGTTTTATCTGTCGTTGATGACATTGACGCTCGTGGTTTGGGAAGAAAAGAGAGAAGTGGCAAAAAGGAAAACTAAAAAGGAAAACTGCAGCACTCAGGATTCCCATGTAGTCCCCTACCATGGTACTAACTAAGCGGTACTCGGCTTAACTTCGCAGATCAGACGGGATGCGGTGCTTCCCGAGTCCTATGGCCGCAGATGGCATAGTCCGTATTCCCGCGTCTGATGAATATCTAATTGTTGGGGTTGATGGACAAAGGCAAGTGGATTGAAAAGCATGTATATATAGGTTCTCTCTCTCCCCAGCTGCTCGTTCGAATTCTAACTTTCCTTCGTTTCAGCTTTCCCGAGGACGCTCCATTAACGACGGACTGGTAGAGATATTCATCAGACGCGGGAATACGGGTTATGCCATCTGCGGCCATAGGACTCGGGAAGCACCGCATCCCGTCTGATCTGCGAAGTTAAGCCGAGTACCGCTTAGTTAGTACCATGGTAGGGGACTACATGGGAATCCTGAGTGCTGCAGTTCTTTCGTTTTAGTTTTCCCTTCTGCCACTTCTCTCTTTTCTTCCCAAACTACGAGCGTCAATGTCGTCAACGACAGATAAAACAGAGCGTTTTCAACTTAACGACTTGTGCCCACACACCCCGCTGACACAATGCAGCCTCCCGTGAATATTGTGAACTTGGACATCACTGGAATCGTCTCCGCGATCGGAGATCGATTCTTCTAGTAACTGGATCCTTCCATCCTGCTGTATGTCCCATTACCTCGCGCAAGTATTCTCCTGAACAGTATCACAGTCTTGTGAAGTCCGAGCGCCAGATATCTCAAGCTAGACCCTCCGGCGTACGTTGCTCAAACCCAACTCCCCCGTAAACGTGGTCTGTGACTTTGAACGGCCACTCGGAGCCCCTGCAGCAATGGCACATTGTGCACATCAATCGTGTTCTAACTTCTACACCTAGTTTAGGTTCTCATGCAAGCAATTTGATTGACAATGCTTTCCCCCACTGTTTCACATTATCTTCACTCGCTTCACTCAGGCCCGGTGGCGTCTATGTACTACACAACCAAGTATCACCGTATGTTCGCTTTGAGCTGTACATGCAAAGCCAGTTCTTGAAATGCAATCTGTTCTTCAATGCATGCATGCAGTGCAGTTTATCAATCTATTTTGAATGAGCTTGTTCTCGGTGGTGATCAAGCTTCCATTGTGCAGTTGGCATTCACGATCGTTTGTGTTGATGACCGATGTGTCCAGTTCAATTTCATTATAATTATTAGGGAACTACATTCCACCGCTGGAATGCCATACATCAGAGCAACGTCCAGAGGTCAAAGTCCGGGGTCGGAATGGAAGTGAAGGATGGATGGAAACCCGGGGGCCTGCCACTTGGACTTACAGTGGTCTCAAACGGTGAGAGGTGCAGTTGCAGAAGTCGTTGTTGAGAGTGTCCCATTGGACATGGAATGAGCCAATCAACTAACCTGATTTATTTTCTATTTCATGTTGCAACCCAACCCCGTTCAACACTGTAAACCTGTGGCTCTCAAGTCTCCGTGAAAGTGCGAATGATTCAATTGAACCTCCTGACCATCCGAGTAAGATAGAAACCGGCCGCCCGCGAAAGCTACCGAAGGTTCCACCAAAAAAAAGATAGACACCAGCAAGCGGCAATGAAGATTAAGTGAGTGACAGCATTCGAGCACGGTACAAGAGGTAGTATTTTTTAGACGCAAACACTTAGTTACATTGATTTCGTGATGAGTAATAGGCAAAGTGGATGTTGAGGATGGCACTGACGCGTGGCCGTCCAATAGGTAGATGCGGCCGATGTGTAGGCAGCCTGCAAGATTTGCGTCCGACGTGGTATCAGTACGATGTCAAGCCGTCAAAGTCCACCCTAAGGCCAGCGAATGAGGTGGACGCAGCGCTCGCAGCGAGAAGCATTACACCACGGATGTGAGGCAAGTGAACGCAATCGGAATGTCGCTGGGCGCGCGGTAAGCCAATGAGAAAGTGAGCGACCAACCTGAGCGTTTCAATGTAACTTTGCACATTGAACGGTTCAAGAGTGTGCAGTGCGTGTGCCGTTGCAACGGAAACGATTTGCTTCCCTGCGGACGTCAGAACGACGTCAGGCCCTCAAAGTCTGTCCCAAAGCCAGCGAATGAGGAGGCCCAAAAAAAGTGGGAGAAAGGCGAGGCCGTAACTCTCCCCAGCTTATAGTATATGTAGATGACACCACAGTGCAAATAACCGGGGTACTTGCCGGGGTGTTATGAGCACCTTTCCCAATAAGACTTGCAATGCAGCGCGGACACAGGGGTCTAGACGTCAAAATGGTTCAAGCGGAACGCTAGACCGGACATGACTGACATACGTCAATGACCAGAGAATTTGCGTGCGGTGGACGCAGTGTACGCGATTTACCCTAAGCCAGATATGGCTGATGAGCGCGGCTATTCAGCAGTCCGGCGGACGCGGTATGAGGGCGACCGCGTGCAACAGATGTAAGACATGAATAATGAAAAGGCAGGCTCGTATGCGAGCTTTTGTTGAATCTCGAGCCTCCAATGAACTCAACCAGTCATCAACTAACACGCTAAGCCCAAGGTCTTCCATATCGCCCCCGCCCCACGTTCACAAGAAGACAAGTAAGACAAACAAGACATCACGATGCCTGCGTGCCAACACCTGGGTCAACCGGACGGCCGTGAGTTATTAATGGTTCCAGACGTCACTTGAATGGATTGGATGTATGCGCTGTCGATGGCAGTAGGGTGCATCCATGAGATGCTGTCAATAAAACCAGGCAAGAAGAAAACGATCAGGCGTTCATCCATTTTCCACTCAGAACCGCATCAAAAGGTAAGTGGCGAAAGCTGAGGGCTGAGAGCTGGCGGTTCAACTGAGCTCACAAGCAGCGTAATGCCGCCATACGTGGATAACCTCGGGGCCCATAGTTTCCATCATGCGATGGGTTACGTCATTGAGTGGAGGTGGCAAGCCCGAGCACTCATCTATATCGATCGCTTATCGTCAAGCTCAGGCACCCAGTCAGGTGGGGAAGCAGGAGGTTGGATCGGCTTACATTGACTGATGTACGAGACGGAGGAGAGTGGCTCTCATGTGTCGACCACTGCAGTGAGCTGAACAAGTCTTATGATACTGATGCCTTCAAGACTGTAGCAGAGATGATGTACCGCATGTTGTAGTACCAGCTCAGCAGTGCGGCATGGAGATTGCCAAGTGATGGCGGTTAAACTCTGAAGGAAAACAAACGCATGGTCGAGCCCTGGAGGTTTGTTGATGAGTTGTGACGAGGAGCTAGCTCTTGACAGAAAAACAAATCCTCAACGGAGTATTATCATTAGCATATGCCAATACCATGGAATGTGGGCTCGTGCAAGTAACAACTACCCGTCTCACGCCAGAAGCTTAGCGAGCCAACAAATGCTCTGAAATGACCTGATTGACTCTCGGATCGACATTCCCCAGTATTTCAACAGTCTCCGTCTTCAAGCAAATAAAAAAAAAAGACGCACGTCATCGAACTTGTTGCGTGAAAATTACCAGAGCCGAAGATGCACATACCCACAAACGTCTCGAGATCTCCTGGCCCTCTTCGCTCAAAGAATAGTCACTCTCCTCAGCAACCTCGCAGCAGGAAATGTATCGTCCGTGCCTGAGTCTTTCGCTTGGTTCCACGGCAGGATGCACAAGGGTGCGACTCCCCACCTCGGTCGTGCGCGCAAACAGCGCCTTGAACAGACGCACTCCAATGCTCGTGACCAGATTGCTCTCAACGGAGCGCGTGAGGCGGGAGTGGCAAAAACCCGGGTTGATTGCCGACACAGCAACAGGCGTTGGATTCGTTAATCGAGAAGCGAGCTCGCGAACAAACATGAGTTCTAACACTTGATTTTTTTTGTGGGGTCAGCATCATGACCTTGAATTTGAAAAATTAATCTTACGCTTTGAGAGGTTATAGCGGTTTCTCATGACGCTATGCGAGCGGATTGGGGTCAGTCGGGGATTCATGTGTGGTACCGGACACTCACGAAGCTGTACAATATTCCTCGTCATTCAACTTCCCAAGGATGCTGGGCCAGCTGCTGGCACCCGTGAGCTTATTGGCCATGAAGTGGGCTTCGCTCGAAACGATGACCAGCCTTGAAGCATTGGTTGGCGTCGTCGTTTTGATGAGGTGGGGGAGCATCAAAATGCTAAGCAGAGCCGTCGATAGATAATTCACTTGCAGCCTGACATATGGACAAAGAGTCAGTGCGGGGGTACCGCTTTACATGCATGCCTGGGACGAACGTGATCTCCCATCCATCTTGCGTCTTCGCGTAGGTCGGGGTCGCTACGCCTGCATTGGCAATAAGGGCATTTATCGGGAAGTCCTCCGACTCGACCCTATCAGCAAACCTGCGAACAGAGTCGAAAGAGCCCAGCTCTAGTGGCCAGGCCTCGACATTCTTGTTCATGCTTCGCTGTTCGACATCTATAGGGAAGTCAGCGATGGTGTAGGACAACGGACAGATCTTATACCTTGCTTGGCTCGCATAGCTTTGGCCTCATCGCGAGTGGCGAGAAGGAGTCGCTTGGGTTTGAGTTTTGCAAGATGAACGGCCGCTTCGAAGCCAAGGCCAACATTTGCGCCGGTGACGACTATCGATTTGTCGCTGATATCGGCATTCGGGGTGGGGATCGACGCCCACTGCCCACGGAGAAAAGAGCGGATGGTGAGTTTTCCCATTCCAACTGTGACCTTTGAGAGACACTGTCGAGGCACGCCAAGTGCAATAAACAAGTCACAGCGGCATGATGATTGCGTGTGTCTCGTGTTGTCATTGGCCGAGCTTGAAAGATACCGGTGTTTGCCGATTCCTCATTTGGCCGCCTTGCACACAGTGGCGATACGCAGTCAGAGTGTGCATGCGCATTTATCTTGCCAACGCAACACGCTGGCTTCATTCCAACACCGCAAACCTCAACTTCAGACTCAGACTCAGAAGGTTCTATTTCTCTCCCTGCCCCTCCGCTTTTCCATTCCTCGAACAGATGCAGGCTCCAGAACTGCCGGAACCGCGGCGTCCCGAACGCACCAAGAAGAAGAAGCGGACTAGAAAATCGGATCGAGTTGAAGAAAAGGCCTATCATGCAAGACTTGAGGATGATGTTACCTATTTTCTGGAGGCAAGTGCTGAAGAGGGATCGTATCAGCACGTCTGACTCGTCCCGGTAGGCTGCGAGAACGAGGGAGGATGCAGCGGCAATAAGGGCGCGGTTTATTTCGATAATGGATGAGTTGCTTCCCAAAGCGGTTCCTGACGTCCGACTTCACATCGTGGATCACTGGTATCGACGTTGCACCACGGACATCCAACATCAATCTTGGACGTTTTGCCTCGAGGTGATTTGCGAGCCTTGTCCCGTTCTACTAATGGCTGAAATTCAGCCAGGATTATGATAGACCATACGGCCTAGCTAGTGAAGAGATACATAATAACGCAATCCCTGCCGTGTATGGCACAAGGTAAGCGCGGGGACCGCAATGTTACCTGCATGGGTGCTAACTTCCGTGTAGTCTTGCTCAGGATACTACTTTACCGAATCATTATCACGATTCGGTTTTCGAAGCTTTGCAGGGGTTCTCGAAGACCCAGCCTCCAAGCATCTACCTACCCAACCCACTCAACGAAAGACGCGTAGATATATTTCAGTGCTACGCATCTATTCGCCCAGAAATAAGGGCTGTCATGACTCTAATACTTATGTGGAATCGCTCACATGGTTTTGATATCGACCAAATGTCACCTTTTGCCATCGCGGGCATGCTCATTTCCTGGATGCAGGTATGAGATGAGGCAAATTGAAGAAGGCCCATATTGACCCCTTGCTTAGTCAGGAAATTTATTGCCGAATCTCCAGGATCCAAACATCTTAAGTCCTAGCGATCCAAGGATTACCATAAACCACGTTTCTGCAATTCCTGGGGGCATCCGCGTCGAACCTATTGACACCACGTTTAAAGATCCGAAGGGGCGGACGCCGGATCCTTCTCCCCACCTTCCCCCTGGCGCCTTATTTGTTGATTACTTGCAGTAAGCCAGCTTTTGAGCGTGATGTTGTCTCCAGCCAATGGGACCTGGCAGGTTTTTGGGCGGATTGGACACAAAATCAAAAATGTTTTCAATGCGTAATGGGGGGCTCCTCGAGAGAGTAGGCGCGAACAGTGCGGCCAATCCCGATGCCCGAATTCTCCTCGATGGTAGCGGTTGATTGTTTCGTGGTGATCTGTAACTGAGTCTTTGTATCTCTCAAGGATCCGATTGGGTAGCCCCTGATTCTTGGTCTCAGAATTTCGTTGTGGTCCAGGATCCATTCATGCCAAATGAAGTGAAGTACCAGGTCTGGCGACCACGAGCTACATCTCATGACTTGATAGAATCTTACTTCCAACCTGTCCAAATCCCAATGGACTGAATATAGAAATCTGGCAAAAACATTCAGCCATTTCCTCAGGTCGAAACCTCTGTGGCTCGCGTTCGGACCTGACCACCTGTTCCCCCAACCCCAACCACCCCCAGATCCTATGATCGATCGTCACATTGAATCCTTCTACCTTGTAAGTCTCCCTGCCATTGGCGCATGTACGGATAAATAGCTTCCTTTGCCCCTCACCAGGGATCTAGACCCTCCAAAGAGGTGACGGCATCGCGGATGCGTACCATTCAAATTATCGAAAAGATCATTCAGCAGACATTCGGGGCGTCATATACGGTGCAACCGTTCGGTAGCACGGTATATGGCGTAGACTCCCCATCAACAGATCTAGATCTCGTCATAGTCGTAAGAGTACTTTCGTAGAGTTTGGTCGGTACTAAGGGAGATATATATCAAGGACGTAGATCATGCAAACGGTTTTGCTCCAAATGTTGATATACAACGCCTCCCAGGTGAGTACGTTAGGTGCTACGGGCCTTTTCTTGGTGACTCACCAGAACGCAAGCTGTGTACAACATGCGGTATGCCGTCTCGCTTCGTTAGAACCTTGCTTGATGAGCCGACCTATATCCAGTAAACTAGCCGCTGCCCTTCGGCGAGCTGAATTCATCGGTATTAGAGCAATACCTGGGGCATCCACTCCCATCGTCAAAGCAACCCATCCCACCAATAGGATCCAGGTCGACATTAATGCTAATGAGCAACTGGGTCTCTACAATACAGTACTGATTGGCTCCTACTGCCAAATCTATCCGATGCTTCGACGGCTCATCTTTTTCATTAAGCAATGGGCGAAGTCCCATGCCCTCAGTGATCCATCAGGTGCCCATGGACCCAAGAGTATGAGCAGCTATTGCTATACTCTCATGATAATTTCATGGCTGCAAGTAAGTCGTGTACATTCAGCCTCAACCGAGCTCCCAGCCAACGCAAGTTCACTCTTAGACAATCAATGTCTTGCCCAATTTGCAGGCTGACCTCCCTCCCGCCGGGGATGGAGAAGGATTTTGGATACGAGCAAAAGCAGGCCGTGTGTGGTGTGATAATCGATTTGAGCGACGCCTTCCACCAAAGCGGAGTCGCCGATATTTCGACATTGGCGAATTGCTTCTGGGTTGGTTTGAGTAAGGGAATTCTGTGCCCCCTTATGTTAGATTTTTTTTTACTCAATCTCGGGATATTAGTTACTGGGGCACTAGACATCAGTATGCCACTCAAGGAATGAGCATCCGCCATGGCGGGCGAATAATGCGCCAAAACCCTGTTGCTGTGTCGAGCGGCGCCATACCTTTTCAGCCGACCCACTTCAGTGAAGGCCAACCAGTCGCCGCCTATCGATTCAACCATTTGTATTCTCACTTGGCGGATGATACCCTCAAAAAGAACCAGGAGCCTTCCGGATCTTATCAATCAGGCAATCGAAAGGCAAGAGGCACCAGAACAACAACAGAAGAGGTACCGTTTCGGCCGAAGTCGGCTCGCTAAATTACTTACATCACTGCAGAGCATGTCAGTGGATGAAGTAGGAATCACCGAGGAGAATTTCCGTGGCATGGAAATGCTTGGGGAGGGAAACCCAACGCAGTCACCGAAGTCAAATTCTGTACTGGCTGAAAAGGTATGTCTCCCGTTTGGAACTGGCGATGATCTGGTAACGCCAAGAATCCACAGGCTGAGGTAGGCGATGCTAGCGAAGGATACAAAGGCACCGAGGAGGATGCAGAAGACGCAGAAGACGCAGAAGACTTGGACGTGAATCCTTCTGATGGGGAACCTCCACAATGGAAGAATAGCTTATTGCTTGTCGCTGATCCATTCATTTCCGCCAAGGTATCTGGTTTCATTCAGTTATCAGCCGCAAGAGATTTGGATTCCTGATGCCCTCTCTTCAGAACGCAGCTGGGGGTATACGACCTGAAGTCATAGCAAGATTTCGATCGGAATGTGTTCGCTCTGCACAAGTGATTACTGGTGGAAGACCCATTCAGGAGACATTTGGGTCCTCGGAAGCCATTGAGGCTCTCAAACAAGTTTTGGCTCGACGGGGAGAACAGTTATCCTCCTTCCCGCCCGCAGATGATCCTATGTTGCATTACCGATCGATTGAAGAGAAACGAAGGGAGGAGGAACAGGAGAAACAGAAGGGGAAACAAAGGGAGAAACAAGGGGAAGAGAAACAAAAAGGGGGGAAAAGGCGATGGGAACCGAGGTTCGTACGAACACGCTTTTTAGACATGTTAAAGAAGACCCAAGTGACACTGGTGCTGTAACACCATAAGGAATAAGCAACGAAAGAACGCGGCTTCAAAAGCGCAGAAATCAACCACACCAACCATTAAGACGTAACACTGCCAAATTGCTCGGCAAGATGTTCGTTAGCTGGATTGTAAGTGAATCCACGGAACTGGTCCTGCACAGTCTCGGACAGGTTTGAGTCGGTGACGAGACTGTCCGCTGCTACTTCCGATGTGAATTCTGGATCGAAATTTCTGTGTTGTTGTTAGTGAACGAGCGAATTGATTTACAACACGATATCTTACGACACGTCAATCAGTCCGGTCTAAGGAGCATAGTAAGAACAAACGACTGAAAAGATGAAATGATATCAACTCACGACACTAGGTTTGAAAGGTGGCTGAATCTTTTTGGCAAGCAACCTACCCAACGAAATTCAGCAGGATCACATAATGAAGCACCATAACATGCTCACTTGTGCCAATCTATTTTGGAGAAGAATGGCTGCTTCTTTATCTCGTTTGATCCGTTCACACCCAATCTCTGAGTTGGGTCACGCTTCAGAAGCGCTGCAATGATACTTCTCGCTTCTGTAGACATATCATCTGGAAAGCGGAGAGTGTCATGTAGGATTCTCTGATACATTTTGTTCACGTCCTGATCGTAGAAAGGGGGCAATCCGGTCTTTGTTGGATTGACGATGAGAACGGGCTGGTCTGGTCTGAAGCAGTGAGGAATCGAACATACCAGCATTTCAAAAATTAAGACGCCCAAAGTCCACCAGTCGACGGTTTTTGTATACCCTTTGCTTTCGAGGAGTTCAGGTGCAATATATTCGGGGGTACCACAGAAAGCTGGCAAAGCAATGGTAAGCTCCTTGGGGACCATCATAAAGGCAGACATACTGTTCGTTTTCGAGTCCTCCGACATATTGAGCTTGCATAAACCGAAATCACATAGCGCTATGTGACCTGTGAAGTCGAGAAGGATGTTTTCCGGTTTCAAATCCCTGTTGAATATGATTGGTTATAGCGCCAGCTTCGGAAGGTATGGAGGATGTACCGATAAACAACATTGAAAGAGTGCAAATGCTCGAGAGCACAGAGTAGCTCCGCAGCGTAGAATCGACTGCGGGACTGATCGAAACGACCTTCCCTTTGTAGGTGATAGAACAGTTCCCCCCCATTCACTGATATGAGGATGAGAGGGAGTGTCAAGAACAGCTATTTCACACCTACCAAAGGACATGACAAGGTATAATTTGTCCGGAGTTTGGAATGAAAACTTGAGAGGGACGATAAAAGGATTGTTGACCAGCGCCAGCACTGTTCTTTCGGCTAGAATGTGGGTGATTTCCCCAGGTCGAGATGCAATATGAGCTGCGAGATTCGAAAAAAGTGAATAATGGAATTGTTTGAATCCAAGTCTACAAACGAAAAGCTACCTTTTCTGATTGTTTTCAGTGCATATATACGGCCCGTGTCCTTTTTTCGAACTTGCATAACCTATGAAAGCATAAATCCGGAACCGACCTCCCAAGGGAACTCTAAAGTGGAGGCTTCACCTTTCCGAAACTTCCTTTCCCAATGAGACTCAATAAATCAAAGGAGTCTATAGTCAACGTTTCATTCTAAAGTTGATAAGATAAGATCAGCCCTAGCAGCAAGCGCCGATCATCTCACTGACATGTATTGGTTTGAACGACAGGTGCAGGCGGAACTCTCCAGTACCCCAGGTAGCACGATACCACTGATCAGACACCTGATAGGTCTCGTTAATGTAGTGGTAGAAGAACGATTATGTGAAGGGGCGAACGGCATTTGCTTCCAATGCGGGGCTGAGGTCGAGACGAGAGAGAAGTATGTCGTTCCCCATATCTGGTTGGCTGAGTCCGGAAATCACGGGCTGAGTCCGGAGATAGGCTGAGATCGTGATGTCCGAAGTACGGGATACGTCACTGTCGGTATGGAAACACCGAAGAATGAGCCGGATTAACGGGGTTGATGGTGACGGCAAACACGCACAAATCAGCCTGCGAGTACCAGTTCGGGGACGATAGCTGTCCACCCAGGGCGTCAATCATGATTTCGTTTTTGTCGTACTCAAGAACACAATAGGGGATCCACCACATCCTGCGGCGTTGAATGCTCTCACGAGCATTTGAGGGCTTTCGTTGATGCGCTGGCTGATTTTTGACGGCCTCTTCAACCGAGGGAGGGATTGATACATCTGGAGGGAGAGTAATGCCTCTGCCTAAATTAACACTCAGATCGCGTCTAATTCTTCAGCACTCCGGGGGGGGGCCAGCAAGTGTCACCTTCAAGCACACGAATTGTAAGCAATCCAGTTCTTTCTCCAGAGCTCGATGTTCGCGGGCTTAGATATTGTGCTGGTGGCTGAGGTGTAGTCGAACGAGAAGGAACGGGTGTGTGGGAACGCGACGGCGTGAGCACGTCCTTCGCTTCTGTGCCAGATTGGTAGCACAATGGCGGTGTCAGTGAAGACGACGGGCAATTGTCATGAGGATCGGGGCAGCAGAAGTGTAGGGATACGAGCGCTCACTCTTTCCAAGCCAGCCAGACATGGATCGTGATGAGATGAGGTGATGCGGAGGGAAGAGAAACAGCCCGGGCGTGGATATGATGTTCGAGGCGGTGCAACACCTGCGGACGGTCTCGTGACACCTCCAAGCTCTCAAACGATATCCTTCAAGCATTGGCACGGAGAGAGCAGAGTCGTTTCCCTGTTAATGAGCCTCAAATGGAGTTTCTGGGGGACATAGGGGTTGTTCGTCATGCTCTGTTAGTTGCTCCTGCGGACGATAATGGACCAGGAGCCGGAAATGCGCTCAATCCTTCAATTCTAATTTCTGCTGGCGTCGCCACTTTCGCCGCCACAGTCATCTCTGTTATCAGTATTATACTGCAGCTCAAGGTGTGCCCTAACTAGATTACTGTTCGAAAGTCCGGCGGTCCAATGTGATGTTTTGTGTGATTCTAGAATTATCGAAAACCAATATTGCAGCGGTAAGAAGAGCTGGAAAGCCTTTTCCTTCAGGGAGTAATTTCCGTTTTAGAATGACGGTTCGCATCATGGTCATGGTGCCCCTGTGCGTAATGTTGTACCATTGCTTGTTATCCTATTCAGCTGAGCTCCTTCCAGATACGCTATATCATCCCTCATATCATTATTTTCCCTGGACGCCGCATTCGCAATAGACGCTATCCGAGACGTCTACGAGGTATGGAGTCGCTTTACCCTTCCACAGAGTGTATAATGACTTGATCATCCCCAGGCATTCGTCATTTACGCCTTCTTCCAATTAATGATCAACTACCTTGGCGGAGAGAGGAGTTTGTTGATTCTACTTCACGGAAGACCGCCCAAGCACCACGTTTTACCCGTTAGCCTCTTTGTTCAAGAGCTTGATGCCTCAGACCCCTTCACCTTTCTGTTCTTAAAGCGTGGCATTTTACGTGCGTTCCCCCGTTCTTATCTGCGTTTAGACTGGGATTCCCATATCAACAACAGAGTACGTTCAAGTAAAGCCAATACTTGCTATTGCTACCCTCATTCTGAAAGCCACTGGAGCATACAAAGAAGGAAAGCTCAGCTGGTCTTCCGGGTACCTGTACGTCAGTTTCATTTACAACATTTCTATTTGTCTCAGGTAAGCTTGAACTCGTGTCGCATATGAGTATTCCCCGCTAACCTCCTACTTTTCCCTTAGCCTGTACTGTCTTGCAATGTTCTGGCTCTGCGTGAACGCCGATATCAAACCATTTCGGTAGGTATAGGATCCGCCATCTACTGCTGCAAGGCTCTCATATGATTCTGCAAGTTCAATGCCTAAATTCTTTTGCGTTAAAGGAATTCTCTTCTTCTCGTTTTGGCAAGCCCTAGGGATTTCTACCTTGGTTGCGGTTGGTGCAATCCAAAAAAGTATGTATCCCCATGAGGGACTTAATATGTAGACTTATCGTCGACATTACCGATAGTTGGGCCATATACTGATGAAGAGCACATTTCACTTGCAATCACCGACACCTTGATTTGCCTCGAAATGCCGTTCTTCGCATTCGCCCATTGGTTTGCTTTCTCCCATACCGATTACATCGACGAGCACCTTAAGTATGCAGCACGCATGCCCTTCTACTTTGCATTCCGCGACGCATTTGGGTTTCTCGATGTCTTAGAAGACAGCCGTGCCACACTTCGCGGAGGTGTTTCGTACCGGGCTTTTGAGCCAGTCGAGGGAGGCATGCACCAAGGGATCGGACGTGATCGGCGCATCAGGGCTGGGCTCCGCTACTCCAAAGGTGGACAAAAGAAATATTGGATTCCGATGCCCCACGAAAATGCTGGTCCACGTGCTGGCCCTGTCCAAACGGCGATAGGGGATCTCAACCGTGACCATCGTGGCTATGCTCTACTCCTGAATGATCAGGATCATGAGCAATTTCATGAAGCACGAACACCCCCTGACACTGATTATAATGAAGCCGCCGATGGTGCCGTCATTGATGATTGGGCGCACCAGCTCGAGTTCGAGGGCCCAGATCCAGAGATCGAAAAACTGTTTGAGGAAAGCCGGGGATTTATTTTTGGCGACTACAATTACCCTTGCATTGATGTTAGTGGGGAGGAAGCTAGACGACGTATGTGGGATGAGGAGGAGCGGATTTTGAAGGACCAACGCGCAGCTTTTTCGCTTGCCAGAGATGCTTCACAATCCCTTCTAAGGACGAACATTCCGGGGGTTGGTCGATACGGGGCTACTTTTGGGTCAGATCTGCGCGTGCACAGTGATCCAGATTCACAGGCTGCGCGCTCGGCCTTGAAACAGCACAAGGGGAAGAACATAGACTTAGACCAGCGTCCCGGCGTCTACGGTGCTTGGGCTGACGCGACACCCGTACCTACAGATAACTCACGTCGAGCCCGGAGCAGTCCAATAGTACCAAAGGTTGGAGAATCCATAATCGATCTTACGCCCCATGAGCCCGTGCCCGGCGCTGATCCTGCTGAAGGTGATATAACGATGATATACACGAAGTCGAGGAAAAAGAATGCGTCAACTACCCGAAAACTTCCCAGATCAGACCAAGCATCGGCTGTCCCCCATCCCTCCTCCATCAACCCTTCCACGGCCTTGCCATCCCCAGCATCCCCAGCGAACCGTCGCCCCACCGTCAAGCACACCCAGCCAGAGACCCGGACACCTAGTAGTAGCTCGCCCCGTCCCGATGCCATTGATCTCGTCGTAGAGGATAAAGAGGCCGCCGAGGAAGCAAAGACGCGCCAAAGGCGCAAAGGAGAACCTGCTGTTCGGCAGAGGGGAGAGCGAAAGGTATATCGGCGCACGTATGTCATCCAGGAACCGAGCGGGGTGGAGGACCATCAGATCCAGGCAGAGCAGGAAGGAAGTGATCCAAGCCCATCCAAAGGAGACGAGTTACGAGTGGAAGGCGCCGAGGTTCAGACTATAAACAGCCAGAAAGAGTTGCCCAGTCTGCAACAAACTCGGGAGCAAGGGAATACAGTGGATCCGAGCGTTAACCCCCATGCCACTAACGTGGTAACACCGTTCGAACTGACTCGGTCGGTCACGCCTCCTCGTGTCGAAGTACACCCTCCCTCTCTCTCATACCTCCGGGATGAAGATGTTGAAAGTAACCCTTGGGCATGATGTTTATGTATACTATATATTGTATTTTGTCACTCTTACCGATCTTCACACTTACGTTTAATGCACATATTTTCCCTGACTCGTCGTTGTTTGTACGGAAGGGGGTTGATGATCATTTCTACCCTCGAACCTACGATTGGAAGATAACCTTTGCATGCGCGCCCACGGCCTTCCGTACTGTGTGACGCTCCTGGCTGGTTAACGAGAGGTAGGGCGGCTCTCCCTTTGCCCTGCCTTCACCTGTGCAATATTATTGTAGAAGCGCGTTTCCTTCGGTTGCTGTTGTGAGCGCTGTTGCTATGGTGAGAGTGACTGTCTGAACGGAGACATATCTCTGCTTCCGTATTCGGGGCGCTTACAATTTGGAAATTAATAGCTCTTGCCTGTGTGTGAGCACGCAAATACCTCGGAGGACGTTCAATGTTCTGAACCAACAGTGTTCTCCTCCCACGGTTGTGAATTTCAAAGGCCACACCATGCGTAGATTTGTCGCAACACACCGCAAAAACTTTATCCGTGATGGCACCAACCCACTCAATCGATTTTAATTTTATCTTTATACACACAGGACCCAACACAAAAATGTCATTCAACACTGCTTATTGGTATGTCTGTGACGTTCAAGGTTGGGTGCTAACCGACCTGCCATGTGCACTGACACAGCCTATGGGATGAATTGAATGCTGCACAAGGAGTTGCGCTTGCGAAGGTACGGCACACAACTCCCAGTCCCAGATTTGCATTGAATATATATGTTAGGGGCCGAGGTCTAGATTATCTGTAGGGAATACAAATAGTCCGTCCCTGCGTTCTAGACAAACTTGACAGTGCCTATTCGTGCGATGGCAGAGCATGATGCCAGCTCAGCAATGGTGCTCCGTGCAGGGCTACGACAGAACGCTTCCGCAACCGCTCCGAGGTCCGCGCCTTGATGGTTTTTGCAAGTCCGTATATGTAGATATGTATATTCTGGCGAACTCCCATACAGCTGATCTTCTTTTTCTCTGAAGAATCCCTCAATCCTTTTCCATACCTTTATATGAGTTGACAGTCCAGAGAACCATACTTGATTTCATTAGTAATTTACGCGCTCATCTAAGCGCTGATGGAATGGATGCTTCGGAGACCCCTTACGTTTGGCCTTCGTCATTTCATTCATGTCTCACTAATATCTGATGACTAGCTACTCGCCCCATAGTTACAGGTCTAAAATGCACTTCAGGCACGCCGTTAGCCACAACCCAAGTGTTCGCCGGAGATATCCTCACATACTAAGTTGGACAAGGCCATTTTTGCGCGTCTTTTTACGCCCAGACCGTTCGCCGGAAATCCGGCTGTTGAAACCTATCCCTTTCCGAATTTGCAAACTGCCGACCCAGTGCAACGCGTACCGCCTTCTGTAAGGATCCCTGCGCTTCTAGTATCTTCTTTTTGTGCAACCCTCTGTCCTCTTGAGGCATATGGACTAAGGTCGGCGTTCTCCATATCTCTCTTTCTGTTTGCCCAGCACGTATGGGAGACGCGTTAGCGGCTCGTATCCGGTACATCGAAGATATTACAGGGATCCTCACATCGACGATTCTGCGGGATGCTGGGACAAAGGAGATCTACCTAGCAGTTGCACCGTTGCTCAATCTTCCCGAACATAAAGCCATCGTCCAGATTAAAAGGGGTCACATCACTCTCATGGTGATCGATTTCTCGGCCTCCCTCACCGGATGGGGAACAGTCACCTTTTCTTCCGTCGGCTCAGTGTTCAGCAGGATCGAAGAGTATCTTCCCCACATCCAGCCGAGAAGATCCAAGTAAGAACTCCTCAGAAATGCTCCGTGCACACTCGTATTCTGACCGTTTCACATGTCCCGTAAAGTGACGCCTCCGCTCAATCAAGGGCATTCACAACAAGAAACGGCGATGAGTATATCTGGACTACTTTTCGGCACGACGTGCAAACGTTTGTCAGTGAAATCCACTCCTTCCACCTATGATCTCAGGTAACCATCGCGTCTTTCATTCTGTCTGCAAAGACTTTCGAGTGCGTTACGGCGAGAAATGGCACATTCGTGGCTCGTTATTATCCCGTTCCGGTGAGTAGGCTTTTCACCAATTTCACGCCGCTTCCCCTGGCTGTACGCATATTCAAACGCCACTTCTTTCGCCCCCCATCAGCTTACTCATGGCAATAACGGGCCTGCCGCCATGCTGGAAGTCGGAGAGGAACACATGAACTCCTTGCAAGGTGCGACACTCTGATGACGAAGATGGAGGGAGTTTTCAATTAATCCTCACATCTTTTGACAGAGCTCGTAGCGACCCTCATCATCCTTCGTTACATTGCAAAGTATTCTACGGGCTCGCCCTTCAGGGGCGGTCGACTTTGAGCTTGCAAGGATGAGTTCACAACTCCACGGTAAGTGATCCTGTAGGTTCGCTGGTCCCCGATTTGCATTTGAGTAATAAGATCTCCATCATTTGCTAAATCCCCTCACTACAAGGCCTTCAGCCACCCGTTCTAGCACAAATCTCCTTCATAAGACCCTCCCCCGATCATCGCAATCGTCCATTATCAATCGTCAGCCCACATCAAAGGAAATGCGTTTCTTTTACCTTATAATGTACGCTATGGTGCGGCACTGTCGTCGTGTGTGCCTGGCACATTCATGATGCTCGCAAATCATAATCACTAATGAACGCGATATGCTGCGAGAACAATCCCTCTTCCGTTGGGCATTTGGGGGTGGTCACCCTCACGGAAGGAGGGACGGCTTGTTCGTGTCAATATCTAGACGTGATCCGCCTTATCCGACATTTTCCGTATTCCCATATCGAGGCACAATGTTCGATCTACAAGGTGCGCAGAGCATGTGCTTTGTCACTGATCCGGGGGAGGGAAGACAACATGTTGAAATTGATTTGCCTGCTGGCACGTTAATATCATCCGTCGTTCCCCGCGGTGGGGCAACGGCACCGTGGCAGCCAACTAGAACATCCTCTCTGTCTTTGGTCCTACTGTTTATCTTGTTTCCTTGGGGACGCGCACAACTAGCGACATCAATATTTAGGACGCTGAGATCACTGGGATCACTCGATGACACGCGCTTTGCTTCGTACTGCATTTACTGGACGGCACTACTAACAAGTAAGCCTGCGGCTAAACCTGTGTGCATTATCTATCCCTCGCCTGAGCACTGATCTTTCCATGAATTCAAACTGCACAGCTTGAGAATTTGCAACGTTATAAAACACCGTGTGGCTTGCTCTTCTGTCAGTTTCCCTTCGAATGGAATGAAGGAAGTCAGTCAGCTAGCATGTACAGGTGTCGAAGCCCGAGCACATGCATATGCCCGCCGCCACCGCAACCACTAGCCCCATGATTCAGAAAATCATTATACCACTACTCAACCTAACGCATCCCACTTGGCGAGGTTGGCCAGATGTCCTCAAGTATGATTCGCCAGCCCCATTCAATCGCTCCTCACCCCCGACCATTACATATTCATTTCCGGACTAAGACGACTTTGATCGACAATGACAGGGGGAGCAAGAAGTTCCCACGGCTGGGGAACGATCCAACTTTCGCAATCGATATGCCGCTGCCAAGGGGGAGGATTATAAATCAGCGGGCAGTATCTTCCGTCTTTGTCTCCGATGCGATGGTTCTTCTAGATGTTCGAGGCCATAAGGCACAGATCGAAACAGTTGATACCGTGGCCCTGGGCCCAGACTATGCTGTGTGGCGGCATGGATGTCCATTAGCCGTGCGCCGCCTTCAGGTAGTAGGTGGGGTTTTGTTTGAGTGAACTATTCAGAGGAGTGTATAGCAAGAAACTAGTGCCGATTCCTGTAGCTTCGCAGAGCGAATTCCACCTGGACAAATTGCGCGGCCTGCCAAAGGTCGACTCAAGAAGCAGCATGCTAGAAGCATTATCGACACCGTCCGTGGTGTGAAGGTTAAATTTTTCACTTTTTTTGGGAGGTCAACATGCACATTCCGTAACATTGATCAAGCAGAGTTGAACACCTTCGGGCCTTCGACAGTTAGGGAAGTCGCACTTGTGATCGCGCTCTACACATACATTGTCCTCACCCCCGCCTCAATTCTTACCAAGACGGCATGCATGTTGAAATTAATTAATGGCGTACAGTGATAATAGCCCGATGTAAAAAAAGTAATATAGATGAAGTCATTTCACTCGTCCGTTCCCAGCTTCCGTTTCTTTCGTTGTCCATACCCTGCATCCCTGACCATTGGTTCCGAAAAACGTTTTCTTGACGGCCCGACCTGGGTCGTCCCAGAGTTTCCCGAGCCCCATGATGGTCGTCGTGCGTCTTCGAAGTTTCCCTGTCCTCCATTCTGCATTCGCTCCTTTTTACCACGTCGAGCCTTCTTTGTCGACACATTAAGCGTGGGCTTCCAGGTTTCCTTTGCCTTTTCTGGACGCTGCAGCATCTCGTCGTTCTTGGGCGCTTTCCCCCAACCATCGTCGCCCCATCGGTCGCGAAGTTTGTCCCGTAGCGCCCACACCTTAGTTCTGGCATCGTCAACCCAATACCTCTTTCGATATGGTGCGAACACCTCCGGTGGGGCGATTTCATTGAGCTCATCATCGCGAGCCATCAAGATATCGGCGGAGTTAAGGCCAAAATCTCTTTTCTGTACTGGAATATATTTGAAGCGGGTATTGATATTACCACCGATCTACGAGGAAAAAGATGTCACCTAGTTTGGGTGGAGGAAAGAATAAGTTTGACGCCGCACTCACAATATCATTAAATTCCAACCCATATATCTCGTCCAAGTATTCAGCTACCAAGCGCTGACGCATCTCTTCAGTACCATCCCACTCTTTTGAGACGGTAGCGATATCTGCGTCCATTTTTTCGACGTCTACCCCTAGGCCTTGCTCGGCAACGGCAGCAGCAGCTTTTGCTTTGCGTTGGGCTTCCTTTTTCAGTTGCTTTTTTGACTTCCCCGACTTTTGTAGTTCCAACGGAGCGACTCCAGGGACATCTATGTCATCCTCCCAAACTGGCTTCTCCAAGCCCTGTAGAGCACAGCTTGTAAATGACCATCCTCTGCCATGGTGAATTCGCCTACCTCTTCACCTTCATCGTCTCCATCAGCCTGTAGTCTGGCCATCTGCTCGTCATGCTTCGCCGGGTCCCAGTCCCCTTCAAGATCTAGTCCTTGGAAATCTGCGGCAGTGATAGGAGATGATAAATTCCGGGTTGGGGTCTTGACAGTATCATCTCACCTTCATCTGCAAACCCATTTGCTTGACTCAGAGTCTCCAATTTCCTCTTCAGTTCCTTCATCTTGAGTTGCTTGACACGCCGAATTTCTTCCCTTTTCTTCGTTATCGCTTCAGCCTTCTTGGCCTTCTTACGCTCGTGGGCCGCCTTCTTCCTCTCGGCTTTTGGGTCTCGGCGCACACTTATAATGTTACGGGGATAAGTCGGGATCTTTGTGCCACCGCTATGGGAGTGTCAAAAACGCGTCAAGTGAGGAACAACGATTTTACCGACGCACGGTTCTTCAAATCTGAAGTTGTAGGTACTTTCGAAATGATCGGCGAGGTCTTCAAATTCCTCCAGCTCGTCCGAATCCGGGTCAGCCTCTCCAGTACCAGTCGTTTTTTGTCCCTTGGCCTCCGAACGCTCATTAGAGTTCTTCTGCACCTTTGACGATTCATCGCGAGTTCGGGATTCGCGGTCGATCCAGCCACGGTTAGCGATGAAGCTAGGATTCGTCGGGACAAAATTGTGAGAACCACATGGAGTTTCTGGGCAGCGCAACCACGTACTTGATTAAGAACTCGTCATGACGTTTTTCTTCCTTTTCCCTTTCGGTGGCCGCGATTTTCTTGACGTCACCATTCTCCCTTTCGGTAGCCGTCATTTTATTAACGCTACCATCCACCTTTTTGCGGTAGTCCCCATATTTTTTTCTCTCTTTCTCCAGTTCCTCTGCAGTCTTTTCGCGAAGCGTGAGAACACCCGCTCCAAGTCCCTCTTCATCTGCGTCTCCTGAAACAGCTGCGTGGAACGCAGAGATGGTTTCCGACCGCAATTTGGCCTGTTCTTCTACGTAGGTCGGTGCGGATGGTGGTGGCTGATGATTGTAATCCCAGGGTATAGATTTCGACTCTTTGGCTGCCTCCACTGTAAGCTGGGTAAGCGTTTATCCTCTATCGACGAGTGGAATACGAGCATGCCTTGGAAGACATTCGTTTTGCTATCGTAAATGGAAGGGTCCTTTTGTCGTATTTTTGACAACGTCCGGAGTAGGGCCGCCTCAGCGCCAGGGATCTCTTCGTCCTCTCCCTCGTCCTCGGGTCCGTCTGATTCAGAGCCCTCATAATCAGATTCCTCGTTGCTTTCCTTGACTAGAGCGTAGCTTAGAATATTTGGATAGTGAATGACTTTATGCACTGACGCTTTGCTAACTCCTCCCGTTCTTTCTTGTAAAGCAACGTTTTCTCATAATGTTCCTCAATCGTCAGGCGATGGCGAGACCCCGAGTGCTTAGCCCCAGGCGGCCCCATCCAACGTCGGCGTCTACTGTGAAGAGGTTTTAAATTAAATAGAACCGTCGGCACATGTTATCGATTCGATTATGTAATACATACTGGTTTTCCCTAAGCGCCAAACGTTGTTACTACACTAATGATTGCAACAATATCATTTTAACAAGATACAGGCATTGCCGTATGGGCTGGAGCCGAGGGGAGCTAGATATTGCAACGTCTACTAAAACGGACCAAAAAATCACTCAAGTGGAGAAGAACGCATTGCCCAAGTGAATCAAGATGAGAGCAGACGGGAGCCCCACAGGGCATCGGATTGTCTGGTCTGAGAACTATTTGCTCCATACGCAGACACAGAAACTATACGGGGGCTCGCAATAAGCTGTTGGAGAAACATTCTTAGGTCCATTTTTTACTCACTGGTTTTGCACATGTTGATGACTTGAAGCCGTCCAGTGAACTCTTTGGTGATGAACGAGGGATCGGCTGCGACATTGACTCCTTATGATACGGTTAGCCTTCGAATACTGACAAAAGGAGAATAGCTACAACGCACCTTGAACAACACCATCACAAATGCGGTTCGCTGTTGACGCTGCGCTCTCCCCTTTCGATCTCCAGGTTCGAATGGCATTATCCAAGGTGTCGATCCATGTCCTGAATGCAATGATGGCGGTGTATGACTCCGGCGCACATCCTGTATATTCAAAGGCCAAATTCGTCACAGCGCCCACAATAATGGCAATCTCTTCCTGTGCGATTCCAAAGGGCACTTCAAGGTCGGGGTAGTGAGGTTTCAGAATTTCTAAGACGGGACGGTAAGCAAAGCCGTCCCCGGGAGTTGACGTTGCTAGCCAGCGGGAGCATTCCTGGATGGCCTTATAAAGATCTTCACGAAGGACGGAGGGTGCAGCGGTGGTTCCCTTCGCCTTAGGGTCTTCCCTTGTCGTGGAACCATTGCCAGATTGCGCATTTGACGAGTAAGAGCTGGATGAGCCGAGGAATGCTTTAGCAAGTTGTTCAAACATTAACTGCAAGGACGTGTAGGTCGAACTGATAGTTAGTAATAGTCGTACGAGCAGTGCCTCAAGGGCGCCAGCTCAGTTCACACGCTCTGAGTCAGTTGCACAGCGGAACCCCGGACTCGTGTGAGCAGTTATAGGCATCAGGGTTGGTCAAATCGGTCAGGGCTCTGATCAGTGATCTTTTATTGACCCATCTGGGACGCGTTACCATTGAGGCACACCAATTAGTCCATTCGCCTTTCTCGCACTCTCGATGACTCGACTTCTCACAATTTTGGCTCATTGGCTGGCTCTTGAGCGGACTCTGGCCTCTTGATGTCCGGAGGGAAGCAAATCGTTGACTGGAACAACGACTGTTGTAACTGCGCATGTAGCCATATCTATCTTGCATTCGACCCCATTGTTAAAAGAAGATGGAGGCCTTCCATGTGAAGGACCTAATCTTCAGAGGACTTCTTCGCTCTCATTAATTCAAGTACCGCGCCAAATTATGATCTGCCTCTCAAAGAAGGCGCAACTTGTAGCCTGATGCGTAACCTCTGTGTCATTACAGGGCTGGTAAAAATCAACGAGTGTTGATCGCCAAATTGCTACCGGACGCGTTGGGGTCAATCCAGCACATGTACCATTCAATTTCTTCCATTATCTGTTTCTTGTCATGGCAGCCAGGAGCAATTATATGCGTATTTACATAGTCATTCCAACCCATTGTTTGCTTTCCTACTCTCAAAGTGACCATAAACACTCGATTAAACAACACTGATCTTCAGCTTCCGCCCCCTGGCTCAACTTGGCAATCCGCAGAAAACAGCTCCTACTCAGATTGACTTACGTCACAACTTTCAACACTTGTCAAGGCCTCACATTCGATCGTGTAGTTATCGATGGTCGAAACGACGTGTTTGCTCATGGTCAACTGCACACGGTCTTCTCAAGAGTGCGAACACGGAGAGATGCAACGCTGCTCATTCAAGATAAACCATCAGTAACGAACGTCGTGTTCTCACGCTTATTTCCTACCACTCCAGCGGGGTTCCACATGGATTACCAAAAGTCGAAAGTCCGCTGAGCCTGATATGTACATGATCAAAGGAATCACTAGCTGAGGACCGCAGGCACCCACGCCTTGCTCGTCTTGAGAAAGAATTGCAGTCTTTTGGCAGTCCTGAGTAGATCCTGCTGATTAAAACATGCAGAGATAGTTGGCACTCTGGACTCACAGTGACTTTATTCTGCGCGACTTCACCCTTTCTTCCATTTGTTCGGAACGGTGTCGAGCGGAATTAAGCACGTTACATGGTAAACCGGCCAGTTCTGCACATTCAATCCCAAAGGATCTGTGCGCGATCCCTGGAGTTAGTTTGTATAGAAAACTAATTGAACGGGAGCCATCTGTCGGATTCGAGCTTGAGAATATAGACCATAAAGAACGATGGCGGACATTACCTTCTCGTTTGCGTTCAATGAAGCCCATATGCCCATTGCTTACGTCGGCTAGCTGGGAGACCACACTGTCTGAGAGCGGATGAATGATCATTCCAAACACAGATCATACCTTTCCCATTTCCGAAGCGAGGAGCGGATAGTGTGTGATAAACAGTGTCTTGCACTTAACCGACTCTATCAAGTGAAGTAAAACACTGAATGCGATGGCCATCTGGAGAAGGCGTCAGACTATCGTTTGATTTAACGGAGGCAGATATACTCCATCAAATGTCGAAGTGCCCCTTCCGACTAATAAGGGGTCGTCAGCAATGTATCTGTCGATGGAACAAAGGGACGAACGCTCATCCAGGATGACCAGCGATCTTGGGGAAGCAGTTCTGATAATGTTGCTAGTTTCAGACATCTCCACCATGAAGGTCGATCTGCCCTTCGTCAACTCATCCATCGCTTCAGACCTGTGAGTTGTGTCGCAGAGGAAGTTGACCATACTAACCTCCCATTCGGGTCATGACAGCATCATGGATGCCAAGCTTTGCACTGCTGGCTGGAACATGGCTTCCGATTTGAGCCATAACTGGGCGAATAGGTAGGAATGCTTGTTAGTGCGTCCGTAAATCTCTGGATGGTGCAATCGTACTTATGATGAGGGCGGTCATTCTATCTAAATCAAGTTAATACATGCGCAATGACTGAGGAGAATGCCCTTGACCTAACGCATGAGCTTTTGCCTCCCTGACGTTAGAAAATAAGTGTCAAGAAAGTGACAAGAAATAGGCATCACTTTTACCCACCATGTTGGGGCCTAGAATGGAAGGACAATCAAGTACTGCTCGCGTAGACCACACCAGACCATACCTGTAATTATTTGATGTCTAGGGTAAGCCTAGGGCACAGATCAGTAAACTGGACCACGCTTTTCACACCAATTACTCACTCCACCCAGCGCAATACTATTGGGGACGAAGGGATCCATTCGCAGTTTCTCTATCATTGGGTGACGCCCTCCTTCGATGTCTAATCCATCTGGCGCATCATCATCGAAGAACTGTGGCTTAACGTAACCAGGAGCTGCACTGATTTCTGCCAAACTGTTAAGGCAGTCTAAGTGGATGATCAATCGCTAAGCAATCACTCAGAGGTGTTGACTTGCCAAATGTTGCGAGTTTGCTTATACAGTCTCTCAAGACACCATAGACAGTCACAACCTCCTCCAAGAATTTCCGGAAAGCTCTGTCGCATTCTTGAAGCATCTGGTATTAATCCAACGGGACCGTACAACTGGCAATCGCCTACCAGCAACTTTTGATTCCTTCATCCTCTCGCGTTCCTCAAGTAGCTTTTTGACTTCAGGGGTTTGGAATCGAACTGCGGACTTCGTCCTGCTGGCTGAGTCAAACAGGAGCAATAAGAGGTGATGGGGACACGCACGATGACTTCCTAATCCAAGATGCCGGGACTTCTTTAGTAGAATTTCTCGGCACTTCAACTAGATACTACGAGGAACCAATCAATAAATCTCCCCAAGTAATTGCGAAAAGACTTGCTTCATCCTTTGCCACATGTTTCCAATGGAGGCTAGGTCGATGGAGAAGTTTGCGAACTGCGCATTGAGTCATTGAGCCGGAAAAAAGTCATCTAAAGTGAAAAATGCTAACTCCTCTTTAGTTCTTCAGCCAGATCACTTTCAACGGCCATGATGCCCTGACATTACCAAGTCAACGATGATTTAGAGTGTGATATCGCAGACATTGATGGACTCTCGTACAAGGGTAAAGTTTTCGATATCGGGGAACTTATCTTCATTTCTCCATAAACTGTCCATGTTGTTTTCTCGAGCTTCGGCGAGCTTAATATCAGATAATAATTTGTCCACATGGGTCCGTATAGTCGGCAAGGCGCATATAATTGACTTCAGCATAGGGGATGAGACCTCGATTCTATTTAGGGCGTCAGGGTCGAAGACATGGGCAACGCGATCGAACGCCTCTAAGAGAATAGAAAGTTCTTTGGGTGTACACTGAAAGCCGTTACAATAGCTGAGTATCAGTGAGGTCGAAATAAAATGGCAAACCAAACATACCTTGCCATACTGCACACGACACAAGCCTTTGGCAAGGTCTGGCATCCCTTGAATCAGTTGTCTTAGCTTCACAATCGATGATGATGTGGACTTTTTAATTTCTTCGACGGCCTCGATACGTTCCTGCAGCATCAAACGGTCGATGAGGGGTCGCCCCATCCATTCTCGGAGGAGCCTTGCTCCAAATTTGGTCTTAGTTCGGTCGAGAACCTCCAGCAACGATCCTTTTTCCGAGAAATCGGTCTGATTACGATAGATTTCACTACAGCAAAAGCATTGGGGGGCTCAGTAATGATGAAAGAAGATCGTGTGCGAATACCCACAGATTTGAAAGTGTATCGGCACTCAGTAGCATGTGCGTCCGTGCTGTGAACTTGATGAGTTTGTTGTCCTGAGTGAAGATGTTACCAAGCGAGAAAGCCTTGAGGCATTGAATAGTATGTGCTAAAGCAATGGTCACCAACTGAGGCAAGCCAATGACCTCCGCAACTGATTGATCTGCGCTGCCGAACCTTAGTCCATCAGACTTCTGCTGGTTCAAGTGGACCCACTAGAGAAGGACGCCTCGGGGACGTCTTGAGACCGGTAGATGTCCGTAACATAATCAAGAGCATCCAGGTAGTTCATTTGCTCCTTAAAATATTCCGTGCGGAGTTTCATATTTCCTACGAAGCTCGAGGCTGACGGTCTGTTCGAGAGCCCTTCATCATCGGAATCAGGCTCATAAAGGGGAGGGACTCACGACCTATCGATAAAATGGGAAAGCACTCGGCCAGTGACAGAACTTAATCCGCATTTCGGCAGTAACAGTTCAACTGGTCGCAAATGCGCCATCCGAGTCTGAGATGTTGTAAAGCCAAAGGGAGCTGATAGACCTGAGCTAACGACACACCTCTAATTCTGTCCTCATGTAGGAGTCTTTCCACATTTCAGTACGAATGTCGAGTTAAGTGTTCGCAAGAACGGGTGGTTACCTTGAAATTCATCATAGATTATTTCACCTGTTGTGGTAGTGACAGCAATTACCCCAATCTTTGCCTTTTCATCACTTTGCCCTTGGACCTGATGTTCGAGAATGAGGATCCCATTACAGGTTTCGGCTCGAGTTGAAACTTACCTCTTCTATGACACACAACAAGGATCTTGACGCCGAACGTGACATGGCCTCGTCCTCGCCTATAAATTGCATTTCATCGACGAAACTGATGAAAATTGATTAGCAACGGGTGTTCTCCAAACACCAGAATATTTCACCTTGCCGAAGTGTACAGGTTTGACAGTGTGCGCGCAAACAGCTTGTTCGGGTTTTTAGAGACTTTTTTTAATGCAGCGGTTTCAGCTTGCCCAATCACCCCAACCTGTGAATGTCACCAATAGTCGGAAATTTTCTTGCGGTTGTTTTCACCTTGTATCCCTGAGAAACAAGTCTTGCACATGTCAGCTACCACGATATCATTGGAAACCGCTTTGATCGCTTACTTCTTGATATGAACCATCCCACGATGTATGGGTATGCTTGCAGAAAGGAAATTCCTCATCAGGAAGCAAGCTTGACACTGCGTTAGCTTAGGAGTCACGTTCATTCAGCGTCAAAGCCAATCGTACCAATGCCTAGCTCTTTCGAGGCAACCTAATTGAGGATGATTACTAAGTTCTCGAACATCATTAGATGTTTTCCACCTACTCGTGCGTCTTCTCCGTAAAAACTGTGACGAGTTCACTTTGAGTATCCTGACCATCAAGCATATGAAACCCATACCGATACTTGTACCCAACTTCCACCAAGAGCAGGACATCTTTATACTGCTCCTTGAGAGATATGATCTAATCTAATTGTGAGGGCTGTGGTTGCTATAGGCATACCATTCCATTACCTGCTTCTCAAGCGGGGTGTACGTGAGACCAGACGGGCCCAAATATTTTGACTTTTTTGAGCCAGATGCTGAGCTCAGAGACGCAACCCCGGCGCCTCCCTTAGCAGTCTCCCCATGAGGGTGTGCTCCATCATGGAAATCTTCGTCGTGAGAAGGGTCCAGCAAGTCCATATCATCTTCATCTTCTTCATGGCCTGCATCGGTGAGTGACACACTTTGAGGATCATCCATCTCTGGCTGTAGGCTTCGCTTCCGCGTGGGTGTTTCAGATAATTTTTGAGTAAATGCTTGTCGACGGGCGCGTTTGGTTTCGGCGTCGAGCCGAAATGCCTCAGTATCTATCTCTGCAGTATGTGGCTGAGACCTAGACCTATAGGCCCATCGTTCTATGGCCCTTCCGTTGGTGGCACTGCTTGTTTGAGTTGGGAGTTTGGCCTTCTTTAGGTTTTGGGAAGACATTATCATCAGTGTCTAGAGAAGACATGGCCATAAGTTACCTTAGTGGCATGTGAAGACTGTTCGGCTGTGGAAAGCGTCCGCTGCCGCTTGGCAGGACGTGGAGTGGCCTCCTCGGACGAATTGGAATCCTCATTGAAGGTCAGGTCAATTGGCGAGCAAGATCTCTTGGTGGTGCTTTCTCCAACAGCCGGTTTAACTGGAACTCTTGGGAAGAAATGAGAAATTGTCGCTTGTTGAGAATGGGATGGCATGCCAATCAGACTGTCCAATTCGCAGATGTCATTTATGGCACGGGAACGATCACATGCCATGTGGGAACATGAATCCAGTGGCAGTACCTCGTTCATTCCCTTGCCGGGGAAATTCTAAGCCGATGGATCCCTTTGAAGTGCGCATGCAGTTCCTGACATTATTGCGACGGCTGAACGCGTAAGTGTCTTGCGCAATTGTCTTGAGAAGTTTCCCCATTAATAGCCTCTCTATTTAGCTCTCAGCAGTCGATACAGAAAATAGTTGGCTACGCTTTAAAATACTTCAGCCGATGCGGCGATGACCTTTGGGAATGCGTATTTGAAGAATGTCAGAAGGTACGGACAAACCAATTGTCCAACCTGTCATGTAGCACATATACCAAATGGGAAAAGCCTCTTCGCCTGTCCTTACGATTGCTTTATGTAGGGCTCGCTCAATATGCGCATCAACATCTTATATCTGCTGGACAACCTGTGTGAAGCATCACTGATGCACCAACCTCAAATAGCGGGGACTGGCACCTCTCCTCAAGGGCAGGCGATGTCTTACGTAGAATACGTTTCTCGAGACTTGATGAGGATAGTGGAATTAGTTGTCCCTGACAATCGCGACGGGCTCGTGAATCTGATGAGCACACGCCAGGTAATTAGTTTTCCAAAATCATTAACGTGCTAGCAAGGACTGACTCCAACTTGGTGTTCTCTTTTGAAAGATCTTGGACAGCTGGCGTTCCAAAAGACTCTTGGACCCTTCCGTGGTCGACGATGTTGTCCAAACACTAGATCGTCGAACACAAGGCCTTCAACTCGGTGTCCAATCCGCTGATAAGTCGGAATTACAGACATCCAGTATTTCTAAGGAGGACATCCTAAAACGCTTTGAAGAAGACCGTGAACGAGTTGAGTACCCTTCGTCAGCTTGCCTCCTCTCCCGCGCCCCTGCTGATCTCTTGTATGATGGGAATTAGCATAAAATCTTAAGGCAAAAACGTTGGCATGTTCCCGTTCCATCCAAAACACAAACCCCCCATCAAACCAACGCCATTCTGCCACGACTATCTTCCGCCCTCACCCTTCCGCCTTATACACCATCCTCCGCTGCTGTACCAACACCTGTACCAGAGTCCGCTCTAGACATTGAGTTTGAAAATGCGTGGGAGGCAACATCCGACTGGAACGAAGACGACGATGAAGCGTGCAACGAAGAGAACGTCCTATGCTTCGGGCGTGACGGCCCACCAGGAGGTCCAAACCCACACGAAGGCCTAGACGTCTATTCAGCCGCAGCCCCTTCATCATACCCTCCACCATCTCTAGACCCACCACACCAACCCCGCCCAGCATACTCGTCCTATCCACACCCTCATGAAACCGCCAACAACCGTCCCCCAACCCACAGCGCCACACCACCTCTCCGCACCTTCCCTAACAGCACCTCAGCCATTTCATCCGCACAATCTAATTCTGGAATGGCGGTGTACCCGTACGATCACGACGAAGAAGCCTCATCATACCCCAATAGGAATCATTCGAACACATCTCCAGGCTATACGAGCCAAAGCAATGGGCCGTCGTATGGGTACTCATCAACAAGCGAACCACCTTATCCATCTTCGTCATCTTCCAGTGCCTACGCACAACCGGCACACCCAGCGCAATCCTATGGGAATTATCAAAATCGGTCGAACTCCCCTTGGATCCCGACTTATCGTACTGGACTGCGAAACGGGAGTAGCTCTTATCAGGGTCATTCCCAAGCTGGTTATGGATCAAGTTCGCACAATTGGAAATCGAATCGCGGTTATTAACACCCCTCGTTAGTACGGTACATTCTGTGTTGAACGATAGTAGGGAAATGGAAGAGATGAGGGCAAGAGATGAATAGCTACATTATACGAGGAACAGACAGTAATTAAGGGAAGGAGTCGCAATAAGCAGGTCCATGCGAATAGGCCGAAAACGTCGTAAGCCGTGAGAAATCGTAAAGAGGACAAAAGCAGACGTAAGGACATTGCTGAAAGTAGAAAAGAGAGGGCAAGCAATAAAAAATCGAAGAGAAAAGAAAAAGTCCCGAAAGACAACCAAACGTTTATTAATTCCCAAACTGACAAGGTCCACAGCTCCCAGTCGTCGCGTTCTGCCCGTTCAACCAAGCTGAGTTCGCCTGAAATCACAACTCTTCAAAACTGTGCTACTGCACACACCACTAGGTACACTTCCCGTCAAGCCATTGTTCCCTTCCAGCGTAAGTGTCTGGAGCGAGGCGGGAACGACGAGGGGATGGACGTTAATTGGTTATTATCTAAATGGAGCTCGACGAGGTTGTTGAACGAGTTGAGGGACGGTATGGAGCCCGTGATGGAGTTGGTTGATAAGGAAAGGGTATGCAATGAGTTGGAGAGTGTGGGAGAGGAGGAAATAGGTGCAAGAGACATTGTAAGAGATTGGGAGGTGACGATTCTAGAAACCAAGACATCAGCAACGATCATGAAAGATGAGAAAAAACAGGCTCACAAAGAAGATAATGACAAGTTGAAAAGACTCGAAGGCAGCGATTGTCCCAGCTTCCCGTTTGAGGCTAACGTTAGCGTCGTCAAATTCGAAGACGTGGAAAATAGGTTGTCTGGCATAGGGCCTGTGAGGCCGGTCGATTGTAAGGTAATAGACTGTAGCGAGGGCAAAGAAAGTACGCCGGTTTGTACTTGACCACTGGGTATATTCGAATCACCCGTGATCGACAGGGTCTGCAGGCCTATCAGTGAGGATAGGGTACCTGGCAATGTAGCAGGTACGCCAGGAAAAACAAGTGTCCTGTAAGATACCAACGTAAGTAATCGGTCTGAACCAGGCCTTATCTCATGCACTTACATAGAATTGACTCGACCTGCAGAGTCACAGCTCAATCCACTCCACGAGCAAAATTTAGTATCCTTCAGCCAACCGACATTTTGAAGCGTGTTATTGGACGTGGCGGCAACGAGATCACTGAGAGCACAGAACTGCAAAACGTTCCCCTGCCCCGTTACTGGAGGGTTCTTTACGCTAGGTATCAGGTCATTAGGGATTCCACCAAGGACCGGAGCACAAGATGAGCAAGGATAGGAAGTGGGATTGTTCCCAGCATTCAACTTGAACTGGGATAAGCAGTCAAGCACTTGTTGGGAGACACTCGTAGACGTAGGTGCAGCGGTGGAAGTCGGGGTAGGAGAAACGGTCGTTGTTGGAGTAGGCGGTTGCACATTGAGAACGCGTATGTTCAAAAAGACAGAGTTTCCGAGGAGGAAAATAATGATAATAATGAGGATTATTATCCAACATCTCCCGCTGCTTTTCTGCTCCTTATGAGCATGTTTTTCCTGGCGGGGAGGAACCCTATAGGGGACGTTCAAATGATCCCACTGACGTAGGACTATCGGGGATAACGGAGAGTCTTAAGTGGACCCACAAAGTCAGACAACTCTCAAACATGAAAAGGAGTTAGCCACATACGATCGGGATGCGCTGACGTTGACCGCCAGAAAGAGAATCTCGATTTCCATGGTCGTCGATTTGACTCGCGTTCTGGCACGCCACGCTCAATGTCAACAGCTGAGCCACTCTTGGCCCAATTGCTCTTAATCGGTGGCGGTGTATTGACGATTTGAACAGGTCGAACTGGGGGCTCAGGATCCTCTGGTGGTGGGGAAGTCGAAACAGAGCTGACAGAGAATTGAGATTTCAAGTGCGCATTGTTGTTCGGGCGATGGTCAGTGGAGATAAATGAAAGGTGTTCTCGGAACTTGGTGGCACGCTGCCACGACGTAGAAGCCATCGCAGATGGTTGTTGGGGACGAAGGGAAGGTGATAGCGATATGAAGGAAACCAGCAAGAAGAAGGGTGAGTGAACCAGCACTAGAAAAAACCGAGTATAAAAGAGCGCTTAATGTCTGCCACTTACATAGTGGCCATGATAATATAATTCTTTTATGTAGTTGAAGCCCGCGCCTTGCTTGTTGCCACAAAGACGCGGTTTGTTCGGTCGTATTGTTGCCCGTGGGAACCCATTTGCTTCCGGTAGACCCAGCTGATTTTGAAATGCGCCTTTGTTCGGACTCTCCTGTCACTTCTCTCCTCCTCCTGACCGTCACGTCCATGAATTTTCCGGAGAAAGGTTCCTCTTGATGGCCATCGTGCTTTCATTAGATGAAGAAACTACTGCAACATGCCAGAAATGGAACAAAAGCGAAACCACTAAATGTCTCAAGCCGACTGCATAGCCACACTCTCAGACCAAGACTGCTCGATCGCTCGCATGGCACCAGCCACATTCCTGGGTGGCAAAGTTCAGGGGGACTATTGGGATAAGCCATGGGCTGCGAACTTACTTATGAAATCTATGCTCAGGAACGTTCTGTGGAACCATGCCAGCCCTGCGAAATGCTTCAAGATGTTTTTGCTTCAGGTGCGCGAAGTGAACCTGAACATCTCTGTTCTGCAATGCATTTTGGCTCCCCATCAGTCCGACCGGATCTATCTGCTTAGGACCCGAAGGCAAACATACCTTATACGTCCCCGTCAACTGCAAGAATATTTGTACGGCCCTAATTGGACAATTATCGTCTTGGCGCCTCTCAGTTGGGAGTGACCTACGATGCATCGATCTTCTCTACGTCAGACATGTGGAAGACAACTGCACGGGCTTCTTCTCTTCGTATGGGATCTGACGGATGAGCTTTTCGGGGGCCATACAACTCCAATCTCCTGAGTCTTTCTTTCAGTTGACCGGTGTTTGCTGAATTAAAAATCACCTAGCATCAAACCTCCATCGCGCGGGTCAGTATGACGCACCAAAATCTAAATCATCCTTCAATTTCACAATCAGAACACCGGGGGTCTCGGTATGGTTCTCTTCATCCTCTTCAATGGGTTTCCATCTATCTGTGTCTGGCACACGACCCTGAACGTAACGGAGTGAACATCAAAAATGCATTCGAGTCAAATTAACCCTATCGCCACTCACGAGAATCTTTATATGGGTTCTTGAAGACCGCTTCACAATTATTAACAAGGATGAGGTAACGCTAACGATTATCCCAACTTCAACGCTCCATATGACTGTAAATGCGAACGTCAAGAGCATCATGGCTAAATCAGTCCAGGCCGACATCCTGGACGTAGGCAGGAATTAAGCAATCCATTAAAACCAGAACTGTTTTGCGCGCTCTTACCCCCAGAAATACAGGACATCATGTCGTATCTCAGTTAGGATATTGGTCGCCACCAAGGCAATGCTGAAACACCTCCACTTTAGTCCAATCCGAAAAGAGAGCCAAAAGAAGAAAAAATACGCCAGACTTACATTGCACCTAGAACGCACTTCGGCAAATATACTAATGCGGGCAAAAGGAAGAATACCGCCAAAATGACCAGCATCGAACAAATAACAGATGCCATTTGTGTCCTGCCTCCAGAGTCGGCATTGATCCTCGATCGAGTAATTCCACCATACGCAGGGAGCGTTCCAGGGAAGAATGATGAGACAAGATTACCAGCACCTAAGGAACCCTATGTCTAGCAGCGGATAACGTCGATTTCGACACTTACCAATAGCGACGAGCTCACGGTTCGGGGAGATAGAATATCCGAATCTGTCGCTGTTTTGTTTTGCACCTAATATGCTGTCTAAGTAGCCGGCAATGGAAATGAGACTTGTGAGATGTCAGTTAAGGGTACAGATTTGTGATTGGGGATCGGGGATCAGGGCATACATGGCAGTTGATGTGGTTTTCTTGAGGTACTTGACTGTATGCGTCTTGAGCGGCCAATCGACGAGTGTGCCGAAGTTCACCTTTACACGACCGAGAACGGTGACACCGTCCGCTGGCCAATCATACACATCGGAAAAAACTAGGCAGATGGAGCAATGCTCAGAGTTGGGGTCAACTTCGGTGTCTTGCATTGCGTACTTGTCGTCACAACAACGAGGATGAAAACCTCTGGTATATTAGCTGCCCATTTCCATTTGCCCCCAACGCTAGCCATCCTCCTCTTTACTGCTCTGGCAATGAACAAGATGAAAAAGCTTGTGAAACTAATTGCCGCAGTGAGACCTTTGCCGGGGGTGAATGCGTTGTCGATAAGGAAGGCAATTTTTTCTAGTGTTGTCCCTGGCGGATGTGAGACTTCGTGTTGAATGACTTCAAGCCCAACATCGGGATTAATTGCTCGACCATAATGACAACAGCCTATCGGAGACTCAGTTCGGGGGAGTCATCAATTCAAATTCAACTGACGACAGCTGTAATGAATCCACGCAAAAGCGCTCGACTCAGTATCACGTCCATGAAACCTAAGCATCATCAGCCCAAGAGAGTTTGGTTGAAAAAATGAAATACCTTACCAAGGCGCAATAGTCCCAAAAGGAATGATATGAGCCCAACCTTGGAATTTGAGTACTCATAAGCGAATATATTGCATCGAAATCCCTGGGGAGACGCACTTGAAATGTGATCATGGTTGATACCGCAGTAGCAACAAACAATCCGTGCCCACTATGTGGATCACCGCGAACAATGCTTGAAACAGCTTGGCCCACAAGCAGTGTAAGCGCAGCCTCAGGCCCAACATTCAAATGGGCACAAGTGCCGAAAATTCCATACACAAGACCGGGGATTGAAGCGGCCAAGAGACCAGAGGATGCATCCACATGAGCAAGGGAGGTGGCGTAGGACATCGATTGGGGAATGATGACTGAGGCCACAGACACGCCTGCCGCAATGTCTCCAGTAAGCCTACGAATAAAATTGAGAAATACCTGAATTATGGGAGGGATATACCTTGTAGCGTGCATTACTGACGAGGATGAAGAATACGAGGGGATCCATTTCAGGCCAGGCATGTAATATTTGCTGCGTTGCAAGAATGTGGCCCATCTTGTCTTCGCAGGCGATGGCTCTCGAGAATTCCCTGCAGACAGTCATTTCGCAAAACAGATACTAGTGCGCTTAGAATGGGCTTACTCTTCTTACTGTCCGGTGTTGTAGAAGGCAAAGGCAAATGGTGGCGCCGAATCGTTGTACGAGTTGGTTCGTGCGCGGACATCAATGGGGTTTCTTCACTGAGTGGAGCAGCACCACTTTCCGACACAGGGGCGTGAAGCGAATCTCGAAAACTCTCCAGGTCGAATGAATTCTGTCGTGTGAGAACAGGAGTTCCAAGTGCCTCATGGATAGGAGACTTTGCTGAGGTAGGAGAGGCCATTTTGACCGGGGAACGAAAGGGATTGCGCAGACGCTTGCTAAATCCCCACAGAATAGGCGAAGGGTCAAAACGGGAGAAGCAACAGACGCAGGAGACGACCTTGGATAGTCTCGTGAATGCTCAGGGACATCGCGCTGAAACCTTGCATCCGGAGGAGCCGAAGAGCCGAAGAGAATACAATTCCTAGTCACCTGTCTACAGTTGTTTAGACACTAGCCTCGCGTCTGGTTTTTGCTAACGTGAAGGCAGCTTTTTTGTCAGTACTAACAATCTGTCAATATTATGACCTCTGCAATCGCACATGGCATCAAGCAACTCGCCGTCTTAAGTGGTGTCTTTCCCTCAATCGAACGATTCAGGTGGAGCTCCTCGCTAAGAAAAGAGCTTCAAGAGAGGCTCAGATGACCTGCTTCCCGGGTACGGTACGAGCCTAGACTCTTGGCTTACAATTTGTCATTGGCCTCATCAACGACCCAGGTGACCGGTAGGATTACCGGAACAAGGTCTTCTCCTGCCCTTGACGAGGGTAGGTCTAGTCGGATACGCTTCCCTGATCCCAGACAGTATAGCGGGCGCGCAACTAGGCGTGCGAGCGTAGCCGACACTTTAAGAACCCCCGAGTTTCATAGGACCAGGCGGCAGGGCTCACAGCAATGTCTGTGAAGTGACCACCCAAACAAGTTACCCGTTTCACCCAGAGCTTGGCAATGCTCCCTGGGTTACTTGGCTCTTGCTTGAACACTGCGAGCCCTCACAGGCTCATTCGTATTCTCTGCCATCCGCATGGTGTGGGTGTTCGGGCTCGTGGGTGGTGGGGTCTCCGGGGCGGCTGGAGGGCCTTTTTATGCGATTCAAGGGTAAGGGACCTTGGTCCAGGGGATTCTTTGGTCTCCGCTTGCAGTCTGGCTCGCGATGTGTCTGATCCTGCCAACCTGACTCCCAAGTATCAGTCCGACGTGTAGTGAACAGTGTCTAGCCATGTTTTGAATTTGGGTTAGCACATTTCCAGGATATCCGGGCTTGTCTTATCGTTTTTGTTATCATTCTGTACATCTTTTATTTTCTGATCTTATGCTGCGCTCGTTTCATGTTTCTCGATGCCCTCAGCTCTTTTTGCGTTGTTCGCTCGAGATTGAGTAACCGGCCACCGTTAGCTCACTCAGTCTACTTTATCGAATGAGAAAGAGAAGGGGCCAAACCAAAAAGGTCCAGTCGCGTTGGGCCTAAGGGTAAAAGAGAGTAAGTCGAGAGCATATTGACCTGGGTCGTATCAGAAAGCGATGAAAGTTTGAGGAGTCCCTGTCGTATTACATGTTCCATGTTCAGAGAATGGAATAACTACAATGGGAGAGCGGCGCGGTGAAACCGTCAGTCAATCAATCACCAGATTAAAACCCTGAGTCCAAAAAATTCCGAAACAAAGGCGAAACCATCTTGAAACGTCGCTGTCCAAGAAATCAAGGAAACAAACATTCACAAATCCTCGCCAGAAAATCGCCGCTCCCAGTAGCAAACAACCCATCCGCAGGACTGAGTATGAGTTGCGCCTGCGCATCCTTCGGATTCCAAAACCGAATGCCACGATCTTTCGAGCCTGAAGCCACCCATGCTCCGACAGGTGATATCGCCGCAGAGGACGTAGTATCGATCAATGCGGAATCACCGACAGAGTAAGGCTTGTGGCCCCTGAACACAACTGTACAAGGACTTCGCCCGTCTCCACCACCATTTTCCATGTCGGACGGAACTCCCACAGAATTACTCGGGATCCTCGCATTCTGCCGCAGCGCCTGCACATCACGCCTTCCTACCCTCGGCACGATCTTCCCCAACTCGTTCAGATCCCAATACTTCACCCGGCTCCCCACCTCTCCCGTCGGGCGAAAATGCCACCGGATAAACAAGATCTTTATGCCTCAGCCTCTCCACCAACGCTCCGCTGGCAACGTCCCATATGCGCACAATCATATCTATCAGCAGCCACGAATCGTCCATCGGGCGAAATCGCAACAGACATCACTCCAGCATCAGTCGACTCAGGATCGATGATCGTCAGGAACAGTCCCCTGTATCCATATTCCAAATACGCGAGGTCTGGTCTCCCGATCTCGAGACCAGTAGCCTTCCATCGCGTGAGAAATCAAGCGAGTAAACATGACCTCCGAAGCGGTGCCAAATCGCTCGACGTTCAATGTCCCATATCTGAATAAGCCCGAGGAGACATGCGGGAAGTGTCAAAGAGCCAGATACAGCAAGAAGGTGGCGTACCCGAATAAGTTTATCGTCACCTCCGGCGGCAAGGAACTTCCTGTTCGGACTGAAGTACACACTTCGGATATAAAAATCCCCTGGTTCGTTGACTACTTTATCAGACAACACACTAGGTTGAAACAACGTTGACACCGGGGGAAAGGTCGATCGCAACGCCGAAACCAAAACGAAGGGAAAGAAAGCAAGAATCGGCGTTGGATATGTACCATATCCGAAAATAGTAACGAAAATAGAATTGGTGACTAAGTGTCGGGACATTCTGAATTTTGGACATTACAACTGGCAAAACGTCCCCCGCGGTGCGTCTGACTAGGGCCAGAGCGGCCAGACAATGATCTACGCCAAAATGTGCACGGACACGTTGAGCGAAATACCCGAGGCGAACAAAAAAAAGGCAATAAGAGAAGTTCGTATGCGCGCGCACACTAGAAGCATAGCGCTCGCTTCGGTCGTCCCAAAGTTCGGCCCGGCATGGCTCCGCTGGTCGTCCCAAATGTCCATGGGGAGACCTAGAATGGGATCTAACGCCGTGGTAATTCATAGTGCGTGTGTGTGATTCTGGATATTTTCCGCCCCACTCTAGCCCTTGACACACTCTGATGTAAGGACTACGCGCCAATTAATAGTACCTCTCAGTGCCCCGGGCCGTATGCCCGAGTGTTGGAGTATTTAAGCCTTCACCCGCTCCACAGGTGACACGTCAATAAATTATCAGATACGCTGTCGGCACGCGCGCTGCGGTTGTCGCGTGCCGACGTAGTCGTTCAGTTACGGCTTGACTAGCGGCTATTTCCCATTTAATCGACCTATTTCTCCACGCCGAGCATCATCTTGGTTCCGTGAATCATACCGTCTTCGTCGTGATGTTCTGGTACTTTTCATTGAAGTCGAGCCATACGCCGGAACGCGGGAAGAAACAGATGATCAGATGCGACGAAAGTAGCGACGAGCTCTCGTCGCTGTTTTGCATATAATATACTACCTAAGTAGCCAGCAATAAAAGACTTGAGTCAGGGACACAAATTTGTGGGGATCAGAGCATAACATGGCAGTTGACGTGGTTTTCTTGGGGCACTTGACAGTATGCTCCTTGAGCGGCCAATCGACGAGTCTGCCAAACTTCACCCTTACATGACCGAGGACAGTGACACCGTCCACTGGCTGATCATACTTACACATCGGGCAGAACTGAGCAGATGAAGCAATGCTCAGGGTTGCATTCAGCCTCGCATTGCGCACTTGTCGTCACGACAACGAGGATGGTATGTTAGCCGCCCATTTCCATCTGCTCCCAATGCTAACCACCCTCCTCTTCACTGCCGTGGCAATGAACAAGATGTGAAACTAATTGCTGTAGTGAATGCGTTGTCGATAAGGAAGGCAATTCTTTCCAGTGTTGTCCCTAGCAGATGTGCCACTTCGTGTTGAAGACTTTCAAGCTCTAACACCGGGACCAATTAATTGCTCGACCATAATGACAACAACCAATCAGAGAGTCAGTTTAGGAACATTGGGTAACGTCACCAATTTAAGAATCAACTGACCATGGATGTAATAAATCCACGCAGAAGCGCCCGAACTCAGTACCACGGATCCTGAGCAACATCAGCGCAAGGGGGTTGCTCGAAAAATTACCAAGGCGTAATAGTCCCAAAAGAAATGACATGGCCCAACCTTAGGATTTGAATACTCATGGGCGGATATATTGCATCGAAGGCCCTGAGAGACGCACTTGGATATGATAATGGTCGATACCGCAGTAGCAACATACAATACATGCCCACTATGTGGGTCGCCCCGGACAATGCTTGAAATAGCTTATCAAACGAGCAGTGATAGCGCAGCCACGGGTCCATTCAAATGGGAATAAGCACCGAGCACTCCGTATACAAGACCAGGTATGTATTGAAGCGGTCAAGAGACCAGAGGTTCATCCAGGCGAAAGGAAAATGGTGGCGCTGAGTCGTTGTACGGCATGGTTCGTGTGACGTAGTTTCTTCATTGAGCAAGTACCAGGAGTCCCTCATGGATATGAGACTTTGCTGAGACAGGAGAGGTCATTTTGACCGGAGGACGAAAGAAATTGCGCAGACGCTTGCCAAATCCCCACAGAAAGGCGAAACAGAAGAAGGAAGCCAACGAGCGCATGAGACGATCCTGAGTGATAATGTGGATACATCTCCCTGAATTTTGCATCCGGAGGAGCCAATGAGTCGAAGAAACACCGGTCTGGCGTCCGCAAGGCAGTTCGAATGTCCCGAAATCCGTTTATGTAAAGATCTTTGTCATTGTGTTGCATGAACGCGCTTGGGCGTCGTCGCTTGACCCGCCGCACGTGAAGACGGCTTCTACCGGGTCAGGACATTTTGTCAATCCCATTATGGCTTCTGCAATCGCTCATGGCATTAAACAACTCGCCGTCTTAGGTAGGTAAAATAACCACAAATCCTAGCGATCTTTCTCCAAATCGGATGATTTTTCAAGGTGGAGGACAAATGGGCCTGGGGATCGCCTATGTCGCCGCCACTCGTGCGAAAGTACCCGTTCTTCTCTACGACAAGTCTAAAGATCAAATTGGTCGGAGTCTTTCCCTTGCGGACAAGTTTTTTGATAAGGATGTCAAGAAGGGAAAGCTTCAAGAGAGCGAGGCTCTGGAGGCTCGGGATCGTATGACCGTTGTGAACAACCTGGAGGCCTTTAGGGATGCAGATATGTGTATTGAGGCTAGTTGTATTTGTATGAATGACAACTATCCATTACCCATTTTTTTTTTTTTTGCTCATTGTGATCCAGGCTGTGTCTGAATCCTTCCAACTCAAGCGCTCTTTATTCTCCACACTATCCGACGAAATGCGTCCGGATGCCATCCTGGCTTCGAATACATCATCAATTAGTATTACCAAGATTGCTGCTTCTGCAATGGGTCCGGAAGTTTCTCCTACTAGCGAGGAAGGGCTACGTTCGTCCGCTCGGGTAGTCGGTAAGGGCTCGATTGTTCTATGAAGTACATCAAACTAAGTCATGTCATCAGGAATTCACTTCTTTAATCCTGTACCCGTCATGGTGCGCATATTCGTATGTTTACATTACCATAGGCTGATTTAACTTCCTTGACCGAACACGCATGATAATCGGTAACCCACGAACAATAGCCATTGGTGGAACTCATAGCAGGTCTGCAAACTTCTCCCGAGGTGCTTGAACGATCGAGACAGTTCGCTATTGCCTGTGGGAAAGGTCAGCTTCCACGCACCTTGGGGACAAAGTTTGATTATTGATGTTATGCGACAGAGGTGACAGTGTCGAAAGATGTACCAGGCTTCGTTTCGAACGCATTATTAATGCCATTCTTAAACGAGGTCCGCGGCTAAATGTTTATCGTTGAAATATAAGGTACTCATCTGACTGTCCAGGCAATCATGGCCTTAGAGAAGGTAACTGGCATCAGGGTTTCGTTTCTCCAGGCTGACACGGCCAACCATAGGGCGTTGCTACTAAGCAAGACATCGATAAAACCCTACGTTTAGGAATGGGGCATCCCATGGGACCTTTGACATTGGCTGACTTGTGCGTTCATCGTTTCGTCGTTGCGATTTTCAAGGTAGTTTACATTCCATGTACAGCATCGGCCTTGACACTTGCCTAGCTATCCAGCGTACGTTACTCGAAGGAACTGGAGACTCGAAATACCGACCAGCAGTTCTCTTGGAGCGTATGGTAGATGCTGGCTGGCTTGGAAAGAAAACTGGGAAGGGATTCTACACATACGACAATGATGGTAAGGCTGTTGAATAATGGTGCCGGATCGAGCTGGGATGGCGAAATGAGACACATTGAATAAACGAATAAACGAATAAATTCGGCAATAGCCCAACACCACAACCACGTGCCACTGTCCACAAGACGTCTGTTATATCGGAGTGTAGGCTTTGATGTTGAGGAATCATATTGCATAACAAGGTTGAAGAGTGACGTCCGCTCTTGATTTTGGACGGTCACCCAAATCATAGGCGACTATTTTGGTTATTCTTGCTATCGCAAGTAGCCCTGGAGTCAACGGGCTATCTACCGACTATGCAAGGCTCAGGGAGAGTATTCGACATGGCCATGAATCGTCAGGTCGAAGTATCCCTTGGGGTCCGTGATAATACAAAGGAAGGAAAGTGCTTGGGGAAGAGTCCTGAGCGCTAGCAGTCGTTGATCAATACCAATGTGGCCGGGGCGGGCCATGCCACCAACACCAAGGATAGGCGTCAGTGGTCACTACGACGCGGATGTATCTCTTCGAATACATGATTCCATTGTGGCATGAGGCAGAAGAATAGGAATGCAAAGGCGTAAAGTTTCCAATTTCTTGCGAATGGTTCCGACATTTACCACTACTGCTCTAAACTTTTTCCAGAGGATGGAAATCCTCATGCACAGCATCATTGACAACGTTGGGAACGCCGGGTTCCTTGGTACACTAGAAAAGCAAGTGCCCAGGCGTACCTCAGGGATGGAGAGGCTTCCACTAATCAAGTCCCTGAACTTTCGTCGTATCTGAACATCCGCCCACGTTCCTGCTTTAGGCGCATGGATAAGTACCAGCGCTTTCCGCTTCATGATTATGGAATCCAAAGGGAAAGGGGCCTTTCGTCTACCTTTCGTCGGTATCGCCGGTTATGTAGAAGTGTACGTACCAGTTCCGCGATTGCCATGGACATTAATATCAGGGGTTGTCCGGCAGAGCCATTCCGGGGCATACATTTGGAGCGGCCGAAGCGAGCAATGGCTATTATGCATGCTTCCGGTGTGCGCGCGCATATGAGCTTCTGTTGTTGCCTTTTAGGTTTGCCCTGACCCCACCTGGTGAAAACGTGTTCGCACCTACAGTACCCAAGAGCCCCCGAGAACAATCTCGATAACGGCTTAGCCTGCTTCCTGTCGAAACGCCCTCAGAGCTGTCGTAGCATAGGGCGTTGTAAGGACCCTGCTCTCACCTTATCGTACATGCATTTTGGTGCATCTACGCACGCGCAGATCATCGTCTGGCCCTAGTCAATTCCACCATGGATGCCATTTTGCCAGTTGTGATGGAAGCCCTATCCACAATCCAGGATGTCCCGAACCTTAGTCATCAGTTTGGTACCAAGACTCTAGTCACACGAGGCGGCTACTCTGAGGTTTATCGTGCAAAATGGAACCAATCTGGCACTCAGGCTCCCGTCAATGTATGTTCTCTTTAACTGGCTTGTTGACTTTCTCACTTCACTCCTTCATTAAGGTCTGCTACAAAGTTCTCAGACCACCCATGAGCAGCATGCCACCTGTCGTAGAACAGATAAGAACAACGATGAAGGTGAGAGACTTTTCCGGTCGAATCGTTAACGTAGAAGACACCTCTACGCATTAGCATTTGAAGAGAGAGATGAAGATATGGAAGGATTTAGACCACGGGAATATCGTGACATTCCTTGGTTTTGCGATTGAAGATCGTGGTGGAGTGCCAGAAGCAGTGTTAGTGTCTGAATGGTGTGCAAACGGAAATCTCGTTGAATATCTGCATTGCAAGCCGTCCTGCAATCGGCTGGCCCTGGTGAGCGGTATTTGCCGTAACACTGATCTCATAGACTCATGGGATGCATATCATCAAAACAGCTTCTCGATGTCGCCCGAGGTCTGACCTACCTCCACGACCGTGACCCTGTTGTTGTCCATGGTGATCTCAAGCCTGTAAGCCAAGATGCCTTTCTATGAACCTGGTATGGGCTGATTGGTACCGTATAGTTCAACGTATTAATCAGTGATGCTGGGCATGCGAAGTTATGCGACTTTGGCTTCTCTTTGATAGCGGACGGATTGACAACAGGGTTCACATCATCGGGACCTGGATTTACGTTGCGCTATTGCGCCCCAGAAGTTTTGGAGAGCGGTATGAAAACGAAACCTGGTGATATTTACTCCTTTGCTTGTACTTGTGCCACGGTGAGCTTGCGTAATCTGCGAATATAAACATCCTTACACTTGACTGAAACTTGAGCAGATACTTTTTAGCAAAAATCCCTTCCCTTCGCTCGCCAATGACGCCCAGCTGTGGAAGGCGTTAGAATCCGGTCTATCGCCTTGGAACTGGGAGCAATCCTCTCCAGTGGAGAAAATACTATCTAGTTGTTGCGTGGGCCCTCCTGGCGCGCGCCCGGCTATCCAGGAGGTTTTACGATCGCTCGAGGATGCCTGCGTTGCGCCAGATTCATCCTCAATCCTTGAGGTATCTGACCCTGAAACAAACCGCCCATACCCTAAGCCGGATGGAGACCCTGCCAGTTCAAATGCCGTGACGCCGTCCAAGGAGACGACCACGAAGGTTGATGAACACGTACTTCCTGTTGCCCTTTCACCTGAGGCTCACAATGCAATTCCTATGCAGACTCAGAGGCAGGCTAAGCTATTGCCAAAGGCATCAGGACTCTTAGAAACGAAGGAGCAGACGGCAGAGTCGCCCTCAAATACTGATCAACAGTCTTCCCAAGCTCGCAACCAGATTCACCATGATCAGCACGGTGACTCTCGTCTTGGGCCTCCTGGCACCACACGTACTTCGCGGTCCCCCTCCCCCAGTCCTAGTGATCTGAAGCGACAAGTGTCCCCCAAGCGTTTGACTGCACTGCCCAGGAGGAGTCTAAGTCCTGATCTCAATCGCGTTGACCGATCAGATGTATCCCCCTCCCGAGCTTCGACATCTACTACACCAACTCGGCAGTCCCTTGACACTGATTCCGAACGGTCACTATCTCCTTCCCTTGCGCGGAGTGTTGATAACCATTACGCAACATCAAGCACCCACAGCACCCACCGCCCTTTTGTAATCCCTGGTGCATGGCCAGGAAGTGGCAGTATGGACGTGGATGTGCCTTCCCCATCGGAGCCCGTGCCGTCACCATCTGCTGGTGCAAGTGAGGATAGAAAAAAATCATTCGTTGGTGGCACCAAGACTGTTCTCCAAGTCGCTTCGGGTGGTCTCAAGTTTACCCCTATTCCGTATCTTGGTCCGATCCCAGATATGCTCCTGAAATTGATCCAATTTTATGAGGTTTGGGTCAGAGCTTGGGTTTTGTGATCAGTGCTGATATGCCCCTGGTGATCCGCACAGTCAGTAGATGCCAATACTGAAGATCTCAGAGGCCTAAATGACGAGGTTCTAAAAGCTTACATCACTATTCTGCGACCACTCCAACTGTGGACAGGGAGTAGTCCTCCTGAACTAATAAAACCGATCGAAGATTTCCACTCGTACGTTCTCTAGCCCCTTCGCCCAGTTGTTTAACGCCAAACGTCTCCTTGATAGGACTCTTGAAAAGCAGATCAAGCGAGTCGAGTCACTTGGGGGTAGAAAATTCTCCGTTTGGAGGATCCTATCATCATGGCAAATACCCTGGAGCATAAGTGAAGTAACGGCATGCATAAGCAAAGCTGTTACCTCATTTTCGGTTCGTCGCTCAGTGCCTGAATCCTTGGTTATTTTCTAATCGAGATGTACACTGTAGACTGAGGCGAAGATTTTGACGCTCGTCCAGGCAATGAAGTCATCCTTGAAGAGTATGTTGTCGTGCATGATTTGGGGTATAAGATTTACCAGTGTCACCAGCTGAACTCTCAAAATTGGGCCAGGTTCCTGCCGAGTACAAATTTGTCACGAGTAAATCGGAGTGCCTTCCAGGCACCCGGACTAAGATGCAGGAATCCTTATTAATTCATTTGGGGAAGGCTGGGAACCGATTTGTATGGCTACGAGGCTCCCCAGGGACCGGGAAAACAGCGATATGCAAAAGCATTGCGTCCACTCTGGATGAGCGAGGTACTCTGGTGGCATCATTCTTCTGGGATAAGAACCAAAAGGGCACAGGCCTCGATTCTATCGAAATGTTCGCCTCCACTCTTGCATACCAGCTTGCACGCTTCAGTGAGGACTTCAAGATTTCGCTTGTCCAGCACCTTCAGGAGCAAGCTCTTGAAAAGGTCCAGAGTCTGCCTCTAGAAGAACAAATGGAGGCGCTGATCATTAAACCGATGCGTGGCATCAAGGACATGTTTACGTCACGAGCACGAGAAGAGCGTCTGGTCATTGTCCTGGATGCATTGGACGAGTGTGGAGACCAAGAGGCACTCAAATCTTTGATGAGGCTCGTGCTAATGCTTGAGGATCTACCTTCAACAGTTGCAGTGTTAGTCAGCTCTCGTCCAGAGACTCAAGTTCTTCGGGCTCGAGCTCGAGGCGGACTTTGGGGCGATATCATTCCATGTGAAGATATGGACGCGATCAACAAGAGTGAAACTTCTCGCACTATACGCCACATGGTAAATGAGGGGCTTAAGGACTGTATCTCCGAGTCGCTGTTGTGGAAACCATCAGAGGATGACCTTGATACTTTCGCTTCGGCATGTCGTGGATTGCCCGCTATGGCCTCGATGCGCATACGTGAAGTCTGTGCTCGGACTGAACGAGGTGCTACCCTCAAATCCGAGTTTGATTACTTCCGAAATCTGATGGATGCGCCGACTGATCTCAAATCGGAGTACCTGCGAATACTGCGGCGAGCCTATATGCTGAACTCACAGCCCATTCGCCCAAGTGTAATTGAAAGTTACCGCCTTGTAGTGGGGGCGATTGCTGTGGCGCGCCGATCTTTAAGCTCATATTCTATTTCACGGCTTTTAGGCATCACGGAGGACGAGGTCTATTCAACCCTCAAACCGATCAGTTCAATCGTCCATCTTCCCTCGGAAAACTCAGAGGAACTTAAATTTTACCATGCAACAGCAAAGGAATTCATTATTGGAAATTCAATCGGTGACACAAGCGACCAGTCATTCTTTATCAATGATACAAACGGGTATTTCCTGGGGTTGCCACTCCTTCGATTTCTAAAGGGTGTCTTTGAGCGGAATGATTTAGCGATGCCTACCGATCATCCTTTGGGAGACAAGGAGAAGTGGACGGAATTTCAGAGGAACAGACAACTCGATCATGTCCAATATGCTTCCAAGTACTTGTTCAGCCACTTGGATCCTTCAAAGCTGTTCTCGCACGACTCTAATGAATTGCAGCACGAGTTCGATCACTTCCTCACCAACAACCTACTTTCGTTCATCGTACTGTCGGGTGGTGAATTCGAGTTGCCAGATGAATTACTTCAATCGAACGTAGGTTTATATTGAATTTTGGTGATTTCAATAGTGACATCATTTCACTCTAGAATCACAATTCAACTGAACTATTACGAGAAGCGAAGTGGGCACATGAATACGTCATTGAACGATATGAACAACTCGGCTTGTCGCGTATGCTCCACCTTGATCCTTGGCACATTTTTCGATCGATGCTTCCTTTCACTCGGCCAACCCCATCCCCACTCTTCAAATTGTATCGTCATCTTGCGGATCCTATTCGGATTTTCACCATTTCCGGAGAATTCACTGGCCATTTAATTCCGTTAAGTGAGCACGCACTCAATGCGCGGAACGTTATGGAGGCAAAGCGAAGTGGGTTTCGAAAGGCGATTGATAAGAAGAGTCCGGAGATAATTGATTACAGAGCTGAATATTCTGATCCTGATATCCGTAAAGGCATAGTGACTTCTGCAGCAATCTCGAAAGATGGACGTCGCATTGCACTCGGCTTTGGAAATGGCGACATCGAAGTTGTTGACATCGATCAGCAGCATGCCATCGCTCAATTCCAGTGCGACTCGCACGATCCCATAGCTTGGATCGAATTTATCTCTGGTAGCTGCCGGATTGCTGCCGAAGACTATGAGGGGAACATATTCATTTTCGACTGCGGTTTGCAGCCCCTGAAGCTTGGGACCCTCCCCAGTGGGCGTTATCCACCTGTCACTGTGGTGGCGGATAATGGATCACTCATCATACGACTCCCGCGGCATCTTGGCCCCAATTGGTACAAAAGCGTGGCGATCTTGTATGTTTCGGAGGAGCCATCCATTCACCTTCTTTCCTCTCCTGGTACCATACCTACTGCCATCCCAGCTCACCCCTCAGCCGCTCCTCGTTTCCTAGACTCACTTCGTAGACGCGTTCCATCCCCCCCACCCGTTCCTTGCGGTCTCACACTCGAACTGTCTCCTGGAGCACGATATGTTGTCGCTTGTGACCGGGAACACGCTTTCGTTTGGTCAACCGAGTCGCGCGAGTTCATTACTAGTCATAACCTACGAAATTTCGAAGCTTTTGTTACTAGCACGGCACCCTACCGCCCATACATCATTAGTGGGAACGTCAAGAGCTCAGAAGGTAGCATCCCTCACATTCAGGGTTCCGGGATGGAAAATGACATGGATGGGTCGTGGCTGGAATCGCTGTCCCACAGACAACAGAAAGCTTACGTTCGAGAGGGTCGAAAGCTGCTCGGTGTCCTCAAACCGAAATTATGGCTCAGTAACACATTAAAACTCATTCTCCCTATCGAATACCATCCAATCCTTCTTGGTAGGGAGCTACATGGCAGACTAAAAGTATGGTATGGGGATCGAGTGGTAGGGCGTGAAGATTTCATCTACTTTCCTCGTGCTAGCAAGGATGGGACACGATTTTTGGTTCAGGGTCGTATGAAAGCCCCTATCGTTGTTGATATTAGCCAAATCGTTTAGCATCTCTACAGTTCCATTACCTCTTTCTGTGCTTGTTAGTTGGCTTGGTGACAGTGTGCATTGTAGTTGTTTTTGACAATTACAGCCTTTACATGATTTAGAATGTGCACATTGCTATGTCAGGATAGAGAGTCTCTGCGAACACCAACGCGTGGGGATGATAGACTGGTGCATTTCATCATTGTCGACGTCAGAGGGAATGTGCTAAATTTGACAGAAACATTCCTGTCTGATCGTCCAGGATGAAGCCGCGCACTGTCGGTCGCCTTGCGGTGAGTCCTTGAGACTCAGAATTATCACAGCAAATCCGAGACTGCTGCTCCCACTGAGCGCTACTGCAATCATTGACGACGATGGAAATCACGTCGTGTTAAGCAATCGTGTCGTCAAGAATCCTTTATACTCTGCTTCGACATCAACCACCCGATATATAACGAACCGAGTCTGGAGGCGAATTAATAAACTTATGAGTTCTACAGGGAACAAAGTCATGATGGTGTGCTAATCTCGTGGCAGACAGATATAGATCGGTATGTTGCAGGCCATAGTGTTCGGTCAGTACTCGCCTTGCTCCACCGCTCATCGGACTCCATTGAACGATGACTTGAAGTATATAGTGCAGGATTGGAAAATGGGGCTCAGTGGTGCGACTCCGTTGGGATGGCAGTACTTAGACACTTGCAGACGAACGAGGCACCTGGTCAGAGTCGCGTGGCAGACAGCCCCAGTTAGGGCCGAAGCTTCTTGAGGTAGTACAATGTCGAAGGACCAGAAAAGGACGAATCGGAGATTAGGGAAGGCGCAGCAGTAGGTAGCGCCGAACGAAAGCCAAGTAAAGAGTCGTGAAGAAAGCTGGGAGAGCGGTCCAGGAGTAGAAACAACTTATAGACAAACATTTCGTGCTCACTTTCTGCCAACTTGGCAGAGGTCGCATGATGGCTGCTCATTATATTGTTGTTTAATGTCTTCATTTCACGAGACTAATCACGGGTTAGCAGTCTGCCCCCAGCTGACCTCAGGTTTCCGCCCTTGTTTGCCACTGGCTGGGAAACCTGACTGCGCCCAGACTCGTACCCAGTCGGAGGAGCTCCGTGGACGCGCAAAATAATAGCTTTTTTACGCAATGTAAATAAACGTTCTCACACTGGTACTCGACTGCTTCCGATGCTAGTCACGTTCTGTACTCAATACAAAAGATCACATGGTACATACGGAGTTAAACAAATATCCGATCACCTACTCCGAAACTTAGCCCGCGACACTTCGCTCCTCCGACTGGGGCAAAATGTAGGTGGCGATGCATCGGAAACACCCGACTCTCACGCTAAGCCTGAATGAGTTGTGCATAGAGGTTGCGCAATGTAATTGTTAGTGTTGACACATGCGGTCATTATACCCAACCCAACCCATAGAGACTTGGAAGCACCTTGAGGGTTGTGAAATCGATAACCTGGGCATGTGTGGAAATTAACACTTCATATAATACTTCTATAGCATCCTGTAGTTGGTGCTTTGTAGTGAAGCGGTACAAGCGTAAGCTGAGGCTATGCAGCCTTTTTTGGCTGCGGGTGTTCGATTCCCACTCAGTGAACCTTTTTTTCTCCTTCTTTACTCCTTAGTGTAAATGGGAGGTTGTTACAATTATTCCTGAGACCATAAAAAAAGGTTCATTGAGTGGGAATCGAACACCCGCAGCCAAAAAAGGCTGCATAGCCTCAGCTTACGCTCGTACCGCTTCACTACAAAGCACCAACTACAGGATGCTATAGAAGTATTATATGAAGTGTTAATTTCCACACATGCCCAGGTTATCGATTTCACAACCCTCAAGGTGCTTCCAAGTCTCTATGGGTTGGGTTGGGTATAATGACCGCATGTGTCAACACTAACAATTACATTGCGCAACCTCTATGCACAACTCATTCAGTGTCAGGGCTCGGTCCTCAATCAGGGACAGCCCGACCTCGGTCCTAGGTGTGTGTGGTGTTCCGGGTGCTAGGGCGCTAGACCCCGTCCTCAGCTCCTCAAACTCACTGAAGGGACTAAGCGGGGATTGAGTTGTCATGTATTACAGAGGGTAACTACAACTTGCCTAAGCGGGGATTGAGTTGAGAAGAAGGGTAAGTTTCCCTATTCCCCGCTTGGCTACTATAAAAGGAAGTGTACTGTACAGTTCGTAACGTGATTCCGGGTAGAAGCCGAGCATGTTCCCGCGACTCGGAAAAGGTGTCACATGGGTTAAGGCGAGTTGCTCGCCTTAACCCACGTGACTTTTCCCGCGGGCTCACATGCGGGTTGAAGTTGTGAGAGGTATGTAGGGATGGGGAGGTCTGGGAAGGTGGTTCTGGGGTGTGGTTGGGTGCCCTGACAGCGGGGTCAGGGGCCGATCCCTGACATTCAGGCTTAGCGTGAGAGTCGGGTGTTTCCGATGCATCGCCACCTACATTTTGCCCCAGTCGGAGCAGACTCGTACCCAGCCGTCTCCGCTACGTGGATGCGCAAAATCTCGACTAGTTGTTGTATTAGAATTCAGTTGTAAAGTCACGTTCAAGAACAAGAAGTGTATTACAATACAGAAGTCACATGCGACGGACATAAACACAAGTCCGATCACCTACTCCGGAAACCAACTCGCGACACTTCGCTCCGACGACTGGTGCAAAATGGCAGTGGCAGTACCACTCGGCAATTGCCGAGTTCGACACGACAGAAAGAGATTGCGGACACGTGAAGTTCCCACAAAAACATAAGTCGCACAATGGATCTTTTGGTGTTAACCCATGCGGTCTTGTACCCAACCCAACCCATAGCGCTTGGGGAGCACCTTGAGGGCTGTGAAATTAACACCTGGGCATGGGCGGAAAATCAACCCTTATATATTACTTTGATCCTAAAATATAGTTCATGCTTAGTAGTATAGGTGGCACAGCGTGAGCTAGGGATATAATCTTTTTTGGCTGCGTATGTTCGATTCTCAGCCGGTAAAACTTTGTTTTTTCTCATTCCTTGCTCTTTAGTGTGCACAAATTTTACAACTATTCCACAGGAGAACACAAAAAAGTTGTACCAAGTGAGAATCGAACATACGCAGCCAAAAAGGCTATATCGTCTACTCACGCTGTGCCACCTATACGACTGAGCATGAACTATATTTTAGGATCAAAGTAATATATAAGGGTTGATTTTCCGCCCATGCCCAGGTGTTAATTTCACAGCCCTCAAGGTGCTCCCCAAGCGCTATGGGTTGGGTTGGGTACAAGACCGCATGGGTTAACACCAAAAGATCCATTGTGCGACTTATGTTTTCGTGGGAACTTCACATGTCCGCAATCTCTTTCTGTCGTGTCGAACTCGGCAATTGCCGAGTGGTACTGCCACTGCCATTTTGCACCAGTCGTCGGAGCGAAGTGTCGCGAGTTGGTTTCCGGAGTAGGTGATCGGACTTGTGTTTATGTCCGTCGCATGTGACTTCTGTATTGTAATACACTTCTTGTTCTTGAACGTGACTTTACAACTGAATTCTAATACAACAACTAGTCGAGATTTTGCGCGTCCACGTAGCGGAGACGGCTGGGTACGAGTCTGCAGTCGGAGGAGCGAAGTGTCGCAGGCTAAGTTTCGGAGTAGGTGATCGGATATTTGTTTAACTCCGTATGTACCATGTGATCTTTTGTATTGAGTACAGAACGTGACTAGCATCGGAAGCAGTCGAGTACCAGTGTGAGAACGTTTATTTACATTGCGTAAAAAAGCTATTATTTTGCGCGTCCACGGAGCTCCTCCGACTGGGTACGAGTCTGGACTGCGCCCAGTCGCGACCGCTTTGGCATTCACATGCCTTCTCTCACCGATCGCGGTTTTCCCATGATTTATCGCGCAACTTAGCCTGAACGGGTCAAATCACGCTGCCTCAGTCGTACGCTGAATGTTTTCGGCGCAGATGCGCGAAGCGGACCATTCAGTGGAGGTACGTACTGAATTTTCGCTGTTGAGGAGAGGTTCCATACTACCTTAGGTTTCATACTACCTAGGTCGTGCCTATAAAGGGGCCCTGACGGATCCCTTTTCCCCTCTCCCTATCGCCTGGTATCTCGCGCTCCCCTGGTGAGTGAGATCCAATTTGCCGCTTGCCTTTCCGGGCTCACGCTTTTGACCCGCTGCCGCTGCTGCCACCTGCATATTACTCTATCCCGGATTTGCTGCTGCCAATACCGCGATTCTCGACTACATTCCCATCTGCTCCAGCCCCTAGCTTATATTTTCTTGTCTCCCTCCTCCTCCCCGATACTCCTCCATCTCTTCTTTTCGAATTTTTTCACATCGTCTGTTACTCTTTCTCTTCATTGTAGTTCACTTTCTCTTCATTGTATTTCACCTCTGTACATTAGCTTCTGTTTGCTGTTTTAGTTGTTAGCGCTTTCAGTTGTGGCTGTCATCAGTTCTAGTAATTTTCCTGCTCTTCCTTTGTATGTACGAGAACGCGGGTCACGCGTCGCGCGCATGCGGCAAATTTCACATGGGCCCTTTGTGGCCGTTGCCCACTACCAGCAGTTGTTAGCCCTGATTAGTCCTGTGTTTACAGGTCCCGACGTTTGAACCGACATGCCACAGATGCTGAAAGGGTTGCTGCTGCTGCTGCTGTTAAGTGGTCGGAATCACCTTTGATACTGGAAAAGGCAGAGTATTTGTGGCGTTTGGGGAGCTGAAAGCGATCGTTTTCCCAAGCCCAGGTGCGGATGAGAATGCACTCTTAAAACGACACCCTCAGCCTCAAATTACACCAGCTGGGAATTGGTGTGAAACAGAGTCATCTTCGACGAAGCTTTTCAACATCACGAAACCCTTTGGCAAGTGATGGGTAGACTTGTAACGGGGAGGAGGTCAAGGAGAGCAAAGATAAGAGATCGAGTTAAGTATGATGCCGGGAAGAAATGACAGTCCGCGAGGGACAAGACCCGAATCAAAACTCGTGGCTTCATATGGTTCGACATGAGATAGAAAAGCAGATGTGGCAGGGCCAGTATTCAGACCCTAGTTTTTGGCCAGTTGCATAGCAGATACTACCAGAGGAATCGCTGTGTTGCCTAAACATGCGATTTCGAAGATAGCGGAGATAGCGGAGATAGCGGGATGTCCACTACCCCCAATTTCTTGCCAAGACGAAGGCATGCGGCGCTAATGCATTTGAGTGAAACATGAATGACTCTGAGGTGATGCGCTCACGTCATTGCATTTGAATAGATGGTGGGAGACTCAAGACTATGATTAACAATTTGAAAGAGTGGCCGATAGTAGCCTGAATCGCGAATCGGGTGGATCATCAAGCGTCTGGTTTAATTGTTTCCTAACCACCAAGCCAAATAGTGACTGCGCATGTTCCGGCCAAGTCACGTTGCAGTCCAACACGAAGGACGAGGCACCCTTTGGTGTAAGCACAATGAGTGGACCACGATCAATTCATTCCTCCGGGCACGCAAGTATGTTAGTACCTTCCACGATAAAGTCCGTCCATTAGTCATGATGTATCAAATATTTGTCTATTGACGCCCAAGTAGGATATTGACTAATCAATGACTGGAATGGACTTGGGTGTTGTGTATAGCTCAGTCATAAAATGAATGGGAGATGAGATACGCTAACTGCTTGAGAACGTCGTTAAATGCAAACGCTGTGCGCCCGAAAAAGCACCTGTGAGGGAGAGGATGCTCGCGCAACTGATGACGAAGGCCCCTCTCCAAGGACATGGATCGCAAATGACAGGTCCACGCTGACATGTGCGGTGAGTAATTCTAGTGTTTTCCTCCCAGTGCCTGTGTGCAATGGTGGGGGAGAATTGAACGAGTGATGAACCAGTAGGCCAGCCAATTCGCCCCGTGGAAGTATCTTCAGTTCTCTTTGTGGTCGTCTATCACCACTTAGCCAACAGTCCATTATGTGACACAACGTCTTTCAGTTCTGTTCCCCGTTGTCAAGCAATACCTTACAGCTAGGATAGTGGCCGGGCTTGCCACTGGTTCGAGTGATACATTCGAAAGCTCCGCCAATGGCAGTACAAGGCACAAGATTATTCGAGGGGAGTTTTAGGGCAAGATTCCGTGGACGGCGGGGACATTTGGCAGTTGCGTCAGCGAATGCGATCGAGGATGAAAGCTTGCAAAGCGCCGCTCTTGCCATGCATGCTGTATTTACTGAGCATGCCGTGAACTTCTTCACTGCATAATAGTCGGGGAGGGTCTGGCTGGATTTCCAGTCCACTATCGGTTTGTGCAGATTGACAATCAAAGTGGAGGTGCATGGTAGTTCAAGGCGGTAATCGCAAAGGAGGTTGGGAAAGGTGTTGGCGTCGTCAGTAGCTGTAGTGGCCATTGCCCCGATACGTGCACTGATAATACCTGCGGGTAACATGGGGCCGGTGAGACCGAGCAACCCCCGGAATCCGCCGACTCTGCAACAATTAAGCCGTAAACCTGAAGTAGCGTGATGCTGCAGGCAATGGTGTTTTCAGTCAGTACTCATCTCGCTGAACCGCTCATCGCGCCGTGCTGAACGACTAGTCCGGTGTTGGAAAATGGGGCTTAGTGGTGCGACTCGTTTGCGTGGATCGAATTGTTGGCACAAACAAGGATACATCTTTCATTTCTCCAGATGCAGAGCTGTCGGCCTCAGGACATTTCTCTATGGATTGGGTGCCATCCCTCTCAAAGACTCTATCAGCATTTCACTGATCCAACCGCTGACCTACGGCGACAACCTGAACTGCCATTCCCGCTCACACTCCGTCATAATACTTCTCGATGTGTGAAGTATTTAAGATAATTCGCATACTCCCGCACACAGAATCGGAAGACCGTGTCCCCGTCACGGTGTGCATAATTGTGTATTGGCATTATCGTGGGCTGATTTATCTTCCTTGACCGCATACGCATCATAATCGGCGACGCACGAACAAATAGCCATTCATCATTTCTCAAACTCCCCCCAAGATGTTTGAGCGCTGAGACAGTTTGCTATCGCCTGTGGGAAAGGTCTTCACGCGCATCCTATTGCAAAATCCAGAGGTAACAGTGCCGAAAAACGTAATTACCAGGCTTCGTTTCGGATTCGTCACTAACGTGGTTCGTGGCTGAGTGCTCACCCAGGGAAATATGGGGCACTCGTAGAGCATTGCTATTAAGCAAGAATTGATAAAATCCTGCCTTTAGGAATGGGGCGTTCCATAGGACCCTTGGCGTTGGCTGCCCCGTGCGCTCACTTCATCACTCCGATTTTTACATTTCATCTACAGCATCGGCCCTGACACTTGTCTAGCTGTCCTAGCGTATGTTACTCGAAGGCACTGGAGATTCGACATACTGACCAGCAGTTCTCTTGGAGCGTATGGTAGATGCTAGCTGGCTTGGGCAGAAAATCGGTGTCTACACCTACGACAATGAGGGTAAGGTTGTTGAATAGTGGAGGCCAATTGAGCAGGAATGGCGAAACGAGACACATTGGGCAACAACCCGATAACCCATATCCACTGTTCATCAAATGTGTCTCGTACTGGAGTGTAAGCAATCTGCTATCTTCAGCCGCGAAGTGGGTTGACCAATACGATTGTTCTGGAATAGTTACGGCCCAAGCCACCACTGAACATATCTACCAGCCAGCACGCATCAACTGCAGCCAGAGAGGTGTTGACGTTCTTCAAGCGTGAATGACATGGCGAGGGCGAGGACCTATTTTTTAAGGCCTTCATACTCCAATAGGTGTTGTCGGGGATCATAAATGAGATAGCCCTGGAAGGCAATGGCATGAAGAGAGTGGATCGGGTAGCAACCGTCAGCCATGTGAATCTTCAATGGCGAATCCAATCTCGTAATCAGCTGGATCTCACAATGAGGAAGGACCTTGGATTGCCTCCCTTGCCTCTCAGGAGTAGACACGAAACAGCTAGAATCCTTCAACGGCGTTTCGGTTCGGAACCAGGTTCACATTATACAATTATCCTCCCGAAAACCAAACCATCACAGAACTGGGTCAGAACCGGACCGTTCCAGCACAGTTCGGCTCGGGGTTCGGTCCCAGTTCGAACTGGTTCTCTGAAAAGGACAGCGCTCAGGAGCAGCCTGAGGTGTGCAAGCTAAATTACTCGCCCGCTATGGCACTTAACCAAGGTGTTAAATCTGTATCGTCTCTTCCATGCCAAGTTCCCATGGACATTTGGGGTGCATTTGGAGTGACCTCAGCGAGCGGAAAACTGTCAGTCATGCTTCGCGGTGTGTGCGCGCTTACGAGCTGCTGTTCTTGCCTTTTTGGTTTGACTTGGGTATTCTGCCCGGGGAGAAACGTGCTCGCTCAGGGTGTCCAAGGTCTCATGAGAACATATTAATAACCGCCTGGCCTGCACTGCTGGAGCAATAACCAACTCTCTGTCGACGCGTTCTCAGAGCTGGACGTTGTAGCAGCGGCTGTGTCTCCGAGGAGCCTGCTCTCACTTCATCGTATATACATTTCGGTGCATCTATACACGCGCAGATCGTTGTCTGGCCCCAATCGATTGCGCCATGGATGATGACGTTTGGCCAGTTGTGATGGAAGCTTTATCCGCAATCCAGGATGTCCCGAACCTTAGTCACCAGTTTGGTGCCAAGAAACGAGTTGCACGAGGTGGCTACTCCGAAGTTTATCGTGCAGAATGGATCCAGTCTGGCACCCGGGCTCCGGTCAATGTATGTTCTCCTTAGCTGGCGTGTTCGCTGTCTCGCTTCACTCTTTCTATTAAGGTCTGCTATAAAGTTCTCAAACCACCCATAAGTAACATGCCATCTGACGTAGAGGAGATGAGAAAAACTATGAAGGTAAGAGGCTTTTCCAGCGTAATTAATAACGTCGAAGACACCTTTCCGCACCAGCACTTAAGGAGAGAGATGAAGGTATGGAAGGACTTGGACCACGAAAATATCGTAAAATTCATCGGTTTTGCGATTGATGATCGGAACGGAGGGCCAGAAGCAGCATTAGTGTCCGAATGGTGTTCAAATGGGAATCTTGATCAATATCTGCGTTGTAAAGGATCGTGCAATCGGATGGCTCTGGTAAGCGGCATTGGCAATAACATTGACCACCTGCCGGACTGAGGGGATGCACATCATCAAAATAGGTTCTCGATGTCGCCAGAGGTCTGACGTACCTCCATGGCCGTGACTCTGTTGTCGTCCATGGCGATCTCAAGCCCGTAAGTCAATATGTGTTTCTGTAAAGCTGATGCAGAATAATCGACGTCACACAGCCCAACATATTAATCAGTGACACTGGGCATGCGAAGTTGTGTGATTTCGGTCTGTCCTCGATAGCGGATGGCATGACGACAGGGTTCACATCGTCCGGGCCTGCATTCACGTTGCGCTATTGTGCCCCAGAAGCCGTGGTCACGGACAACCATGTGAAGACGACGGCGGGTGATGTTTACTCCTTTGCCTGTACTTGTGCCATGGTGAGCCCTCATAATTCGTGAATATAACATCCTTGCGCTCGACTGAAACTTAAGCAGATACTTTTTAATGAAAAACCCTTCCCTTCGCTCACCAATGACGCCCAAGTATTCAAGGCGTTAGAATGTGGCCAATTGCCTTGGGACTGGAAGCCATCCTCTCCACTGGAGAAAATATTATCTAGTTGTTGTGCAGTTTCTCCTGATGCGCGACCGAGAATGTGGGACGTCTCCCGATCACTGGAAATCTGCGCTGAACCAGATTCGTCCTCAATCCTCGAGATGTCTGGCCCCGAAACAAACCTCCCACTGCCGCCACCGCCTACTGACTCATTCCTTACACCAGACGGAGACCGTACAAGCTTGGAGCTCGCAATGTCCAAGGAGACGACCACTAAGGTTGATGCGCAAGCACCTCTTGTTGCTACTTCGCCCGAGGCTCACAATGCGATTTCCATGCAGAAACAGAAACAGGCTGAACTGTTGCCAAAGGTGACACCAGAACCCCTAGAGACGGAGGAGCAGATGGCAGAGTTTCCCTCAAAGACTGCTCAGCAGTCTTCCCCAGCTTCTCCCCTCCACACCTCCACTACTGTCTACAGTGAAACTTTTCACACTATCCGCCGCATGGTAGATGAGGGGCTTGAGGACTGTATCTCCGAGTCGTTGTGGAAACCATCAGAGGACGACCTCGACACTTTCGCTTCGGCATGTCGTGGATTGCCCGTTATGGCCTCGACGCGCATACGTGAAGTCTGTGCTCGGACTGAACGAGGTGCTACCCTCAAATCCGAGTTTGATTACTTCCGAAATCTCATGGATGCGCCGACTGATCTCAAATCGGAATACTTGCGAATACTGCGGCGAGCCTATATGCGAGACTCACGGCCCATTCACCCAAGTGTAATTGAACGTTACCGCCTTGTAGTGGGGACGATTGCTTTGGTGCGCCGATCTTTAAGTTCATATTCTATTTCAAGGCTTTTAGAGATCATGGAAGTTGAGGTCTATTCAACCCTCAAACCGATCAGTTCAATTGTCCATCTTCCCCAGAGGATCACAGAAGCACCTAGATTTTATCATGCAACGGCGAAGGAGTTCATTATCGGAGAACCAATCGGTGATGCAAGCGACCAGTCATTCTTTATCAATGATACAAATGGGTATTCCCTGGGATTGTCACTCCTCCGATTTCTAAAGAGTACCTTCAAGTGGAATGATTTGGCAATGCCTACCGATCGTCCTTTGGGAAACAAGGAGAAGTGGGAGGAATTTCAGGGGAAGGGACAACCCGATCATGTCGAATATGCCGTCAAGTACTTGTTCAGCCACTTGGATCCTTCAAAGCTGTTCTCGCGCGACTCCAATGAATTGCAGCAGGAGTTCGATCACTTCCTCACCAACAACCTACTTTCGTTCATCGCACTGTCGGGCGGTGAATTTGAGTTGCCAGATGAATTACTTCAATCGAACGTAGGATTATTTTGGATTTTGATGGTTTCAATAGTGTGACATCATTTCACTCTAGAATCACGATTCAACTGAACTATTACGAGAAGCGAAGCGGGCACATGAATACGTCATTGAACGACATGAGAGACTCAGGGACAGACGTGCATTGTTCAGTAGGCTCCAATTTGGAGAGCATGATGTTCCCTGGACATTTGATCCTTGGCACATTTTTCGATCGATGCTTCCTTTCACTCGGCCAACCTCGTCCCCACTCTTCAAATTGTATCGTCATCTTGCGGATCCTATTCGGATTTTCACTATTTCCGGAGAATTCACTGGCCATTTAATTCCGTTAAGCAAGCATGCGATCAATGCGCAGAATGTTATGGAGACGAAGCTAAGCGGGTTACGAAAGGCGTTTGATTCGGAGGGTCCGGAGATAATCAATTACAGAGCTCAATATTCTGATCCTGATATCTGTAAAGGCATAGTGACTTCCACAGCAATCTCGAAAGATGGACGTTACATCGCACTCGGCTTTGGAAATGGTGGCATCGAAGTTGTTGACATCGATCAGCAGCATGCCATCACTCAATTTCAGTGTGACTTGCGCGATCCCATAGCCTGGATTGACTTTATCTCTGGTAGCTGTCGGATTGCTGCCGAAGACGATGAGGGGAACATATTCATTTTCGACCGCGGTTTGCAGCCCCTGAAACTTGGGACCCTCCCTGGTGGGCATTATCCACCTGTCACTGCGGTGGCAGATAATGGATCGTTCATTATACGACTCCCGCGGCATCTTGGCTCCAACTGGTACAAAAGCGTGGCGATCTTGTATGTTTTGGAGGAGCCATCCATTCACATTCTTTCCTTTCCTAGTACCATACCCACTCCTCTTCGCCTTAACTCGCCTCATGGACCCGTTCCACCCTTCCCCCCACCCGTTCCTTGCGGTCTCGCACTTAAACTGTCTCCTGGAGCACGATATGTTGTTGCTTGTGACCGGGAACACGCTTTCGTTTGGTCAACCGAGTCATGCGAGTTCATTACTAGTCATAACCTACTAGATTTTGAAGCTTTTGTTACTAATACAGCACCCTACCGCCCATACATCATCAGTGGGAACGTCAAGAGCTCAAAGGGTAGCATCCCTCACATTCAGGGTTCCAGGACGGAAAATGACATAGATGCATCGTGGGTGGAGTTGCTGTTCCACAGACTCTCACAAAAGAAAGCTTACGTTCGAGAGCGTCAAGAGCCGCTTGGCGTCCTTAAACCCAAATTATGGCTCAGAAACACATTGGAACTCATTCTCCCTATCGAATATCATCCAGTTCTTCTTACCAGGGAACTACGCAACAGACCACAAGAATGGTATGGGGATCGAGTAATAGGGGGTGAAGATTTTGTCTACTTTCCTCATGCTAGCAAGGATGGGACGCGATTTTTGGTTCAGGGCCATATGAGAGCCCCAATCGTTGTTGATATTAGCCAAATCGTTTAGCATCTCTGTACAGTTCCATGACCTTTTTCTGTACTTGTTAGTTGGCTCGGTGATAGTGTACGTTGTAGTTGTTTTGACAATTACAGCCTTTACATGGTTTTGAATGTGCACATCACTATGCCAGGATAGATAGTCCTGGTGAATAGCAATGGGGGTGATGGAACTGGTGCATTCTGTCATCGTCGACGTCAGAGGGGATGTAGTAAATTGACAAAACACTGCTCTTGTCTCATCGTCCAGGATGAAGCCGTGCGCTGCTGGTCGCTTTGTAGCGAGTCCCTGAGGCCCAGCATTATCACAGAAAATCCGAGACTGCTACTCGTGTTAAGTACCAGTACGTGCAATCATTGACGACGACAGAAATCACTTCCCGTCACAGCATTAGGGCAATCATGCCGTCGAGAATGTTATATCCCGCTTCGACATCAACCGCCTGTCAGATAATGTACAAGAAAAAATTATGAAGGAAGAAACGAAGTCATGATGATATGCGCTAATCTCGTGGCGGACGGATGTGGATGAGTTAAGAGCACGGTCTTGTGTTTGATCAGTACTCCCCTCACTCCCCCATTCATCAGGCTGCGCCGAACGACTGTTTGAAGCACATAGTTTGAAAATGGGGCTTACAAATTTGTTGGCTCAAATAATGGTAGATACATATTTCGAGCAGAGCCGCCGGCCTCACTAATAATCACACCGCCCCATCAGTTCCTCACATTTGCTGACATTGCTGTAGTCAATCGCAATCACACGTGTGCCGTTTCAGGTTTACTGGTTCCTGATCGAAATAAGTTATCACAAACGGGGTCGGTACGCGAAATGGTCCGGATGCCGGTATTGGTGTGGATCGTGGTAATATTAGATGGAAGGTAATGTTCTGGAATCATGCAGAAATGAGAAACTGGGACGGGAGCCTTCGCTTGTGTATGGGCACTTACTTGGTGTAAGGATCCTGGAAGAAAACGTGGAGTGTACTTTTGATCCGCTTGATTTCCGTATTGACAGCCGGCCGCACAATGTCCTGGAATCTGGGTAATCCCGTCCATGACCTAATGGCCTTGAGTTTCCCGAGGACATCAAACGGTTGGAACTTCTTCTCTGCCAAATTCCTCCATATCTGCGAGTGAATTTCCCCGTACTCCGTGTACTGAATGTGAGACGAGTATGAGTACCCCGGGATATTCTTCTGAATCCCAATGTGGAACAAACTTCCCCAATCGGAGAAGATCAACTCCCATTGGGCCGAGAGGTTGGTAATCCCAGCGTACAGAGAGTAATGATGAGATCGATCAAGCTGCTGCTCATGCAGCCAATGATCCGACCCTTTGAGCAGAACTTGATAGTATGCAGTTGCCCGAACCTCTTTCTCATCGTAATTGTTCAAACGAGAGATCACAGCATAGGGGCACAACCTGGATGCCCATAGATCTTCCTTGACGACATTACGGGCTATCACGGCTAATTTCTCGCACTTGACATCTAATGCGCAGATAAGAATGTCGAGAGGTGTGAGAGAGGCAGTGGTACGCGAGCGCAGTGACACAGCATCTGTAGCGAGATTGGTTGAAATCGAAGCAGCCAGATCCTCTACAAGTGAGAGGCAGTACTTGTGCGCCAGTTTCTGTACCATGAGTACCTTCTCCAAATCTTTGGACGACTGGTGATGATGACTAAGACATGATTCGAAAGGGCTTTGTAGAAGTAAACCAATGGGATCAGATGTTGAGAATTGATTTCAGCGTACGTATACACAACCCGACGAAACTCAGTAAAAGCTTTACGCGTGTCAGCAAGATGGATAGGTCTATTAGACTCGTTGTTGGAGTCCTTGATCATATTGGAAAATGCGGAGTCTTTGTATCGTTGCAAAATGCATTTGGGGAGCTAAAAACAATCATATGTATTTTTTTTTTTCCTGAACAAAGTTTGGATAACGTACCCTGAAAATGACACCTTCGACCTCGAAATCCACAGCGCCAGACGAAGCTTGGTACGAAACGGACTCATCTTCGATGAATTTCTCCAACATTATGAAACGCTTGGACGTGTGGTGAGGCAAAGTCGAGGAGGGAAAGGACAGGATAGTTTCCTGAGGTCAAAAGTCCCGAAGAAATGATAGTGGGATTAAGGGTTGGCCTCGAGACAGAACTTGTGGTTCAGCAGTCCAAGCGCATAAGGTTAGTGCGCTCGTGACCGATTTTGAAGGAATTCGTTCATTTTTCAATTGCTTTTCGATCGATGGTTTGGGGTTGTATTTCGTTTCTCCACAATTTTCTATAACGCGTGCACTAGCTCGAGTCTGAAGTTCAGTACTGCTTGATTCACGTTATAGTCATACCCACTGGTACTCGTGCTGCCGCCACAGCAAGCGCTGTTGTTCCGCACACATGATTTTGAACGAGACATCGGAGGTGAAGGCTTGTTTCAAATGTCCAGACCATATATCGCTGTTTCTTACCGGTCTGGCCTCTGTTGAAGCAAACCTATCCGCTCAAAGTACCCCGCTTTTCTGCGTTTTCCCTATCCCACCTACTTCAAAGCGTGACTCGAAGCAAAGCAGCAACCCAAAAAGCGTCTGCCATTCCCTTTGCCACTTACTCCTTATCTTATGAATATGACGCGTTCGACACTGCGGTACTCCATCTAGCCAATAAACAATGTATCGCAGTTAAGAGACGCGACTCAACTGTGGACTACGTGATTTAGGTGAACATGACCCTGTGCACGACCTAGCTAAGCTATTCCTGAAAATAAGGGCACATTGGGTGCTAATGTGCTCACAAACCTTCGAGATGAGGCAGGGCCACGAGAAATTAAAAATCCACTGGAACGATACTTGTTTGTTTGTTTGTTTGTTTTATCCTCTGGGTATTCTCCTCCACAACTAGATCCAATTACGCCGCCACGTCGGTTCTATACATTGCTGACATGGCTGTAATCACACGTACGCCATTTCAGACCGGTTCCTGAAATGAGTTATTTGCATCTTCTAGTGAGAAAACACAGTTGGTTATTGAGATTTACAGGGGAGGTTGTGTACGGGTAGCAAGTGTGAAGAAGGGCCGGGTATCAGTCGAGGCAGGCAGCAATTACAGAGACTTGTGCGTGGTGCATAAGATGGGTACAAGCATGCTCCGATGATCGACAGTGCCAGTAGCGGGCAACTGCAGCCAATATCAACGTGAATCATGATGATTCCGTGACAGGGATCTAGAACCACACCCAAATAAGAATGGCAATGATGACCCTCGCTTGTGCAAAAGTAGGTACTTACTTCGTGAGGATCCTGGAAGAAAGAGTGGATTTTACCTTCAATCCGGTTGATTTGCTCAGTGACAGCCGGTAGCACAACCTCTGAGTATTTGGGAAAAGTCGTCCATGACTTAATGGCCTTGAGTTTCCCAAGGACATCAAACTGTTGGAACCTCTTTGCTCCCAAATTCCTCCATATCCGCGAGTGGAGTTCACAATAAACACACCAAATATTCCAGCCATTCGTGACAGGCATGTGAATTCCGACATGAAACAAGCTTCCCCAATCGGCGAAGACTGACTCCCATTCTGCCGAGAGGTTAGCAATCCCAATGTATAAGTAGTGATGATGAGATCGATCAAGCCGTTTTTCATACAACCAATTATTCTGTCCTTTGAGCAAAATTTGGTAGTACGCTGTTGCCTGAACTTCTCCCTCATTGTAATTGTTCAAACCGGATATCACATCATACGGGCACAACGTGGACGCCCATAAATCTTCTTTGACAACATTGCGTGCTGTCACGGCTAGCTCTTCGCACTCGACATCCAAAGCGTGGACAAGGATATCGAGAGGCGTAAGGGAGGCAGTAGTATGTGAGCGCAGTAATTCAGCATCTGCAGCAAGATTGAGTGCAGCAGAGGCTGCCATATTTTCCATCACCGAGAGGCAGTATTTGTGCGCCAGTTTTTGTACCATGAGCACTTTCTCCAGATCCTTGGACAATCGGTGATGATGACTGAGACATGACTCGAGAGGTCTATATAGACATAAATCAAAGGGATCATATCTGAGGAATCGATCTCGGCGTACGTGTACACAACCCGGCGGAATTCGGTAAAAGCTTCACGTGTGTCAGTAAGATGGATCGGCAAATTGGACTCGTTGTTGGAGTCTCCTATCATGTTGGAAAAGGCAGAGCTTTCGTAACGTTGCAAAATACTTTTGGGGAGCTGAAAACCATCATACATATATTTTTCCTCGGATGAGGATGAGGACGTACCCTGAAAATGACGCCCTCAACCTCGAAGTTGACAGCACCAGCTAGAATTTGATACGAAACAGATTCATCTTCGATGAAGTTCTCTGACATCATGAAACCCTTTGGCAAGTGATGGGTGAGCTTGTAATGGAGAAGGGGTCAAGAAGGGCAATGATAACTTGAAGAGAGTTATGAGGCCAGGAAGAAGCGATGCTCGCGAAGAACTCGTGGTTGATGATAAAAGGCAGCAGCGTGCCTAACGATATTCAGCAGATACCAAGGAAATCGCTGTCGCTGCAGCAAGCATTGCGGTTTTTAGAACTCAAGTCGGAGATAGCAGGTGTCCGGAACTGCCGCCATTTCCTCCGGCGGCTGTGCTAGGAGCGCATTCACATGAAACGTGGATGCGTCCATGCGGTGATGGCATGATTGTGCTAATGCCATTGTAGTTGAGTTGCAGGAATAAATGAAGTAACATCGTGCGAAGCAAAGAAAACATTCACTCCTGTCAGCGATTGAATTATCCAATTCCGGGAGGCGTTTGACATCATATGTACGACATGATATCACATTAGCGCAAGTACGGGACCAATCAATTCAAAGTAGCTATCATGTTCCAGGCTCATGATTCTCATACAAAGAACGAAGCCACCAGACGAGAAGAATCTGCCCCCATTCCAGGATAAGGGAGTCGAGAACGTAAACTTTGCGCAAGCATATCGTGAAGCAGATAGCTTCCCGCTGGGTTTTGTACCGGTCTTGAAATGCAACTGATAGACGGAACTATCAGAAAATTGCATTTCCGACAGCTCTTTGCTAAACAACGGTGCTGACCCATGTCCAAGCTGGGTCTCTGTGCATCATGACTTCCGCCTGGGAAAGATCGAGAAGTGTTCGTCTGTGTTTATAGAGTCACCATGTAACGGAACCGGGCAGGGCTCTGACTAAGTGTTATGCAGTGTGGTGTCCTAATAGTCAGACGCACACAGATTATCTCAAACACTTACGGTTGCAGATAATTCCCAAAGCTTTTTGAAGCATACTTTGGACACGAGAAATTTTTTTCAAGAGAAGCTCCAGCATCCGGTTTGGGGTACTCTACAGCCGAAATTAAGCCAAAAGGCCGCTCTGGCAGATCATCAGAAGGAGAAAGCATCAGAGGAAGCTGTTTCACAAGAGGCAAACCGAGCATGTGATTGAACACGTGCGAGTGGGAAGAAATTAGGGTGGGAAAGTGCGAATTTTGGACCTGAAGGTGAAAGACAACAGAAGCCTTCGCAAGCTCGGTCAATTACCCTCCGCAGTGCAGGAGTCGTCGCCAACACTGACTTCGGCCTAAACCGAACGCCAATGTCAATGGCAAATTTTTGCCTCATATTTTGACGGACATCATGTTGATGTGTGCACCATCCGACCACACCATTCCGAAGGCTCAGGTATTACCTTGCTTGCAAGGTCATTGCCAGGTCATAATTGCCATGGGAAATATGTAACTATTGCAAATTCCTATGAACACATCACATGGTTCCTCTGAATCAATTACTATTTGCAAACACGTCACATGGTGCTCCATCACATGGTCCTCATGTGTGTGCCATCATTCCAGCAATGCAACGCTGTTCCCAATGTTCCTTTGTCTTCTTGTTCAACTCTTCAAACTGTGAGTCCGCCCACTTTAGAGCCTCACACACAGGCCGTGTGAAAAGGGTTTCATCGAAATCTCTCAATAAGCGGATGGTTTTTCTCCCTGAGCTACGCGATAATGCAACGTATGCACTGAATGGTGTCAGTGCTCCAGTAGGAGGAGTTGTGAGGTTGATTATTACATGCGCGCGATAGTCCGTGGAACCATATGCTCCAGTTATAGGGAGTTGTTTCCACTTCACACTTTTGGCTTTCCCTCCTCCAATCTTCAGTTGGTACTTAGGGAAAATTGGCACCACCCCATCGGGTATGTCCCCCATCCGGCTTGGATTGCCATATTCTAATAAGAATGCACGATGGTGGGTAAACCAGCGATACTCTAGGCCCCCAGTTGGATGTTGTAGCCTCCCTCGGATCAGGGATTATTTCCACAACCTCACCGCAAGTACCATTGGCAATATTCATATCCATGTTTATGTTTGACATCACCATAACCTTTGCGCCGATGGCGAAATGAATGATATCAGGGAGTCTTGTGCCTTCAAGGACCGCCTTGCTGTTAACACCATTAGATGATTCACGTAGTAAGCATCTAACACACACTCTGCACAATGCACAGCTCAACACCGAGAACAGAGAGCCTTTCCTGCAGTGAAATGGCGAACGCTTTGGGTGAACCACCAAACCTTGAGTCAGTCACGCTACAGACGGAGTGTATGACACCACCAACAGAGCCCAGCACACCAGAAAACAAAGCCAAAAGTAGGAAGTTTCCCACCAACTATCGTGATAATTCGTTCAGTTTATGTGCAGCATTACCGGAATTGGGTGGATATGATGATAGCAGCAAAGGTGAATCGGGTTTGTTCCCTCATCATCACCTACATCCTGTGCATAAGCTGATGATGGTGCCAACAGTCCATGGCTTCTTGGGGCCCGAGTTTGGTTTGGAACACTGGCCAGTGGCGCCAGAAACATTGACCTCCAAGACAAGATGTTTGAGGATCTAAACCATGGATGCGCACATTGATTGTTACGATGCAACGAAGCGTTTCCGACCCATTAAGTGACCCGTTGTCCTTCATTTCTCCGTCTGCATAAATACTGGAGCGAAATTAGCCGATGCTCTGTCTGTCATGCTGTTTCTTGCTTGGCCTTCTATCTCCAGGAATCGCCTATATTGTATTTGAAGTGATTGTTTATAGCAGCCTGCAAGAGTTACGTACGTGATCACACCTCTCCAATGTAATGCGCATTGGAGATCGAGCATCAGAACCTGATGGAGATCATTGGCCTCGGACGCACATGCCTGCACACCCTGCGGCTTCTTCATTTCCGTGATTTCATAACCATCTCTAGACCCATGTCATTTCGTACACATTGGCTGTTGTGTCCCTTTCGCGACACTAATTTCATCACCTTCTCAGGCATGCTAATCGGAGCCGACTCGACGAAAACCGACCCGTACCGGTGACCGTCGCATCTTTAGGCTGCATTGACCTCAACCGACAATGATGTCAAATAGTCCTGGTGTCTTAGGTTTGCTTCTCTTGTCGTTATGAATGACAATCATGGGGCTTTTATCTCGTTTGAAAATTGTGAAGACTGCATGTAGCCCAAGTAAATGTTGTTTCAGTGTCCTAATCTAAACCACAGGTGTCAACTGATGTATTCCCCAGACCCTTTCGCTAGAAATGCTCAGAACATTTCAGTTAAGACTAATGGGTCCTGACTTCGCTGCCGCGGGTCCAGACACCTTATGAATTACCCGGCGCAAACGTGTGACTGGGGAAAGAAGTGATATTAGGCAATACCTGGAACGTTGACGTTCCGTTCATTTGCCCGGCCCAACATTAATATCGTCCCCACGGGTTGTGCCCTTCGAATCACTTAACCAGGTGCCCCACAATGGGGTGACGGGTCGTAGATTCTCTATCGAGTTGACCAAAACTCCACCCACAACGTGTATGAGTTACTACTATGTCTGATTATTACACAGAACTAGTCAACGTGCCTTCAGCAGGTTAACCAATACAGGAAGCCAAAAACTCACAGCAGTATGAACCATTTTGGTCAGAGAAGCCTTGGTTAGGCTGATCAGTATCATAGTACCTTCAAACGTAACACCTACTTTTTTGCACACTCGTTCGAGGTTTTTCAACAAGAGGAGAAAAGATGGCAGACAAATCCTCTTCGCGCATATCGTGAAGGAATTGAAGGAGTTATTGCTCCTTCGGAGCATGCAACTGCACTTCCAGGGGCCACCGTACAAATGCCCTTTACACTTGCATGCCACTTGATAGGATCTTGCACTGGGAAGAAAACAACTTTCTCTGCACATGTTGAAGAGATAATAATCCTCAAAAAACCAGCCACTCTTGTCAGTAATTGTACAGTGTAGGGAATGGATGTGTGGTGATGCGTGCTGTGCACGCTTTCTTTATTCATTGTTTATTACTCTTTATTTCTCGATGTAAACAATGTATATAAATTGCGGGGAAGGGTGAAACAGGTTTTCACTCTTCTCCTCCCCTGTCGAAATTACAGCTCTATACTGCCTAATTCCTGACAGCTTGAGGATAGTAGGAGTCAACACCAAGGTCGGAACCTCAACCGACCTTACATACAGATTCTGGATCGCCATCTAAGTGGCTGTTCTCCGGACCATCCTTCTCTCCCACGAAGCGACGGAAGCTTGAGAAATAGGTATGTCTGTCTCAACCCCACCAACAAAGGGAACCACTCAGTATTTGCCTACTCTGCCCCAGACCTAGCATCTTATGGCATTGTGTGAACAAACTCATCCACGATTCAACTCAAAAGGGTCACATATGTTCACAAGAAGAGCCTTTTTATATTCAATTCACGATGTTCGCTTGATAGTTCCACATCCCATCCCAGATCTTCGATTCAACCCATATGTTCGTTTGCTAGTATTGCTAATTTTCTTGAACTGACATGAGTAAATGTTGCGACCTCCGTTGCAACCTGTGAAATGTTCACATGATCCACAAGCAAGGTCATGGTTGCGAAGCAACCTTTCTAGTGAGGTGAGTTACCGAAAAAAATTGCTGAAACTGCGAGGTGCTGGCTGCACATGCATACTTTGCAGACTGCGACATGTCATTTGTCATGTGCTGCTTACAAATGTAGAAGTCACGTTCTGCGTTCGATACAAAAGATCACATGTTACACGGGGATAAACCCAACTCAGGCCTTCTTTCGAAAGCATTTTGAGAATACACTATAGGGGGTGAGGGGAAGCTCGATATCACCATATCACCCGAAATAATGTCAGAATGCAGCCGTTTCCGAGAACTTTTAGCTGAGACTTACCATGGTTGGGGAGACTCTGATACTGATTGTCTTTTTTTAGCCATCATGGATTCGTGAGCTAAAACCAATCAGAAACCGAAGCTAATGTCCACACCATCTTCTAGCCTTTTCGTTCCCCTGGCTTCCATTGTCAGCTCGATCATTGCAATATGATCCATTCGAAGTCCACGCTCGCTTCCCACAATTTTCTATCACTCAACTCTACTACTCTATCTTGCTGTTCGCTACGCAGTCAAGCGACCGATGGTGTGTTTATGACAAGCACGCTTTGCTATGTAACTCGTGCTATCGTACCTCCCTTTGGCTTGAACCTCGAGTCTTATTCCTCACTCGTCATCTTAACCTTGTTGCGTCTTCGTCTTTCGACGTCGCCTTACCCGGCTTTTATCGTTGGCACCGTCCCTGTTTCTTTTCTTCTTTGTCACTCCACTTGGACGAACACACGTATGGCTTCAAATATTTTGTGCCATATCTTCCATGGTTTGTCAAGGTAATCCTTGGGCCTGCCCTTTAGTGCCACAATGACTATGACAACTACTGCGATGTATGGCCCCATTGCCACGTGCGCCACTACGGTCAATCGTGAATGACCCAAAATACCATGTCTGCCGCTACATAGCTGTGCCGAGGTCTTTGTTTCCCTACCGTTTTCAATGGTGGAACCCACGCTGCCCTCCTTGAGTTCATCCAGAACAGGGATAAGTCGGTTTGAATGGAGCTATAGACCCCTTTGGTGTCGAACGCCGGTGGAGACTGACTGGCCTTACAGTCCGATGGATGGTCTTCACCATAGTGGCGACGCTGTGATGGAAGGTATAGAAGATGCTGCCCACAGCCTAGCTCCTGGCCAGAAGGCTGGTCAGTTTGTTGTAACTTGATCTCATATTGCTTGCTCTCATCACGCCGGCCGAGCCCTGCGAGCCGAGTATTGTGGGGGTGTCCAACCCTTCTACTAAGGCTCAAGGTCTGTTTCGGCCGGATCCCTCACACACTCTTAGCTCATTCGCATACTTCCCATGGCCTTCGATCCCGCTACATTCTTACCCTCCTCTCATCGCCGCTTTCAAGTGCTTCGCACGATTCACTCGGCCGTTACAACCTCACTTGTGATTTCATTAGGATACTTCTTCCCGAACTCACCTGGAACATCCTTCAACTCTTGCGCGGGTCATATGTAAGCTGTGAGGACATTAGCTACTCGTGGCCGCACACTTGTGATGAGGAGTTGCGGGGCTGCTGTTCTCCTCTGGGTCATCGTGTAAGCTGACTTTAACACAGAAAGACAAGCAATGGGTCGCTATTGGCTAGCACTGTATAGAACAGATGGTGACTGTAAGACGGGAGGGTGTAGAACGGACCCAGTATTCGAAGCGTGGAGTCTGCCTCAGCAGATACAAAGAAAGGGATAATAAGGCAATGAGAGTATGGCCCATCCTAACTCGATCCTGCCCCCTTCCGTTTTCCCCTGTTGCGTGTGCTTGACACAACCCCTCCTGTTCATTTCGTCCCACTGCTGGTGCTTGACACCCCGTTTGCATCACATCCGCTGTCCACAACCCTCCACCCTCTGTATGTATTGCCAGCATTCCTTCAACCTCACCCCACCCTCTCTTGTTCCCCCTGCCCACCAGACTTGCTGTTTAAAGTTGGAGACTTCTCAAATCTACTACGCAACTCTCTCCCCAGTGGTTCCTTATCCTCATCTCCCTTGTCCTCACCGCCTTCATCCTCGGTGGAAGGTGGCTGTGGAGGGTTAAAACCTGAGTCCTTCATCGCACCTTTTGGATCCATGCCGTGTATAACTTCCACATATCGATGAGTCTCGGGTCCTGTGAATCCCATTCCTTTATCGTTTGGTAATCCAGATCCCCAACTGCTTTCCCACTATGGAAGATCACAAAGTGTGGTCGTACATGACTCTTAAATATTGGAAGATTTTTGAAAGGAGTGGTGTGGATAGTGAAATCTGACGCTGTCGGATGTTCGGATATATTGTCTTGGACACAAAGTGCGATACTATGCATTGCTTTTCCAAGCACAACTAGCTCGTATTTGAAAACATCGGTCTCCTGTATCCAAACTGAGACATTGCAACCCAATATCGAGCTGACCACTTACATTTAACGATGGGAATTTCTCTCTTTTCGCCACCAACCTCAGTCCTTCCTCCTCCAGCGCATCCATATACCTGTCAAGTACTTCTCGTTCTGGCACCAGAACGAAGTCATTCTTGTTGAACATTCCTCGCAAAGAAGCTCCCACTGTCATGGCAGTCTCAACTAAATTATAAACCAACAATGAATCTTGAACAACCTATGTTGAAGTATGTTGTAACGGGTATTTAGATTCAAAGTCATGTTCCAATGCCATTACAGTGATTCCAGCTGCCAACCCTTTGATATACACTTTATAAGACGAAATGTCGGACTAGCGAGTTTATCGCTCAGTCCCGTTGTACGTGAACTAAAATAGATTGGAAAGTAATCACCTAGCGAGTTTATCGCTGGTGGACAAATGTTTAATACATGATTTATGAAAGATGAACAAGATGTAACCAACACACCTCAGTCCCGTTGTACGTGAACTGAGGAAAGGTTGGGTTGTCCAAAAATTGTTCTTTTGTAGTCAGGCGCTATGAATGCGCACTGACTTTGGCACAGATGTCACCAAGAAAGGTAATAGGTGTAAATCTAAATGCCACACGACTCAACATCACCAAACGTGAGTTGGTCATAGCGTACACCATAGTACTAAGAATTCTAATACACTTTACACGTCTCAAACAACCACCCACCAATATATGGTTCATTGACAGTGCCCAGGGCACACAATGAACAAATTCGACAATCCGCTTACTTGTACAATTTTCAATCATGCACCGTCCATTGTTAGGATCTGCCGCTTTAACACGCTTCTTCGCATGTCCTGAGGAACTAGTACTCTTGGGGGTGTCTTTTCAACGTCACCCATGGTTCAATAGTTGGACGGCAGATTGCCCGACTGAATACACAATTCAGATTATGTGATGAATGGCGGTGTTAAGCGAGTACTGTTATCTTGTTCACTTTTTCTGGTGTACGTCCTGCTCTCTAGGCAAGTACATATATCTCAACCGTGATTCCTTTCTTTTTGTGCGCTGCGATGATGCTTTAGTAAAAGGGTCGACTTTGTGAATGTCTTCGTACCCCTTATCCCGAAGTTGCTCAGTTCCCATGTATGAGGACCCCAAGGGCTCTCATAGGCTTTACGTGACCCATCCTGCCATCGTGACGATCCTGCGTTCATTGTTCTTGTCGCCCCGCTAAAGATTCATGTGCGGTGTTCGTAAGGCGGAACGTACAACTATTCCTCTCTCCGAATATGGAGACGACGGGAACGCTACTTAAAATGACCGACTGCATTCCATGTGCCTGTCACATGGTGCTCATAGGCTTAAGGCCAGTTGGTAAAGGACGGTAGCGAAATCCAATGAAGTCTACCATCGCACCACTCTCCAGAACCGGGCTGTCGTGAAGACTCAAGGGTATCACGCCTCCTGTCCCTTTGGTCCTGTGGAAGCATTGGTTCATAGAAAACACCTCTACTGCCAAGCTCATGCGTCATCTCCCATGCGCACTGAGTGGTCTTCCGATTGTGGTTATCCTGATAAGGTGTCACAGTATCCCCATCCGCGGTAAACGCTTGCAGATTACCTGGAAGCTAAAGAAACACGCTTTTGGGTGTGGTTGTAGGCGCACATAATCCCAAGGATTGTGATTGCAGGCATGTTAGCCAATGGGCTCGAGCTCGCTCAGGCGTTGTGGGTCGAAACGTGATCTTTGGAAGAGATAAATGCACAGACAGACCGTTCGGTCTGCACTGAGCAGCGCTCAGATCTCATTTCACCATTCTTTGCGTATTCTTCAACTGCACCCCGCTGACTCGGCTTGATTTCAGGTGCTGGATCCGAACAAGCATGAGCATTTAGAGTTTGCTGGCGCCCTTGGTTTTACAGAAGCAATGACTGTGACACTTTCCCCCACTGTCGCAGCAGTTACGCGTTTTCTAGGTTGGTCATTCTTTCCTTCATTTCTCGCCAACGCCGCCATTGTAGGATATCATCGCGTTTTTGAACCCCACTTACCCCGACCTCGACCTGGAAGCCCAAAATACGCAAAGCAATATCGAATTTCCTTCACTATCCTTGCCATTCTGTATCTCCTATATACCCTTGTTGCTGCTGTCACCACCCTCCCGCCGAATTATTATGAAATCTTAGGTGTCAATCGCGACATCGACGAGTCAGGTCTAAAGACTGCATTTCGGAATCTTGCTCGACGAAATCACCCAGACCGGGTGGGTCCCAGTGGGGAGCAGCGATTCCGAGAAGGACGCAATGCGTACGAAACGCTGAAACATCCCGTAAAGCGCTTCGCCTATGAACGATTCGGACCTGAAATCCTTAGTTGGAGAGGAGTCTCGACTCCAAAGGAATACGTGCGACGGGGAATCGGGTCCGCATCTGGTTTTCACATCGCTTCCGCTGGTTTCCTAGTGATAATGTCCGTGTTTGGTAAATCTACGGAGTCGGCTTTTGTAGGTACGGGTGTGTTCTGTCTGGAATCGTACTGACCCAGTTTTTTCAGTGGCGTTATGTTCTCCTTGCGGCGATTTCATGTGCGGAAGCATGCCTTATACTGTCGCCTTCTTTCTCCCCCAGCTCTCGAGTGCACTACGGATTACCGATCATCTCTACCCTTATGCCACGTCGATTACCTTATCAGCACGTATACTTTTTGCATCAAATGTTCGTTTCATTATCAGTTTGTGTCACTCAACTTGGGCCCATCCTCTTTCCGCAACACGGACTTGAGGCCATGAGTGACAAGGATGTCATTCGGGCAGTAGGCGAGATCTCGCAGAGGATCGCTCTGATGGGGAATATCACTGAACGGGAAGGTAGTGTTTCGAGCACTCCCATTAACGGGATTTCCCTGCTGACTGCAAATACGGATTGGGTTAGTTTATAGGCTACTGCAGAGTCAACTGAAGATTATATATGGGGCAGAGAAGCCAAAATTGTCCTCACCAACAACCTTCGATGACACTGATCCTGTCATGGAAGCACTCACAACGGAGATGCAAAACCTTGTCATCGAATCGCGCCTGCGGCAGCATCCAGTTGTGCGGACAGTCTGGGATAGAGTTTTGGGGACTGCAAAGAAAGCAACCTCAGTATCCTCCATACCTGTGGCAGTCCCAGCCACAGTTCATTCGCCATCCGATTCATCCCCCAAATCAGTCACGCAGATTCAACCCCTACCTCCACCCTCCCCTGCTGCCTCCGTTGCCCCTCCCATCTCCCCAACGTTCACCTTGCGTGCGTTGTCAGTTGATCCCGGTGCCCTGTCCGACTCCACTGCCGTCGAGCGCATAAGTTCCTCTCCCCCACCTAGGAGAAAGAAGGCCAGCACCTTGGGCTCAAACCCTCCTCCTCGAATCTCCTTGTCGCATTCACCACCTCGGTCACCCAAATTGGTGAAGAATCTTAACTCGATGCCACCACCCACGACTGGAAACGGGAATGGCTCATGGTTCCTTTCGCAAACATTCTTGCTCGCCACGGAAAATCAATCCAAGCCAGAGGGGCATGAAGAACTTTGAGTTCCCCTGATGAATAGTGGATTTGATTTTAATCGCATTTCACCGATTCATATGTAGGGCTAGACTTAGTTTCGTTCCAGTTTCGTCCCGTCCATTCTAAACCAGGAAAGACCACTAATTAATCCTCGACTTTTTTGACTGTGGCTGAATGGTCTGAGTGCCCCATCCCATTGCAATAATCATCATGTCGTCTTAAAGATGTGTCCAATTATGACCACCAATTTTGGCGCCACTGGGATCCTTGTGGCAGTGCCTGGGCCGTGGGACTTAATTTTCCCTGTTTGCCATGAAGTTTTTGGATGCCCTGCACCGCGGCACAGTACTGACGCTCGCTGGCATGGCGTGTTGGGGAGCTTATGCCGGGGTTCGTGTCCATTATCAGATTCTAGAGGCTGGAAGACGTAAGTGTTAGCACGAATCTTGCTTGGAACTTTGGTCCTATCATTGAGAAATTTGCAACGATTCGGTATTTTCAGAGGTATTGATTCATAAAGATTCGTTCCACGAGCATGAATTCTAATGCTTTGCATTACTTCTAAGGCCCTCGCTGAACGTGAAAAGGTAGTATCGTTCCTGACTTGGTGACTGTTCAGACTGCTGCATGTCCTTTTCTTTACTAGGCGCAATCTGCTGACGACCTGATCAAGCAGAGAGAGTGGCAATTAGCACAAGCGGCACAAGGAGCGGTATCAGGGCGCACCCCATGATTTCTTTTTCGTGAGTTTGTCACGATCAGAGTTTAGGGATCAGAAACTCACTGCCTCAGCCGTTCGCACACAGATGTCCTGAACCGACAATGGCAGTAATATTGCGACACTTTTGAGCCCACAGAATGGTGCCCTTCCTACGAAATGGCTTCATTCATAACCCTTTCTGCCTTTAACAGACTCGTACTCAGAGCAAATGTTTCATGGCCGTTTGCGAAATTGAATCAAGATATTATGAGCACAATAATGTAACAAGAATGCAACTACAATCCGAGTTATTCAAGTAAAGTTTATTTCACCCTCCACTCTGAAAAGAATGCCCAATCGCGTTCAACGAAGCGAATCATGTATCTCTCCACCCCAGAAAGACCCTCAAGCTCATCCTCAACTCCCTCGTCTTGATCGGCCTCATCGCCAGCCTCATTCAGAGATGGTCTGGTGCCATCGGTTTCCCCAAAGTCTCGCTGTTCGCCTACGGTGTCCAGGCTCATTTCTGCCGCAGCATTCCGCGCGGCCTGAGCATCTTCGGCTTCTTCGACCTGCTCCAGAGCTTGCACCATCTGCATATCGGAAACCATGACTTTCCGCCAGTCGAAGTCGCCTTGACGAATGACCATGTCATCTAATGATCGCTTTTGATCGGCTTTTCGCAACATGCTTTCTTCAACTGTATGTTTTGAGATGAAACGATAGATGTGAACGTCCCGGACTTGACCAATGCGGTGAGCACTGAAGGATGATATTCAGCGCTAGTGGCATACGAAACGCCCGAAATGTACCGCTTACCGATCCTCGCATTGGCGGTCCATAGATGGATTATAATCCGAATCATAAAATATAACCTATGTTGTGACCGGTAAGGTGGGGTGTACCTGCAACGATCGATGGTCCTTACAGTGTCTGCCCCTGTCAGGTTAATACCAACGCCTCCTGAGCGGGAAGACGAAATGAACGCCAGGATGCGCGTGTCCACGTTAAACCGTTGTGTGATCCTCTGTCTATCTTCAATCTTCGTTGAACCATCTAGTCGAAGATAACGATATCCATGAAAACTAAGGAAGATCTCTAAGATATCCAGAACCCGCGTCATCTGTGTGAAGATGAGCACTCTATGACCACCTTTCTTCCTCTCTTTCAATAAGATATCCAACTCCTGCAGCTTTCCGCAATCGTACTGGAGGAGAGATGGATCTGGGAACGCAATTTGGAGCTTCACCGCGGCAAAATGTAATGTATCAAATTCCAAGCCAGATCGCAAGGCTGACACCTGTTTCTCCACACGTCGTAATGCGATTGAAGGTAGGTCCTGAACCACCACTGGAGGGGTTGTGCATGCAAAGCGGTCAATAATTGGCCGCATCGCCTCTGCACGCTGCACGTGGGACTTCACCATGCTTGGGACCAAAGTAGGGCGATCCCAAGTTTGGCGGGATACTTCCCACGAACTGTCAAAAGGCACGATGGGACGAAGCATGGCCTGTACGCAATCCAGTTTCTCTCGACCATACACCGGACGCGCAGAGCAACGGACTCTATTAATGTAGGCAATATGCTTCCATCTGAGGCGCTTAGATTCATTTTCATAGTACTGGTGAGAGCGGCGATATCCTTCAATGGTCCGAAGATCAACAGGGGGAGGGTCTCCTAGTTGTTCCCCTTGGTACGGTAAATGAAATGTTGCGTCGAGCATTCGACGTGACAGGTAGGCGACAACGGATGTGTCCTCGTAGGAAGTGAGGTAATGGAGAACTGAATGTCTGCTGTCGAGAAGATCTGTTGTAAGGAGCCTCCTCCGAACAAGCAACTCTTTTATCTCGAAATCTGCGATGGCGGACTTCGTCATGGCAAAGGAGGTAACAATAGGTCGAACTTCAAATAAATCAGGATGATTGCAAACTTTGCGCAGTTGCATGAGACAATTTACAACGCCTTTTCCGGGGTTCAGTGAGAACCAATAGATAAGATCAGGTGGTTGCGAGATACTTACTTAAGAAATTACCCGACGCCAGTACCTCTTTCGTTTCCGCCCGCGACATGAACTCGTCATACAAATATCGCTGTCGCTTGGAGAGTTTGCAGTACATCACATGCTCGTACTTTGCCGGAAGTTCCTTTTCAACATCAACCTTCATTCGACGTAGGAGATATGGCCGGAGCATTGTGTGAAGCTTATTGACACGTTCTTGGTTTTCGATATCCATCGCACTCCCCTCTTCAAGAGCTCGATCCATTGGCTCTAATGCCAAACTTGAGTAAGAGTGAACGCACAAGTGTGTGGGCTTACTCACTAGAAAACCAGTCAGCGAAGTCAGAACGATAACCGACGGTCTCGATCGGGTTCAAGAAATGCATGAGTGCCCAAAGTTCCATTAAATTGTTCTGAACATAATAATGAGCAGGAAAAACAAACGTGACAGGGAATACGAACCTGTAGCGGGGTGCCAGTCAACAGCAATCGCCGTTCCGAACGAAACGTAAAGAGATCCTGCCAGCGTTGAGATTTAAAGTTCTTGATGTTGTGGGCCTCATCAAGAATCATGTAAACCCAAGGCATACGCCGGAAGATGTGCTGATCAGCAAGAATGAGTTGGTAGGATGTGATGCAGACATTGAAGGCATGCTGGGCCTTCCATCCATGCCTCCTTTCTTTTCGTTCCTTGGTTGTTCCGTAGTACGACAGAATTTTGAACCCGGGAAGAAACTTCTTAAATTCCATTTCCCAGTTCTTCAAGACACTGGTGGGCACTATTATCAAATGGGGACCCCTGCAGCAGAAGTCTTAAGCATTGCGACAAGTGAAAAGGTAAAGAAAGGCGCACCAAATGCCTCTTTCGCACGCCAGCCAACCTAATAGAGCGATAGTTTGAATGGTTTTCCTTAACAGCGCGTCAGTGCCTGTTACACATCCATCCAAATTGCGTACCCTAGACCCATCTCGTCCGCTAGAATGCCGTTATCACCATTGCGATAAAGAGTGACTAGCCATTCAAGCCCTGCATGCTGATAAGGACGGAGTTTTCCACGCAAAAGGAAGGGTGCTTTGAGGGTTTCATCAGATGCATTGCGGCTCACGAGCTGAGAGAGGGATGGAATATCTTCAACGGATGACTCGCGATCACTATCAGGTTCCGCCTCATCAGAAAGTTGAGGAGTCGGACGGCTGGGGGCGGCTGCGGACATATCCTTCTCACCATTAACCATTGGCAACGGATCGGAAGACCTATTTGCGTCGTCATCCTCAATAGCAGCGGGCGAAGCATGGGGAACAGGGGACAAGGGCCGCTTCCCATCCTCGACCACATCCGATTGATAGTCCCGAGACTCATCATGCTCAGACATGTCCATACCATCTCCACCGTGATTGCCATTGATCGGTGTGGCATCCACATCCATCTCGTCACCAGCTACCGAGATTTCGTCTTCGATGTTCTCGGCATTTGGGACATAGCCATATTGCGCGAGGAGTTCCTCCAAAGGCAGTTCGGCATCGTGTTCCAGCGCATTCAATTCGCCATCATCTGAGTCACTTCCCTCTGCTTCCATTTGGGCTGCCAACTCCAAATCCTCAGGATCACCTTTGGAGTCCCCAAGGAAATCGTCGTCCCCAGCACCAGCAGATGGAAGCAACCTACAGCTAGTCGCCGTTCCGTTTAGGCGTGGGCCCGGCGAGGATGTGATTTCAACCGGTGGTGTCGATTCAACATCCGAATTATCTTTGAAATTATCATTTAGGCAATCCTCATCATCACGTATGTGGCCATTCCGGCTCCCTTCTGCTCCGGAAACTGGAGGGGAATAGATTTTCTCTGTGCTAAACACCTGATCAGCAAAGGAGACACGCCTAGACAGCGACGGAGGCTCGGCTTCTGAGCTGAGAGAACGGCCATCTTCAAAACTTGTAGGGGGAAGTGAAGAGTCCCGGCTGTCAAGAGCATGCAGGTGAGTTTCGGTCCGAGGCGAAGTACGATCAAGCAAGTTGATATCTTCCATCTCGGCTTCGGATCGCGTTTCCACATCCCAATTGGGAGTGGATCCCCCCTCGACCATAACCAATTCATCTTCGAGATCTTGACCACCATCGCGACTGACTTGACTATCATCATCGATATCATCGATATCGTCGATATCGTCGATACCATCCAGATCATCACCATCCACGTCATCTTCGTCATCCCCATCCTCTTCATCTTCGCCATCCTCTGCTAAAGCATCCTCTTCTAAAGAGGTGTCGCTCTCGTGTTGGGATTCTTCGATGTCTGCTGAATTGCGCAAACCAGAAATATCCATATTCCTTTGAGCCTTCAATGCTTTCGCAGAATGCTCAATGATCGCGTCCAAATGCTCCTTCCCCTCCGGGCTTGCTCTTCTTTCTCTTGAGCTAGTTTCATTTGTTTTACATACTGTAAACAATAATGTTTGTTCGGCAACACGCTTATACGATGAAGACACGCTCACTTTAACGGCATCCTTCCAATGGGCTTGGACTGCTCTCAAAGTGGACCTCACAAGCGCTTGCATCTTCTTCTCCTCTAAGCGCTTCGACTTTTCATCTGCACCTGCCACTTTCTCCCAATGGGCATTGATTAACCGGGCAACGCGTCGAGCACCGTTCACGCGAGCCCTTCCATTTTCTCGCACTATCCTGAGATGAATGGAAGCCCCCTCGACGACTGAATCCCAATGCCCCAGAGGACGAGGCGGTTCAGGCTCTTGAGGAAGAGACCCCTCTACGTGCGACAACCGTCCATGGCCCCTGAGCTGATTGATACGTCTGAGGTATGCCCCATCAATCCTGGCAGCCGCATTGAGTTCCTCGATTACCATGTCAGGACCATCGTCTTCCAACCGAACAAAAGACTGCAAGAATTTGGTCAAATCACCGCCATATGCCTTATCTGGAGGCAACTGCTCATGATGGGTGTACGTTGGTGGAGGAACACGATGAATGAGTTTGATACGCTTGATAGTTGTAGAAGGCGGGTTAACAGACTCGACCTCATTACGCTTTCGCAATTTCTTTAGACGAGGAATGGTAGGTTGGGGGGCAGGTGCGACTGCAATCGTAGGAGGGGGGACTTCATCTTCGCTTTCAAGCTCATCAACATCGCTGGACGTTGGCTCTCGCACAATCGCACTCAAAGATTTTGTGCGCAGTACTCCCTTCCCCCTTCCACCCCGACCCCGACCCCGACCTCTGCCGCGTCCGCTGGAACGGGGGGTTGGGGCGGCTGGAGATACAGGTCCATCCAGGCGCGACGGAAGAGATTTTCGCCCCTTTCTAGGCGAAAAACGCTGAGAAGCAGATGAGGGAAATGCAATCTTGGGTTTCGCACGAGAAGGTTCGGACGGAGCGGAACTAGCATTTTGGGCTGCTTTTCCCTTCCCTTTGGATGCTTTTTGGGCAGAAGGAGAAGAGACAAGTGCAAGATTCTGAGCAAGAGCCTCTATTGTTTCACGTTTGTCATTGATCGCACGCCGTGTGCGACGCGCCGCGGTGGCGCCAGAGCCAGACACGTTTTCAATATTGCTAGCAACGAGGTCAAAACGAGCTCGGAACTATAGGTATTAATGAATGTCAATGTCTCATATCGCAAGAGTAGGCAAACCCTTACGGCATTAAACACTTGGGACGTGTCAGTTTTGGCAACCTTGAAAATTATTGAGCGAACTGGGTCTGAATGTGTGTATGACACGGGGGGAAGATCACCTCTGGATCAAAACTTGCGAGAGTGACAAACCGGTCAAGATGGAACGCTTCGCGAACCTGTCATGCCAGATTGTAGTCAATGAGACTGAAGACGCCCAAGCACGAAGAAACCGGAACGCACTGCATCATCATGCCGTTCCAATAATTCCAAAAGCTCTTTTTTCTTTTGCGCAATCAATTGCCCGCGCCGTTGTGCAACACGCTCATCCAGTAGTCGTGCGTCCGTGGTTGGCACAGCAGTGATTTCGGTGGTTCTGGTCATGATACCATTCCTGCGAGGTTCCTTACGACCCATACGGCTGATACTCGTGAGGGGCTTAGAAGAAGACGCCATGGGAGGCTCAGAAAGCGATTGAGTGTCCATGTAGGGCATTCCGTGCACCCCGCCCTGCCGAGCACAAGTTGTAACGTGGCTTTCTCACCAAATACTGGATGATATTTTGAGCGACCTGCAGTGCCCAAGGGCCCAGATCAGCGAAAATCCTTGAATAGCCACCAGAGGCAGCTTTGTGGCTCGTAGTGAGAGTGGCAGAGGTTTGAAAGTCTTGGAAAAGCCTGCATCCTGGACCTCACGGCGATCTCCGGGAGTCTGGCGCTTACACAATTCAAAATATCGGACGTCAACAAACGTGGTAATGAAAACTTTGGCAAAGACCCAACGAAGTTTCATGGCATAAACACCCTGTCCTGCTGAGGATGACAAGTGACTATAACTATAGAGCCAAAATCATGATACAGTTGAACAAATGACAAAAGGGGCATGGCGTTCCAGCCAGAAGAGGCCTAGCATTGCGCAACAAACTGAAGAATGTCCAAAGTCCTCCTTGACTGCTCCTCAAGTCTGGAAAGCTCCACGAGGACCCCAGACTTGTTGTCATCACTGATACTGTTCGAAGCAATGCTGGCCCTTGAAGGGTGACGAGATTTAAGGAAAGCCTTGAAAGACTGAAATTGAGGGGGTGTGCTGAGGGAGCTATAAGGCTCGATTGGGAAAAATGACAATGTGGAGGGAGGTGAAGTTGAGGATATCGTCACGAATGGCGACGGCAGGCTATCACTAAGTGACCTTCCGTTGAACCTCGAAACTGGAGACATTGGCGAGGACGATAGTGAGGCTGTGACAGAGGGGGAGTTAGGGAGATGAGGAGTTGAATGGGTGATCGGGCGGGAAATTCTAATCTTCAGCGGGGAACGCACAGTGGTCGGTTTAGGTCTTGGAGGTGAACTAACAGGAGATATGGGAGTCAGAAGTTCGCGGCTTCTGTCATCTACCACAATTGTCTCATCGTCTTCATCATCTTGATCATCTTCAGCCACCTGGGAGCGTTTCCAGTCTAGCCATCTATGAATTATATCTTTGGGATAGGGTTCTCCCGATATTTCCAGCGCATCGGCCCATGCTGTTGCCTTGGCCCGGCTTACTGTGAGATGGTGTGAGTAAAGCACATTGAGTTTCCCAAGTACATGGGATATCGGGCTGAATACTGTTTCACATAGTTATCCTTAGCTCGAGAAGAATGAAGGTGGAGAAACACTAACGAATCCGTTCCTCCACATCCACATCCCCATCCAGGGCTGAACTGTGCTTGGGTTGGTTTGTTTTTGCGAGCGCTAGAAACACGGGACCTTAGGAAACGACTGATACACGAGAAGTCTTCAGAAAACGCACAAGCTTTCCCAGCTCGAGATTCACGATCCTTTCTTCGCTGCTTTTCGAACCATTTGTTTACTTTCCAAGGGGTAAGAAAAAACCTCTCAATTTACTGATACACTCGCCTTGTGCCAGAGATTTCCCCGATCGTTCGGCTATGTTTTCCCTTCGAGCGAGAGATGGCTTCGGATTGCGAGCGAACTCCTTTCCCCAGATGTCTAAATGATTCTTCAGCGAGAGAGCTGCCTTCTTAGAGGTAGTCGGTGACGAGGAAGGCATGAGTAGGGTAGTTAGTTTTCCAGACTATAATGGTAGGTATTTGTACGGGAATTGATCCGAACATGTGGTGTTGGGCAGGAGTTGCCAAGGCACAGCCACATGCCATTGACCAGCGTTGGCTGTGGGTGTTTGACACATGGTATTCCACAGGCCCTACGTCGATATTACGTGGGAGGCATCTCCGAGGTCGCACCTCTACTTGCAGAGAGAAGCTTTGGAGAATGTCACCAACCAAATTCGGACTCGCATGCGTTGGACAGCTGTCCACCACCAGAGGTTTTATTGTTCCTTTCAGCACGCCATAGACCTACTTCCCGGGCGCCCTACTTGGAACATCTTCACTAATTGGTCTACGATGATACCTGATTGTTCCAACGCTGGCAAGTCCCAAAGTTCCTGCCAAATATCTATGCCAAGCGCGGCACGGGGGACGAAACAGAGAGGTGACAGATTAAATCCACCAATCGCAGGAGGGATGTTTGGAGAGTTTGTGTGGGAAAGGGGTGCTGGTGATATTGACCAAACTCAGCCACCAGGATGACCAACCTGGGTCTGGCTCCAAATACCTTCCGTTTCTTTGGAGTGGAGAGGTAATAAGTTTGAAGCATGCATGTTGACCAAAGCATGTAGTCCCAGACGGACTGGGAACAACCTCGGATCCCCACCGCAGTGATTCTCGCAGATCGGCAGGTGTTACAAACTGGTGCCGAATCCTATTTATTTCACTCACCAACCAATGAATTTGTCGATTCCTCGACCAAATGACGGGCAGCGTTGCAACCTCGAGAATCCTATTAGCCCCTGATTCAGCCTTACCATGGGAAAAGTTGAGGCGTCACGTCTCCCAGTGCCAAAACTCCCCTGCGTTCCAACGAAGGCGATCAGTTGAGGAACAATGAAATGTTCGTTTTGCTTCATAGTGGATTGCGCGCGATTCTGATCTCACACCTCCCGGACAGCTGGCGGAAAGGCGAACTACTGAAGATACCCGTTTCATCCCTTGTAAGAGGCAAGAGATATAGCGTTGTCTGCTGAAGGCCAAGTTGGCTCATTGAAGTCATAAAGTACTTGTGGTGTTTGGGCTGTATAGTTCTGTCCGTCCCGATTCTCATTTCGCTCAGAGTGTTCCCGCGACTGCATCTTTACTTCGGGGCCCCAAATACATCAGACAGATTTACTTCAGACAGCTCAGGCACAGGTAGTCGCCAGCTTGAGGTGCATCGATTGTAGTGTATGCGGGATAACCCAGCTACCAGTGAGATATTGAAATGATTTATCATCTCAATGCCGTACCACATGGTGGAGAATTCACCCAATCCGGAGGCACCTGCCAAGTACAGGGGGATGACACAATTTGCACGTAGGCATCGTACTAAGTACAGAACACTCAGCGCAAAAGTAACATGTAAAGGTAGGAACAAGAAAATTAGAGCGTAGAAAAAGATGCTGCCTGACAAACAGTACTACCAGGTCATGGAAACCATTATACATGTGACATGTGGAAAAATTTCAGCAAGAATTATGTAAAACGAAGGTCCAGGTTGTCCTATGTTGCATATTCCCATATACAGACAAAGGATCCACCCAAGAACGAAAACATAAGACGGCGAACACGCACGACAGAATAGGTTAATAACAATATACAGCAACCTTTAGGTTGAACGCATTTGAAGGAGAAGATCCGTCGCGCTTTGCCCCAAACTTCCGAGTTGCCTCAATAACTCGCGCACGTCAGCGGGGGGACTAGGTGATGGTGTCTTCTCGTTTTGGGGGCGAAAACGTCTGACGTAACGACGGAATTCGTTGAAGCTACGACGATCAAGCGGGAGATCCTGGGAGGGTACTCCGTCAGGAGAAGCCATCCCTAATTCATTCAAACCATGTGTTGGGCTGTCCATTCCCGGCGTAGATAATCCTCCCGATTGGGGCCACGTTGGTGGGACGGCAGATACAGGAGATGGCTCGGGAACAGGCATCTGCTGGTTCAGACCACGGGTAGCAGGGATTGCTACTGGATACTTTGGTACGAAAGCAGGAACCGAATTGCCGATTAATCCATTCCCGAGCTGTATTGCAACAGGGGCTCGGAACAGCTGGACATTCGAGACAGAAACGAAAGGTGCAGATCGGCTAGGAGCTGAAGTTGCAATTGGCGTAGGAATGGACGACAACGACGTAAAATTACTCGAAGATGGTTGCAGCACGTTGGGCTGAGTGACTCGTCGCGGTTGGGGGTAAGGTGCCGACGTAACGGGTGAAACAGGAGTGGTAACAGCCGACGGCATCCTAAAAACGCTTGGAACATGCTCTTCTGCTGGACTTGGCAGAAACGTGAACGACTGTGGCTGCCTCGGGAGCACAGGTGCAGATCCCACAAGGGGAGATGTTGTCAAAGAGAGATGTTGGGAAGATGAAACCCCAAGATCGGTGAACTTGGGGCTTCGTTCGTTATCGCCTCCCACTGACCTAATGCTTAGTCGCAAGTGTCCTCGAGGCTCTGGAGACTGAGAAGGTGTGGGCAAACGGGTTCCCGGTTGAGACACTGAGGTGATGGGTCGTGTGGAGGTCAACGAGTAGGGAGCGGAAGATGAAGGGAGTACAGGAGCTCCTTGATTTTTTGTCCAGTCTATCCAGGTCAATACCCTCTCTTCGTCGACCCTCAGGACCCTTGCCCACCCCGGGTATCTCACCATTGACTGACCGGGGAACTTGGTGATGAGCTGTCGAAGCTGGGGTATAGCGGTACGAAGATCAGGAAACACTGGTGGAAGACATACATATAAGCTTCCTGGATGTTGATGTGGAAGCAAAAACGCACGAATGATTTCCTCTTCAAGTGCATCTCTAGAGACCTCGTCGAGGACTGAATCCAGCGCTTTTCTAGCCCTCGATGGGCCTGGGGGAGATGCAAGAGATGTGGGCCGTATCGGGCCATTAGGATTTGCCTGCCGTGTTCGGATCCACCTCTGTAAGGAGAAATACCTTCGAACTGGAGAAACGGAGGTAAAAAAACACAAGCATTAAAAAAGGTTTTCATACTTTGTTCCACTGTCCTTTTCGTCATTATCGCCAAGTCCTGGAGTTCCTGCTGGTCGGGTATGATTTTTTCTTGAATGCCTCTAATGAAGCCAATGCCATCCATGCGCATTCCTCCTAAAAATTGACGAGAACTCACCATTCAGTATTTCTTTTTGCCATTTCTGGATTGCTTGGGCCCTTTTGCGAGGATTCGACGATCCCACATTCGAGGAATTTTGGACCGGTGCTCCGATTTCGTGGGTGTCATAAACTTGGGGTGTTGGTTCTCGCTTTACGCATTCCTCATCCACATTGATCACCACAATAGGAGCCTCCACAGGATTCACCATGACTCCTGACAAGCCGCCCTCCGCGCGGTGTCGACGCGTCGTGGATTTGCAAAAAGGGGGAGGCAAGAACTCAAATTTCAGAATGGCAAGCGCATTTCGGCAACGCGCGCAAATTGAATTATAGGACCGACCCGACTAAAATCAGAAGCCGAGGTCAGTTAATGAAGCATCCCTTCCCATCTCTCTCAAGATATGTAGCGAGGCATTTTGATGCCGCAATATTGATGCGGTTTCACACCCAGCAGAGCCGCCATATCACCGGGTTGCCTCCGAGGTTGTGAAAGCGATATCCCCCTACTGAACATGTCAAGGACGTCCATTCCTAGTCCATTCCCACCGCCTGTAGAGAGACCGCCGCCAGTGGATGTACACCGCTACATCAAGGCATGGCGAGCGTACCACGACCTTGGCGCAATTTTGGTGTGAAGCATTGCCGCCCAGGTGCGGGGCAGACCCTATAATCCGAACTGTACTTCTGATCATAGCGGGGGGAAGGCAAATAGTTGTCCTTGAGCAGATTCACACGTCTGTTTTGCTTTGGTCAAAGATCCTGTTACGAATGGAGGTCATTAGCCCATGTGTGAATCCAAAAAGCAGAATTTGAATGTGATACATGAGGAGCTTACCACAATGGAGCAAGATGAAGTGTGGGTCAATGAATCGATCCCGATGATCCATTCCAGGTGGTGACTCAAAATCAAGTTCCGTATACACCCCGGTGTTTGTTGTCGCTGTATCATCACGCTGCCCATGTATTGGATGCCATTCCAAGGCGCAGGCACTTTGAATGTTTGAGTGGCTTTGTCCAACAAGCCAAGTGGCTGTGCAAATCCATAAGCGGTTAGGTCCGGTGCATCGTTCTGCGCTGAGCCCGGTTACTCCAACATGGGCTCTAGTATCACATGTGAATCATTTATGGTCTCGTTAATCATTTCCGTCTCTGGGCATCGCTTCCCCGGGATAGACTTAACCAGGACTTGACTCGACGAAAACAATCCCCTCATCTCAATCCCCCCCTCCTCACCACCTCACCTGCCACATGTCCGCAACGGAAACAAGGATGCAAAGCCTCCAGTTAGCTTTGCTACCCAGCTCGTGAGTCACTTAGAAAACTTGGGCGGCAAACCTATCCGATGCTTCGATAGATCGCTGGAGGGACAGCTGGAATGGCTGAAGCACTCGCCTGCCAACCTCTTGACACCATCAAAGTCCGAATGCAGCTTTCCCGTTCGGGGAGGATACCAGGGGTATGTCATGCAGCATTCCGGAGCGGCTCAACAGGATCCCCGACTCATGGTATTCACCACACCAGACGAAACCTCGAGGGTTCATTGCCACTGGTGCACAGATTGTTCAGCGAGAGACCCCTCTGGCGCTCTACAAAGGTCTGGGTGCCGTCCTTAGTGGTATCATACCCAAGATGGCGATCCGTTTTGCGTCCTTTGAGACTTACAAGGGTCTCCTTGCGGACCGTCAAACGGGGAAAACAAGTCTGGGAGGCATTTTCCTTGGTATGTGATCCCTCCCCCGCACTATTTCCACGTACAGATTACCGTGACTGATCGCTTCCCATGAACAGCTGGTCTGGGCGCAGGCACGACCGAGGCCGTCCTCGTCGTTACGCCGATGGAAGTTGTTAAAATCAGATTACAAGCCCAATCCCACTCCCTCGCCGATCCACTAGAAGTTCCGAAATACAGAAATGCTGCACATGCAGTCTACCGTATCGTTACCGAAGAAGGGGTGGGGACCCTGTACCGCGGGGTTAGTCTGACAGCTCTGCGACAAGCGACCAACCAAGGTAATGCACAAGCACTGGCTCGAATTAGATATGATATCAGTTGCCAAACGTGGGTGTTGGAACTAACTTTCCGCTTCTCATTAGGCGCCAATTTCACCGCGTACCAGGAAATCAAGAAACTCGTGCATAGATTGCAACCAGACAAGACTGAGTTACCGTCATACCAACACATGATAATCGGTCTTATCAGTGGCGCTTGTGGACCCTTTTCGAATGCGCCTATTGACACCATCAAAACTCGTTCGTATCTGGATTTTGCTTTATATGGACCATGCTTTCCAGTGCTGAAGTACGCTATCTCCAGGGTTGCAAAAATCTGTCGCCATTCCTGGGGAGTCGGCATTGACGCGCATAACGAATATCGCGACTGATATGTGGAAACAAGAAGGTTTGTCTGACTTCTGCTCCTAGGTAGATACTCCAGAGGTGACACGTTATTATATAGGATTCCGGTCGTTCTACAAAGGGATTACGCCTCGTGTACTCCGTGTTGCACCAGGTGAGCCGTCATGGAGAACTTTTTTGTTGCGCAAACACTGACATCTTCGTTCCAAGGTCAAGCTATCGTCTTTGCAGTGTACGAACGCATGCGTGGGATAATCGAATCTATCAGAGGTTCTGACATCGAGGATCGCTATTCTGAATAAATCAATCATCGACGTTTTCAAGGACGACGCCGGTTTGTATTTATCTTATCCTGCCGCAAAAGGGAAATGTACCAAATATTCCGCGTAACATTTTCACATACTGTAATAAATAACATGTCACTAGTGATGATTGGTGGGTTTGGAGTGCTTTGTTTTTCTGCTGCACAATTATCTGGAAGTTATGGTTGGTCATGTAGCATCGGTCTTAGAAGTTGTGGGGCAGAACGACGGGACAAGGAATTCCCTCAAAGCCTACGAACACACGAGTTCATGGATAGAAACGACAGGAATTGTTTATGCTGGTAGCTCGAATTTCTGGCCGTTAAGGACACTGAAGAGATGGTGTAGGTTAGGATCTTGGTTAGGATTAGAAGACTCTCGTACCGGGTGAAATAAATATAGAAGAAATCGAGGTAGAGTCCGGTTTGCACCAGACCGGCTATAAACGAGATAGGCTCAAAGTTCTTTCGCGGCTCAGTCATATAACTAGAAGACACGATAAGTGAGTACACATCTGAAGGATTGAAAGGAAAAAGAACGTCATTCCCCAAAACATACCGGTATACCCAATTAGGGATGTACAATGCACGGTAGGCACCTAGTGCTGCGAGGTAATGGGTAGTGATCGTTTCTGCTTCACCTGTTCGCTGCAGAATGAACAATTGTGGCAATATAGCTACGCTTTCGAGGTAGATGGAGAAGGTCCACAAGACTTCCGTGAAGGAGAACTGATGGTTAAAAATTAAAGCGAGGACCAATGATGGCCCAACGATGTACTCGAGGCGGAAAGTGTCTATTGACGGATCGCTTGTAGGCCTAAAGGTCGATTTCAAACAACAGTTAAGTATATACGTAGGGGTGGTGCATGTGTGAAATGCGGCAAGACGAGCTTACTTGAAGCGGACTTTCATTAAATAGAGTATGTATGCACTGCTCCCAATGAAGAAGAGTTTCATGAGGGTATTGTAAAACGAAACCCATTCGCCAGAAAACAAGTCAAGGTATCGAGTGACGAAGACGACCAAATACAGTGCTTGAGTCTTGAATGAAAGACCTGGCGTGAAATCGACGCGCCGAGAATTCCTGAACCAGAAAGAGCTCTCCTTATTAAACAACGCACCTCTACACGAGCGAGAGTTGATTATTTTGTGAATGAGGATCCCAATAGAGGCCAAGTGTGACAGGTCGGCTGTGTCCAACGTATTAGCGCTCCCAGAACGGACCCAGAGACGTCCAGCCTCCACAATCCATCACACACCGAGCACTCGGAAAATGTTCATCGTGATGGACGAGGTGAACCAGAGTACTTGCTGTTTTGGCTTGACACGAGTTCGTGTACACGGTTGTTTACTTCGGGGAACTTGTTGTAATCACATGACTTCTCACTCTGACCCCGGCAGCTGCCTAACTGATAGGCCGCCAGCATATCGTCTAGGTGGTGCCCGGAATGCGGGGATGCCTCTCAATCGGAACTTCCCTCTTATCGAAGCTTGTGTACTTGGTTATCAAACAATAGCCTCTGACTTGCCACCATTTCTGGAACTAATTTGCTTTTAGATCCGCCTCGTGTTGGTTTGAACGTTTCGGCGAAGCGCATTACCTGGAGAGCCACTAGTCATTGCGCCGCAGTGTTGATATGGTCGTCTATTGCTATCGCGCCAACCTGGAGCACGGTGACTGCTCTTGGCAGATATCTATAGGTTGCTGCGCGATGACATATGGGGTACTGAGATACTCAGCATTCTGGTGCCCTGATGCTGGCATGCGGTAACCTCGTCTGTTTCGATCTCGTGGGCGCAGCGATGCGCTTGTTGCGACAACTATATACGTTCTCACTTCTTTCCCAGTCCTTTTTTCTTTAGTCTTAGCCGATCCTATGCCAATATCAGCCACGGGTGAACGAAAATCGGATGCTCCCAAATTTCTGATGGCCGCCCACCTCTCCCTTTTGTATACACTGAGAGGTGACTTAGGTGAACGTTTGTTCACGTATATGATAGTTGGGCGCCTTTATCTTCGTCCTCATTCACTTATCATGTGAAGCAAGTCCGACAGGGTACTAATCATACACTTCAGATTTAAATAACTGGTTGATATCATTAAATAATTCCTGTTTCATTTCCCTGTATTCGCCGGCATGCTTTATTGACGCCCCTTAGAATCATCTGGTGTACGACGCTGCAATATTACTGTTGGGCGACAACTACAGGTTCCCCGTTGTCTAATCGAATTCTTCATCATTGTATTACCGCCCATGGGCGCTTATGAAGTTTTTCGTAGACGCGTTCTGCTCGATCATCCGTATATGATTTATCGATACCAAAATTTGCATCCGTTGAATATCTATAATTTCAACCATAGAACACGACCGTCCTCTCTCCACGATCCCAAGCACTACCACGATAAAAGACGCCCTCAGTGTCTCTATTCCTTCCTCAAGGATTCGACGTGCTTCACCTCAGACCTGATCACGGCTCATCATGGCTTGGAAACCGGAAGAGAATGGCCTGAATGAGGTGATGCGTGTTCTCCGTGATTCAACATCGAGCGAGAATCCCGAGGTACAAAAAGAGATGACTGTTGTGAGTGTCTTTTATTGCTGCCCTACATTTTACAAAACCGACGTGTCATTGGATCGCCAGCGCCTACATCAGTTCAATGAAATTCCAGAGTACCCATGCTACCTTGTTTACATCCTCAACTTGCCTGAAGGAGACGAGCGACTCAGGGCAGTGGCTGGTCTCTTGCTAAAGAACAATGCTTCCACTTTTCTCTCTACATGGGCTGCTCACGTTTTGCAATACGTGAAGTCCAGCATTTTGGTCGCCTTTGTTGATGCCTCGCCGATGGTCCGTAATGCCGCCGGCCAAGTCGTAGTGTCGATGCTTGATGCACTGGAGCCTGCCAACTGGCCGGAGGTTCTTTCGCACCTTCTTCAGTCCCTGGATGCGCCGTCGCTGGATGTCCAATTGGTACGCACGTGGTTTTTGTTCAAGCGAGGAAGATAAAACTCACCAGGGGCGCACTCAATATATTCAGGCTGCATTGAGTATCCTCCAGAAAGCTTGCGATGACTACCCGAGGAAGTTTGATATTGTGCTCTCCGGCAATCGACCCTTGGACTTCATGATTCCAAAATTTATCAGCCTCGCTGAGCACCCTAACTCCCGGATCAGAACAAATGCGCTCATGTGTGTAGCGCACTTTATCCAGGTTGACGTTGAAGCAATGAGGAAAAACATGGATGCCTTTATCTCTTCGTTGTTTCGACGAGCGAGTGACGAAAATCCTGATGTCCGTCAGCAGGTCTGCCAATGTCTGGTCATGCTTCTGGGGGTGAAAACGCCACAGCTCATCCCAGCCATTAATGACGTGGCGACGTTCATGTTGTACTCAACCCAAGATAGGGATGAGAACGTAGCTTTAGAGGCTTGCGAGTTCTGGCTCACGTTCGCTGAGGAGGAAGAATTGCAGGAGTACCTGCGCCCGTTATTACCAAAGCTAGCCCCAGTCCTTCTCCAATGCATGGTGTACTCGGAAGAGGATCTTATGTGGTTACAGGGTGATGATGAGGATGACTCAAACGTCCCAGACAAGCCATCAGATATCAAACCTAAGTTCTATGGTGGCGCTTCCCGTGCCCTTGGACATCAGGATGGCGACGGCCAATCGACCGGTAGTGGGCCCAAGCACTCAAGTATGGCCAAGAAGACAACCTGGATGACGATGATGATTATGATGATTATGATGATGATGACATGTCGACCGACTGGAACATTCGGAAATGTGCTGCCGCAGCTCTCGATGTTCTCGCTGTACGGTTCGGTGCTGACTTGCTCCAGGTCATTTTTCCGCATCTCAAAGAAAAGCTTTGGAGTGAGGACTGGTTGCAAAAGGAAAGCGGCATTCTTGCTCTTGGCGCCATGGCGGAAGGTGTGTCAGTGGTCCAGTTCCGCATTCTCGTATAATCCTCTGAGACTTCCTCGCGCCAGGTTGCATTGATGCCCTCGAAGAACATCTTCCAGCACTGATTCCTTATTTATGCAACGCCCTCAATGATCAGCGGGTATGACCGAACTATGCAGTTGATTCTGGACGTTATATCTGAGTTATGGTTTAGCCACTGGTTCGATCTATTGTTTGTTGGACCCTTGGTCGATACGCTAGCTGGTGCGCCACAAGCACTGTCGAGGGCAATCGAACAACTATTTTATTCCGACCATGGAAGGTGTCAGTGCGCTTTTGTTTTTTTTATGACTTACAGTATTCAGCCTGGGACTTCTAGTTGCTTCGTATGGTTTTGGACAACAACAAGCGGGTCCAGGAAGCTGGTTGCAGTGCATTCGCGACCTTTGAAGAAGATGCCGGTCCATTATTAGAACCATACTTGGAACCTATCCTGCGAAATTTGGTGTTCGCATTTGAGAGGTATCAACAAAAAAACTTACTCATCTTGTACGACGCCGTCGGGACACTGGCAGACGCCGTCGGCGATGCTCTTTCAAACAAGGAATACGTCGATATCTTGATGCCACCTCTAATTACCCGCTGGCAGCGGCTAAATGACGATGATGATGATTTGATACCCCTTCTTGAGGTAAGTCCACCATTATTGTTCTTTTCGCTCCTGCTCAGCAACGCCTTATCCAGTGCCTGTCCTCGGTGACTATGGCGTGTGGAAAGGGATTTGTTGGATACGCCCCTCCGGTTTTCGAGCGTGCAAATCGCATCGTGCACGACCAGCTCGTTCAGTACCAGTCCTGGCAACAGGAACGGGCCGCTAACCCGGACACTGACGAGCCCGATAAAACTTTCCTCATTGTTGCATTGGATTTGTTGAGTGGTTTAGCACAAGGACTCGGCCCGATGGTCAGGGAGCTCATCGTGGCCAGCAATCCACCACTTATGCCTCTCATTGCGGCCTCCATTAAGGTAAACCTTTCCACCAGCGTCGTAAGCGGCGTGCCTTACTTGCTTTATCGTAGCATCCGGAAGCCTCTGTGCGGCAATCCGCGTATGCGTTAATTGGAGACGTTGCCATCAGCGTGCCGGATCTGCTACGACCTTCGCTCGGCGACCTCATGCCACAGTTGCTCGAGCAAATTTCACCCGAGCCTAAACACGAGTTTATAAGCGCCTGCAATAACGCGGCATGGTCGGTCGGGGAAATCGCTTTAAACATGGGTCAGGGTGCGTGGGACGGTTTTTCTTGACTCACTTTGGTCTAAACCATCTCTCAGATCCAGAGTTCAACCAATGGATCCCGGCGCTAATTGACAAGCTAATCCCTATCTTGTTGCAATACCCTTCTAAATCTCCTAAAAGTCTAGTAGAAAACGCAGCGGTAACAATTGGGAGGATTGCCCTTGTTCAGCCACAAATCGTCGCCCCTCACTTGAGCCTTTTTGCATCCCAGTGGTATGAATACTGTCCTTGTACTGTCGCCTTCATTGATTCATGTTTCCTATAGGTGCCAAGCCCTATGGGAGATCAAGGACAACTCCGAAAAGGACACTGCATTCCGTGGTTTTTGCGCAATGATTGAGCTGAATCCCACGGGCATCCAAAACGTATGTCAATAGGTCATTTCTATCCTATCAAACCTCACGATCTATCTAGCACTTCATCTACTTCTGCAACGCCGTTTCGAAATGGACAAGTCCCTCACCAGAGTTGGAAGCAAAATTCCTTCACGTAAGGTAGCTTTCATCTGTGAATGCGCTCCTTGACTGATGGAGCTCTGATTAGATTTTCACCGGGTTTAAGCAAATGCTCGGTGCCCAGTGGGATGGCACACTTGGGTCCATGCCCCCACCGATACCTGAACGGATCCGAGAACGATACCAAGTGTAGATTCCGTGTACAACCCATCCAAACCCGCACAGTGCTGAACGGACTACATCCACGACCCGCACATCACACCAACACATCTACGCCTTTTTCCACTCATCATACTGGGTTAACAATACGGTGTTTTAGCTTCCCCATTGATTCCAACTGGCTGTTCTCATCCTAGTTTGCTTATCCATTTTTGGCCTATATAACCTTTCAGCAGTACCATCGTTCATGCGCATTTGTTTTCCATCGATCTTCACATTCCGATTCAGTAGTATAGTTAGTAGTTAGGTAGTTAGCATTAGTATAGAACATTCATGAATCATTCTCTTTCCTCCAATGTAGCGTAGCCTTTCAGCCAATCTCATGTCTCCCATTGAAATTGTTTCGGAAGATGCCTCTGACAGTTACCAAATCTGAAACCAATTCAGCGGAGTTAACCACCTTGGACAAAAGCAGTTCCTCGAAACGACAACATAAGAACAAAGGCGTTTCGGGTCTTGGGGTTGCATTTGGACGTTTCCCCTCTCCCTTCAGTTCATTATGTACGGGCGCCAGAACTCGACATACAGCAGGCTTGAGGCTCAAGCTCCTCCGTCTGCAGCATATGCAGACTTATATGGTTCAGCGGCTTCTTCCTCTACTGCGAGGTCCTCGTTCTCGGCGTCGATTATGCCCCAGAGTCCATGGGATGGCGACATGTCGATTCTCCCTGAAATGAAGCTCACTGGGATCTATGACAACCCTTATGACTACCTTCCTCACCCTCCTCAACTCGGCACAATTGGCCAGGCTGAGCTGGATGCCATAATTGCCTCAGGGATTCTCGCCGACAATACTGTTCCCATTCCTCAGTATGTGCTACCGGAAGATGACCAGATGGAATATGGCAACGTCCCCGTGTTATTGGACCAGCTACAGGTCGAACAGGAGTTGTCGGTGAACCAGCTTATTCCTTCCGACTCCGCCCAAACCGTAAGCGCTGTTCCCGAACAACCCGAGAAGCCTGCCTCCAAGAAGTACTCGCTCAATGACTTTTACTTCCACAACACGCTTGGGACTGGTTCCTTTGGTCGTGTTCACCTAGGTTCGTTCGCCCGCATACCGCCTTATCCCCATCTTTCTAAGTGATATGTGTCATTCGTTCATGCCATCTCAACGGATTCACAGTTCAAAGCACCCATAACCATTGTTTTTATGCTATCAAAGTCCTCGCCAAGGAAAAGATTGTTAAATTGAAGCAAGTCGAGCACACAAACAATGAGCGAGAATTGCTCATGTCTTGCAAGCATGACTTCCTCATCAACCTCTGGGGCACATTCCAAGACCGTAATAGTCTATTTATGGTCATGGACTTTGTCGCGGGCGGGGAACTTTTCACCCTCATCCGCAAATCCGTTGTGAGTCCCATATTCAAAGTATTGTCATGCATGGAAATTGAGCACTTGCTCCGCTAGCGTTTCCCAAACGCTGTCGCAAAATTCTATGCTGCTGAGGTGGCCTTGGCCTTGGAGTATCTGCATAAGAAGGATATCATATACCGTGACTTGAAGCCTGAGAACATTCTCATCGGTCAGGATGGACACATCAAACTGACCGACTTCGGTTTCGCAAAACGGGTTCCTGACCAGACGTACACGCTTTGTGGAACACCAGATTATCTCGCTCCAGAGATAATATTATCCGCCGGTTACAACAAAAGTGTTGATTGGTATGCTTGGGGCGTGTTAATATTTGAGATGCTCGCTGGGTATGCAGGCTTTCTGTCAAGGGCTTCCATTTCATTGCTAATGGGATGCTATAGGTACCCGCCATTCTATTCCAAAGGAGGGGATCCTGCCTCCCTCTATAAGCGTATCATAGAGGGGAATGTCAAATACCCAAGAGAAATTGATCGTGACGTAGAACACCTCATCCGAGGCTGCCTAACTGCAGACTTATCGAAGCGATACGGGAACACGGTTGAGGGTCGTGATGCGATCTTCCGTCACCAATGGTTTGCTGAAGTTGAGTGGGGCATGTTACGGGCGAAACAAATCCCTGCTCCCTACATTCCGGATCTTCGAGGAGCGGGAGACACTAGCCAGTGAGTGGATCCTAGCCCTTTTCAGGAGTGTTATCTAACGCACTCAATGTCCCTAGATTCGAGCAATACGCAGAAAATGATACAAGCGAATATGGTGCTGTCGGTCACGACCCCTTCCACGATTTATTCGCCGACTTCGATTGATTGTCCTCATTTCAAACGTTTTGGTATCATTTGACGGCTTTTCCACACATCCGTAGATTGTCTGCGACGGTCCATATTTACGGAAGCCGCCTCTGATCTGGTTCTGTCCAATAATACGATACACTCACCCACTAATACCCCTCATTGATATCATCGGACCAATGGTTACAACGCAAAGTTTCCCCCCCCTGCAATTTCGTATCCTCTAAGGAACCAATCATTCGGATGTACATGGTGTTTTTGCTGCATGTGCACAATGTTCATTTATTGGCCATTCGTTCCAAAAAACCCTCAAACATCATCCGATCCCATCATCAACTCAGACACGATGTACCAAGCTTGTGGTGCTTTACATGTTTAATGTCTCTGTTTCCTTTCGGCCTTGTTTTTCGTCCATCTCTCTCACTGTTAATTTCTAGTAGTGTTGTGTGTTAAGTAGAACAGGCAACCTAACTATCATCCATCCGCCGCTGCACTTGTATCCTACGCTCATGTCGGAATAGATACGGTGATAAGACCCATTTTGGCAACGTTTTGAGAGACATGCCGGCGGCTGAACTGTCATCTCATGCTAACCAACCTTCCCGATGGCCACGTAAGAGCGAATGGAAGACGGATCTATCTGCCGTGGGAACTGTTGAGAGATGATGGCGAAGGCGGCAATTGCGCCAGCGTCCTGAGAAGAAATAGAGGGTTGGTGCGGATGACGAACGCAAGGCTTTGAAGTCCCAGAGCCACTGCCAAGACCCAGGCTGTCGGTTCTCCTACGATCTCTACCTTTGTCTTTCAAAGATGCTGGAGCACCAATTCCTAAGCTGCGAGAGCCGCGGTCCTCACGATCACTACCCCGATCTGAATGATTAGGATAACAAAGACAACCCGGTGACTTTCGACACAAGAAGGGGTGAGACTTGCCTGAATTTACATGACCCAAAATACTTTGGGGTGGTGACACCGTTTCGTTAGAATCCATCTTTGACAGAGTGGTCTCAGTTGAAAGCGTTGTCGATGGTGCGAGAGAAGGCACTTCGGACACTCTGCGAAGAGTGCGTTCGTGACGGAAGTGGTGGCTTGTATAGAATCTCCCCACCACTCTCTTCTGCGGAGGACGACTGATACCTTAGAACCCTAGAACCCTTAGATGATTGAACAGCATTTGGAGGCTGCAAGGGTGCTGTCTGGGTGCCACGCCGTTCCTATTAAAGCAATATTAGTGCAAGAACAACCAATAAAACAGAAGATAACAACTCACGGCAAGGACGTGATCTTTGTCATTCGGAGCATCAATTTCATTGACCCACGAGCTCATCAAAAGAATTATTACTGTCGTATTGACTGGGCGAGCTCACGGTAGAACCCCGGGCACCGTCCCACCCCGGACCTCTCGCCCTCGCCCCAAGGAGTCGTGAGCACCCCCACTCCAACGAGACGTATCCGAGCAACTGCGGCGGGATCGCGCGTTGGTGTTTTCGGCTCGATGAAGCACCCCCTTTCAGAAGATTGTTGCCACTGACATCCTGGAGTTTCGCCAGTCTGGATGCAAACTGATTGACGAGCCTTCCGCAGGGGACGGAATGAAAAAAATAGCGAGGGTCCAAAACGCCAGAGGCTGAGGACAAGTGCTCTTTATCCGAGGATGTTACGGAGATGTACAGGGGCGGCCTTTCACTGGCACTAGCCCATGGCTTCGGTGAAAGCTGGAACCCCCCACCAGTTAACCTGTTTATGTCCATGCACCAAGCCCATTAAGCGGCCGCTAGTTACTGACGTGTGTACGCCCTTCAGCTCAATCCTTTTATATGGTTCTGCGATCAACAGAAAACGTGGCCTTGGGTCACTTCCCCGCCTTGTCGCCAGTTGTGGCCGTGATCACAACCATACCATTCCTTATTGTATTCCCTGTGCCATCCAAAGCTCCATCGGTCCGAAGATACAGAATCCGTCTTGTACCGCGGATAGTACCGGAACAAGTATCAACAGCCATGCTGTTGAGGATAAGACCAAAAAGACAGATGCGAGGTGGTTTATAAATACGCTAAGCTGCAACTTGGGACACGGACTATGCCTGGAGCAAGCACGCTGCTGCCATAAAACTCGCAGTAACACGCTCAGGAGACGTCGCAGGATCATCAATTCGAGTGGTAGGCCACTCTGGCACTGGAGGAAATGAGGAGGCGGACAATTTGGCAACGGAAAGTGCGGGGTCTGAGAATCCGACAGCCCATATAAACCCGCCCAGAAAACTCACCCACGCCCAAACGAAGCGCGCCTAAGCTCACACACACAGTCGACCGCGCTCAGAGTAATGCTTAGAAATAGAAGAGAGGAACTGACAGGGACCTGGATGAGAACCCGAAACTCATACGAACGACCCTCGTGCGTACAGGAAATGGCTCACCGGTAACCAAACGCATCTAAAAAGGCATCCCTAAAAACGAAATAGGCATCCCTGTGAACATCACCAACTTTGTCTGAAAGCTGATCCACAACGGACACAGAATGGGAAGCTACTGGACAAACATCTGGGGCTATAAACAGAGAGGGACCTGTCTCAACTGCGAAGCGCTAGAAACGATAAACCACATAATCCTCGAGTGCCCCACCACCAGGGACGCACCATATGGAGGACGGCCAGGAGTGTAAGTATTCGAGCAAAAGCACATCCCGTGGCCAGACACTGATATGTCGTGGCTGACCCGCTGCTCAAGTATAAAGATGAGAAAGGCAAGCTGCGAAAAGCTGCCTTCAGATTCAGCGCCATCGTCATGCTTCAGAGCTTATAACCAATCTAGAAGCTTAGATACTGGAGCGCACTGACAAGCTCCGCCAGAGAAGTGGTGACCATCTCTGAAGCCGAAGCACACAACACAGTAAAGGCAGCGCTGAACGACTGACTCCAACAGGAGATAAGACTGACAAACAATAGAAAATATGGTAAGACAGCGTAGTGGGATTTTGAGTGAGCGGATTGTCGGAAAACACTGCGGAAGCGTTGTAACCCGTTACAAGGCGTTGTAACGCCTTTCAACGGCACGTGCCGTTCTAACGCTCTCAACACTGAACTCGATCGTTCCAACGCTTCGAGGCGTTGTAACGCTTTGCCTCCGTTTCAACGCGTTGCAACGGCAACAAGGTAGGGTCAACAAAAAGAGACAACCCCTTGCAAGCCAGGATTGAAGCATACCTTCACTTCATTACATCCCCACACATTATCCTCGATTTTGGTGACTCACATTGCGGAATAGGACCAGAACTAAATATCATTAAATGGTTGGTACAGGTGGGAATTGAACCGAGGAACACTGTGATCATTATAGTAAGTACATTCATAACCGCTACACTACCATGCACTCTCAGCTCCGCGCTGATATGTTGACATAAAGTTGTATCAATCATAGGCCTTTTGAGTGTATATGGGCTAAGTTACTTAGTATTCTCAATATGTGTACACCCGCTGTGGGATTGAGGTCTAACTCATTGTGGGTGGTGCTATGTGGAGTTAGAATTCGAACGAAGTTGAACGTGATTGTTGTTCATTTTAGCAGTGGTATTGGGACTGGGCAACTCAGGTTGTGTCCGTGTACCGCTTATGTAATCAGATTCGGCCAAAACATGGCCTCGCAAATGTTCCATCGATAACTCATGAAACTGTATTCCATGTCCCAACAAAAATCTAGAGAGTGTGAATATACAATGTAAAGTATGTACTGAGCACTCGATCGGAAAAATCGATGCATTATAAAATGAGTATGTAAACAGACCAGTTATGGTACCTCAGATCGCAGATCCTGGCGACTCTGCAGATTGTGCATTATAGTGTTTTATAATATTTTGGAGTAGTGCCTTCCGGGGCCCAACTCGTAGCTTATTGACTGCTGTTCGATTAGGAATAAAGGTGTCTTTAGGGGCCAGCCAACGGTGCTTGTTGATCTGTTCAATTAGCTTGTCCCCCGTCATTGCAGCAATCACTGTAGCATCCAACTGGAGTAAAGTACTCCCTAGTTTCTCCTCCTCCACTCTCTTCTTCTCATCTCGTGCCTTTTGGGCTTCACGGCTGGCAGCGGCTTTTGCTTCCTCAGCCTTGTTCAACTTTGTCCATAGTTTCCTCTCAAGATTCTGTGTGTCTCGATGCCGAGCTTCCTTCCTGAGGAATGCATGATGGGCTTCACTGAAATTTTCCCTTATGAAGCCCTCAGTGTTGTTACGGCTATACATCACCAATGAATTAAATCGATGCTGGCTTAGCGATGGAAACCGCCTTGCCCAAACCCTCCATGTCCCTAGCATCCCTTCATTCACATCATTTGTTGTTGGCATGAATGCCGATGCCTTCTCTGCTGGAGTTAGAGAGGCAATGACTCCGTCACTAGAGAATTCAAAAACAAAACTTTCCCACTTCTGCGCAGCACCTCGACAGAATTCTATGAGCATTTCATGGAGAAATGGGAGTGCTCCTCTTGCCTGCTCCCGCTTGAGAGCTTCGAACACTTTTGGCTCGTGCCATGTTCCTCCTGTCAAGTGGCCCAAAGTGCCGTGCTTTTCTGTATCCAGAAGTAAGTTGGAATCTAGTGCAAGGTCCGCAATATGCTGCTTGACCTGATCATGGAATGGACCCATATCTAGCATATTTTGAGATAGAAAGTCTCCTGCTCGCATTTTCTCCAAGTAAGGTATAGAGACCGCCAGGCCAAAGAGAGCCAGGACAGCAAGCTCAGTCACCGTTGGTGTGTCCTGAAGGCCTTTATAACAATTTTCCTCCATATGAGTAAACCCCGGCTGATTCTTCCTATCACGCCAGCTTTCCAGGAACTCAAGATATTCGTCGCGGAAAACGAATAGCTCAATTGCCGCATATAGATGTGAAGCAAAGCGGGTATTACTCGTATCGCCAAAGCGACGAGTTCTCCCATGCTTCTCATGGAACCAATGATAGTGTGCGTCCTGACATCCTTTTTTATCATCTTTGTTGTTGAATAATGAGCCACAGAGCGATGTAAGCTTGACTGCTCCGGCATCTAGTGTAGGCTCATCAGGCTTTTCGGAGTTTGTCGGGCTTGACTTAGCAAGTGCAGCCTTGGCTAGACTATGGAGGGGTATTGGCCCTGGTGTCTCCACAGTTTTCAGGTGGTTCCACGCCTCAGACATAGCTTTGGCCCCGGCTTTGACGGTATTAAGGTCCTTGTGCATAGCGCATCCACACCATACAATAGTGTCAACTTGACATTTTAAGTCATGGGGAAGTTGTTGATAGATGGTTTCGCCAAGCTCACAGAGTCTTTGAAGGGTACGAGTTCGAAATTGTGCCGTCTGCTCATTGTTGGTGAGATCCAACCAAGCTTCGGCACTCTCGGATTTAGCGATGAGACTTTTCATGGTGTTATGATTAAATTCCTGGCGAGCTTCATCAGACATTGTCTCACAATGCTGTACACCAAGGTGAAGCATCCATTCTTCGCGCCTCCAGTCTGATATTAGCCGAAATAGCTTCTTCTGATCTTCGGCATGATCAGAATTCATCCCAGTTAGTTTCCGAATTGCATTCCCAATGCCTAAACCCGGGTTGAAGTCGGTAAGCTCTGGACTTTTGTATGCAGTTTCGAAGAACTCGCTCATCGACCCTTTAATGTTCTGCAACTGATCAACACTGGAATGCGATGGCATAGCACGGACACCCCATGTCCGGACCTGCATCGCTTTCTTGGGTCCATTGTCTGAGTATGTAGGAAACAGCGCAAGACTATGGACTGCCTCATAGGTGATATGGTGATGTGTTGTTCCATCGCAGCTCACTGTGTGTGCTGAAGTTTTGATTAGTGTGAAGTTATTCAGGAGTAAGGCATCATAGACTTACTATCTATGTTCTGAAGCTCGGTTGCCATCTGGATCTCGGCTGCTATTCCTGCCTCGGTGACGGCACGCGATACCATCCTGCGACTTGGCCCCTTGCCAATGTCCACCTTAAATGCTTGTGCACAGGCAGAAAGAACATCCGCCACCTTTGATGCCGGTATACCACTTGAAACAAGCTTGCGGCTTAGTTCACGGATGGTGTTCGAAAAAACTCCCTTAGTTTTCAAAGAAAACTTCCGAGCCGCTTTTAAAGCAGCCTCATAGCGCGTTTTGGATGCTCTAGTGCTCAATTCCAGTCGTCGTCGAAGTCTAGTGACATTGGCACTTGCTTTTCTCCATCCAGTTTGAAATCTGGCGAGTCTTTTCTCCAGCGCGATGTTCCGAGCTTCTGGTAACTTCATAGTGGCATTTGCTTCTTTCAGCTGATTAGACCTTTCAAGAAGTAGATCTGTGGACTCTTTGAGCTTTTCAGCTGTCTTAGCTTTCGCATTTTCGGATCGAGTACAACGGCGCTTTAGATTTTGCATGGATTGTGCTTGTCTGGCAACTTGGGCCTTAGTTCGGCTGGCTCTTGTTTCTAGTTCAATGACTTTTCGCTTCAGTGCTCCGATCTTTCTGTTTGGATTGGCTGGGGTCTCTGGTATCTCGGACGCGTTGGATAGAACAGAATAGGAAGGTTGAGGGGCAGATGTAGATTGTGGGGAAATTTGATATAAGGCACCATCCCTGCTGGTCTGAGATTGCTCCGGAAGCATGGTTCCATAACCACGGATCCAGCGCATAGTACGGGCATGGTCAAATGCATTTTTTTGGGCAGTTGATTTTGATTGTTTTGTATGCATCGAATTTTCCGTAATATTGATCGCTGATGATGTAAAATGGTATAAGGAGTATGCTAGGAAGTCGTCTCAGTTGTTCCAAAGTCAGGAGAGCATTAGTTGAGCTGAGTGTGCCCCAGGCATCTCCAGAATGCGCTATTGAGTGCGACGATGTACACACAAATAAACAAATGATCACCCAACAACTTCAGGCTCATCACACAGCAGCTAAGCGCGTAGAAATTCTCCTGGACGTGTAGAGTAGCTATTTCTATAATTCGGACTGTTGGATTTTCGTAAAACGCGCCGGTTGTCGAGAACGGTTGTAGAGCCATGAGAACTCAATTTTTTTACAATTCCTCAGTCCAATTATCAGCCTTTACAATTCCAAGCAACTTTCAATTGAACTTTTTGTTGTATGAGACGTTTGTGATGAGTTATAAAACTATACTTCCACAGGCTGCTCTGCGGCCAGTCTAGCTTACATAAGCAGTCCCGTGGGCAAGCTTCGCTTGCCCACCCCCAGTGGTATTGAGGAGAACATGAGTGCAAACACAAATCAGAACTCAGTGAATGAAGTGGCTTAAATAAGAATGTGCGGTGGACATTGAGGGTGGTGGAACATGGAGCGATAAAGGAAGATTCCTATGCTGGACACTGACAGTTGATGGGGGGTGCACTCTGTGTGTGGTCGGAATCGTTGTCCATGCTGTCCCTGAATGACATGTTACGACTCAGCGCCCAGCCTCCCATATGGAACCCCACTGGTTAAAATGACACAGGAAGAGAACGGTGGGGTTGTTGGGGATTTGTCACTTGCTGAAGTGGTCGTTCGCTGTGAGAGTGGCTTGACCGTCAAGTAGGTAGACGTCATCGATGTGAAGCAAGTGAAGGTAATTTGTGGCAATGGATCATGGAACGTGTGTTTGCCTGAGTATGGGGGACTCCCATGTGGCTTGGAAGTACAGGGTATGGAAATGTGAGTGTACAGTTGCTGCAGCCGTGGTTGGCAGTGAAGGGGAAGTGCGTCCATGCGTTTGTGAACAGGGATGTTTACAGCGGGGCTGAGTATTTACAATTTGATTTTTGCATTGAGCGTTGGAACGGATCAATAAGGCGTTGAAACGCGTTGAGAGCTCTTAACGCGTTAAAACGAAATTCCGTGTTTTCCGACAATAACGCAGTTCCTCACGTGGCATCCTGGCTCACATGCAGCAGAGTTGGCCGAATTCTATTTGTCTACATTAACAAGCTTTACACATCAGCAGCTTCTGGTCTAGCCAGGACCCCAGCCTCTATGACTTCGTAATATTACATAGACGTCTGGTCACCTGTTGCACAACCCTCCGACACCTCATTTTGCACCGATCCCTAGGGCCTCTCCACCCCAAACCTCCAGGCAGCCCCGCTGCCCAGCGAATGCTACGGGTAGGTTCCACAAACGAATTTTGGGTTCAATCCAGCAAGGGATGTTCAAGCTTTCGCTGCAATAGCCTGGACATGGAGCTTGAATAGTGCACAGACGAGCATGGGCCCTTGGAAAGCGAATGCCACCCACATCACTACATAACCATGATAAGCACGAATGAATATAAGCTAAACTAATAACGGCTCACTCGTAAAGCCATTTGACAAGCCAGCGACCAACTGAGGATTGCCGTTCGCCTCAGCGATACGTGCATTGAACTCCTCCACGTCACGTCCGAGAGATATCCGCCAAACGAGTGTTGACATGAGGCCAATGATGAACCCGAGAGTGCCCAGGGATGCTACGGCTTTTGAAGCCATCTGATTCGCATTGAGTTTGGACAGAGAACCAGGGGCATTTGGAAGGATCTCGGAGAGCAAAGTGAGCGCAGAAAAAATGAAGAAAAGCAGCGAAAAGAGGAGGGACGTGAAGAAAAACTGGGGCGAGGTATTTGGGACTGTGGTGGGCAAAGCCGATTTGGGAGCATTATCAGGAAGAAAGGAATAGTCTACGGGAATGGATTAGGGCCATGTGTGAAGCAAGTGGAGCAACTTGCACACCATATTGGGCGTCCCACGACTCATGTGTGCATTTCATGGCGCCAGCATTGTTCTTCCGTTGACAGGAGCCTGCAATTAGAATAATTATTCCTCGCAATAACGCCCTTATACTCCTAGAACATACCGAGAGGCCCGATCAGGACCGTAGGACCATCGACCTTTGTATTCAGGACATTCGTCACAGCGTCGCCTCTCGGGACACGACGCCCTTCTAGAGGGCTGAAGTCAAAGTCATAGAGATCTCGGCGCTTCAGGACACGCCCTTCGCTAATGTTCATTGGAGAAATAGTAACGAGAGAAACTGAGGAATGGAATCGTGGGACTGGTGCCTAGTTCTTGCGTCAAGCTGGTGCCAGGGGTAACAAAACTAACATAAACCTACCACGAATGATAGTGAAGCTAGAAGGAGTGAAGCAATGAAGAGAAGAGGAGCCAAGTAGCGGACGATCAAGACCGATGCGTTGGAAATCATGGCGTTAGAAACTGAGAGAACTCGCGCAGCGAAGTAGAGAAGACACAGAAGATTAAAAAGAGAGGGAAGCTACAAGACCTAAGGGAATGTCAAGCGAGGTGATAGGCCTGGTATCTGGTCATCGAGCGGAGTCTTTATAGGCAGGCAGCAACTGGTTGCTTCTCCTGACGGGTTATGTCCTGTCAACCGGCAAAACGAAACAGGATCGATGATCACAAAGGGCTAGAACTGGTGACAATAAGGGATCTAATTCTAACTCAAAGATCTTTAGGTAGGCGACCAGGGTTATAGACGGTGATAAAGGCTATGGCGCCGTCGTCAACTTTAGAACAAAGAAATTGCCAATCCGTTGCGACAGTATTTTATGCCTGGCTCTGTAATTAAGTAATGACATCCATCCTCATAGAAAATCGGAATGAGAGAAGAAAGGCAAAATACGCGGAAACACGATAGTGCAGTGACGTATGTATGTGCGTCTAGACCCGCGACATAGTAACGATGAACACCAATTTGTTGCGGCTTTAACGGTCCATGCTGACAGTGTATTTCATCACCAGATTCTAATAACAGACGCTAGCCTAGATGTCGATGCCGGGTTGGCAATAGTTTGCCTTTGTGTTCAAGCGTCGGTCATAGATTAGGTAAGCATAGCAAGGTCGATGATCCAGTTCAAGTTGGCAGCTCCCCCCTTTTTCTTCTCATAGTCCGTCATTTGACAGGCCCTGATGCCTCCTTGGCCTTACTGGGTCAGTGGATGGCCCGTTTTTGCGGTTCCAGCAGCGACCCGCCTAATTTTACTATACTAAGGTGCACCTGCACTTTGGGAGTCGAAAAACCCAGCCTCTAGTCCTAGCTGCATTTCAGTGTTTCCACCATCTCCTCACGCCGCAAGTGAACGATTCGACGCTCCATTTAGGCTGAGACAACAGCTTGGACGTCCCGCTCTCCCCGATATCAGTGGCGGCTGATAATTTCTCATGCAGGTTAGCAAGCATATATGAAACATATGTTAAATTCGAGTTTCAAACACTTCCCCAACCTACCTTTGTGTTGGCCGGGTTTGGTAGGCTTTCCGAGCTGCTTGAGCATCACCTTCAGTGATATGGGTCATTGCAAGGTCGGAGGGTATTTGGGCTCTCCCGGCGTGCAAAAACGACACAACGACGCTTGGATCCTAGCCAGATCCGTCTCCGATAAACTATTTTCCAGAAAATGATGATTTTGGGTCCCCCCGCCCCGGCACTAGGCGCCCACGGATGCCCGAGCAGGCAGAAAGCAGAAAGGCACGACACAGCATAACCAGCGTGTCCGGAAGGACAGACTGGGGTACAACGGCAGGTTGAGTTCCAGTGTGGGCGCGTCACGACGGTGCGGGACATGCACTGTTAGCCCCACTGACGGCACACAGCGTTCATAGCTGGCTTCACATCCAGCCTCAATGTCTCAATGCCTCAATGCCTGGCTTCCACCTCCTGCATTTTGATGCCATAATGCACTACTTATCGCTTCTAGTGCTTCCCAATGGATGTGGCACGCGGGACCTTTATCCCTCCACCCTTCTCCGCGTCCGACGGCGGTCCTTCAGAAGGGGGCCGAACCAGTATGCAGAGGGCTTTTTTCCAGATTTACAGTATAACCCGTGTCCTAAAGGGTGGAGGCACGGAATTTGAACCCCGGACATGGGGTGTTTGGTCATGATCTGGGAAACATTTAGCGAAGATTCCATTTGGTTATCTGGTGAAAATCCCGGAAGCAGTTCGCGAAGTGGAAGACTTGGGATTGGTGGGCACCTACATCCCAAGAGCTTGTAGGCACATAGGAGTGGGGCTGTTTTTCGCTCACTTCTGACGTGCCCTTACCCTTACCTTATGGCTCAATGCCTCCGAGGAGGTGCATTCTGTTCTGTGTTCCGAATTACATGGACTCCGCCCTGGAGTAAATCGGACCATGTATGCAGTGAGTAGCACGTCCGCTCCGCTTTTTGAAGGGTATCTCAGCATTTACGTTATAACACTTTCCTGCTTCTCTCGGGGCAAGCGCTTAGTGCTCTCGCTCTATCAGGCAACAGTTTGTGTGGGGGCATGACGTCCACTTTATATTTTTGGATCTGCGTGTGTTCTCGTGCCCTGACTAGCCATTCAAGGTAACTCGCTTGGTTTATGACCATGTTGGGCATCCTCCGTCTTTCCTCTGACACGGTTGGATCCGACAATATCATTTGAAGTGCAAGAGCCCCTCGGATCGCGCGTTGGCTCCCAGGGACGTCTGCGAAAGTAGCTACAATTCCCCCATCTAATATGGAGGCGGGATTTAATCGAGCATCTCAGCGATTTCGTTATAGCACTTTCCTCCTCCGGGGCAAGCCTCAGTTCCCTCGTCCTATCACGCAACATTTCGCGTGGGGGTATTACATTTACTTTCCACTTCGGATCTGCATGTTTTCTCGTGCCCTGACTAGCCGGATGAGGTGACGGACTCGATTTATGACCATGTTGGGCACCCTGTCTGAGATGGTTGGATCCGACAATGCCATTTGAAGTGCTCCTCAGATTACGTGTTGACTTATGAGAGGACATCTGCGAAAGCAGTTGCAATTCGGTGCGGGATTACCCCTTAGACCATCCCTAAATCGTCCGACGCTGGCGCGTTTGGACTTGGGCAGTAAAACCAAGATGATATGGATCCAGATTGCCGAGTCGAAGCTAAATATAGGTCCTGGTACTGTTTAGTCAGCAGATGAGGACGGGCGCTATCGTCGTGATCTGCGATAAGGGTAACACAACGAGTCGCATTTTCCTCCACGTCAGGGGGGCGCTTAGCACTCTTAACGATAACGATGATTGGCTTTCGCTCATCTTTCTCATGTGCCTTGGTGCAAACTTACTGCACTGATTTTTCGGGTCCCATTGGCGCCATTTTTCGTGACGCCGGTCCTTTCCTTATTGCGGTACCTCTGCCGCCAGGCCACATCTACGTAAGAGCATTATACGCTATAAAACAACCCGCCCCCGAATACTTCAGGAATGTTCTAGTTACACACCCCACCCCCGTCTGGCTGAATGGATCCTCTTTGCTTCACCCTCCTATTGTTTTCGGCATTATTATTGAGGCTTGTTAGGTGTGATAACACCGTAACAGTGTATGCAAGCGATACTGGGAGATTGGAATACAGGAGTCCTTACGCGAGACTATCAGAGTCAGTTCCCCCACCTAAACTCTCTCAAACAACTATCTAGAAAGCTCACCCACATGATCCTTGTTAAGTTGGTACAATACGTTGGTGGTCCATCTATTTGTGTCCGGGCTCCTTGATGGATCGATAACATGCGCAGAAATTACCGTGGTTGTCAATCCTCCGTTATGGAAACTACAGAACAGAGCGCCTATGTCACCTTGATATTCATAGGTGTGATGCATTGTTGTGATTGGTTCTCAAAACGTATCTGACCCAGGACCAAGGGACATCCGTCCAGGCATGGTTACTCAGTGCCAACACAACATCAAGCGTCGACATTCAGATCGACGGCATCTACCAGACTACTATAGACACCTCGAATAGTGCCCAAAACTACTGGGAGTGCCTCCCCAAGGTTTGGTATTCATCCCCGTTGCCAGCAGGTCAGCACGCAATCACTGTGCTGCATAGGAAATTGAATGGTGATCGTCCATATCTCGATTTCATAAAGTATATGTGAGTTGTGTTTTAGTTTTGCTGGGAATCCACTATGCTCATATGTGATAAAAAGTTATATTCCTGTGCCCGTGCCTAGTACACCCGGGAATACTAGCACTCCTGGGCCTACCAACACACCCGGGAACACCAGTACTACCAGCACTGTTGGACCCACCAGCACACCCGGGAGCACCGGCACTACCAGCACTGTTGGACTCACCAGCACATCTGGGTCTACATGCGTTCCCGGATATGCCGGTACCTCTGGGCATAGTACCAGCACCTGCACTCCAGGGCCCACAAACACGCCGACCCACAGGAATACTGTGGGTTTGAAGGTCGGACTCGCCATCGGTTGGGTAGTCGCAGGCATCCTAGCAGCAGTGGCTTGGAAATACAGGCCCGCAGGTGAGCGTGAGACGGATGTGCCGGTTCGAACGGCAACTGAACGCGCGCGAGGTACCCAGCACTCAGGACCTCCCGTTTACACGCCGTCTCCGGGCGCACTGGAACTTGGCGCAATCAAAAGTAGTGGTGGGTCGGCCCAAGCGGGAAAAAGAGGTGCGCCGACTACGTCTGCATACGACCTGCTCTGAGAACCTCTTGAAGACACGATCCTTAGTGGGAATGAACAGGGATCGGATTAAAACACGCCCCCTTTGCTTATATGCTCTCTTACCACATGTCTTCCTCTATACCTTTGCTGCCAGATTTATCGTCTCTATCAGCTCTACTGCCTTTCCGCTACTCACTTCTCTCCTGCGCTTCTTACCCTACGTTTGATTTCTTCTACCTTGCTCACTGAAATTTGCTTTGAACTGTTGCCAGTGAGGAATGACGATACGTACTTGTGCCTGAAGCTCCGAATGTCAACACACTGAAAAGTCACTAGGTAGTGCACAAACTATGCTCACGGGCAAAATTCCACGCATGCCTCGATCCAGCCTCAGCGAGGGGTTGACATATCAACAGTGGAGACTGCTTGAAAGTTGGGTATCCGAATTGGCCGTGAGGACTCATAGAATAGCGTCATGCTATTAAAGGCCGAAGCCAACCCACACCACTGTGCCACCACCTGTAAAATCGTCCTGTAACTTCTGTATTGTCCCACCTCATGGAAGTGAGCCCCCCCTCCCATTGAAGCTGCACCACTTATCAATGAAGCACGCGAATCTTGAAACAATACCTCTGGCTAGGAGCTCCGGGCCGAGGAAGGAACTCGAATATGTTGGAAGTCACCGTAGGGTCGACGAAGGTACGTACGATGCAGCCTGATCCCGCCGTTCTTTCCGCGCTTTAGACTGTTTGAACTGAGGTGAGACCACCTGTTGACATGTATCTAGCGATTATACGCCGCGCAGTTGCATTGCATGCCAATAAGTGTATCCTAGTTCAAAAACCCACTGGTCTATTTCACCTTGTGGGGAGGAAGCTAGGATGTGGCTTCACGTAAGTCATGATCATGACACTACATATCCTCCCAGTGGGGTTCAGTTAATTATGGCCAGAAAATATATGTGGGCGTCCATGCATAGGGCCGAAAATGACTTGAACAAAGCGTTATTGGATTGAAAGGTGCGGCCACTTCGCTCATATATGTTGGATAGCTCCGAAAGGTTCATGAGCTCACTGAAACGGCTCGGCATTTCGTCCTCGATTCGTTTCATCAATCCACTCTCGGCGTATGGACGGGACCTGCTGCGCTTCAAATCCTACGAAACTCCTCATGGTGTGAAATGACTATATAAAGCGTCATGGCCAACTTCTCCACAACAGCGCGCCCTAGCTCGCATCGGCATTACAATTACTATGCACCCCTGCTAGTCCTACCTTGTTTCGCTGAGTGTTGGAATCCTTCCCGCGACTGCATAACGACTATACACTCTAGCTCCACCGTGGTGTTTTTTTTTTCGTGGACGTTCGATATTCTGAACTTGGGGTTCGCTACTGGTGTCTTGACAGTCCAGGCCGTTAATCGAGGTGATGTTACCATTCTTCAGAGCCGATCCGCCCTCATCGCTTTGCTTCCCGTATTCCTCAAATTGGATCATTACCCTCCACTTCAGGCCAATGACCATGCCAATATCCAGCATGATACCCAAGTACCAACTCCACCGATAAACTGACACGGGGCAACGGGCATCATCAACCTTCTGAATCCCAACAATGTTGCGCAACGACCAACTAGCTTTAGAGGTCGCTGGTCCCAAGGTCCTCGAGTCGCGTTGAGGGGCCAGAAAGGTTGGTTTGATGTTGCCGTACCGAAGACGTTTATACATTCACGATACGTCCAGCCACCTTGAGGGTCTACTAGAGCCCCATGCATCTCGTGTGCCGAGATACAAACTATACGTACAATTTCGGAAGAGACAGTTGCATCACGTTCACATGGGTCCAACGTCGTCCCTTACAAGCCTGAGCAGCCATCACAGACGACCAATTCATTACTATTTGATCACCGCAGGCTGGGATCCTGCCTAGCATCTTGACATCTCCGGCTTAGATTTGAGTCCCGACTAAGATGTGGATGAAATTGTGCAAACTTTCATGCTGTCGCCGCATGAAGCGCCTACTTTGTATAAAAAAAAACCATCAGGCCTCGATACTCGATTTTGCCTCATCTTTGTTCAAGGCGTGATTCCAACCTTCAAATGATCCAACTTCATTGATAATGTGGAGATCTCGGCTCGGGGTGCTCGTGGGTGCCATGGCAAACCTGTATGAGTCATCGCTATCGATTTTACGTCTGCTGTTGGAGGTGCATGTCATAACAGGTTGTGCGCATTCTATTCGATATGTATTTACATGTATTTACACCGACATACATATCTTTGAAGGCTGTCGAGCCGGTGAGCTGGCGCTTCTTCTTCATCTGCATGTGATGCAGTTGCCGACTAGTTGCCAAGTCTATGAAGTGATGGAGATGTTATTCGGGACGTGGGCATTAAATGGACGCCAATGGGCTCAGCACTTTGATCATCAATGGAACGGGGGCCGTACAGCACTCGCCGAGGCTCTATATTTATTGATGCGCCCGCGTCTTTCGCTGTGCCCTCTTCCTCGAGCTCATAGTATGAACCTTTTCCCTCTATTATTCGTGGTTGCGTTAGTCCGGACTGTCGCTGCTCTGGAACTCAACTGGCAGACGACCCTTACACAGGGACAGAATGCCACTGTCTCGTGGTCTGGTGGCACGGTAATGTTGAAACCTCTGGGAACACAGCCTGCAGCGTTATGCTGAAGCGATTTCTTTCCACCACCACAAGGCACCATACGAGCTTGATATCAACAGGTGTGCCAACTGCCTGGCACGGTTGAAGATTCGCTCTTAATCGATGTGATGTTGCTGCGTTTCCAATCCTACATAGCTATAAGCCGATCCAAACGCTACACAAATATTTCGGTTCTGACTTTTCGATGTGGTGGTATGCAAACCAATCCTAATGGTGCTCCCCCCTCCCCCCTCCTTGTTCATCACTGTCGCACAGGATCGTAGACGTGTCACCGGGGTCAAGTGTCTGGTACAATGTCACAGATTCTACAGGTACGGTCCGGTGGTTTTTGAAGAGTTTAAGCGTGATGGATTGTTCCCGTCTTTTAGGGTGGAACGTTCACAGCACGTTTCTAACTGTCCAGGTGAGGACTCAATTTCCGGGAGGGAATTCCATCTGAATCGCTTTCGGTTTCGGTATTAAGCCGAACCCTGTCCTATCTGCGGCCTCATTGCAATCCGTGACTGTACAGTATCCCAATGTTTCAGTATCGCACGATCAAAGGGCTCACTTATCCAAATTCCCAGTCAACACAATCCGTGGCTTCGGTATCTTCGATCAGTGTGGCTTCCGTCAGACCCAAAGTATAAAAAGCCGTTTTATATTCGGTGTTATCCACTTCTATTCACACCTCTGTTACCTGTTCCACAGGGATCACATTCTGGAAGCGGACACGGCAACGCTGGGATAATAGCTGGAAGTGCCGTTGGAGGCCTCGTCGCTCTTTTCCTCCTTTCCATCGGGGCGTTCTTCCTGTTGAGACAACGAAACGTGAAAGATGATTCTAAAAGCCTAAAGGACGATAGCGAGCTTGAAGGTCATTTTGCAACCCATTCCAATGATGATCATGACCCGGCGATTCAAACTGGTACTCCGCTGGCTCGGGACGAACCCGCTCTGTCCGATATCGCAGGAGGACCTCTCTTCTCAGGGACGGTTGCGAGTATGATCACGGCACCTACCAACGCGGACCAGGCGTTTTATAACCGTACCGTGATGGATGACAGAAATGCATATGTTCGGACGAGAAATTCTTGATCAACATGCATGTGCATGTGGCTGAAGCGGGTTTCCGACGACTCGATCGCAACGCCGTCACGCGATTCTTTTATTTATTCTGCGTGTGCTGATCTCGGTGATCGGTCAGGGGGGGGGGTATGCTGTGATGTAATACTTGGAATTTGGACAGTCATTCACCCTTTGAATGGTGAACATTTTTATTTTATTGTATTGTATTTTGCATGCATGTAGACACCGCAATTTTGAGTGAAATCCAGATTCCTACCCAGTCGTCTGGTCATACCCCAGCTAGCTAGCTGAGAAACATGAGGATGGACGCAAACCTGGTGCCCAAAAATGTATATACACCCTACGCAAACCCTACGACGCATTATCCGTGCGCTTCTTCCCAAGTCCAGCGGTGGGGGGCCTCTGTTAACTCGTCCCAACCACTCTGAAAACCCGAACTCGGTCAGTTTTGGTAGCATTTTTGGCTTCGCTGATTGGTCGTGTGTCTAATTTTGTAATCCATTCGTTTGAATTCAACGCGGCTCGCACTCTCATTTGGACATTGTTGGCTCCCAAACACTGGAGGACTATAGAACCAGGTCGTGCGTTCGATCTGTCCAACATTTCAATTCCCGCCGGAAACAGCAAAAAAACGCTTCTCGGATTAACCATGCAGGGTAAATGACTGTACAAGTCACGCATGGATATACGAACAGCCCTTATGACGCATATATACATGCATATCCAAGCAGTAGTAGAATTTTTCTCCACCAGAACAATTCGTTGCGAGGCATTTACTTGATCCTGGGCCATTTGGTAACGTCCTCTCGCTAATATTTCCGACTTTCCGTGGTTACCCATGCATGATCATCCTCCGATTTCTTTTCGAAAGTTCCACAACTGAAGCCCAAATTTTCCCTGTCGTTGCTCTTGTGGAAATGGAAGGGTCTTTCTGTGTTTGGAATGGCTTTCATAACGTTTTCTTTACATCAACGTGAGGCAAAAACAGCACAAACTGTTGCCTGGGGCTCCTGATAAGTCGGATTCGGATTGGATTGGGGTTGGATTTGCTCCAAGATTGTCAGGTCCTGAGAGGATGTGGACTTGACTATGAACATTTAAATCCATGCCAATGCCCCTAGTCATGCCTACACCCTCTCAAGATCTGCCAATCTGAGGGAAATCCAACCACAATCCGATCCGAATCCGGAGGCCTGCTGTTGCCCATATCATCTCATCGGGCGCTAGTGTAGCCATGTGTGATGCAGTGCATGATTGACTTTACTGGTTTACTAGTGTTCAACATTAGTTGCACATCACCTCTTGCCCTTGTTTACATTGGCTAGTGCTATCAACTAACTTGGTCGGCAATGACTAACGTCGCGTCATGACGGGTGTGCGAGCCGGGCCCTATCGGCCAGTTACTTTCGCTGGACGATGGATGTTGCTCAAGGAACTGTTCGGGTCGAAGAAATAGGTTTCTTCCGCCAATTAACAGGCCAATTTTGAATTATAATAAGAAACGTCACAGGAAGAGAGCGGGAGAAGAAACCTGGATCTTCAAAGGCCAAAGATACGGTCCTCAGTAAATCCGGTTCTGTGTCCCCCGAGTCCACCCCCGCTCTCGCTATAAATGGAGGCCTCCTCCATGGATCCACTCGTCAGTTCCTCCCTTTTTCAAGCCATCTAGCGGCAGTCTATTAGATGTTGTCGACAATCAACTGGCTTTTCTTATTGGCTTTGGCTATTTGGAAGCTTGCTCACGCCCATCGTCTGAGACGTCGCTCCAAGGGGCTCCCATATCCGAATGGGCCAGTGGCCGGGGCCCTTGTTGCTTACTCCTTCCTTCGTCCGCATCCGAAAATATCACTCCCTTGGAAGAAATTATTCGACATGTGGAACACTTACGGTAAGCAATATTAATATTACAGCCATTACCCTCAGGTGTACCAATGGTCGGAATGAATCTGCAGGGGACATCATCGGTTTCGATCTCTTTGGCCGTCAGATGATTATTATTAACAGCTACGACGTGGCTAAGGACATGCTCGAAAAGAACGCGGCGATTTATTCGGATCGCCCCACAATGGCTATGTTCGGGGGACTGTGAGCGCCAGCATTGACCCTCAGGGTCCGTCTCATCTTTCGTAATGGGTCCGTAGGATGGGTTTTTCAGACACCTTTGCCCTTGCCCCTTATGGAGCACTTTGGAGGGAGCAGCGGGGAGTACTTCACCAAGTGATCGCCAAAGGTGCGATGGCTGGATTTCACACTGAACTTTGGGAGTCAGCACTCCGGATACTCGCCGACGCTCTCAATAATCCGCATGGGGTGAGCAAAAGTCTTCGTTTGTGAGTTTCTAGTGTTCTTCACTAGGTCTTTGCCAAATAATCCGTTTCAAGGCGGATTGGCGGAATGATCCTCAAGACGGCATACGGAATAACGATCACATCCCTCGAAGATCCGGTAAGCAAGTGCTGAGTAGTTTCTGGTTTCTTTGCTCATGCGTTCCTCAGTATTTGAAGGACGCCGAAAAGTTGATTCAAGCAATTACTTCCGGCATGTTTGGCCGGTATCTCGTTGACTTCTTCCCTTCCCTCGCCCACATTCCTAGTTTTTTCCCATTCACTGGGTTCAAGAAGGAAGCCAAAGTGATCCTCTATGCCCTCGTCGCTTATACATGCTAACTTCTGTGTAGTATTGGCGTACCGCTCACATGGAGATTATGAATCGACCTTTTGAGTACGCAACATCTCAGGAAGGGAAGGTATGTTAGACAAGCATGCTTATCGGCCAGATGCACTTCTGATACTTATTATTAGAGAAGCGAACCGTCGTGCCTTGTGAACAGACTCATATCGTCTGGGAAAAATCCGGATACTGTCAAAATGGCCGTCGGCACTTTGTATGCTGCTGGGACCGATTCGACGGCTACCGTGATTAGCGCATTCCTTCTCTCTATGATGCTATTTCCTGCAGTACAGCGAACAGCACAGGAGGAATTAGACTCAGTACTGGGGACATCATCTAGGGATGAAGTCCTGCGTTTGCCGACGTTTGATGAGTGGGTGGGAGCCAGTTGCTCAGGAAGCCCTCCGCTAACGCTATCTTTTTTTTTGCTCCCCGCAGTCAAAGCCGGCTCCCCTATCTCGAGGCCTTGATCAAGGAGGTATATAGATGGCACCCAGGTGGGTATTGCATCACTGGGCTAGTTACCCTTCACATAATCGGGTTTTGTTATTTGTTAGCAACACCAATGGGACCAGGTCACGCGCCAATCCAGGATGATGTTTTTGAGGGTATGTTTTACCCTAAATGACGCTAACGTAAGGTATTGATGCCTCGACTTAGGTTACTTTATACCAGATGATACATTCATCGTGGCGAACCAGTGGTTAGTCTGTTCATCAGCCTACGCCTTAATGGACATCAGGACATTCCTGACGACATTCCATGTTTGAAGGGGGATGAGCAGGGATGAGAACTATTACCCTGATCCCGAAGAATTTAGACCTGAACGCTACTTGGGGGAGAATCCAGCTCTGAACCCAAGGGATATTAGTTTTGGGTTTGGGAGAAGGTATTTATTCTATGCTTTGTTACAGCTTTTCCATGCATGAGTTATTGCTCCTAGGAAATGCGTCGGTTTACACTTTGCAGACGCTGCCATCTTTATCACGATTTCATTCATTTTATCAACCTTAAATATCTCCAAGCGCGTCGGAGATGGTTCCGTGGAACCAGACCTCCGTATAGGCCACGCGAGGTATGCCTTCTAGGTTGCTTGCCGTCCGCTATGTGCGACTTCATCACTCACCCCCCTCCTCATTAGCGTAATTGACAACCTAGCTTGTAATTTGACGCCTAGGTCTCCTGGTGCTGCTGCACTTATCAATGAAACACTCCAATCTCTCGATAATACCCCCTGCAGGCAAGGAGCTCAGGCCAAATAACGAAATTGGACAGGCTTGCGTTCAGTTACACCTGTCGTAGAGGTTCCGTTGTGGACAGGAAGGGCTCGTAATAAATAGTGAGCCGTGGTCGTTATCTTATATAAGGTTAGAATTCAGCCGCAATCAGCAATCAGAAAATGTGGGTTTTATATGACTTGAAAGGTCAACGAGCAGCATACTGCCCTTGGATATGTATCCGTAACGCACCTGGCTAGTATTCAGGACCTCAAGAGGTTGATGCCCGAGGCATCACTAAGTGTCATGAATCCACAGAGCAGGGCTGCACGACAGAATAAGCTGGAGAGAAACTACCATGTTGTGCAGGAGGCGATGCTGATGAGTACACTGTGATCCTGTCCTACGAGGTGGGAAGACCTCCGACCAGGGCGGCAATGAAGAAATAATCCCGAAAACAAGTTACTTGCGCTGGCACTCTGCAGGCCTAACGAAGCGGTTGTGGAAGGAGTGAACCCCACAAGTGGATCCAATGTCAGCAGTATTGCTGCTGGTTCTGACTCAGCGTGGTGCAAATTTTCTAACTAGCTCGCACATATGAAACGCGCTTCATAGTATTGAGGCTTTAGGCGTAGCTACTCGAAGACTAGCAATGAATGCAGATGAATGTAGCTTCGTGCTATGTTGTGTCAATCTCCCCCGCGAGTTTGCGAGGAGTCATATGCTGGTGTAACCGCAAATCCCTGAACCCCGTGAGGATCTTCTATAAAATCCCTTGAATGACAGTCCAGGAAGCCGAAAAAAATTCACCATCAGTCAGGCCAGCCCAAGCGTTAGGGGGGACTCCGTGAAGGCGCTTGCCAATACTGGCAACCCCCTTCCATCGTAACTACCCTAGCCGATTGCTGAGTCCTACTTTATGTACCAGGAGTGTCCCACCGCCCCATGCTAGCTATCGAGTTGCATAGCGACCTGGAACATGCCTGAGCCGGGAAATGAACTGCTGGTTACCAAGCCTGCTCATGGGGCCTCTCCCCGTTCCTCCTCGCTTACGCGCAACGTGTACCCATGTGTATAAAACCGCCGAGTGGCAGAAGCCCATTTCCAGTGCGCGAGTTTCAAGTTTCAATTTCAGTTGATGCTAATTATCCATACCATGTTAGAGATACTCGTGGATTCGACGCGCGGCACAAGGCTGTCACAAGAGGTCAATGAAAGACAGCTTGCGTTCAGACTTGTCAAGGGTAAGGCAGGCACCGAGGGGATGCGGTCGTGCAATGTGGACCAGATACCAATTTCTACCGTCAATACGCCTTCAATTTATGATGTATGAGTCGCTAGAGTCGTCTATTCAAGATGTGGACAACGTGCCCTTGGGTGTGACCTGCGATCCTTTGGCATTCGTGTGTCACCACGACATCTCGGATCACCTCATTTGTTGAGACAAACCGAAAGGGCATAGCGACGATGATCTGATCCTTCAAGCCTGTCGCACGCTCGCAGTCCTCGACTCGTGGCAATTCTGCTTCCACACGCCTGACTACGCTCCCTTCGCACGCGGATGTGATAAAACGTATACAGTTGGTATGAAGAGTAGACTTTAAGTGCAGCGGCTATCCATTGCATGGCAGTAGGCGTCGTGCCTCGGGAAATGCAATCGCGTCAGTGAGCTACGACATTGCAGCGCACATGAAAAGTGGAAGGAATCGAGTGTTGAGAAGGGCCTCCCCTGAAACCGTCTGCAGGCACGATCCGCCACAACTAGAAACGCCACATTTGCACCACGGGGAAATTCACTGGCTAATGATAGTCCAGCAAATGGGAGCAGCCTAACAGCCCGGGAACGATCAGGTCTGGAGAGCGGCCGATCTCCTGCACTGTCTTGAGGTACAGGATTCGCCCAACCATTTGCATTCTGATTGAACCAAAGAAGGCTCGCCATGGCTACTGGACTTGTGATTAAAACTTACGCGATTCGCCGAGATCGTAAGCCATAGGGTGACGTGAAGATATACCTGCGGGCCGTACAGAATATTTCTGAATAACCTTTAGCCCATTGGTATCCGGTCAATAGCTGACTACTTCGCACAGATGGCATTCCTTTCAATGTGCAGGACGGAAAAGCATCATGTCTAATAACTGGTTCTCCAATAACCAGAAAAAGGGGCTGCTGCTAGGTAAGAAGGGGGGGGTATCACATTCCAGGTGGCACGTGTAGTGAATTTCTTGACGATCAACGCTCTGCTACGTCAGCGCTCAGCTGCTCGAGGGCGTATGGATGCTGCAAAGCCATGAGAAACGCCATTTGATGTTGTCCGCGCGGGCGCGCTGTTGTTGACTAATGTGAGTTTCAGCGCTTGGACAACCACACTATGGGCCTGGTTACCTGGCTCGTGTCAGGCTTTACGACGCGAGCAAGTGGAATTAAAGCTCACGAATCACAGCAGTAATACTGGAGACGTGGGGGCATGCTACCATGAGCAACGTTTTTTGATGATGTACGGGCGTCATGAATTAAACTGTGGGCGGGCGCAATACACACGCCAGCGCATGACGAGTAACGAATTGGTCACTGAATGCACCAGTGAATTAGATCGAGCATTTAGATATCACATCTATGAAGATTGCGTGCGGATATGGAGGGTTATCGCGCGCTCTTTGACAAATCGGGACTGCAGATGCTCGAGATCTGGAAGCGACGCTGGATGGAGGCAACGTGGATCGATCGCAAAGCCTTGCTTCCTTGTTTAGGCAGAAGTTAACTTGCCGGAAGAGCATGTTGCGCCTCGCACATTAACAAAGCCAGGTATGGTTGTCTTACTAATGCAATAGAGGTGATTCCGAAGCCGTGACAGCATCCATCATTGTCGTCGCGTGGTCTTGAGACACCAGCAAAAAATTTGCCAAAGCTGCAGGTGCTCGGGAAGTCCAACCCAGCCATGAATCGCGTTAGTGCGTTCCCCCATGTACCCGTCCGCACTGTGTCACAATATCGCTGACGTCCTATTGCGGGAATAGCCGGACCGGACATTGAGCTCTTGCCTCACCGCAAAGGCGCGACTTGCAGCGTTTCCTCGTTCTGAGGTCGAAACTGCAAATTTCTGCTTGCCGCCGAATCAGTACCTCTCTGCTCAATCTGGTCGAGCATCCTTGGTCCCTGAGTATCTACCCCTCGGTCTCTGCTTTCCCTCCCGCTGCAGAGCTGCACGTCGATCGAGACAGGTGCTCTTAACAGGTTTCGTGGCAGGCTCTGCAACTTGAAGTGCTTTTCTCGAGGCATAAAACTTAGGATAAGCCCTTCGCCATTTTTCATTCTTTGCTCTTTCTCTCCGCTGGTCGTTTGACACACCCTTCGCACGGACTCTGCAATTTGACCATGTCGGCTCTGAATGCCCTGCGGGGGTCAAACTCCCCAATGACCGCTCCCCCGACGGTGACGACGTATCCCGGGAATCCGAATTATCGGGCGGATTCGTTTAAACCTCTTTCCAACGGCAAACCTGTACCTACACCAATGATTGATGGCCGCCAGGTCCCTAGGACGCATTATGAAGAGCTCAACCTCTTCCTTGCAAATCACATGGCTAAGGGTGTGTCCAATTGCTTTGCGGTGGAAACACGTTCTAATGATGCTTCGGTTTCGATTAGAACCTGCAGGGGCCCGAGCGAGCGCGCGGGAGAAGTTAACACGTCTCACGCGACAGCAATTTCAAGAGCTCTCCACTGACGTGTATGATGAACTTGTTCGTAGAAAGAACAACTCTACAAAGAACGAGGGTACGTCGCCCCTTGGAATATCTTCTCGGTTTCTGTGCTGATCGCTATCCCTTTCAAGTTCCTTTCTTGCCTGTTCGAGATGATTTCCACCCAAAGCGAAATCAAGCGCGACAAAAGCTTGCTACATTACCGAAATCTCGTTTCAAAGACCTTTCGAGTGACGTCTTTGTCGAGTTGGGACGCCGTTATCCAGAATTAAAGGAAGATGTATGTATTTTTGGCGCAGCCAGCTCTATTATCCCAGTATTCACTGCCCATCAGGAGAACCCAGCTATACTCAGTACCCCAGGATCTACATACGACGACCCGTCATCCCCAGACCAGCTCAATTCGCCTTCTGCTGCCAACAAGCCGCATCGACAGCCTACCTCATCCGTTCCGAGTGATGTATCGCCTCCCCCGCACTTTTACTCACAGGGCGCTCGCTCGCGCCCTTCAGTGGACACTGCCAATGAGTTTCAGCCTGGTCTGTATCGTAGCACCCCGGACTTGCCACAAGGGTCTCTAGGGTACCGTCAAGAAGCCTCACCCGAGCCGTCCCTACCCACCCAAAGAAAACCCTCAGGAGACTCTGAAGCATCTACATCCTATAATCGCCAACCTTCCCAGTCCCAAGAGATTATGGCTGCGTATCCGCAAAGTCGACGCAAACCATCCCAAGAGGCCAATAATGCGAACATTTCCACGAACTCAATAAATACGTCCACGTCGCTTCGCAAAGGCTCGAATGAAAGCTCAGCAATTTCGTCCTCCCAGGGACCTTCTTCAGCGACAGCCGGTGTGATCATACCCAATAAGTCAACTATCGCCGAGGAAGTGATAGAAGTGCCCTTTGGACGAGAGGAGGATTCGCCATCTTTATCTTCCCGACCAGGCACCCCTGAGGGTGGGGCAGACCCGAACGGTATGCGTGCCTCTATCCAATCTAGCAGTACACGCACTGCAGGGGCTGCTGTTGGACCTGGCTTGCGAAGCAGTCCCGATTCACTCAGGCTGAGCTCAAAAAGTCCGTTGGAGCGCCTTGGTGGTCAGGCTCAGTCCTTTGGTGGGGCAGTTGGGGGACTGAATGCACTCAGTCAAGGACTGTTGGGTTCGTCAAGAAGTGAGGATGAAGAAGGAACGATGAGCGAACGGAGAGCTGGCAGTGACTACTATGAAAAGTTGAGTTTTGGTAGGACGAGCGTAGCCAGTGATGTTAGCGGGAAGGGCGGGAGAACTAGACAGGTACTAGCTCGTAGATGATTTTCTACCAAATTGTCACTGACGCTCTTTAGTCTTTGGAGGATGCGGAAAAACTTCGCTCAGACTACGAGTTTAAGATTGCCACTATGCAGACTCGTATGGCTTCGCTGGAAGGGGCTCTTACAGACTCTGCGAGAGTAAGTTTCTGCTTCGCCTGTGGTTATCATCTTGATACACTAATTATCGCCTCAGATTAAAGCCGAAGATGTTGAGCGGATTCGGCAGCTTGAGACTGAGTTAGCGTTGATGAAAGAGGTGTGTTTGCCTCTGCTCCCAAGCACATGGCTAACTATCATTTTCAGTCCTCCGTGAAGCAGGCCACCGAGAATTCAAGGTTACAAGGTGCTCTTAATGGGGAGCTCGATTCTAAGGAACAGAACGCAAGAAGGGCTGATGCAGACGCCCAGCGGATATCAGAGCTGCAGGATCGGATTGTTGTCTTGGAATCGGAGCTAGGGAATGGTGGCGTCACTGTAAGTACACCAAGTCCCTGGTCTGAGATGTCGCTTTAACCACCCTCCAGCCCGACGTAGAAGCTCTCCGTGACGAGATGCAAGGTCTGGTGGACACCCTCAGTGATATGAGCGCACGAATAGAACAGATGATGGAAGATAAAGATGCTGATATGACCCTCATACAAACGCTCACCGAACAGGTTAAGGAGTACAAGCGGAAGTATGAACAGGCGAAAACTGAGCTCCGGAACATGAAAGGTCTGGTGCGCTCTAGTTTAGGAGCTGCGAGTTATTGATTCACAAATTCGTGCAGCGACGTCGCAGCTTTTCTCAGGGCCTCAAGTGCCCAAGGTCGACGCGAGGAGGATTCCGATTTCTGAAAACGGCGTAATCGCTGACATTCATGTTACTGCATTCCAAGGCGCCATTGACACGCTGCTGAGCCTCGCCCGGTAAGCGATTCACTTTGTTTCCCTGCCAGGGACTAATGTGTCCATTAGATCCGACAATCCTGGCAACGTCCTTATGTCAATGAAGGCTGTTGTAAATGCAGTGGCTACCATCACCGATGACGTAAAAGCATTTGAGCGGCGGCCAACTCGCCTTGATGTCAGTGAAGACGCTATTCGGCATCTCCGGGAACGTGCCGATGCAACGCTCAGTAATCTCGTATCTGCCGCGCGAAATCATGCGTCCGGTTTCGGCTTATCGCCGGTTAGTCTTATGGACGCGGCTGCCAGCCACGTATCTGCAACCATTATCGATCTAGTTAAATTGCTCTCTTTACGAAGAGCCTCGTTGAACGAGCGTGATTCTACACGGTCTCCTACACGCCATCCAAATGGCAGCAGCCCGGCTCCGTTCATTCCTAGCCTTCGTTCCGTGGACGAGGCAAAACCAGGGATGCAGCGTGTCCGAACGTCGAGCTCGAGTTCGGGTTCCCTCCGTGAGGACTTGACGACACGTAACTATTCAGAGCGCCCTGGTCGAGCAATCAGTCAGAGTCCCTCCTACTCACAAATGGCTGACGGAAATGGGAGAGCTCTCGTTGGAGAGTATGAATCGACTAATGAGTCACTGACAATGGATGGCGGTGAGGATGCATGGGAAGAACTGAAGGTTCGATCCCGTTTCATCGTATTTGTAACTGACGTGGCTAAGTTTTCTGTTTTCCTAGCCATACCTAGAGGTTCAGTCCGAATCCATAGTATACTCGATACAGAGTCTACTGTCGGCTATCCGAAAAGGCTCTCAAATGAGCGAACTCAACGAAAACCTCACTCAAATTATCACGATTGCTTCGAGCATTGTCGCTGTTTGCAAAGACAGCCTTCCACCGGCTATAACGGAGCAAGGAACAGAGATCCTGCAAGATCTTAGCAAAAACTGCGATCAGCTGAGCGAGATGCAGTCGCTTACAGAAATCACGAAGCAGACGAGACAAACCATGGCATCTGCCAGCTTCGGTGTGGCCAAAGCAATGAAGGAACTGATGAAATTATAACGAAGATACCTTGGTAGCCTGACTTATGTCTTTTCACTTCATTTCGCTTCGAGTTACCTCGTGGGTTTTTCTTGCACGTACAGTATTCGCTTCGTAGAGCCAGGAGCTCTGCGCTGGACCTTCATCCTTTCGTCCATTGCTAATGCCCCGAGAAATCGGACATAATAACGAATGTAATGCCCTTGATGTTACCAGTGACACAACGCTCAGCTCGACGCAAATGTAGCACATTCTACTAACACAATTAGCCCAGACTTGCTCTACTGCCAACCTCTGCCGAGCTTGGAGGGACCGGTAGGTCACCACTCCGATCAGATACGAACGACCGATATCTGCGGAAGGCATTAGGAAGGAATGAAATGCTTCTCAGGCACTAACCCTCACATGAAGGCCAATCTCGCCTTCTCCTCGGGCGAAATCGAAGGGTGAGTGGAGGCCAGTGATTGGTGCAAGTGCTCATTTGTGACGATGGGCTACGACGAAAATAGATGAGCGTGACGGGAAACATATACAGGATTGGTACCTTGCTCCTCCTAGGCTGTCCAGCGATATGTTTGTTGATTGGCTTCTTGCCCAAAGATGAAACGATCGTCTCAATCTATATGAAAACTTATGAATTATATAAGCACCCTCAAACACGGCAACAACTCGCACACGTCTTTGCTGAACAGATTGCTCGGCACTCGAAAGTACGATCTGACTCCTTGGCCCGCCAAAGGTCGTAAACGATACTGATTGCGCAGATTCGGAGCTGGCGGTGGTTACACGACTTGACTCTGCCGCACTGATTGATTCATGGACAGCGTGAAGGTGTGCATTGTAAACCAGAGCCTGGAGGTCCGCCCCTGAGTAATTCTCCGTCAGTCGGGCAAACTCCTCGACATTGACATCCTCTGCTAATGTAACCTTCCGTCTCAAAGCGCCAATAATCTGTATGGGCCCAAATCTGAGCTATAAGATGGAACGATCAAGGGCGAAACCCACTTCCGCACGCTCCAGGGCATCAGGCATATCACAAAGAAGGGATTTGTCCAGACGGCCAGGCCGCAGCAGAGCAGCATCGATTAGGTCAGGTCGGCTACATGGCTTCACTTTCTAAAACTGGCCCACGTGGGACTTTGAGAACAGCGCACCTTGTTGCAGCGAGCACATATACACCATCTAACCCTTCTGCCCCATCCATCTGAGTGAGCATCTGGTTTACAACACGGTCTGTGACACCAGTGCTGTCATGCCCTCTATAGAAATTGCACCAATTTCAACATGCTGCCTTTCACAATCAGGTTGGAAAAATACACACCGTTTCGGCGCAATGGAATCGAATTCATCAAAAAATAGTACGCATGGCTTTGCAGCCGTTGCTCGATCGAATAGCTCTCGTACCTAACCATTTTCGTCAAGATTTCACTCATGAAATATTCATCCAGCAGTGCAGACAACTCACCGATTTTTCACTCGCTCCGATATACTTATTCAGTAGTTCAGGACCCTTTACACTGATGAAATTGAGGCCACACTCTTTAGCAACTGCAGATGCAAGAAGGGTTTTCCCACAACCAGGAAAGCCATAAAGGAGCAAACTGAATCACAATAGAGATGAGATGAATGAACGTAGAAGCGAAGTTTGGTTCTGGTGACTTGCCCAGATCGCAACCGAATGGGACATTTCGCGAATATCGCGCCGTACTTCGTAGGCCATTCTAGCGTTTCCCGGAGCACTCTTCTTATCTCATGTAACCCTAATTGGTGTGGAGCGGTCAAAAGTTCAAGTTGCACACCTGAAGGGGGGAAACGTACCTCCAATGTCTGACCATTCTACCTCTGACCTCTGCAACTTTACATCACGGAGAGACAGGGGAGTGAAGCCAACTTGAGCGCTCGCGAAATCAGCACTTGTTAGGCGAATCTAGAAGGCAGCACCTTAGCAACACGGAGGTGTCGCAGAGGAAAGTCCTTCACACCGTGGTAGTCTTCGGGAGCGACAACGATCGAATGGCAGCTTGATGAATAGCCCGTGAAACCAAGTCGCGCAAGTCAGTTGCCGAGTATCCTTCCGTTTCTGTGGCCAATGCTACATAGTTAAGAGGCTGAGATGGATCCAGGCTGAGGTCGGACAGTGCAGACTGCTTCTCAACGAGTTGAGCGATGATCTTATTATCCTCGCATCAGCCTAGTAGCATAGGACATACTAAACTAGACCTGACGCACATCTTTTCGAGAGTCTTTATTTGGAGCCCTCAGGTTGACGCGCTCCAAAAAAATATGGGAAGTTGATAAAAGAGAGTGCAGGGTCGACTGGTTCTGGCATGTTGCAAGTAGAACCACCCCACTTGCAGCACGAGGCGAAGCGAACGAAGACAGAAAGTGCTCTGCTAGCTGCCGCTGCCGAGTTGAATCTGCGTGCTTGAGAGAAGTTAGTCCCGAAATATTCCTACACAAAACTAGTCCCCGAACCTCGACCTCCGGATTTACGACACGATCCAAGTTATCAAGTACGAGGACACTGGGCTTGTGCCACGAGGCGGTGTCTATCCATTTATCAAACAGCGCTTTGAGAGTTGCTGCTCGCTCGTCCGCAAGCTTAGCCATATCGACGTATATATGATCTATCAGAGCAGTTGAGAAAAGGACCAAATAGTTAAGGAAACTCGTACGCGCGAATACTCTAGGGTCCCCACTTAATCGTTTCACAGCCGCTTTAGCCACAGAAGTACGCCCAGACCCGGGAGCACCGCAAAGCAAGATGCCAGTGACTCCGCACACAGCAGACCCGAATCCTGCGATCGAACGGCCCTGTAGTGCAAAGCTGCGAACGATGAAATTGACTATCTGATCCAAAACGCCATCCACGCCAGCCAGGCTCGACGTCCTAGTGATAGTTGACAGCTGATGTCACTATAAGGCATGGTGCTACAGATGAGTAGGCCCACTTAAATGACTCCGTGATTTTAATCTCGCGCAATGAGGAGGTTGTTTCTAATAGTCCGTGCTTTCGGCGCTCTATTGACGAGCGTTGTACCCTGCATCACGGACTGAGATGGGCAATGACTTAGGAAAACCAGAAGAGACCCACGACACAAGGTCCCAGTCAGAATATAGTCCGCCCAGAGACATTCCGCGGACCATATGCCTTTCTGGTATTCCGCCAACACTTCGAAACAACACACGTTCGTCAAGTTTTGGGCCATCCGGCACGACTGCAGATGAGGCGGCCTCCTTTGAGCCTGTTGGCCGTAAAATGCGCTCCTGGGGCACAGGTGGAGGTGCTGCAGAATTCGCGGCGTCATTCGTCGATGATATTCCGGCAGCGGAAGGAGGGGTCAGACGCCGAACAGATGCATAATAGGAATTTCCGCTTTCAGGGGGGATAGGTAAGGAACTATTGACTATTTGGCCAAGGGTGGTGGGGGAGACGTAAACAGTCGGCTCTGAAGGCACCCCCCCTTCTGGGAATACGACTAATTGTCTGGGTAAAACACGAAGAACAAAAGGCTGCAGTTTTGGAGACATGGTGGGAGCCTTTTCCTCTGAATCAAGCTTCTTCTGGTCATCTGAGGCTCCTTTTTTGTCCTTCTTGTCATTGCTCCTCCCCTTCGCCGGGTGCCGCGGCTTGGGTGCGATCGAGACTTCTGTATTCGTAGATAGCAGCACTGCATTTTGGTGGTCGGAGGGATCGGTAGAGACTTTAAAGCGATCTTAATGCACGCAGGTTGAATACAAGTAAATTGATGCTCACCTACCCGAAAACGGACGCGCGTCCGGCCCAGTACCCAGACGTCGATCTCTTGGTTAATGCAGGCAACCCGGACTTGGCTGAGTAAGTTGTCTTCTACGTAGCCTGCATGCAATTCCTATGGGAAGATGTCGATGACTGATAGGATGTTTGGCAATGCACAATGGTTACTCACGAGAATTTCCCAATCATCGGCAGTCAGAGGCTCGGCGCTGATAGACTTCGCAACGGGAAGGTCATACAAAAGCCCTATTTCAGCAACATCCCCTTCCGCGAACCCCAGTGCAGCAGCAAACTGAGGATCTATCTCAACAGACTCGAGAGAACCGTCCTGCCTGGACTTCGCCTGGCTAAATTGCGCCAGAGACGAAGATGATACCAAACCACTCCATCCAACATAAGCCCACCTCGAATCAGATTTTGAAGGGCCAGGTTTAAGAAGGTGTATGGCCAAGCTCTGTGGGCGCTAAAACCATCGGCAGAGATGCTAAGTACGTTGGCTATAGAATGCTAACAGGCTTAACTCACCACCTCATTCCTTAATAGAGGTCCATACATGCTAATCGGCAAATTCACCAAGCATGACCGCAGTGCAGTATAGTGAATAATAACTTTTCGAGGCATTATGGTGATTCAACGCAGACCCAGGCAGTAGTACGGTTGCCCCAGGTAAATTTGTCAAGACGGATCAGATTCCCACGACCTTCTGCAATTCATTCGGACCCCAACGATAGGTGCGGCGTAAGTTCACCCTCCCAAGCTTGCGCTTCAAGGCAACGTGGACAGTAAAGATGTTTCCGTCGCCCCACCACTCGCTTGGGTGCATTCACCATCTCAGTGAGTGATTTGGCCAAATCCTGTTTGTGTTTTTCAATGTTGCTGTTGCAACCAGTCCGTGATTACCCCATTCCGACTGGGCTCTTAGCTGCGTTGGGGGGCCTGACCCTAGCTAGGTTTGCGTTCACTGCGACGTGCGTTTTCCTCCAAACCTTCGTACTTCCAGGCATCAATGTATGCCCAAATCGCTTTTCGCTCTCCGCTTATTGTATTCAACGCACAATTCCAGCTGGCTAGGTTTGGTGCAAGGAAGGGAGCCTGGGCAGGTGGGTCGTTGTCTAATAGCCAGCGTAGTAGCGTAGTTATCCTGACGCGCATTTCAGTCGTGACGGGTGCAACGGATGGGATTGGTCGTGAATTCGCTTCGCAGCTTGCGAAGGCTGGCTTCAATGTGTTAATAATTTCCCGGAATGAGGAGAAGCTTAGTGTTGTCGCGTCAGAGATTGGTACGTGTTTCTCGAAATGCCTTCCATACTGATGTTCAATGTAATCTCTTGCAGCCGGCAAGTATAACATCCAGACAAAGACACACGCCATTGATTTTGCAAAGCCCACGGAGAAGTCGTGGGAGGTTCTTGGGTCAATTATCTCTGGAATCGAAGTCGGAGTCCTCGGTACGGGGAACTCTCCATACACTGGACAAACCTGCGCTGACACCACTCACTCGCTAGTCAATAACGTCGGCCGCTCGCATGACATCCCTGTGTACTTCACTGAGACGCCACAGGACGAAATTGATAGCATCCTTACTATTAACATCAATTCGACGCTCAGAGTAACGCAGATCGTTTTGCCATCCCTGCTTGCTAGGTATGCAGGAAGAATGTTAGCACATCCAAGGGAGCTGAATACTTTTCGAAATAACAGGAAAAAAGGTTTGATCTTGAACATCGGTTCCTTTGCTGGAGCCGTGCCATCCCCAATGCTTGCTACATACTCCGGTTCCAAAGCTTTTCTTAGCACCTGGTCGCAAGCGCTGGCCGAGGAGCTCAAGTCTAGGGGTATTACAGTTCAGCTCATCAACACGTTCTTCGTGGTACGTGAAGTTTAGATTCTCCATTCTGCCATCGTTCTCAAACTTACTCCTTGTTAGGTTTCCGCTATGTCAAAAATTCGCAAGCCCACACTATCGACGCCTCTGCCCAATGCCTACGTTCGCTCGGTCCTCTCCCACATTGGCTCGCCGTGCGGAGCCTTGGGACGACCATACATAGCTACACCTTACTGGGCTCACTCGCTCATTGATTGGGTGCTTGGGCAAATTGGCCTGGCTGGCTTGTATATTAGCTATACTCACAGTTTGCAGAAGAGCATCCGTGCTCGTGCTTTGAGGAGGCGCGCAAGAGAGGCGGAGAGTACAAAACAGGCAGAATAACAGAAAAGACCGCTATATTATTTCTCTACCCTACATTTACTACAAGCTGGTGCTGGGGTTTGATGTTTTGTGGGTTTCCGCACAATCGGCAGCGGAATTCCCGCTACCACGAATCAATACGAGGTCTTCTGATCGTATCCGTGCAATATCTTTGCTCCCAATTTTTCCTTTTCAACCCTGCATGGCCTCCGTTCAAATCAACCGCTATGTCTTTCGAACTTGATCTCTTTTCTCCTAGCGATACCTCCCCTATCTACCGTCCCTCCTCTTCTAGCCCACGCATCCATGACTGTTGAGGACACAAGTGAGCGTACATTCCATCGTTGTTTGAAGCACTGTGATATCGGTGGGAGCACCGATTTCATTCTTGCGACTCTAGTCGTTCTTGCACCCAAGTTCTCGTCCTTCCCCGGCTCCGGGAAAGTCGAAATCTGGTCGATCTCGCAACGCTTTCGGCTTGTGGTCCCCTTCAAATTCACAATGTTTCCCCTCCTCGGCAACCTCTTGCCTCTGGTTCGCCGACCCTTCTAGGCTTCACATCCTAGTATTCTGGAAATATGTCCTAGTTCATCCCTGGCTGCTCGAGATCTCGGTCTCGTTGCGTCTCTTGCCAGTTCAGAAGTGCCACTCCCCATCCCCTCCGAACATACTCCCATACATGAGTTGACTTTGAATGATTCATTAACGATCAATGATCACGATTGCTTCGTCATATCTACGCGAGTCTGACCACTATCCCGACATTCACCAGTATCATAATAAGATATTTGAGTTTGTGCGATCTCCCCTTTGCCCCCCTGAGGTGAAGCAGATGCATCACCAACCGATTCCGCAATTGGTTTTCTGTTCTGAATAACCGTATTCGTGGGCAGTGATTTACGTTGCAAACATCAGTGTGACGGAGACTGGCTCGAATAACTTGGGCACTATTTGCACGTTAGCACCGAGAAGTTAATCGACATGCAGTATAGGCCGAAAGCACAAGGCCTTTGATGTGGTTCAGTGGATATCTGAGTCGGAGAGCATAACCAAACGATATTCCCAGGAATTCGCACTTCTACCTTTTCATTTCATTCCGTTTTATGCCGCTATTCTACAATGGCAGCGCTCGGTTCCTCCATTACTTGATTTTTAATCTATAAATCTTATGAAGCCGCGAGCGCTTGCGATGACCGAGGGTCATCTAAAGGGACTCGATCGATTTATCAGATAGACTGGGTAAATGCAACATTCCATGCCCAAGTTAGGAGAATTATTCAGCAAATTATGTACTTACTCGGAAACAGCTCCAAGTCAATAAAGATGCTGGCACAACAGAATGAATACGAAGGTGCAGCTGGCTGAAACCAAGATGTGTCAACCAGGTATAGCGCGTGATAACACGGCTGTGAATTGAGACCAATAGCGTCCGATTCAGAAGAAGCCCAATCCACGAATGGTCGTCCGAGTGGGTTGCAAAACTTCACTCTTATGTCGATTGTTCTTTCCTTTCTGAGTCATGGCAGAAGAGGGGGCACAACGGGACGAAAGGGGTTGCTGTGGGAAAAAAAACAAACAAATCAACAAACGGTATATACTAGCAGCGCGACTGAACGTTTCAGACAAGTCTTGCATTTCCGGGAGGCATTCCAAGCTCATGAGTTTCCAGGGGGCTCCATGACTCCCAGGCCACTCAATTGGCTGTTATTGGAAACTTGGCGTTTGTGCATTGCCACCGAAGAGATTCGCACAAAATCCACAACAAGCGGTTCGTGACTGATATCTCGCATCAACAACAAAGCTGTTTGGGAAGAATCCTTCCTTGGATCGCTTCAACATACACACACCAAAAAATACCGATGAATACCCCCAAAGATGTACTTGACGCCCTATCCTTAGCCGTGGCGCGGCTGGAGATCTTAGTAATGCCCAATGGGGCGACTCCCACGTCATGGTCGCACGTTATTTGTGGTCAGGACGACAAGCAGGAAGGAACCCGTCAGACTCAGTTCAGGTCTCTGAAACGTCTTGAGAAGGACGCGAGGAAACTCGAACAGTTGGCTTCAAGGCTCTCGACTGCTGGCGCTACCCTTCGCAGGCGTTGGGCGTCAGCCACAAATGTCATCGCTCCAATCAATAAGCTTCCTGTCGAAACGCTTCTCCAGATATTTGAGCACACAATTTTCCAGGATGACGATCTCGACAGCTCGAAGAGCCCAGACCCGGTCATTCTGAGCCATGTGTGCCAAAAATGGCGAAATATCACATTTACACATCGCAAACTATGGACCAGAATCTGTGCCTCCATGTCATCTGTCCAGTTACTTGACCATTGGGTTGCAAAGGCGGGTCATAACTCTCTCCGATTGAAATTCCATCTACCAAACTACGCGACTCCGAGGTGTGCTGAAAATGGAAGCCTTTGGCTTGGACTCGAAGAGTTGCAAGTCCCAGTGTGCTCGGACAATATGGGATTCCCATCCATCTTTGAACACCTTTGCCGTGGAAAGGATGGGATGCTTCCTTTCCTAAAATCGCTCAACCTATTCGGTGAACCCTTCTCCCGAAATACGGCTGCGTTGGACGAGTACTCGATCCCTTCGTTGACGGATCTATCCATCTGTGCAGTTCAGATCATCTCTTTACCCGTTACGCATAACCTTCGGCATCTCAATATGTTCCACGTTGTCATCGATTCCTTCTTTTTCCGAGGCATGTTAGCGGAGTGCCCGAGATTGGAGTCGCTACACATGTTTTTGGCGTATATGGAAGACGACTTTGAGGACGATGCGTCTGAAACCCCCGTATCTATCGAATTACCTTTTTTCCGGGAACTCAAAATTAGCAACTGTGACCTCGATGTCCTCCGGTTCATTTTCCAAACTATCATTGCCCCGGATCTTTGCGTCCTTTGGATCAATTCAGGCCGGTGGGAACAAGCGGTGAATGATCCGGAGGGGTTTGTTGTGGACATGCTTCTGACCGGAATGTCTCTTGCGGCCTTTGTGCGTATACCTCATGCTACAGTTCGTCGATATCTGAAACACTAATACTATGCTGTAAAGATGGCGAAAGTCCTCCCTACTTCCTTGCGCATGGTATATATCCGGGGGGCCGCTCATGAAGTGGAACCCATCCTTAGAATGATCAACCCATGGGAACGAAACGTCCCTGATAACGAAACCTTGCCATTCTCTTCTTTGGAGCATCTCAAAATCGAGCTGGATTGCCGCAGCGACGACTCCGGATTGTTAAGTTTCATCCAACTCATTCGTTCACGTGTGCAGAGCCTTGTATTTGCTATGCACAGGGGTTCTCGACGATTGGAACGCCTGGACATATCGGAACGATTGGTTGAAGGCGACGAAGACCTCAAGACCTCGCTGAGAGGGCACGTTGGACAATTTTCTTCTCTCAATTGTCGATGATCCGTTTCCTTGCGAAGCTTAGAGTTCTGCATTATTATTAATGGATTTTCATGCAGTAGTGGCCGTTTGTACCATATTAGTGGAAGAGGGCGCATACGTTTGTGGGTGGGATCCATCTGCTTACATGGTGTCTGAAGAGTGTTAGCACCTAGCTATCCAGTTGCCGATCCTTTCGCACTCTCGGTGAACTTCAGGAGGGTCGGTGAATGGAAGAAAACAGAAATCATGATACATATCAGGCTCAATGCTGACAGTCACCCATTCTGATGCGTCCCCTTTCCCTGAGGCCTCACGGCCCTTCCGAAGTCTATCGGCCAGACACATGTTTTCGTCGTAAAGTATCTCGCGTCCGCCCGTTGAGATGTAGGCTCGAGGATAACCTTCGAAACTAGTTTCTCTAGGTATCTCAAGGGAGCCAGGGGACATGTAAGGATTTCGCGAAATCTCTCCGAGCGGAATTGCGCGACCTCGGTATCCTTTAATACCATAAGTCCCCATTCCAATTCGTTCGGGCGTCGTACGTTGAACAAAGTCCGTTCGTTCATTTCGAACAAATGATGAATCTTGACCCAAAGGCGATCGTTCGGGCATATGTGTATCGCAAAGGTCGGTCCATGGACTGAAGAGGAGAATCCCGCCAAGTGATGCGTGGTTATCGCTATGTTCTCCAGGTGATGTGGATGGATTCACATCACGAAGATATCTGGCGAGTGCCAGAACAAGGTTCCCACCAGCCGAATCCCCTGACAAGATCACGTTTTTAGGATCGAAGCCGATTTCCCGAGTGACGTAGAAGTAGGCAGCGAGGCCATCGAGAAGCTGAGTGGGAAATGGATTCTTCGGATCAGCAAGTGGCTCCGCGCGACAGAGACGATACTCGACCATCAGCACTCGTTGTAGGGGATGTCCCTGGCACGTCGTCCAAGCTTTTAGGAGAGCGGCGGGCAAGGGCCCGCTAGGAAACGCAGAGCCCATCTTTTATATGCCTTTGTGTCAAAATATGACCTTCGTATGAAACTCCTCTTACTTACAGTGTAGTCGCCACCGTGAAAGTGAATAACGATCTTCTCCCCCAATGCCACCGGGGAAAACACCACGGACGACTCAGGTGCTAGCTTGCCCCACCAATAGCCTGGTACGCGATCACTTTGGACCCCATTTTTCTCCTTCCATTCCCTTACCTCCCCTTTTATGTCCCCATCCAGGATAGGAGGTATCCATACAGAACGACAACTATGCCCTGCTTGTTCTAGCTCCTGAACCGAGAGGGGCGGCAAATGATCTCTGACCATCGAATTGACAAGTCCAGCATTGAGCAAAAAATTGTCTGACCATCTGAGAATGCGGGTGAATATGACTGTCTTCCATGACCACGAGGAGACAGGTCTTGTAGCACGGGGCAAGTAAAATAGACACCAGAAGGGTATCTTGAAGAAAAGTAGGTGACATATGACATAGCAAAGGTAGATTGCTTTGAAGGGATGTTTGTGAGTGCGTAGTTTCGCTAATCTCCTTTCGGCTTCCATGACGCACACTCGAGCTCGGTGCCGTCTGACAGCAGCCTCACTGTAACTCTTATATTTTCCGTGGCTCAGTATCTAGATGAAGTCGAAGGTGTGTCGCGATCGACTGTTAGTACAGGTTTACTGCACGACTTACTTATGTCAGCCTTTGAGGCTGGTCACCTGCCTAGTCAGCCTTGCAATGTTTTCCATTCGTTCCCCTAAATGGTCGAATAAATGGCACAGGTAGGATATTTGCGCGTCCGGTGTCATTAATTTGGAGCATGAAAATATAGTAACCTCGCAGCTCCAACGTGCGTCATTGTTCCACACTTAGTATGTGCTTACGTATTCACTTGGCATCACATGTTGCTATCAATTAATATAACGCTATCAGCCTGTGAGTGGTATATAATAAATACAACGATCCATACCCTCCTCCACAATTTCACTACCCAACTCCCTGGGCACACAAGCAAGCACCATGTCCACAACTGTTGATACGAATAACGTCCCCGGTGCTGCACCCGTCAACTCGCAGCCATTCGCCAAGGCCACCAACATGGGTACATCCCTCGGGTCCCTGTCTGGGTGACATCATGACTGACCACCTGCTCGCCCTTTTGACCCCCTGACGCCGTAGAGGTGCGCGAACACTCCGCGGAAGAAGCCAACAAGAAGCAATCTATTTGGGGTCGCCCCCTTCGCATGCGAGGCGGAGGTTTAGCGAAGGATTGCCTCATCGCATTCGCTTGTTTCGAATGCTGCGAAGGATGCTGCGAATGCATCGCCGATATCATCTGTGGGTATCAAGTTCCTTTTCGATTTCCTCACATGCCTTTCTTTCCCTGGGCTTGGTTTCGCACGAGAACACTAACTGACATCCATTTTTAGGCTGCCCTTGTGAAGCCTGCTGTTGATCCTGTGTGAATCTGTACTCTTGGCTTTGATGCGTGCGCAAACTTACGATACAGTATGACAATAACAAATGACCGTGCCCAAATTAAATTGCTGTGATATCTCGGTCCCGCCGTGCCGAGTGCGGTCGAGCCATCTCTCTTTTTATGTCTGGAGCGGAGCAAAGAAAATTCGCGCACTGGTTTAGACGGCCATTGGTCGAGCGATAGCTATGACCTAGCTCGGTGACCTGTCCCACCTAAGTCCAACCCACATGTAATCAGGGACTTGCCGCGGCGCTACCCGGGCTCCAACTGCACTGCAAAGGCCACGCTGTTGCACTCCTGAAACCGTTCAATATTGTGACCCCCCGTGCCCCGCACGGAGCGATAACGCATTTCCCCGTGGTGGCAATTCCCCTTATACAGAAGGGATACTCAGTACATTCTGCCTCACTGCATATGTGTGCCAACCTAAGTTACGAAGCCACCTTGTTTACTCATATGACGTTGCGTCAGAACCACTCCCACTCGCTCCACATCGGTGGCGCCTTCCCACGTGATGACCGAACCCATGAAGGAGCACTTTGCCAAGTGTCACACTCCTCATGGTCTTCCTCTTCAGAGCGGACTTCGGCAGCTTGACGTCAATCTGACGTCCTATCAGATCCATTTCTCGCCCAGCAACTGTCTTCACGCAAAATGGGCAATCTTGGGATCCGTGTCGAGGAACGGCAGGTTCGCGTGTTGAACCCATGTTGGTGCACTCGTCGAACGCAATGATGAACTTATCATGTTTAAGACCCTGGGGATCCATGGCCAGACTCTTTGCCGGTTCCAAGCAAAAGTGTCGGTACAGCTCTTTACGCCATTCATCAATCCCACGAAGGTCGTCGAGCCACCTCGAGTACGGATTCAAAACACGCCCCACGCAACGCAGATGCGCGTGCCCAGGCAACCGTTTGAGTCTCGACATCCTCATCTGGATTACGACCACTCGTACGTACGAGTCTGCGACAAAGGCCTTCGCATGCCTCCTTAAAAAGTGCCCCAAGAGGGGCAGCGGCCATCTCTTCACCCTAACAGGGTCGTTCAATTTGTCATCCTGACTTCCATACTTAACATACCAAACACATCGTTCGGTCGATTCTACCCATCGACACATGGCCTCATCTCGTGGAGGCCAGCCAGCCTCTGGACGGTTCGAATTGCGGAAGCCGATACTTATGCCAGGCACCTAGAGCACAACTGGAGTGGTCTGCTGAATCCTGATTGTGACCTTCTGCTACGAGGCGTGATTTCCCCGTTGCACTCGATTGCAGAATGGGAATACTGTGTCCGTAGTGCGCGTCGACATCGCACATCTCGCCGTAAGCAATGAGCGCTTGTAGGAAAATTTGAGGCATATCTTCACGATAATTCCGACGAAATGAAGACACGAGTAGGGCCCGCCATTCCTCCCTAATCTGGTTGTTCAGCCAGGGTGCACAGTAAACCAAGTGGGGTGAGATTTACATAGACATGGTTAGGGATTGACGCCGCATTTCCCTATCAGATGGTTATGGTTCATAGTGCGCGTCAGCTGGCCGAAGAATCTCTAATCAAACAATGAGGTAAGGAGACCGAGACAAAGAGGGACTACGAACCCAGATGCTGGACGAGCGGGCTTCCAATGAGTTCTGTAGCATGTCTACCATGTAGGGGTTTCCAGAGATGAGATTCTTTGCTTCTTGAAGTGTGTGGCTTTCAAGCCTCGGGTCGTCGTTGGTGATGACGAAGAGAAGTATGTGTAAGGAAGGATTTGTCCCCAACCGCTTCAGAACTGCGCTGTCTAGTTCATGCTGTTCATCGCTAGGAAGATCGCGATCGGAAGATATTTTCTCATGGCTTTCTAAGTCCAACGTGGCAGCCATCCAGGCGCGCGAGGCACTATAACAGGTGATATTGATGAAAAAATCGATCCACTTGTCATCTCGTCATCCATGTACATCGATTGACACTCGGATGACGGCGCCGATTGTTGCATTTCCAACACCTTACCCGCTTTCCCGAGAGGGGGGGGCCTTTTGGGTTCATCGAGTTCTGTGGGCTCTCAGCCACATGCGGTCGAGGTGGTGCTATGCAGTAGTTGCTAAGTTAGGAAGTTTTAAATCGAGCATTTGTATGGCCATACAGACACCAAAACAGACACAAAGCCCCGACGACACCGAATCCGACTACCTATACGACGCTGCACACCACACCTTGTATTCACGGTCCCCTTCGGTGTACCCAAACGGGATAGCCGCTCTGACGTGATAATGGGGTAAGATCCACTGTCGGAAAACACTGCGGAAGCGTTGTAACCCGTTACAAGGCGTTGTAACGCCTTTCAACGGCACGTGCCGTTCTAACGCTCTCAACACTGAACTCGATCGTTCCAACGCTTCGAGGCGTTGTAACGCTTTGCCTCCGTTTCAACGCGTTGCAACGGCAACAAGGTAGGGTCAACAAAAAGAGACAACCCCTTGCAAGCCAGGATTGAAGCATACCTTCACTTCATTACATCCCCACACATTATCCTCGATTTTGGTGACTCACATTTCGGAATAGGACCAGAACTAAATATCATTAAATGGTTGGTACAGGTGGGAATTGAACCAAGGAACACTGTGATCATTATAGTAAGTACATTCATAACCGCTACACTACCATGCACTCTCAGCTCCGCGCTGATATGTTGACATAAAGTTGTATCAATCATAGGCCTTTTGAGTGTATATGGGCTAAGTTACTTAGTATTCTCAATATGTGTACACCCGCTGTGGGATTGAGGTCTAACTCATTGTGGCTCTCAATGGTGGTGCTATGTGGAGTTAGAATTCGAACGAAGTTGAACGTGATTGTTGTTCATTTCAGCAGTGGTATTGAGGAGAACATGAGTGCAAACACAAATCAGAACTCAGTGAACGAAGTGGCTTAAATAAGAATGTGCGGTGGACATTGAGGGTGGTGGAACATGGAGCGATAAAGGAAGATTCCTATGCTGGACACTGACAGTTGATGGGGGGTGCACTCTGTGTGTGGTCGGAATCGTTGTCCATGCTGTCCCTGAATGACATGTTACGACTCAGCGCCCGGCCTCCCATATGGAACCCCACTGGTTAAAATGACACAGGAAGAGAACGGTGGGGTTGTTGGGGATTTGTCCCTTGCTGAAGTGGTCGTTCGCTGTGAGAGTGGCTTGACCGTCAAGTAGGTAGACGTCATCGATGTGAAGCAAGTGAAGGTAATTTGTGGCAATGGATCATGGAACGTGTGTTTGCCTGAGTATGGGGGACTCCCATGTGGCTTGGAAGTACAGGGTATGGAAATGTGAGTGTACAGTTGCTGCAGCCGTGGTTGGCAGTGAAGGGGAAGTGCGTCCATGCGTTTGTGAACAGGGATGTTTACAGCGGGGCTGAGTATTTACAATTTGATTTTTGCATTGAGCGTTGGAACGGACTAGCAAAGTGTTGGAACGAATTAATAAAGCGTTGGAACGGATCAATAAGGCGTTGAAACGCGTTGAGAGCTCTTAACGCGTTAAAACGAAATTCCGTGTTTTCCGACAACCACTGCATATTTCACGTGACGCATAACAAATTTTCATTTAATTACCCCTTCGCTCCTGCCTCACATGGAGTGGATTCCAGCTCCGTTCTCCCTGTTAGATGGTAATCCATTCCAATATTCGGACCACGCCATTTCTACACTATCAGCAACGGAAACCTTCAACAGAGGAATCCAGATACGGGATGCGGACTTGTGTGTCATTTGTGGTTTGGCCGAACCACCGGCTTTGCGCTACTGCCACATAATCCCAAAGGTAGAACACGACACTGTGCGTTATGAATTAGTGTTTTACCGTATCAGAGACTGATTATGGTACAGTGGCAGAACCTGAAGGACCGTGGTTTCGTGCCGGCAATGGCAAAGAGTGTGGAGCACGAGGCCCGAAACGGTATTCGACTGTGCGCAACCCACCATAGCTTATTTGATGCGTATTACTTTTATATACGCTGGTTCCCGGAGGTAGTTTTCTAGTCTCTGAAGCCACGCCTATTTTCACCCACCCCTACTGCAGCAAAGGCGCTATGTTCTCATTAACCATTCTCAATCGGAGGCGTTGGAAGTCTATCATGGCCGAGCGATAAACAACTCCGGACACGGTAATCGATTGCCATTTCACGGCGCATTTCTTTTTCATGAAATGCGGGTGCGTGGTCGCTGGCCACTACGCGGGGATCGAGCTATCCCTCTCCCTATCTCTTGGGTTCATTGGATCAATGACCATGGCGATCGTGGTGTTAGTGGCGGTGGTCACGATGGTCGCGGTGGTCGTGGTCGTCGCGGTGGTCGTGGTCATGGTCGTGGTCGTGGTCGTGGTCGCGGTCGTGGTCGTGGTGGCAATGGCTACAACCAAGGTCCAAGCAATAATGAAGCCGGCGGCGGACGACTTCTTCGTTCGCATGGTCCTGTTCCTGGTTCCAGTGCATTTGGAAAGGTGTTCATTCCAACGAACCCGTTCGCAAATCCTTCGGAACTCCAAGCATTGAAAGAGTCCTTTGCGAAACAACCCAATTGGAGAGCAGCGGTTATGGAGGGTACAACTTGGGAAGGCAGTGCTGATGAGAATGCTGCCAAATGGCGCAAACTCAACCGTATTGATGCCTAACTATTGGCTTCTTGAACTCGGTTGGTTGCATCGTTCGCATAACATATTACTCTGCACACAGAGTCACCCCACAAGTAATTTTCGATGCCGAGAGTTTGTCATCTTGCCCTTTTCGTTCTTTTACTGTATTGTCTTACATAAGTGTTTTTATATTTCCCTTTATGTCACAGAGTAATTGCCATACCCTTTCACTACCCAACTCCCTGGGCACACAAGCAAGCGTCATGTCCACAACTGTTGATATGAATAACATCCCCGCTGCTGCACCCGTCAACTCGCAGCCATTCGCCAAGGCCACCAACATGGGTACATCCCTCGGGTCTCTATCTGCGTGACATCATGACTGACCACTGCTCGTCCTTTTGACCCCCTGACGCCGTAGAGGTGCGCGAACACTCCGCGGAAGAAGCCAACAAGAAGCAATCTATCTGGGGCCGCCCCCTTCGCATGCGAGGCGGAGGCTTAGCGAAGGATTGCCTCATCGCATTCGCTTGTTTCGAGTGCTGCAAAGGATGCTGTGAATGTATCGCCGATATCATCTGTGGGTATCGATTTCCTTTCGATTTCCTCACATGCCTCTCTTTCCCTGGGCTTGGTTTTGCATGAGAACACTGACTGACATCCATTTTTAGGCTGCCCTTGTGAAGCCTGCTGTTGATCTTATGTGAATCTGTACTCTTGGCTTTGATGCGTTGCGCAAACTTACGATACAGTATGACAATAACAAATGACCGTGCCCAAATTAAATTGCTGTGATATCTCGGTCCCGCCGTGCCGAGTGCGGTCGAGCCACACCTTTCTTTTATGTCTGGAGCGGAGAAAAGAAAATTCGCGCACTGGTTTAGACGACTATTGGTCGAGCGATAGCTATGACCTCGGCGACCTATCCCAACTAGCAATAAGTCCAACCCACATGTAATCAGGGACTTGCCGCGGCGCTACCCGGGCTCTAATTGCACTGCAATGGCCACGCTGTTTGCACTCCTGAAACCGTTCAATGTGACCCCCCGTGCCCCGCACGGAGTGATAACTGTGCGATAACGCATTCCCCCGTGGTGGCAATTCCCCTTATGCAGAAGGGATACTCAGTGTATTCCTCCACATTTTGCCTCACTGCATATGTGTGTGTCAACCTGCCGTGTTAGCCACCTTGTTTACTCATATGACGTTGCGTTGGAACCACTTCATCTTTCCCACTCGCTCCACATCAGTGGCGCCTTCCCACGTGATGACCGAACCCCCACCGTCTCCATGAAGGAGCACTTTGCCAAGTGCCACACTCCTCATGGTCTTCCTCTATCTTTAGCTTCAGAGCGGACTTTGGCAGCTTGACGTCAATCTGACGTCCCATCACTCGCCTATTAAAAAAATTGGGATCCGTATCGAGGAAAAGAAACCAAAGTTGAATTTGTCAATAGGAAATTCGTCTTGAGCCTTAACCATCCGCAAAAGTGCTGATGATGACATCCCATAAGTGGGAGATAGGGGCCTCGGGTTAGTCCGGACGGGAGGTACACTCGTCGAACACAATGATGAACTTATCATGTTTGAGACGCTGGAGATCAATGGCCAGACTCTTCGCCGGTTCCAAGCAAAAGTGCTGGTACAGCTCTTTTACGCCATTCATCAATCCCACAAAGGTCTTTCTCTGCGATGTTCCTCCGTCGTCGAGCCACCAAATGACCTGGCAGGGTTGTAAGGGACCGATAAGCCACCTCGAGTACGGACCCAAAACACGCCCCACGCAGCGCAGATGAGGCACCCATTTGAATCTCGACATCCTCATCTGGATTACGACCAAAGCCTTCGCATGCCTCCTTGAAAAGTGCCCCAAGAAGGGCAGCGGCTATCTCTTCACCCTAACAGGGTCGTTCAATTTGTCATCCTGACCTCCATACTTAACATACCAAACACATCGTTCGGTCGATTCTACCCATCGACACATGGCCTCTATCTTGTGAAGGCCAGCCGGCCTCTGGACGGTTCGAATTGCGGAAGCAGATACTTATGCCAGGCACCTAGAGCACAACTGGAGTGGTCTGCTGAATCCTGATTGTGACACACCTTTTTCAGCGCTTCCGCTACGAGGCGTGATTTCCCCCGTTGCGCTCGATTGCAGAATGGGAATACTGTGTCCATAATGCGCCGTCGACATCGTACATCTCGCCGTAAGCATTGAGCGCTTGTAGGAAAATTTGAGGCATATCTCCATGATAATTCCTACGAAATGAAGACTCGAGTAGGGCCCGCCATTCCTATTTAAGTCTGTAAAAGACTTTCATTCCATAATGTGCGAATTACAGACTGATTGGTTGAAGAGGGTGCCGAGCTGGTCTTTGACATCTTTGATTTCAGTGTATGTTTCATCTGTGTGTCCTTGAGCATTGATGCACCATCTATAGCCTCTTCAGTGGGCATATAGCCTGCTCCTCAGTGTTCATGCGCTTTCGGATGTTGCGCACGCTGAAAGCTAAGTTGCCACAGCAATCCTCCCTCCAATACAAAGTCAGATGTAGTGCCCAAATCCATGAGCAGTACCACCGTCAATGGAGGCTTCTTGCCTTCAATATGAGGTCCAGCAAGCTCCAAAGGAATGTCAGAAGCAGCCGGATCTTCGACTGCAAGGCTACGTAACTGAACTGGCCCTGCCCTCTTGAAATGGGAGGTCAAGCCTTCCACTGTAGGTAACAATGAATCCGTCGATACAGGGTTGTTGGAACCTACATTACAAATGCGACTCCACAGCACCACGCCTTGCAGAGATCGAAGGACAAATCGTCGACATCCTCCGTCTGCTGGAAAATGTGTGTAAAGTTGATATGCGTGGTGTCCATCTTTTCCAAGAACCGCTCCCACTGAGGATCGTTGGGGGATAACCCAAGATCCTGGCCAAGTAGGGTAGTCGAAAACACCTTAGCCGATATCGTAGGGACCTCTTGCTTTTGAGTGAATGTAGTTGCCCGATCCCGTGCAAGAGTCAACAGAACGCGGCCGAACAATTCGCCTGGATATCCTCGCTCAAGGATGGATTTGTTGACTATTAGGCTGTTGACAAAAGTCTTGAGGGCAACGTTGTACATATATCTCCCGTGATGCAATTAACTTCTTCATAGCCGCGATCGCTAGTGCTGGCTTGGAAGGGGTGACCGTTTCAATAAAGGAACGGTCAATAACTCCCATCAGGATTTGCATATGGCTGCGAACACCTTCTGCGGCGAGAATAGATCCAGCTTCACTCATCGCAAGCTCGACGGGAAATCGTTGGGAAAATGTGGCAAGGACATGATTAACACTTATGGGATCAAGATAGGGTGGATCTGCAGCGTTTTTCTGGATGCGTACAGGAAATTGGGCGCATCATAGGTTGACCAATACTGCCATCAGATGCATTGCAATAAATAAAGAACGACAGGGCAGGACAAGTGAGTCCTACCGGGCGGCCATAATCCCGTAAACAGTTGTACGACAATGCGTTCCTGGGAGTCACTGCAGGTGATTCAACCATCATGTCAAAACCTAGATAGGGCCAAGGTGGGAGCATTTTGAAAGAACCGTGCCGGGCTGATGATACCTAGCTCATTGCGTGAATGAAAGAATTCGGCAATCGTGGAGCTTGTATCAAGGAAAGGGAGCCAAAAGTCAATTCCTTTGATAGAAAACGGGTCTTGAGCTTTGATCATTCGTTGCAGTGCTAACAATGATATCCCATGAACTGGAGATAGAAACTTCGGGTCAGTCCCGGCGACACGTTTGACGATCGAACCGGCGGTTTGATGTTTGTGCATTCGTTGAAAGCGATGATGAACTTATCATGGTTGAGGCGCTGAAGCTGAAGGCCAATAGCCAGACTCTCCACCGCTTTCAGGCAAAAGTGCTCGTACAGGTCATTACGCCAGTTATTGATTATGCCCACATCATTCTCCGTGCTAATCTGTTGTCGTCGATTCACTAGATGTTTCGGCATTGATGCAAGGGAGTGGTTGGCCACCTCAAGAACTGATGTAAAGGACACCCCACGCGACGTAGATCCGCGCGACCAGTTACTCATTTTGCGTCTCAGGATCATCTTTCGGATTGTAACCAAGGCATTTGTGTATCTCTTTGAAAAATGCCCCAAGGAGGGCGGCGGCCATCTCTTCCCCCTAAAGGGGTCGATCAGTGTGTTGTCTTAGCTTCGGCAGTTAACATACAAAATAATCGGTTGATTCCACGAATCGACACATGGTCTCATCTCGTGGGGGGAGCCGGCCTCACCAACTCGCGGAAGCAAATACTTAGACCAGGCCTCTAGAGCATAAATCAGTACAGAGCTTGACTAGAATGGTCGGTTGATTGCGATATACCCTTTTTAGCACCTCTGCTACAAGGCGTGATTTCCCCGTTCCGCTCGACTGCAATATGGGAATGCTGCGTCCGTAATGCAAATCGCTATCGTACATCTCGCCGTAAGCATTGAGTGCTTGTAGAAAGGTGGTAACACTATCGCCGCGAAAATTCCTACGGAAGGAAGCTTCGAGCCGGGCCTGGCGTTCCTCCCTAATTCTTTTCTGCCGTAGCAGGTGGTTTATGCAAGTCAGGCCGACGGATTTCTAACCAAGCGATGAGGCGGAGAAACCGAGACCAAGAGGGACTACCAACCCAGACACCGAACTTCTTTGAATGAGCGGGTTTCCAATGATCTCCGTAGCGCATCCTTGAGGTGTGCGTTGTCGGAGATGAGAGCCCTTGCATGCTTCTTGGCTCGTGATGGGTCTCCTAAGGTTCTTGTCGTTGTTAGTAATGCTTAAACAAAGCATGGGCAAGGAAGGCTTGTTCCCCAGATCCCCTAGATCCTGCTGAATGGTATTCTCTACTGAATCATCGAGTAGATCGTCACTCAGCGGATGATGATGATCTGTCGACTGGCACTTGCTTGGCTGTTTCCACCACTAAACCTAACCTTATCTGTTGGCGACATCGTTGATTTCGAAGGTTTGGGAGGTGGACTGTAATATCTGCAACATCAATGAGCTGAGATGGATATACCTCACTCAGTTGGCGCATGTACACATGCACAACTGCCAAGCAACACCCTCACCCTGAGTGGACTTTGGCCTCTCGACATTGTCCAACGTTGCGTCTGAACCAGTTAAGTATGTCCTAGGCGCTGAGTGACTAATTAGGTGTATCATTGCACAACAAGAACTCCGAGCTAACGATACATATTTCACGGTTACAATTGCCAAACGTGAAATACAGCAATCATTGACCGTCCCCACCAAATGCTACCACGCCAACCTTAGCCTGTCACTCCTCAAAAGTTAGAGTCCCGACGTTATACGCAGCGTCCCTCCTGATACCCTTCGGAGCTCAATAGCGCTATGGTGGGTCAACATTGACCATTTACCCAGAATCGGATGGCATCTGTCAGCGTCCCCCCACCAGCACAACCCACGTCGTCATCATCATCATCACCACAAACAACCCCTGAATGATCCTCGAGGAAGAGGAGCCGTTCATCATCAGCCAGTCCAACCTCGAAGAAACTCAGAAGGGCCTCTGACCAAAACGATGACAGGGCAGTCGTGCTGAGACCAGATCGCTGACCACATGCCTTTCAGTATGGCACTGCATGGTCACTGTCATCAATACTCCGAGATTCTACAGCAAACATATTTCTAAGCAATGGAACCATAAGAGATGTCATGTATACAATAGCCACAGAAGGCGCTATGTACATACCCACATCATATTTACCGCAGCATGCTGCCAAGCACTCATCGTCAGGAAGCTCATCATCGCCACCGGTCCGCCACGCGCTTTCCGGTCTCGATGTCAACGTTTGTACACAAGATCCTTGCTCACACGTCGTCTTAGCGCCTTGGCTGTGTTTGCTTTGATGGTCGTTCGCGTCCTTTGTCTCCCGGGTTACTCCCAGAACAAGAATGTGTTTCACAAGAAGGTATGGTTCAACAACGAGCAGGCCTCAACACCTACATCAGTTTCATGTCTCCACCGTTGCCCCTACTAGTTCGCTGCCATAGAGAAGTACTGCGGAAAATCTGTAGAATTTGGTGCGCCCAAGTAACAATATTTCGTCCTATCTTGTCCCACAATTGTGACACAGTTATCATCGACCCTCCCATCGAACTCAAACCAAGCGATGTAGCAGGGGCAGCGCCTGCTTTCGACTCAATAGCGAATTTTGATGAACCGGAACTCACCCCTAGAGCATGGTGGCTCAGTAACGAGACGCGGACAGTTTATTTTCGGGCGGAGGAGTCCATAAAGTACATTTGGGACATCCTGGCCGCTCAATCCGTTCCTTTTGATGTGAGCAACGGCCCATTTGTCTCCCGAGGGCTTGCTTATTTGACCACATCATCCTTCCCCCTGGTGACTGTTTCCATAGGGGGTTTTGGGGTTCAGCCAAGGCGCTGCTATGGCAGCAATGACTGTGGCTCTCGTGTGTTCCTAACTGGCTCCTCAATTGCCAAAACCTTATCTAACTCCTTGTACCCACGGGTAAGCTTGAACGACCGCACCACTTCGATTACCTCTCGACCGACGGTAAACCACCTCACCCGCCTTTGTGAGTTCCCCACCATATTGTTATATTGTTGCCCATGTGTGAACCGACACAACTGTTTTTTCGCATCAACTTCCACGCGCGCAAAGGCGATTCGGAATCTACGTTTCCGGATTCGTCAGTGACGAGAACCACAACGAAAATTCCGTTTTGCTGATATAATCAGTCCTAGAAACCCATAGATTCCAAAGTCACTTCTATATTCAATGACGACAAGCTGAAAACGCCCAGCGTCCAAATTCTCGGACGTAACGACGTGATTGTTGGCATAAAGAGGTCCCAGACACTCATTGATGCGTGTGAACATCCACGAGTAATGTGGCATGATGGAGGTGTGTGTGTGTGATCCTTCGAATGGTGACCAAATGAATCAACCTCACTTCCTGTGCAGGTCATTTCATCCCCGCCAAGCTAAGCTGGAGGCAATTTTTCAAGAATTATTTCTTGAGTTGGGATCCATCAAGCAAAGTTCTCCCAGAGGACGTCCCTAGCCCAGTCGTGTCCGCCACCGACACGCTCTCTCAGCTGGGAACGCCGACAGCAACCAGGCCAAACACACCACCACCACAAGCCTCGAGTGGCCTCTTGGATTCCAGGCCAGACTAGCACAATGGGAAGCAATAGACACGGATTAAGCATTGTTTCTGTACATGATGTGCCAAGTGAAAGTGAAGGACAAAGTGTTCCCTGTATTATTATGTCGCCCAAAATGTAGGGGAAGATAGAATTGGATGGGATGGTTCTGGCACATTGTAGCAAGGGTGCTAGCCCTGAATGATAGCAAATCACAAACTATGAAATGCCATGAAAGCGAATGAAGCAAAAGAACACAAAGGGAGGGTACAGCAATTCGAAAACGAAGATCGAGCGTCCATGAGGCCAACGTCACTATAGGTACAACCTAATTTCGTTATGTATGAACTATGAACTGAATGAGAGCTTATGAAGTGCGAGCAAACAATTACGGCAGAACAGCAGGGGAAGCTGAAGGACATCTGTCGGTGCGGGAACGAAGAACGTGAATAATCAATTCCTTTTTTCTTCAACGATCCGAACACCAGACTTCAAGTTTCCCTTCAGCTTTTCCCCTGGACGAATTACGAACGGTCTCGATCGCCATCTCGAAATCGCTCTCGTCAAGGAGCGAAACTTTATGTCCATCTTCGTCCAAAAACTTGAAGACCATGGAGGAAGAGGGTCTACTGAATTTGGAGGATACCTTGTCCTTGAATTGCACTAGGCCGATATCGGATGTAAGGATCATTCCACGTATGTCATCTTGATAGTGAATCTTTGTTTTTTTTTAAAAAAAAAGAAAAAAGCGGGAAAGAGACTCAGCCCTTTCCTCAAGAGTGAAATATCCGAAATCTGCTTACCTTGACACGAAGTTTTGTCTGGGCATACTCTGAATCCTCATAATCCCCACTAACATACCCTTCCTCCTCATCATCATATGCACTTCTTCGACTCCCCTTCAGGAACGCGGAGCCCTTTCTCTTGATCGTCCTTCTAAGACTACCCACACTTCCACCAAACCCGGTGGTAGGCGACTTCTTCGACGACCCGCTGCGCGTGCGTGTGGGGGACAAAACAGCCGCCGTCTTATTCACCCACCCTGCAATGCGAGAAGGAGAAAGAGGGACTTGATCTTCCTCTTCAAAATACTCATCGTAAATATCTGCGAGTTGGGTTGAACCCTTGGCCACCGGTTTCACTGGACTCTGTTCAGACTCGGTCTCGGATTGTGGGGATGGCCGCCCGCGTACATCAGGGGCTTGCTGACGAGCACCAGGGATGACCAGTGCCGTCACTGCACGTGTCATCGGCGGAGGTACGTTTCTGAGAGGAGGTGGAGTGAAAGTCTCACTGTCCCCGTTCGTTGGCGGCCTCGGGCCGTCGCTCCGGGGACGAATAAAGAGCCCTCTGGTTGCAGCCTGATCTCCCAGTGAAACGGGGGTTGGAGTGGTGTCACCACGCACCGCCACAGGCCTGCTCCATGGGACAGAAGACCGCGTCACGGCGGTTGGGGAGCGACCTGGACTAAGATCATTGCGTGACTTCGCTGCATTTGCCAAGTCCCCGGGCGCGGACACGGTTGTGTTTGATCGGGTTAATCCCGATGGAGGTGCGGGAGTGGACAAAGGCGCCCCGCTCGGCAGTTGGCCACGGTTCAGGCGAGTAGCACCTGTGAATGTGGTGAAGGTGTCGTTTTTGTCCGTGGCGGAAATGAGTTTTGCCTTTCCAAGATAATCCTTGGTTTGGGCATTTTTCAACTTCACCGCCGAAGGCCTATACAAGATCCCAACAGGCTACTATGCGTCAATTCCAGTGCAACTGTACAAGCTGAGATCGGCTTGGCTTACAATAGAGAAAACTGTGTAGTCTGCGCCTTTATCGCGAACTGCATCGTCTATCACGCTATGCTCAGGAATTGCCTTTTCAAGAGAGGCTCTTTGCAAATCGGACATTCCCTCAACTTGCTGACCAAGATAAATTTTGCATAGACCCCTAGTGATGACGGCAATGTAAGTAAGAGCAAGGGCACGCGGTGGGTTCAGCGGTGCACACGCACAGATTGAATATCACTTCGGCGGAGAACAACTTGAACTTGAGTCCCAGTTGCTCATAGTTACTATGAATCGAGTCAGTAATTTGAATTTGGACGTCCTTCCAAAACGTGGTACCCACATGGTCTGGTTCCCCCGTAAGTATTGGTGTGCCTCTTCAAAATCCTTGAGGGCATACTCAAACCGACCCAAGAGGAAGTTGCTGACACCGCACTGAAAGTAGCTATGCGAACTCATGGGTGGGTCTGTTGGAGCAGCAATGACGAGGCATGATAAACGTACGCAACGGCGAGATATGGGTCGAGTTCGGTCGCAGCATTGAAGGAATCAACCTGGGACAAGACGACGTGAGAGACCTAACATCCCGATGTTGATGAGGAATGTCACCAACAGCACGTTCGTGTTCCCCCAAAGTGGCGTAGATCAATCCAATATTGAAATGATATTTTGACGTGACAGGTATCGCCTTATCAAGTGGATTGTTCAGGTCCATGCGCAGGTGACACGTGTAACTCGTAGGCTAACCTGAAAGATACGCAATGCCTGTTCATAATCCTCTTCATCGTATGCTCTGACAGCATCGTCGTGGCTCTCTAACTCCTTCTATTGAACAGAAGAGGGGGAAGCAGGGGTCAGTGCTAGTTTCGGAACATTGTTACAAAGAAGTCTACCTTAAGGGACATCTACCAAGTCACTTTGCCTCCAGTTCTTGGGTGAGAGATAAAAAAGTGATTCTGATGGGGGTATTTAGCTGGGAAGTGAGCGTTCCGGACGCGAACAAACTGAAAAGGCTAAAAGCTCAAAGCGGTATGTAATAGAAGTGTGATGTTCAAAGCACAAGCAAGGCACCGGAGAAATTGTTCAAGGTTCTGACCGAGTGATAAAAGGGGAGGCTGGGAAAGATCGCGAGAAAAACCGGCCAGCGATGCGATCGTGAACGAGGGGAGGGACTAGTGAAGAGCGGGAAACCTTTAGAGATGAAGAGCATTTGGCCTTGCCGTCGTCGCTTAGTTGCCGCTCCATAGGCTGATGGCAGTTCCCGAACTGGGAATGATGCGCAACCACAACGTTCCAAGAGCGGCTGGTAACCCACCTCACCGCAACGCCACAACCTGAACCGTTGATGGTTGTTATAGGAGTAGTTGGGAGTGCCTCGGCACTTGATGAAACTCGGCGTCTAACCTCACGCACATGGTGTGACTATGGGCAGTTCTCCTCACAAAGGCCACAATTCTGCCGCGATAAGGATGCCAGCCCCGAAAACAATCTTTCGCTAATTGCTACTCTGGTGAAGAAAGGCGCGTTAATCGATTGGCGCAGTTCGCATGATTCTCGTTTAGCATTTATCCATCGAAGGAAGCACACCAATGAGTGCGCGCATTGTTGGAATATTTGCATTTCGAATGTCACTTGATTACTTGGACCCCTCCGCAAACAGTATACCAGTACCAGTAGAAGATGCAAAGAATAAGTGAGTATTACTTAACGGGTCAGTAGCGATCAATATCCGATCTGCAGCCGAACATTCTAGATGATAATGTCTGGAAAGCAATGAGGGGACAATAGTTGCAAACAAATTGATAGAACTGCAATAATTTGTTCAACTAGGGTTTGGGATGTAAATGCAACACACAGACAATGCCGATGCAGGCTGAAAAATGCTGACACAATCTGAGGCCATGATATGCATGGCAAAGACAGCCCGTCCTACGTGTTGGCGGTGCCGCTCAAGCCCCAAGATGCCATGCTGGATGTTCTTTGTTGCCAAATTAAAGTTTCCGATCACGATTTAAATGCATCCAAAGGATATGTAAATTAAAGATCAGGCATGTTGTATATATGCTGCAAGTGCTGCAATCACTTTTCCGCGGCCCCAGCAGGATCATACAATCCTGTCCATCCCAAACCAACAAAAAGGAGGGCCTGCAAGCCAATCTTGGAATTTGTCAAAGCACATTTCATAATACTCTTCCAGCCATAAGAAGATGCTGGGCAGGGTCCGAGCCAGTTCAATTTCAGTTTTCGTAGCAAGAATGAGTTCTAGTCACTTGGGTGCAAGGGCGACCGCGGCGCGGCGTGGGAATTCCGCCATTCTTCCGCCGCCACGAGGCTGGACACCTGCCTACGCCACTACCAGGTGCAAATGTTTGCGAATCTCAGACAACGCGTATGGGGAGGCAGGGGCGAAGGAAGACAACCAACGTTAATTGTTACAGAAGTCACCGAGTCTGAGGAATCTTCGAGCGGTGCAAGCCGTGAACTGGGTCCCCTTGAGAAAAGTCGCGAGCGATCGCGAAGGATATCGCGCTTGCATATACATGCTCGAGAAGCTAAAGTGAGACTGTCACTGGGCTTGTGATGGACTCTTCTGCTCACGCGTCTTCCTATGATGCGTAATTTCTATCAGCGGCATCTTTACGCTCGACGACGAGTGCTGTTTGTCTTCGGAATATTTCGTATGTTCGGCGATTATTTTGGGACTTCTGTCTTTCGTTGTCTGACACTCGTCTGTGCCTCAAAGTTGGGACCGTCTTAACATATGTTGTTCTCCCTCCCATTCCCCCTCATCTCGCCGTTCTTATGGAAGAATTCGATCTCAATCTCTCAATGCCCGAACTTTCAAACTTCACTTCTCTCGCATTTGAGTGGAAACAAATGTCTCAATCATTATTTGATCCGGCTCGCCAATGGCTCCAGGGCCGAGACTTTGCTGTTGGCGACGCGCTTCGTCAACAAGGCGTTACGGCTAAACACCCAGTGATAATTGTTCCAGGAGTTGTTTCTACTGGGCTCGAATCCTGGTCCACTTCTCCAGAGTATAGGAGTTACTTTAGGAAGCGCCTATGGGGCACCACCACGTACGTCCATGGACCGTCGTGTCGTGGCGCATTCTATATCATACTCCCTATTGGCTGAACGCGAATTCTCAATCATCAGAATGATACGCGCCGTGCTCACTGAGAGAGACAAATGGATAAAGGCTCTCTCCTTAGATCCCATAACAGGTTTAGATCCCTCTCCAGACATTAAAGTCCGTCCTGCCCAAGGCATCGATGCTGCATCGACATTTGTCCCAGGCTACTGGATATGGACAAAAGCCATCGAGAATCTTGCGGCCATAAATTATGATAGTAATAATCTCATGTTGGCGGCATACGATTGGAGACTTTCGTACTATAATATGGAAGTGAGAGACGGTTTCTTCTCAAGGTCCGTTCAATTTCTCATCCCACCGCCAAACTCGTATGCCTAGGGAATGGCGCTGAAACCTGATCTCCAAATAGGCTTAAACTCAGCATAGAACACTTTAAGTGTGTACCTATGGGGCTACCTCCAGCTACTAACTGCAGGTTTTGATCACATACCGGCAGGAAACGCGATGGGAAAACCGTGCTGGTCGGGTGAGTTGCGGACGAATCGTTTTGAGAGTAACGGTTAGCTTATCCGCGGTATCGTCATGAAGTCATAGTATGGGCGCCACGGTAGGTTACTAATCCAAAGGAGCCCTCGGGCTGTATTCACGCGCTTTTAGGTCGTCACGGTGAGGACGCCCCCAGTCGACCCAATACGCTCACCATTACCGCTCTTTTTAAATAGTTTTTGTTGGTATCTTTGACTGCCCCATTTACCTCTGTCTAACCGATTCTAGCCTTAAGTGGGTTGAAGCTGAAGGCTTCGGAGACGGTGGCCCGCGTTGGGTGGAAGTCAGTTTCCCTATCCATCCGGACATCATCGAGGTTTGATGATGTTATGATTCAGGACCACATAGAAGCCGTCATATCTATCGCGGGAACGCATCTGGCAAGCGCTTCTGCATCCCATTTGAGGTCCAGAACTCCGGGCTGATTCACTGAGCGCCAACAGGGCGTCGTGCGTGTGCAGGTCCGCTGCGGCTTAAGTGATGATTTACAGCCACTCTGATAGCCGAAAGCTATGACTGCATTCATGTCGGGTGAGATGAAGGACACTGTTGAGATGAACCCAGCCGGGACATACGGTGCGTTGAGTTGCGATATATTACACACTTCCTGTTCCTGAGGTACGGAACGCATTATCCACGATCCCAGTCTTGGAGAAGTTTTTTTCTCGCAGAGAACGCGCTAGTTTGTTCAGAGGGTGGGCAGGAAGTGCAAGTCTTTGGATGAAGGTATAAACCCAATTCATCATTCTTAATCCTCTAGCTTACTTGACGCTCTCCGGTCTGGGGCCGTGGTGATTTCGGGGTAAACAGGGTGGCGATGTCATCTGGGGAAATGCGACTCACGCTCCAGACGATCTGCCAAATATGAACCACACTTATGGACATTTTTTCTCTTTTAGGGCTCTATCGTCCAGCCTTCATCCGAGCGCTAGTGAGTTGGCTCCAGATTGTCGTCCCCTACCTTAACACAAGTTCATGGATGATTGGTAGATCTTTCTTTGGATGCCCGGGGCCAACTTGTACAGGTCGTCGAGCAAAACCCTGGCGTAGGTAATCTTACGTCCACGCGAGCTGCAGAGTACATTCTCGAGCATGTCCCAGAGACGTGGCAGGTTCGTTGAGTGGTGCCACTAGCCCGAACAGATTCTGAATGGAATGCACACAACGATTAGAAAATGTTGTATTCGAATTATTCTAATGGCATAGAGAAGGACGAAGGTAAACTCAAAGAGAACGGGAAAGACTTCAGAAAATGGACGAATCCACTGGAGATTCAGTGAGCCTATCTTGATTGGTTTTACTCGGCACTGGATCCAATTTTGGATCCTAGACTCCCCAATGCACCAAGCATGAAGATGTACTGTGTTTACGGACACGGGAAGGACACAGAGGCAATGATCTTTTCGTCACAGTATCTCCATGTCAAGTGGAACTCACCTCTTGATTTAGCGTTCGTACTGGTATGCCCGCGGTCCCTACCATAGACTGAAAGGTTCTCCGGTGGACACGGCGGGCGCTGTGTGTCTTAATGACACGGATTGTACTCCGGGGTTACAAGGGGGGCTTCGCGGCATCGACTTGCGACCGCCATTGGATCTACCCCTCGCCAGGGAGAGCTGGATTGACAGAGTGGTGAATATCGACAACGAGCAGGCGAAGGTCAGTCACGAAATCCAGTCCTTAGCGTTATGCTTCAAATGGCACTGACTCTGTGCAAGGTTCGCATGGGAGTTCGCATTGGGGAGGGCGACGGGACTGTGAGCTTGATTTCTTTGGGTGGCATGTGCGTGGAGGGATGGAAACGAAAGAAATGGAATCCTGGCGGTATTCATGTTAAAACGATAGAGGTACGGGATCTCCCTCAAGTTCTCCGCGGTAAACTGAGATACTCGCGACTCACGATCGTTTAAGCTGTCCCATCGGCCAGAAGATTTTGACCTGAGAGGTGGTGCAACGACGGGCGATCATATTGACATTTTGGGGTCTCGAGGATTGAATGAGATTCTGCTAAAGGTTGCCGCTGGGTATGGGAACGAGATAGGTGAGGCCCATCGCCCTGTTGACTTTCATCGCAATCGTTCTGAGTGCGCCTTTTAGAGGATTCATTCGTTTCGGATATTCGACGATATGCAGAGCGCATCCAATGGGATTGATGAGCAGTAGCCCAATAACTTGGTCCGTTGCAGTCTTGGTGCTAGTTAGAACAACCGCATCCTTCACCTTTTTAGTTCGTTGCTAAGAGCACGACAGTTCTTGTGTGCAAATGCCGGTGCAGAGTGACGATATGAAGGACAGCACTCTAGATTGAGGTAGTAAACGCGGCGACTCACGGTAGACAACACTTCCAGAGAGTGGCCCAACGGCCTAACGAAGTGAGTCATTCAATCTTTCGACACAGCGTGGGAACAAATCCAAAAGCTGGGTCACCGATTGCCGAAAGGACTCCGATGCTGTCTGTCATACAGCCTAGTGCTCGCACCTCTTTTACATAGATCTACATCGTCAAACGTCCTGAAAAACCTCGTGCGTGGACCTTTTGGTGGCCTATCAGTTCCCTCGAGTACCGACCGAATCGTCGAGGCCACGAAATGAGAATCAATCAGGAAAATGTATCTACTCCCAATTAAGAGCTGCATATTACCTGGACACCAGTGAGCTGTCGCTCAACTGTCCATTGATTGTGGACGAACTATCTCGCATACGCCACTAAGGGTAACTCCATCAATGTATTAGAATGGTAGCGCTGCGATTTACGCTAGCGTGTTACGCTCAGTCAAACGTGGTTGCACTATAAGATTGAACACTGTGGGTTACGCTAGAGTGGGCGTCAGTCATAAAGACCAACCCGAAAAGAAAGTGAACTCTCACTTCAATCAAACGTTGTTGGACCGAGGGAGACGAAAGCGAAAAATTATTTTACTGCTTTTATACGCAGTCGCCTCAATGGCGCACTGACATTGGTAGCAGGAATACCATGAAAGGAAATATGACGCCACAGTCTCAACATCACGTTGTGAGTTCGCCACAGCGTACTATGACTCCCAAGAAAGCAAGAGTTTCAACACAATGAGCCCAGTCGGTGTTGCCCGCAGGAACGTGAGCCAGGATGCTTTTATGTTCTGGGTAATCACACCCCCATGTACGCAGTAAATCACGCTTAGAAGGACCAAGGCGTGCGTACTAATGCTCCACTCAGAAGCGAGAAAGGCTATTGCTCCATTGCGCGATTGTGGCAGAAGACCTCACCGAGTTGTACGAATGAAACTGAGTGAACGTAGGAGTGGGAGACAAAGTAAGGATACGGGTTGCTGCTCATCATTATCGGGTATATTAGACGTGGAAGTAGGATGTGAAGGATCGGGTGCAAAGAGCAGAGACAAGTAGAGACAAGTAATGGAGCAGGTTTCGAATGTTCGGTACAGAGTAGACTGAAGCAGCCTGCGGGTATAAAAAATGCCAGGGGAGGAACGACTCAGAATAAGCCAGCTTAGTATTCAGAATGGGGTCCTTGGCCCTAACAAAACTATTGTACAAACTAGTTACAGTGTCGTTTCACGCGATCCCGAACTGCAGGATGCGGACTTGTCCATGACGAGTAGCGACAACTACTCTTCCGGTCCCGTCATCGAAAGAACAATATGTACAATCCTTGACAGCATGCGGCATCTCTTTGGCTGCGATCGTGGCTCCTTTATGAGTACGCTTTTTATTGTCAGGTTTTCCAATGTCACTTAATCGCAAGTCATCATCTATAACCTCTTCAGATGCATTGAAGAGGACGAGTTGTTCGGTCGATCTCTCCTCAGTGGGAGAACCTTCTAACCATATCCCTCTTCCGCTTATCGGGGAAGCCATAACATCGGGGAAAAAATGTTGGCGCACACCATTACGAATTTGAGCTATACAGAGGGGCAGTTCGGTGAAATCACGAGGGCGCGGGTCGTTGTTTGAGCGACGAGCACGAACGACAAATGGTTGAGGATCCGGTGGGCAATAGACCAAGAAATGACTCAGGATTGTTGCACTCTTTTCGCGGATGAGGGAGATAGGGTGGGAGGGATGAGTTGCACGTTGTGCTGGATATGGAGCACAGTAGGGAATAATAACGCCAGAGTGCCAATCTGAGTTTCCGGGACGGAAGGCGGTAGAGATATGTTGTGCCTGGAACACTTTTGTTTCCGCTGGTGGAGGTTCGGTGTCCCGCGCGACCTCAGGCAATGCAAAAATATTGACGCTCTGAGGTTGAATCATTATAACGCAATCGCTTAGAACTTCCATCGCCAAACATGTTCCGTGCTGCCAGATAGAATGAAAGAATTGCGTAAGCTCATAGTCCGGATGAGAAGTAACGACGTGGATGATGGATTCTGACTGACATGTTGAGTCGTTGGCTCTGCGCCCTTAAGTTCGATCATCACTTGGCTCTCATAATTGAATAGATATCCTTGGAGGTGAGACCTTTTGTACAAACCAACAAGATTTCCGCGAAGGATCTTCAGTCGACCAGGGAGCTCGCCCTCGAATATCTGCTCGCAGGTAGCTGTTGCGTGTCCACTCCCATCACCAGAAAAGGTCAGGTTGTATAGAGTGGTGTATCTATGTCTGGAGTATATTGGTCATTCAACTCACACTTGAAGGGATTTTTCGAAGGACGCACTGGTTTGCAACGTACGATAAAGCTATCGTTGCGCGAGCCCCGCTGTCACTGTTGGGAACCGCATCGACAATTGCCCCTTGAATATTCCAGCCAAGTATCTTCCAGGTTCTTTTAAGATCCAATCCCAGATGCCATATCGACACGCGATTGCCACCACTGACGGCCAGTAGATACTTTCCGCCATGACCTGGGATGAAGAATGTAATCTGAACGTAGGTAGCCGGCGCTCCTATGTAGAACTGGGTACGCGCGAACGCCCTGGGCTCTGCGGACGTCCAATTGCGTCCTAATCGCATGGAATATATTGTTGCTTGTTTAAGATCGCGTGCGGAATGAGCAGAGAGAGGGGCATTGGAAGGTAGCGGAACTGATCGACCAGAGGGAATTATTTGGTTTTCTAGAACACTCTTCCATACAGCATGAAGCTGAGTAACTCTCTCGATATCCTTGCAAGTCTGTTTGCAAATCAGTTGACAATGAACAAGTGAATCTCGACGGACGATCTGAAGCTCACGCGTTGCATGGAAAGGACATCGCGGACTTCGATATAGCTCAGGATTTCGATTAGTACATCCAGATGGAGGTATTGGAGGGACATGGCTGGAGCAAGGTGGACGATACGTAAAAGAGGAATAAAATATAAAGGCGGGACCAATTTCACACGCTTCGGTACCGAAGCAAATGACTCACACTTGTGCGCGACCGATGGGCACCAAAAAAGTGGCGTGGCGACGGCCCCGACAACCGCAGCCTCTGAAACCCGGATTAGGTGGGGTGGTGGCACAAGCGGACGCCAAAGTGATGTTGCAAAATACAGGACAGAGCCGAAAAACCAGAACCAAAAACCTAGCGCCGATACAAATACACAACAAAGGTCACAACATGCACCTTCACCCTAACCAGAAACTTCATCATGGGAATGCCTCATGTAGGCTAAGAGCCCAACAATTTGATCGCAGCACTCTGCTGTCTCTGGCATCATGACATCGACAGCAGCCGGCGTGTCTAGTGTCCTCTACATATACTAAAAGCTGGGGAGAGCTACGGTTGAAGCGCTCCGATTGGTCGCCTCGCATCTATGGCGTCCTTAAGCCTCGCTCCCACCGGCCGGTTGGCACCACTACCAGTCCACGTGGCGGCCCCCGGGTCTTCATCCATCCTTCACTTCCATTTCGACGTTGGGTCCTGCCTACACATCTACCTATTGGACGGCCACGCGTCAGTGCCCTCCTCAACATCCACTTTGCCTATTACCCGAATCAATGTAACTAGCGCTCGAATCCTGTCAATCAGGTTAGCTGATTGGCTCTTTCCATGTCCAATGGGACGCGCTTTCTATCACTCTCAACAACGACTTCTGCAACTGCACCTCTCACTGTTTGAGACCACTGTCAGTCCAAGTGGCAGGCCCCGGATTTTCATTCATCCTTCACTTCCATTTCGACCCAGGACTTTGACCTCTGGACGTTGTTCTGATGTATGGCATTCCAGCAGTGGAATGTAGTTCCCTAATAATTATAATGAAATTGAACTGGACACATTGTTATCAGCCAGCAGGTGTCTGAACGCGATATCAATCCGATAGTTAGATGTCGTGTTCTGGCCAAGTCGCGGACATTATATACATGTTTGGCCAGCCAAGATAAAAGAGATACAAAGCGGCGCGCAACGAGAGGTTAGAGAGATAATAGGATCCATCTCGCTGCCAGTGCGGCCGGTAGTCGCAATATGTGTGACTCAGTGCGCCACGTCGGGTTGCTATATACGTCAACACACATGATATCGGTCATCAACACAAACGGTCACGAATGCCAACTGCACAATGGAAGCTTGATCACCTCATTCAAAATAGATTGATAAACTGCCCACTGCAACCATTTTACACCTTCACGCTCCAACAAATCTCGTCATACTAGATTGCTCGCCTTGCTTTGCAAAAAAAAACCTGCACTGCGTGCATACATTGAAAAATGGATTGCATTTCAAGAACTGGCTTTGCATGTACAGCGCAGAGCGAACATACTGTGATGCTTTGTTGTGTAGTACATAGACGCCACCGGGCCTGAGTGAGGGCGAGTGAAGATAATGTGAAACAGTGGGGGAAGGCATTGTCAATCAAGTTGCTTGCATGAGAACCTAAACTAGGCGTAGAAGTTAAAACACGATTGATATGTACAATGTGCCATTGCCGCAGGGTCTCCGAGTGCTAGCTTGAGATATCTGGCCTCTTTCTTCACAAGACTGTGATACTGAAAGGTTGTCTTACTGGTTTGGGGACGGTAATGTTCCGTTCCCCCGTTCGCCTCAGGCCTCAGTAATCCGTCTAAGTATACGCTTGATTTGGCTGTATATTGACGGGGTAGAAGTAAAGGCTAATCTGCCTTTTACAGCTACCCCGAGGGTTTATATACAATCTTATACATTCTCGGCACAAATAAATAGAGAAGCTTCCGCGACGCTAAATTAGCGTTGCGACATAATTATTACACAACACAACATCAACTGATGTTGTGGGCGGAATATAGACATGGGCCGGGGCCTCACATCCTCCTCCCTTGCGATACTAGATCGCAGACAGGGTACTAGCCATATATACACAAGGGGAAAGCAAGCATTTTTAAAGAAATAAAAAAAACGTTCTACATACGAAGAATGTATGCAAACGGGGGCACACTCATTGCAGGAGGCTATAATAGTATTTTGTAGGCGAAGCCCACTTAGAGTTTCTCCTGGAACATATGCACCCAGATCTCGACGACAGTGTTGTCGACGATGGAACGACTTTCTCGTTGTTGTGAGTTTATTAAATACCATCGTCCACCGTGACGATGTTGACAGTGTAGGTCGTCGACGGCAGAGTTGTCGCCGACGAGAAAATGAATAATCAACGACGATTGCGTTGACGAAGGACGAAGGGTACAGAGTAGACAATCAACGACAGCATTGTCGTTGACGAAGGTAAGAGATTATTGATCAACGACGGCCTTGTCGTTGACGAAAGTGGGTAATCAACGACGGCATTGTCGTTGACGAAGGTATGGATGAGGGGGGTCAGTTCCTCATTCGTTTACGCGGCGCTGACCCGGACGGGCCAGAGCCGGATGGGCGATTCGACGTAGTCCTACGAGTCGTCGTGGACCTAGCCGCGTCGACAGCGACATCGTCACTCAGATAGTTGTCGTCGTAGTGACGAGTCTCGACATCAGCGTCGTTCATGGACGAATCCTCGTCTTGACGACGGTGCGAATAATGGACATGGTGCGCGGGATGGCCACGTCCATGAGAAGAGGGAGCACGCCCTCGCACTGGTGGTGCGTGGGCGGATTCGTACACCGACGAGTGTGCATACGTCGGAGGGGGGTATTGCGGCGGAGGTGGGGCGTTTGAATACGCCACAGGGTGTGGGCTCGCGTACATCATAGGCGGGTTTGAGTACGATGTTGGGGGAGGGTTCGAGTACATAAGTGCTCGTTCCTGGCGTTGAATTTTACGACGCTCACGAGCGTCGTCAGTCATTGGTTTTATCCATCGACACGCGAGGATGTACATCCGTGCAATACGAGCCGGGGGGTACTGGTCGGGAAGTCTTTTCGCCTCCGTCTCAATGTCGTTGCGCGACATACGCATTCGTGAGGCGCGGTTGTTTGTAGCCACCCTGTACCAATCGGTACAGGTGTCGACGTCCTCTTGCGAGGGCTTGCCCGTCTTGAACGACCAGGCAAGATGGTACATTGTAGCATAGAACCTCACACCCTCTTCGGTGTGTATGTAGTTACGAACCAACTCGAACCACTTAGGTTCTTTGTCGCGGACGAGCGCAGCCGCGTCTGGGAATTCGATTCTATCGACATGGTCGATGTCGTAGAAGCGGGTAGGAAGGGCCACCGATCGACAATATGTCGGTGGGGGTAGGGGTTCGCCATGCACTTCAGTGAGTTTGGCGTCGTAGTACTCGTAGTAATGGTAGCCGGGTGGACGGTTCGCGACGAATTCTTCGAACGGGGCATCAGGGTCGACGACCCATTTGCCTTCCATCTCGTCATCGTCGGACGTGGGGGCCCATCTCTTGGAAGAGGTGGTTTTTTTCGACGGCGCAGACTTGGCCGACGCAGGATCCACCGGGCCAACCCTGGGGATAACGATGGTTTGGGGAACAGTGGGCCGTGACGACGAGGGAGCAGAAGATGTGATCGGGGCGGGTTTGGGAGACGCAGGGCGTCCCCTCGCCGTGCGCGCGACTCTAAAGACGTCCTCGTTGAGTTCGTCGTTGGCCTTTCGGAGGGATTCGACCCGTCGATGAAGACGGTCGTTTTCAGAACGCAGGTCGTCGGCCTCGTTCTGCAGCATCTCATACTTGTTCCTGAGCTCATCGAGCTCATCACTCCTACGTTCGTCTTCGAACGTAGTCTCTTTGCGTTTCTCGAGTTTCTTTTCGATACGGGCCCACACGACTTCTGTAATCATTTCGAGTTGATCGAGCCCTGTCTGCGTGGAACGCGGCAGGTGGGGGTATTTCTCACTCGCGCTTACGCGAGTGGGCAGGACCAAATGGTCCTGTTTTGGGGTTAAAACGCCCGTGCTGGGCGTTCCAGGGGTGACAGTCTGAGCGACTGTGGAGTTGTCGTCCATTGACGACATGGCAGCATCCGTGGTGGGACTTACAGGTGGGGAGTTTGGACTGGAGTCTACGAGGGCCTCCTTGATGGGGAAAGGTCGAGGGAGGAATCAGCGAGGGGGATTCAGTAGCGTTCATTTGAGCGATTTCAAATTTGATGGTAGGAAGCAGGATTTGATCCCGCTTTCGTCGCATTTATCCGATATTATTCGGATATTCCCGGACTTGCCAGTTTAGGCAACTCATGGCTTCAACGCCATAGTTGGCCGTGATAAGGCATTGATATCCGCTGGTATCGGACCGGTAGGCGACGTTCACGCCGTGGTCGTGATGGTCCGCTGGATCTATTGTCCGGCGTCTGATCCCGTCGTTGACGGTTCAGTTCCTCGACGTTCTCTACCCCTTGTACTGTTAGGTAGTCATCCAACGCAATTAGATCGTTTACGTTGGCCAAGGGTTCCCAAGTAAGGTCACCAAGTCCCCATCGGACACGGAACCATAAAGACTTATCGTCGTCCCATCGATGGTCGACGATCTCCTTAACCTGGTATTCCCGTTCTGGGTCGTCGCCAAAGTCGTAAAACACTTCTACGGCGCGCCCAGGGAACAGCACAGAATCATTCGGCTCATGAGGTGCGAGCCGTGAGACGTGGAACTTCGCAAAGATATTTCTTTGCGTCAACACTGGGGGAAGCCTGAGGACGTAGTTTGATGAGTCCTCAAATACCTCCAGTATTTCGTAGGGGCCAATATAAGTTGGCAACAACTTATGTGCCCTCCCCTTGGGGAGGTTCAGATCTTTCGTTGAAAGATATGCGTAGTCCCCTTTCTTCAGTTTTGGGGAATCAGGGCGCCGATGTCGGTTCGCCTGGATAGCCTGTTCTACACGACTCTTAATAATAGCGTCGTGAGCGGCCTGGATGTTGTCCAGGGCCCGCTGGGCAAAGGATTTCACCCCCGGCAATTCGGATGACGGCAGAGACACGGTCATTTGTGGGAGGTATCCGTATACCAACTCAAACGGGGCGAATCCCGTTGATTTGTTCGCACTTGAGTTCAATGCGAATTCTACCATGGGTATATGCACGGCCCAATCTCGCTGATCGGGTCGGACGAATGACCGAAGGATCTGGACCACCGTCTGGATCGCTCGTTCTGCTTGGCC